GCTTCTTTCTAATAGTTAATGCTAAACGCTACTCTTGCTTAGTGGCAATCACTACTCTTGCTTAGTAACAGGGCCACTCTTGCTTAATAACAGAGCCACTTTTACTTAATAATAAGCATCGTTATTATTAAGGTTATTGCCATTATTATTAAGGCAAATCTCGCGATAATTAATTGTAAGGCAAAGGGAAAGGGGAGAACGTTCTTACATTATGTTTATAAATTAATAATTAGCTCTTAAACCATTTACTTATAAGTAATAACGCCTAAATGTTATTACTGCTTAATGAATTAACTTTTATTAGCTTTAAGGCAATTTATACTTAAGATCTTATTAAAAAGCATTAATAAGAAAGGTATTAAAAATAAAAATAATATTTATTAATTAAATTAATTAACTTTAATTGCAATAAAGGTATTAAAAGGTTTAATTAAAATATTTATATAATTAACTTAAGTAAAAACCTTGCTTAATTCCCTTAATAATTTTAAACTAATTAAATAAATAAAAGGGTTATATTAATAGCTTATTTGCTAATTAATACTTTAAAGTATTTAATTAAGGATATTAATTAAATACATAAATCGCTTAAAAGAAACGTTATTTATTAATACTTTAAAGTATTTAAGCGCCTTATGCTTTATTAAGTGCTTAGGGGGTTTTTTAAAGGGTTATAGGCCCTAAGAGTATTATATAAATACCCTAAGGGGCGTTAATCGTAAATAAGGGCTTTTTAAGGGTGCTAATTGCAAATAAGGGCTTCTTAAGGGTGCTAATTAAGGGCTTCTTATAAGTGCTAAGCAAGGGCTTCTTAAAAGTGCTACTTAAGGGCTTCTTATAATAGTTATAAGCAAGAGCGTTGGTAATTAAGGGTGCCTTATAAAGGGCTTTTAAGGGTATTATAAGGGAGGCTTTTTAATATAAGGATATTGCAAAAGGGCTTTTAATAAGCTAAGAAGGTTGTAATGGCTTAAAAATATTGCTAAAGAGTGTTTAATATAATGTTTTTAAGCATGCTTAATAAAGGGGTTGAAAAAGATTAATAAGAGTAAATATTAATATATACTTTTGCTTAAGGCTAGCTATTAGCCTTAAAAACTATTATTATTAGCTTTGCTTAAAGCGTAATAAATATATATATATTAAGGGTAAGGAAGTTTATTATAATTTTTTATTATAATAATTATCTTTTTATATATTAAGTATTTATTAATATTATAAATTATATTATGTAAATTCGCAGTATATAATAATTATTAATTAGCATAATTGCTTTTAATTAGCTATTTAAGGCTATTATTAATTAAGAAAAGATATTTATAATTTATTATTAATAATAAAGTTAAATTGCTATTAAAGCAAAGCTATTTCTTTAAACTTAATTATTTATAATTACCTTAATAATTATTAATTAATATTAATTTAGCTTTTATATAGTTAATAATAAATAAATAAAGTACGTAATTAATTTAGTTATAATATAAAGGGTAGGTTATAGCAAAGCTATAGCCTTCTCTCATCTAGTTATAGGCTAGCTATGGTGGTTTGTACGCGGGGCACGTAACCACTAGCTGGCAGCCGGCTAGTACTGGCTGGCAACTGCTATTAATAAGACTAGTTTAAACCTTGCACCTCTAAATCTATGCATTGCCTGCAGCGCACCCACTGCGTGGGCACGCCACGCCCATACGTATTATTCCCATAGAAATAATTATATATAAAATAAAATTATTTATTTAAATATTTAAAAAGTTAATTAAAAAAATTAAATATATTTCTTATAATAAATTTTTAATTATTTCTCTTTAATTATTTTAATAATACTTTTTTTAATTAACTTATTTATTATTAAAAAACTTATTATAAATAACTTTATTATAATATTCTTTCCTTTTAATTAAATTACTTTTTTTACCTTTTTTTAATTATATAATATTTTATTACCTTTTATTATCATTATTACCTTTAAATTTCTTCTTTAATATATATATATAACGGAAATATCCCTTAATTACCTTTATATATTAACTAACGTTTTAAGCACTTAAATATAAAAAACTTATAAATTTCTTATTATTATTATTATTTATTTTATATTAATATTAATAATAAATATATTTTTTTAAATCTTTAAAATATGCCTTAATTAAATTAAAATTAAGAAAATATAATAATAAATATATTAATTAAATATTTTATACTTTAATAATTATATAAATAATATAATTATAATATTATAAGGCATTATTTATTATAAAGATTAATTAAAAGCGTAAGTAAGCATTTATTTAATGGAAAATCTTTTTAAAAATTTAAATTAAAAAGATTTCTTTATTATATACCCCTTATATATTATAATACTAAGAAAACCGTTAATTATAATTATTAATAATAAATAAAAGCAAGCGCTTTACTTAAAAAAACTTTTAATTTAAAAAATATATCTTAATAATATTTAATTTATTTTTTTATATTATTATATTTATTAAATCTTAATTTATTATAAAAAATAAATATTTTAATAATATATTATAACTTTAAAATCTTAAAAAAATAATAATTTTAAAGGTTTTTATTATATTATTAAGTTAATATATATTTTATTTATTAATTTAATATGCTTAATAAAAAAATATTATATTTTATTAAAATATATATTTAACTTATTAAAAAGAAAATCTTTAAGGTTTTATATAATAATTGTTAAGCATTAATAATATTTAAAAAGCTTATTATATTAAAAAATATTATATATTTTTAAAGTTTATTATTTTAATTTAACGGCTTTTAATTATAATAATAAAAGTATATTTAATATTATAATATTTATAATTATAACTCTTTTTTATATTAAATAATTATTTTTTTAATATAATAAAATTTAACTTATCGCTATTTATTTAATAATAATAAACTTAAATGCAAATAAAACTTTAATATTTATAATTATACTTAAATTAAATGCATTATTAAAACCTTTCTTTTACTAAATTAAGTACATAATAATGTTAATAAGGATATCCATGAGAATCTTAATGCGTATTTTGCTTCCGCAGCCAAATTTTGGTGCGAGGGGGGACAGCTAACCAAAACGACAGGGGGGGGGATACTTTCGTTTTCCACACACAGCGATTCCAAGCCAGTCCACGGCCCGCCAAAGGCTCTTCGGTGGGGACGGCGCCGACTTTGTCGCGAGACCACCTGTAGACTATTGGCATCGCATTGGCATTGAGCTTGGCAAACCGCTACCATTCCTTTGAACATGGTTCCTGGAATTACAACACTCGATTTATTTCTTTTGACTTCTCCACTATTCATGGAAGGGTATGGAGAGGCAAGAAGTTGTCAAAGAGAAATACGAGTCAAGATGTTTGCTACGTGAGCAGCGATACAACGACGAAGAGCTCTCGTGTTCTCGTACCTATAGTTTTGAACTAGCGTTGATTACTAGGATCGCTAAGCCGGACACGGATAAATATCATGATGAGTTGATTGTTTCATACCCGCCGTCGTTTGGCCGTACAATAGGCTCGAGACGGGCTCGCTGAGTCTTTACATTCGTACATTCTGAAGAGTGGTGCGTACCGTGGTTATTGATGTTTTTCCTGTGCCTTGCACACTACTGAGACCCGCTGTTGACAAGAGGCTTTCAACACCTCCGGAATGATCAAGATATCAGTGTCTAGATACACCAATACTATGACACTTTCTTTAAAGATACAGAAAAATGGCTGAATTCAACAAATTATGTACAATAGCCAGAAAATGAGATACGAAAGTACATAACCGACAGGTCTGACAGTAATGGTTTCAACTTTAATTGTCAAGCAGTAGAACGCCCTTGCAATTCATAGGCCACCCATCTCCGAGACGTACGTGCCCGTGAGATCTGTCACTGATTGCAGCCGATGCGGCCATGCTCAATGATTGCAAATTCGTGAGTATTCTATGAACAATTTCTATGATATTTTCTATGCTAATGTCGTTTCTGAAGCTTGAGGTAGAAACTTCGCACTTCGGCTTGGAGACATTTTAAGCTCAATCCACGAGGTCAGCATATCCAGAGATAGGCTGACGTCAACCCATAATGAAAGGATTTCAAATAGGCAATGATCCAGGCGAAACCGGGAATTTGCTGGCCGTAACAAGCGGTCTGCCCAGGTGGTGGAATTGATACAGAGACTCGGCTTGGATCGCTTGAGTCGTCAACGGAGCGGCGCTCGGTCCTCGGTTCTCGTCGTTGCCCAAATGCGCACACAAGCAACGAGATCAATCCACTGCAATTTTCTGTAACGAGATAATCCAGATCATTCTCGTTGGTTGATGAAAGTGGTCATTGCTTTGCAAGCGGAGCATGATCTGGAGTTGTGAGTTCCCATCACATGAGCTTGAGCGATCTCGGCCTTGTGTGCAGTCTAGATGTTCGCATAGAAATGGACGTGTAGCTTTCCTGCCGCTTTTGCGATGTGAAGGATGGCCTTGAAAATTGTGATTCTTTTGGTACCTTCTTCCTATTCTTCTCAGAAAAGACATCCTGCCCGTACGGCGACCCACGATGGCATCCGATACCCCGGATCCAAACCACAGGAAGATTTAGGCCACACCACTGGCACCGAGCAACGGGACCCGATCCAACCCCTCCCAATTTCGCTATTAACTGATATCGAGAAGAACACTCCACTGACTTCTGGGCCTGAGACCAACGTCGCCCGATTCGAAGTCACCTTTGACGGCCCTGCAGATAGTACCAACCCTCTGAACTGGTCCAACCGCACAAAATGGACAGTTACTTTGGTCCTAGCCATCACTGGCTTTAATAGCATCATGGTATGAACATTAGTGGCTCCAGCTATCATCAGCATCTCCGAAGACCTCCACATGACTTCGATGGAACCCTACATGGCGTACTCCATCTCGCCCTCGCAACAGCCCTCGGACCACTCCTCATAGGGCCTCTATCAGAGACCTAAGGCCGCCAGCGAGTGCTTCACACGTCCAATATGTGGTTCTTGGGATGGAACATCGTGTGCGGCTTCGCTCATAGCAAAAGTCTGCTCATAGCCTCGAGATTCCTTGCCGGCTTCGGGGCAAGTGCCATATTTGCCCTCTCGGGTGGAGTTTTGGGGGACATTTGGACGCCAGAGGACCGTGGCCGGTTGCTTGGAGTTTATTGGCTTCTTCAGTTGCTCGCACCGGCGGTCGGTCCTATCATCGGCGGGTTTATTGGCCAGTACACGACCTGGCGCTGGGCGTTCTGGTCGACTTCCATCTTTCAAGGCTTCATGTCACTTGTGTCGTGCGTTGCCTACCATGAGACATATGTTCCCTTGATAATCGGCAAGCGGGCCTTCAAGCTCCGCCGGGAGACTGGAGATGCGAGGTACCACACCGTATATGAGCGTCTCGACAATGAACACTCCGCGGCTAAGTTGATATACCAAGCGATGACACGACCAATGAGACTCCTGGCCTTCCACCCCATCATCCAGATTGCATCGCTCATCTCCGCCTTCTGGTACGGCACGCTATACATAGCCCTGTCCAGCTTCTCCACGCTCTGGACTTCCTACTGCGGCGAACCGGTCTCAACCTCAGGCCTACATTATATTGCCTGCGCCCTAGGCGAGCTCGTTGGTGCACAAGCAGCAGGCCCCCTGATGGACGCACTATATCGCTACATGGTCGACCGCTCCCCTGACAAGAAACAGAGTCCCGAGTTCCGCATCCCATTGAGTTACCCCGGCGGACTGTTGGCACCCCTGGGTCTCTTCATCTACGGCGCGGTACCGGGTACACTGGGTCGCAGTTGACATTGGAATTTTTATCTTCAGTGCTGCAGGGCAAGTAAACGGGATGCCTTTGCAGGCGTATATTATTGATGCCTACCCAGACCACGTGAGCAATGTGGAAACCTAGAAATCTTTACACTTGTTGTAGCTAAAGAACCCACAACAGGTCTCCAGTGCACTTTCTGCGTCACAGTTCCTGAGAAGCTTAACTGCTTTCCTTTTTCCGCTGTCTGTGCCTAGCATGTACTCGGCCCCAGGCTATAGGTGGGGTAACAGTCTGTTGGGCTTTGCTGGGCTTTTCTTTGGGCTGCCAGCTCCTGCGATCCTTTGGTACTGGGGAGTCAGACTTGGAGAAAGGGCGAAGTCAAGTCATTAAGGCCTTTGAGGAGCAGGTGAATGAGACATAGTCTGCGTTAGCGGTCCTATGTCGCGAATGAGGCGTACACACTGCAATGTATACTGTCCCAAAAGATCGCCTTGCCGTGGCATGACAAAGACAAACAGGTGAGGTATGCAAATGGTAGAGGGCAGCAAAATTGAGCACTCAGCATTAAAGCCACATGAGGCGTTTGATGTATGAACTTCACTGTAATCTGCCTGAACTCATCAATTAGACTCCCATGATTAACTACACATTTTCTGTGTATCTTGCCGTCGTGTCCATTCCAAATATTCACAGCATGGCTCGGCTTTACATCTCCTTCCTATCACCAGGCTCTGTACTGGCGAGGAAATCGCCCACCTCTTGCATGTAGCGCTCCCTATCCTCCCAGTGGGACATGTGGCTGCCCCCAAGGGTCACCCACCTGACCTTTGGAATGCTCTGGAACCATGGGTACATACTGAGGTTGGTGACCTCATCATTCTGTCCGTTGACGAGCAGTGTCTCAACTTCAATGGTGTGTGCCTGCTTCCAGCCCTCCCAACCTTTGATTGAACCGACTATGACAAACTCTGCTGGTCCTTGGCTGTCCGTTAATTTGTATTAGGATATATGCATCGTCTTCTTGAAGATTTCCGGACCTGGCCGAACTCACATGGTCAGGTAGACTGTAGGGTCGTCGCTCAGATTCTTGAAACCCGCCATAACCTCTTCAGGCAACCAACGGGTCTAAGCTACAGACATAGTGGCTGTTGAAGACTTTTGATGCTTCCTTGAATTCCTCACTCTCGTGGTCACCTCGCCTGTCGCACTCTTCGAGCGTCTTACGAACGTCGGCCGGTAATTTAGCGAGTAGACCTTTGAGTCCCTTTTCTGCATCACCTTGTAAGCATTCATCCCATCGAAAATCCACATGTGTCCTTTGTGGTACAAGTGGTTCGAAACCTCCGAGGAATGCCTTTGAGAATAATCCCACCAAGGAGGCTAAACGTCGAGTGGATTAAGGAACTTCTTACCGTATAGAGGAATGCTGGACGGCCCGCTCGCAATTACTAGCTTCCTCAGCCCCGTGGGTGTCTTCCCCTGGGGTCGATGCATGGCATAGGACGCGGCCAAAACACCGCCCCAGCTCTGGCCTAGGAGGAAGAAGCCCCTGCCTCTCAGGTTCAGATGGTCGATCAGGGTATCAAGCTCCGTAATGAAGAGCTCAAAGGACCAGAAATCGGCATCGCCGGCTTTCTCGCGGAGGTGTGTTGATCGACCGCAACCGATCTGATCATAGAGGACAGTTGGGATCCCGTAGGGCTTGTAGAGATCTGCCAAGGGCACCAAGTACTCATGCCCAGCACCTGGGCCACCATGGAGTGCTATGAGGACTGGACCATTCGTTGACTCGAGGTCACCCAGAATCTTGAACCATGTTTTGCATGGCTTTCCAGCTTTGGGAACCTCCCAGGCGATCTCGCCTTCGCTGACAGGAAATTCAGTCATCGTGAAGTGGTAAGAGCCGTTTTGGGAAGGAGTCGGAAGTTCTTTCAGAAGGTTCCCTGATGTTTTGCTGAACGGATAGGTGGTTCGGAGGCAAAAGCTTGACGCATGGGTGATAAAGGGGACCAGGAAGCATAATATGCGACTTACACAGCACTAGCCACCAACAGTCCATCAGCCAACAATACTTGGGGTAACATTAGGAATGGGAGTCTAGGACAGCCTTAGATAAGAAGCGGGGTCAAACATAATTGTCGTGCGTTACATGCAACCACTGGGGCGTCAACGATATTTAATAGTAGAGGCACTGAGATGCAACATCATGGAAAGAACCCCACTTGTCAATTTGTTCAGCGCCAGGTACAAGTTGTACTGAGGGACAAGACCGAAGCTCTCTACGAAGGTCAGAGAGGGGAAGCAACGAGGCCGGGTTTCTGCAAGTCACACCTCGTGTGCTCGCACATACAGAACATAAGTGCTGCGTACAACAGCAACATAATCATCAAGAAGTTTATAGTCACCATTGAATGAGTAACGAATCTCCCAGGGGATCTTCGGAGGCGATCAAATCGCAAAGGGTGTGTGCCAACGCCTGCAGCGTAACCGACATGGTAGAGCGACTAGGATGTGGCCTAATAACGCATCTACCAGGATCAACGTTTAAATATACGTGGCTGGGTACATATACTGGCCAAGCCGAATTGCGAATACTGCATCACAAGCGCTTACTTTTCTTGCTTAAGACTTCAGCAGAATTATATCACGTGCTGAACCTGTACACCATCGCCCGCCTTTCGTTTGACACTTCAAGACCAAATGAGAGGCCTGCACCGTTGGTTTTGGAACACGATCCCGAATCTTTTATTCTCCCACAGCTTTTATCCTCTCTACGGGTACTATGGGCGGCTTCCGTCAAAAACTGAGGAATCTCCGTTCTGGTTCGAGCAGGACTTCAAGCTCTAATCAGGCTGACTCGCGAACGCCATCGGAAACCCCTGCCGCCGGAACAGTGGGAGCCCAGCAGTCATTGCAGTCAAATGAACAAACCTCGTCTCCAAGCGCTTTGGACGTGACACCTTCATCGAGAGACACTATAAGGTTACAATCCGAAGTCTGGAACGATGCCTATGACGATCTCAGGAAGGACGCGCCAGGCGTGGTCGACGCATATGAGAGGATCTTATCCGGCCAGCTCGCGAACAATGCACCGGCCACAGAAGTTGAAGGCTGCCCCGAGAATATCTTCAAGTCTATTGTTGGGAGAAGGGATCAGTTGAAGAGACTGATCGAGGAGGGGCAGGCCAGGAATGAGAAATCTGCGGCCGTCAAAGGGAAGATCAATGATGTGATCGAACCCTTCAGTCATTTGCGGAGCGTCATATCCCTGGCCGTCAAGAATGATCCCGTGGCTTCAATAGCCTGGGTTGGGATAACTGCCGTGCTCGATGTATGTGCGCATCATTTCTCCTTCAGCCTCGCGTTGGTGTCGCTGTCCAGAGACTCACCCAACTCCCAGGTTCTCGCTTCGCCACTTTCCGAACCAGGTGAAAATCGCGAAGGCATCAAGTACATTTTGGAGCGTGCGGAGTGGTACTGGAACCTTTCCGCGCTATTACTCAACCCGGACAAGACTGACGAGTCCATTGTAGAGCTCCAGAAGAGCCTCAAAAAGAACATCGTGGAGCTTTACAAGAAGCTGTTGCTATACCAGATGAAGAGTGTTTGCCTTTATGGACGGTCCCAGCCTGCTGTCCTCGTGCGCGATCTGGTGAAACTAGATGATTGGAAGGCACAGATCACGTCAGTAGAAAAGGCGGCGGCAAGCGTGAGGAACAATGTCAGCCAGTTCCGAGACGAAGATATGAGTGCCCGACTTCGGAATTTCGACAGATGTCTCCAAGGAGTGCGAACGGACATCCAGGCCCTTACAACTGCTGTACAGGACCTCGGAAATGAGTAACGCAAACGACACGAAGACGATAAAGACAAGGCGTTCCTGAACAATTTGTACGGCGTTGATCCCAGGCTTGAGAAGGCAGCTATTGAAGACCTCAAAGGCGGCCTGGTCAAGGAGGCTCACGACTTGGTGCTCCAGCAGAGCAACTTCCAAAATTTGCAAAACGATAACAAGGACGGAATCATCTGGATCACAGGCGGACCAGGCACGGGCAAGACTACATTTCTCTGTGGAATCATTGACCACCTTCTTCAGAAACCACAATACCACATGGTCGCGTACTTTTTCTGCCGGGCCGATCGGCAAAAGACAAGAACCACAAAGTCGGTGCTCCGGGGACTTTTGTGGCTCATATGTAATCAGAGTTGGGGCATCACACGGCGTTTACGAGAAGAGTATGAGAACCAGAGCAGAGAGGTGTTCGAAGACGATGATGCCATGGTTTCTGTGGCGCTGGAGAAGATGTTAGCCAAGGTGTTGAGCGAGCCAAGCATGCAACAAGCCACTCTCTTCATCGATGCTATCGACGAGTGCGACAGTGACAGCGTCCGTATTCTCATCAGGACTATTGGACGGCTCTCACACGATCACCCGGTACAATGGATCCTGTCAAGCCGTACCTCCGCCAATTATCGCAGTCTCTTGTCGGTTGCAGCGCCTGGCGTCTCGCCGTCGTTCTTGGAGTTGAGCAACCATGTTGTGTCCGGTGCCGCACGGGCCTTTGTCAAGCACAGAGTCAACGAGTTGTCAGCAGCGAAGGGTTATCACGAGTCCCTGCGGGACTATGTCCACAAGACACTATCCTCAAAGGCTAGTGACACATTCTTGTGGGTAGCTCTCGTGTGTCTCGAGCTTGACGGGTTGGGCATTGAGCCACGCCACGTAAGGAACACGCTGGAAGCAATTCCAAAGGGGCTCAACGACTTGTATCAACGCATGTTGACTGGCGCTTTGCAATCAGCCGATAGCAGTCTGTGCCGCGAGATTCTGCCACTTGTTTGCATTGCGAGGCGCCCACTGACACTTGACGAGCTGCGTGCTCTCGTGCCAGCACTTGAAGAGCTGTCAGAGTCGGATCTCCGTGGAGTTGTGGCCAACTGTGGTTCGTTCTTGCGTGTACAGGGCGCCGACTCCAGCTCTGCGATCCTGACCTTTGTTCACGAGTCGGCGCGCGAGTACTTGACAGATGAGGCTCAGCGCACCACGTTCCCTCACGGAATACCGCACCAGCAACGGCTCATCCTCCGACAGGCCCTTGTGAACATCAAAGAAATAACACGAAATATTTACCATATGCCCTTTCATGGGACTAACATCAACGAAATCGAGCCGCCAGTACCTGATCCGCTCTCGAAACTTCGATACAGCTGCCTCCACTGGCTGGACCACGCGACCTGTCTCCAAGAACAGCAAGAATGGCAAATGTCGGAAGATGAGGCAGTGGAGTCGTTCATCTGCAGCGACCTCCTTCACTGGCTCGAAGCCCTCAGTATAATGTCGAGCATGCCTCAAGGGACAGCAGGTTTCCAAAAGTTTAGCAAGTTCTATAGGTCGAGTGCCGGGCAAAAGTCTCAGCAAGTCGGGAGACTGGTCGAAGAAGCGCGCCGCTTTATTCTTTACAACAAGGAATGCATAGAGATGGCTCCTCTACAGGCCTACGCATCTGCAATCCTGTTCAGCCCACAGCAGGGTATGAGCGAGATCAAACGTCATTACCGGGGTGAATTAGACTGGGTGTCCCTTCATCCTGCAGCTGCCGGGGCCACATGGTCGCAGCTCATTCAGGAGCTCCCATCCGGCCATGATCCGATGTGCATGGCTTTTTCTCATGACGGCCGATTTCTTGTCACTGGAGACGCCAAGTACATTGCGAAAAAGCAACACAAATGAACATTGTGTAGAGATTTGGGATGTGCTGGCGAGCCATCGCATCCAATCCCTTCACCTGGATGATTGGATCAGGAAAGTGGCATTTTCCCGCAATGGGAATGAGATCCTCGTCGTGATGAGCAACGGAATTACACGACTGGAGGCTGACTCTGGGCGGTGTGTTGGCAGTCACACGCATCCTTCACAAATTAGGGCGGCTTTCTTTTCACCGAACAATCGACTCCTGGCACTCGAAACATCAGGGGAAAGTCTGGATATCGTTGAAGTTGACACCGAGAAGATCATTCAATCAATAGATGACGTGTCTTCATTGAGCTTCTCCCCTGACAATCTTCAGCTAGCAACATGGCGCTGGCAGTGGCAGGGACAGGATACCGTCGCCTTGTGGCATATCGGCAGCGAGAAGCCCGTCTGGAAGGTTCCGATTGATGCAAATGATCTGGCTTTCTTCGGAAATGACCGAGTGGCTGTCCGGTGCAGGGACGGCGGGATCACTGTCCGGGCAACAACAGACGGCTCCGAGCTCCACGCATTGTCATGCCACCCTCGAGCCGGGTCGATAACCTGGCTGGGCACAGGGTTGAGCTACGTGTGCTGGTGTTACGACAATACGATCAAAATCTACGACGACACAGGGATAACATGTGTGAAGTCGCTCCCTACGACAACCCAATCTCTCCATGGCATGGAGCACGATGGAGGCAGATACGCATTCTCTCCGGCCACTCACTCACTGGCGTGGGCCGGCCACGCAGCAATAAGGCTATGGGACTTGAACATGAGCAACTTTCCGGATAAAGTCGATGAAGAGCCAGACGAAACCCTCTCGGACCCTGTTGCAGCGCTTGCCTTCTCTCCAAGTACGTCAAATAAGGCGCTGCTTGCCTCGGGGTCCATCTCTCATGTCACGCTGTGGACTCTGAATTCGGGAAAGATCTCAAAGCTGCATAGGCTCTCTTCATCAAATCGACCAGATTTCATATTCTCTCCCGATGGTAAAAGGCTGGTGGCGTGCGAAATCAATGGCTTCTTCCAAGCTTGGGACACAGCCAGTGGTATCCCATGTGGCGAGCGGCACTTTACTGGCCTCAACAGGCCTCCATGCTTTTCGCCAGATGGAGAGACCCTCGCGCTCGCCCTTGGCACTTATGGCGTGAGTGTCTGGGACTTTGAGAAGCAAGATGTCATAGAGACAATCTCCCAGCCCGCCGACCAGGTCTTGTTCTCACATGCCGGCCAGCGCCTGGCATTTGCTTACCACGGACACGTTGAAGTCTGGGATGTGTCACCGTTCCGACGTCTTCATACCTTGGATGTTGACTATGACCCCCCTCAGCGGTTTGCAGCGACTGCGTTCATGTTCATCGCGTTCTCGCCAGACGACGGATCTCTCGCTGTGGCCACCAATCACCACGTCCATGTTTGGTCAGTGGGTGATACCGAGCCGCGTGTTCGAATTCCTTGGATTTACAAAGCACGCACCCAGTGGAGATCTGTAGCACTGTCGCCTGATGGCAACTTCGTCGCTGTTGCTGTCGACCGGCGCGTCTGGATATGGCACCTGGGCCATCCCGTCGCAACCCCACCCCTGCAATTTGAGCTCCCACACAAGACGAAGACTTGTCGCTTTGACGATGATAGTACTCGTCTTTTTGTGGACGGTGGCGCCGTTGTCTTGCCACTGGCGGTTCGTGTTGCTGACGATGGCTGGCCCGAGGCACACGACAAGCTGGTCTTTCACGGCTACGGTCTCAGCAAGGACTGCGTGTGGATCACGAAAGACAATCAAAAGTTGCTCTACTTGCCGCAAGAATTCCGGCCGAGAGATCACCCGAGTAGATCTTGGTCAGACGAGGTTGCATTTATGGGCTCGACGGTGGCTATTGGGTCCCAGTCCGGGCGTGTCCACTTTTTGAGGTTCCATGACTCCTCCAGTCCGGCAGATGTCGTTGGTGTGAATGAATCTCACAGGTATCGGGCTTCAAAGATTATCCTTCCATAGCAAATCCTATCAACTGCTAGTGGAACTGCTAATGGCAGAATGTTGGCATTGGTGTTGGTATGTGTGGAAGTGGAGACTATCAATCCAGGTGGGAGATTTAGGTGTAAACGATAGGGCTCTTACGTACTATTTGAAAAAGTCAACAAGTCTTTTCTAAGGTATTTACAAACTGTTCAATCCTTTCCACTCTCAGGCATCTATATCCTTTCAGGGAATTATCCCTTCGAAGCCTTTACACGGAACGACAAGAAACTTGTCGAACGGGTCCAGTCTCGCCGGCGGTGACACCATCCAATAATATGTGAATTCTTCGTATGTCATTGTCTTTGGCGCCTCACCAACCCGACTATGAGCCAGGTAGGCAGCCTCCGAGTGCCACGACGCGGGTGTCGCTGAGACGGGGAGCTTGGCGAGCGTGGGGATCTCGTTGCAGAAGCCCTCTGTCGCCAGCGAGTACATGCCATAGAACATATACACGACCAAGACGGTGCGGCGGATGCTCTCGGCCAGGATCCAGGTGTGCCAGCAATCCACATGGCCACCGGCGTCCGACGCACCATCACCGTCGCCGCCGAGCTCGGCCCGCGACCGCCTGAGAAGCTGCAGCGCCCACTTCATCAGCAGGCCTCGCTGCTGCTGGACGACGATGCGCTGCTCCAGCCCGCCCCCGTACATGCGCATCATCTGGTATAGCGTGAAGGCCTGCAGCCGCGCCAGTTCTTCGATGAGAGTCAGTCCGCTGCTGCTTGTGCTGACAACACTACTGCCGCCGCGGCCCAGGCCCTCGTCTGCGCCCATCGGCGGAGGTGGCCTGGTCAATTCCATCACCTCGGCGTCCAGGGCCCGGAACAGGAGCTGTCGCCTGTCCTCTTCGAGCATGCAGAAGGCCGCCGAGGTGCCCAGCGCCGCCCGGACCGCCCGCGGCACCGCGTCACCGTACAGGTTCTTATGCAGGAACAGCGTCTCGCCGCGCGTGGCGAGGTCCCGCGGGCAGCGCCTGAGCTCGCCGATGACCCACCGCCAGCTGTCGGTGCTGCCGTCCACGCGCTGCACCTCGCCGAGGCCGCCCAGAAAGTTGGGTATGTTCAACTTTGGCGGTGTTTGCTGCGCGTATGACAATTCCGAGGAGGTGGACGACGGAAATGCGGTGGGATTATGCTGCAGACTGGTGGAACCGCTGTGCGTTGTTCTTGAGACCGCGTCGCTGACTGACCATCCCTGACCAGCAAGAAAATCAGTCTCATCGCCCTCGAGGCCAAGGGAAGAGATATCTGCATGAGCGGGGACGACGTCAACGGTGTCCGTGTCTGCAGACACTGGGTCATCGGGCTGGCTGGCTGAAGAAATCGGCGCATAAACATAGTGGCAGCTCTTGTTGGTACGCCGACAAGTCCCGCATGTGGGATAGCCGCGGTCACATTTGCGACGGCCCTTGAAGCAGGCGTTGCAGGACCTACGCCGTAAACTTGAAGACATGGTGAAGTTTGTTGGTGACGGTGGCGGTGACGTGCTGGGGTCTTTACTCAAAGACGATATCCAGATGCGACCGGAAGAGCAAGCAAAGGCAAGCCATCGCAGTTGGTAGGGAGCAATGGGCGAGGGACTGCGGGCGCTGACCAATTCACAGCCATGCACCAGTCTAAGCAGGTCCGTAGTGAAGCGATGCGCCGGGCTGCACCCTGGCAGCCACATAAGCGCAAATCCTTCGGTTGCCCGTTTTGCACAACCACCTGGGCACTCATTGGTCATTCTGCTCTCTGAGTCACGTAGGTCTATGTGGGAGAAAGCACCGGAGATAACACTGAGATTCAGTACTAAATTATATCGCCTTCTCAACCTCTCACCGTCAGATCTCGCCCAGAAACACTAAGCATAGTATACAGTGGCACACCTACTCAGAGGGCCTGTTCGCAGCAAATGCATCCGCCGTCCCGATCAGGCCTTCCACTGCGAGATCCTCCTTTGACAGCACGTCCTCGTCCACGCTGCTGAAGCCCTTTCCGCCCATGAAGTCGACATAGGAATGCGACACGTCCATCAGCTCGCCCCAGGCCGGCCAGAGCTCCACGTAGTCGGCCTTGGAGATCTGCACGCAACGCACCCCAATCCCATGCGCTGCGCCGTAGGCCTGGCCCACCTCGGCAAACGTAAGCTGCTCGACAATGCCCGACACGGCCTTGGCCGGGAGGGTCAGGTCCGGGCGGTCGAGGATGGCCCGGACGAAGAGCCCCGAGTTCACCCTCTCGTCGCCCAGCAGCGGCACCTTGGCCGACGGCGGCACGCTCAGCAGCTGGATGTACGACCTGCTGCCGCCCGCGGTGTGCAGCGCGCTGGGCAGGTACCACGGGTAGTTCATGTTGCCCGCGTACCACCCGAGCCACACGAACGTGGTCTTGCGCAGCAGCTGCGGGTGCTTGGCCTTGATGTAGTCGTCCACGCGGTTCTTGCTCTCGTAGTACGGCACCACGAGCTTGCCGCCGGTGTTCTTGCGCGAGTTTGGCAGCGTCGACCACACGTAGTGCGCCAGGGACTCGGTCGCGGCCGCGGCGTCGGCGAGGTTGCTGCCCAGCCGGGTCTCGATCTCCATCGACCTCTCGATGCCCAGTGTAGGCAGTGCCTCGAAGAAGTTTGTCGTGGCAAAGATGGCGTGGCTGCCTGCGAAGGCAGCCTGAAGGGACTCGACGTTGTTAATGTCGGCCTCGACTACCTCGACGCCGCGGGCCGCTAAGGCCTTTGCGGCATCGCTCTTGGTGTTGCGAGTGACCGCCCGAAGGGAGTATTTGGGGTTGTCCAGAAGCGCTCTGATGACGGAGCCGCCTTGGATGCCGGTGGCGCCGATGACGGTGACGATCTTGGACATGTTTAGGAATCGGGTAGAATTTTGTTGTTGTTAAGGGTCGAGAGCTTAGGCAAGTAGAAAGAGGTTCAAAGCTGGTTATAGATGTGTGTCTTGTGTTGCGTCCAGATGACCTGGGCAGACAGGACCTTGTATATAATTTCGTCGTGTCTATGCTCGTAAGGACCGGCGAGGCTCAGCGCTGTGTTGCGCACTGACATAGGGTCTACATTTCCTGTATTCATCGTTGGATTTGAAAACATGGCTTACCCAATCCCGCATTTCCCCCATGTAACTAAGAGTCCTGGGCCATGATTTGGTCAGGATGCGGTGCGGTGCGGTGCGGTGCGGTGCGGTGTTGCTAAGCCGGCACCCATGCTCGGTGCGGTCAAAAGTGGGTCCCGCAGGTGTCAGCACCGCAGCCGAAAGCCGGACCTTCGCCGTTGGATTCCGGCTGGGCATTCCTTCATTGTTAGCGGGAGACGCTTTGATACGCTTGAATACATCCGCAGAGTCGCAAAGACCCAAGGGTATGGCCAGAAGATCGACCTAGAGATTGTCGAGGCGGCGGTATCTGACGACGACAACCGGCCGTGGTTGCGGCGATACAATCGACACCTGCCATGTGAAGTGCTGCTAATGGAAGCGCTGGCTGAGGCTCATCTTGATTATGAAGAAGGTGGAATGGACCTGCTACATTTGAGCATCCGGAAGCAACTCCCAGAGTGGACGCCACTCATCGTTCCACTTTTGCAAACAGGAGCCGATGACGATCTGGTCCTCCAAGTCGTTGATGCCGGAGCAGATCTCAACGCCATAGGTTACGGCTACATCAATATACCTATGGACGAAGAGCTCAACCTGGCCCAGCTTCAGGCATCTCTTTTACATGGTCGTGAGAGACTATCACGGGATCTTATCTGCCGAGGAGCAGATGTTCATGCATCCGCATGTCAACAGTATGGGCGGACAGCCTTACAAGCGGCATGCTATTATAGCGTCTCTATTCACTTGTTGGAGTACCTAGTGACCGAGTTAGGAGTCAGTGTGGATGAGCCCCGGGCGAAAATACGGGGAATTACCAGCCTTTGCGCAGCGGCCTCGAATGGGTCGCTAAATACGGTTGAATTCCTCCTCGACCGCGGCGCCGATGTAAATGTCAGGAGCGAAAACTCTGGATTCTTTTTTCTTGATGGCGACCATGGACAGCACCGGCACGTCCGGCCACTCGACTGTGCCGTTTATGCGGGAAAATTAGATATGGTAGAGCTTCTGCTCAAAGCTGGTGGCCGCACCGCTGGCCTGGGTGGAGCAGTGGGTATCGCAAAGAGACGAAGACACTTTGCCATACTGTCGGTCCTACGGAGTTGGGATGAGAAATATGGGCATCAAAGCCGCGAGGATGAAGCACTGTGGCAGAGTCGGAATCCAGGGGAGGCGCTACCATTACCGTAGTGAGCAGATGGCCTATAAGTCGCCATATCCATTTTCTGGCCATTCCCTGTTTTCGACCGTCGCCGCCCTCCCTCTGTTGAGACAGACATAGGAGCATGTTATTCATGCAAGAGGTCATGGATAGATACATGTTCAACGTTCTTCAAATCTTGTCATTGTTAACGTCCTCCTCCTCCTCACCGTCCACCACAGATTCCTCCTCGCTGACCACGCGCTCGATGACACATCCAATGGACACTCCGCGTATTTGGCGAGAGCAAGTGTGGCCCCAGACTCGCACTTTGCGCAAGACCTCAATGAACGACAACCTCGGGCGCAAGGCCGGTAGCCATGGGGAGTTTATCCCACCCTTCCTTTCTTTTGGCAGGATCTGTTGCAAAGCTCCATCTTTCTCGTAGCCAATTCTCTCGCTCGAGCATTGCTTGTTGCCACTGCACCACCGCAGCTCTCTGCCGGCATACATTGATCAGTTCCTGCAGATGCAGCTGCGGGTCTCTGTCTTGCGATAGCCATTGCTCCGTTTGGTCTAATGTGGCAATCTTCTCTTGTAGCCGCTGGTCGCTCTTGAGTCCTCGTCGGTTCAGAAGATTGGCCCTTTGCGTCCATGCAGGGCTGCCTACTCTGGCGGGCCGAGTCAGCCGGCAACACATGTACATGAAAATCGCCGCTGTCAGCTCCTCCATGTTCCGGTCAGTCTGCTTTTTGTGTCGGTTCCCTTGATGCTCATCGGGAACTCGTAGTATGCCCTTATTGTCTTTTTCTCCGAGCACCTCGATTGGGATGAATGTGTCCAGTGCCCTCGCAAGCTTGCGGAGCCGGTTTCCCAGCGGTTTACAGCCTTTCCAAAGAAGTTCTCCAGGCTTCAGATCTCTTTTCAGGGCCTTTTCAATGTCTGCGCGCTCGTTGTTCAGATAGAAGATCGGTATCCCGACCAGTCCGGCCGTCTCTACAAACCCAGAGCGGTGGCCGATAATGCATATCCGTTCGCCGTACCTCCGTCGTAGTCTTTGTCGTACATGACGTGGAGTCTTGCTTTATCCGTTCCATCATCAGCTTTAATCCGGCCATACGAAAGAATGTGACATATGAGGACCTGGAGAGCTTCGCCAAACTGCCCGGCTTTCAGCTTGAAGGTGACGTGATCTTGTTCATTAACAGGTTCGAAAATGGGCAAGTCTTCCTTAAAGGGTAGTGGATCAACGATGCGCCCCGGTTCAGTTGCTGTTTCTGTGTATCCGGCCTCAACGAGCTGATGATCCAAATTGTGGGAGTCCTGAGAAGCGTTACGTCTGTCATCCGGAGGAATGCAATTATGTCGATGTCGATTCCAAATGCCAAAGAGATAACACAGCTTGCAGCCCTTCGCAATTGATCGGCCAATTCTAGGTGCCCCGTAGAAGACGCGTATCGTTCTTAAATCCCAGATATTGGAGTCGTACCTCCCTGTTTCTATTCCATCTCTGAAGTTCGATTTGAATTGTCTCTTGAACAAGGTCCTGTCATTGCTGCGACCGTCGTGAGCGCAGATTGTTGTATGTCCCGGACGGGTCCTTGGCCCAGTAGAAGACTCGGATGTCATGCCTTGTTGCTGCTGTGCAGATCTCTGGGTGGTTGACATGCTCCGGATCACAAGAGGGCCACGAGACAATGTATAGATGGTTCTCAAAGGGCTGCCTGGGGAGAGAATGCGAAAATAATTCCGCCACTCTGCAGCCATGCCCCAGCCATCGAGCATCCACAAATTTAAAATTAGTAGCCGGGACATTGGATTGGGCCACTATTCTCGTGTAATATCTTCTGTGATACTGCCAAGAGTAAGACAGTCATAAAAAGCAGTCATTGGGGCGCTTCAGCCCTCAGCCCCCAGGTTGTCAGCCTTTCGGAACTCCGAGGGTCGACATGAGAGGATCAAGTTCGGCCGGCAAACAAAGCTGACCTACCTTGCCTACTTGCTGTGCCTACCGCTCAGCTCGTCAAATCTATTGAGCTCCAAAGATCAAAACGAACGGGTAAACGATTTATGCCAAGGTTCCCCAGTCCCATTCGACTGGTTCGTGAGAGTCGGCATGTTTCTTACAAATCTGATGGGGTTCATCTCAGCGGAAGAGGTATGAGATCGGACAGCGCGGAAGTGGGATAGGCTGAGCTTTTCGGGTCAAGGTGTATCAGGCGTTAATATTAAGACTTGATATCAGACATGTCTTCAAAGATATCAGAGATTCGCACCCGCAAAAACAGAGGGAACACCTGTATACGCTGCTTGATCAGCACAGCCAGCGGCTATAACCAGTTTAAACCCGCCGTTCACCCTACTTTTAGCCACGCCTTACTACCTCATAAAACTTTTCACAGCTATAATAACTAATACCTTAGATAACCTTTATTAGTATCAAACTTAAATTAATTATCTTATATTATTAATTGACTGTTCATTACTGTTATTACGCCGGAAGATTCCTTGCGTCGAATATGGAAGCATACATGTACACTTTCGAGGATACATAGTCACGTAACCTGGCCTTGATCTGGAGGGCTCATCATAGCGTTTGATATCGCTAGAAAATATGTACAATAATCGGGTCAATGTCTCCTAAACCGTTATGGACAACTAACCTATCCAATTTAGTTATAATCAAATGCAAAATCGGACATCATCATTACAGACAATGTTGGAGAGATTGTCAGCGTACTCAAAAAGGATCTATAGGAGGGCAGTAGGTAAACCGTCAAGCGTCGGCCCTAAAGATAGATTATAAAAGAGGCTGCAAGACTTCGAAAATGCTACGGGACCACCTAATTGTGGCCCATTGTACCAATGCCACAGCTTCGCTTATCGTCTAACAGTTTCCCTACCTTCACGCAACATCCATTTGTGTCTAGGGTTTCTCAGGAAGATCGTGACATTGCGGGCCAAAAAAGAGCAAAAGGAAACATACAACACCGGGTATTCGCTGGTCGTCACCGACCCAACTACTAATCCAGCAGTTACCAGCTTGTCTATGGGAGAGCGGACGGGATCCCGAATTTTCTGGTACTTATGGTCGTATGTGCTGGAAAGGTGGTTGTGGTGGATTATATGTGGAGTTGGCGTGACTCGCGACTCAAATTTCTATGACCTGCAGCTACTTAGACCTGGAGATTGAGATGCTGACCCCACTGATCTGACTTTCTCATGTTCTTCTGAAAAAAGTCATTACAGCAAGCAAGGACGCTAATTAATTTTCCAACGGCCGGCTGTGAAAGAGGAAAGTTACTATGGCACTTCCAGGCATTACAATGGAACGCCAACAACTGTGAATGAGCCATGATTAGACATTATACCTATTGCCCGTCGAGAAAGTAACTCAATAAACGGTTGGGTCCCAGACTTTACGTTTCTGAAAAAGACCAATGTTGGGCTTTGGAGGATCAGAACGACTGAGATGCACCGCGGTACAGAGACAAACTATTTCAGCCCCGAGACAGCGACTCGTTTCCCCAACCTCTGGATACAAGCATAGCAGCTCTAAACATCAATCCTACAAGGTTACTGTCTAGAGACTGATTCGACACACAATGAATATTCAAGGGTTTCATCTATCGATTCTAAATCTTACATACATGTAAATGCACTTTTATGATTGCCCTCGCTTAAACACCACCAAAGCCCAGCACCAGCACCTATTTGCTCGACGTCATCATCATAGGACCCGGTGCACCGAGGTCGTACTTCGTATCCTTCAGCGCCGCGGCAGGACCCCTGCTGAGGTCGATCTGGTCAAGCGGCGTCAGGCCGGTCGGGTTGCCAGCCTTTGCGCTGTAGAGGCGGAAGCCGAGCCAGGCGACGGCGAAGACGGGAATGGTGATGTAGCTCGCAAAGAAGTCCGCGACGCTGAAGCCGCCGAGGAAGGCCCCGAAGCCGTTGAAGAAGATGATGAGTATGAAGAAGAAGATGCACGTGTACGCCATGTAGGGCTGGCCCCAGCCGCGAAGAGACAGGTTGCGGCGGTCGATGCCCTGGGCGTCCAAGGCGCCCTTGAAGCGAACGTAGCAGGAGCAGATGCAGGTCCAGGCGATGAGCGACGACAGGGCGGACAGGTTCGACAGCCAGGTGAAGGCCTGGTTGGAGCCGTTGGAGACGGACAGGAACGCCAGGAGACCGAAGCAGAAAGCTACTATGACACCAACATAGGGTGTGCCGACGCGGCTGGTCTTGAGGAAGACGGAAGGCATTGAGCGCTGACGAGCCAGGGCCATCATCGTGCGGGATAGGCCGTAGGCGTTCTCGTTGCCCGATGAGAGGGCGCTAGTCATGACGATGGCGTTGATCACCGAGGGCATCACCTTGACTCCGGTCTGCTGGCAGATAACGACGAAGGGCGACGAGGCGGCTGTGTGACCGCCGGAGCTGACGGCGCTGAGCAGCTCAGGAGAGTTCTGAGAGACGTTGAGGCCGATGATGAGGACGGCTGTGACGTACAGGCCGACGATTCGGTAGAAGACAGTCTTTGTGGCCGACTTCATGGTCTTGCGTGGGTTGTGGGCCTCACCAGCGATGACACCAATGGACTCGACACCGCCGTAAGCGAAGGCTGCCTGGGTAAGCACCTTCCAGAAGCCAAGGAACCGCGCGGTGTTGACGGGAGTGATTCCGCCGAAGTCGTCGTTCCAGGGCTCCTCGCGCCAGTATTTGCCACCAGTATAGACGCCATTGATGCCTCCGGCGTTAGCTACGAGGCCGAAAATGATCAATGCGACTAAGAGAGCGATCTTAAGACAGGCGAAGAAGAACTCGACCTCCCCATACCACTTGACACCAAGGAAGTTGGTGGCGACACACACAACCAGGAATACGGCGATGTATATGCCTAGGTGCGACGACGATTCATCCCAAAATCCGATCATGAGGCCGATCGCGGTAATTTCTGTCGGTACCGTGAATCCAGTGAGGAGAATGTAGTTAATGCCCATTGCGAATCCCATCTCAGGTGACAAGTATTTGTTGCCCATTTCGATAAATCCACCAATGTTGGGTGCGAAGACGGTCCTGTGAAATAAGATTGTTGGTGTATTTAGCTTGAGTCTCATTCGTGATTGAAACGCTTACATTTCACCCAAACAGTACATCATCATACCAACCAGACATCCGACAATTGTATAACCAAGGAAGAAGCCGACCGGGCCGCCATTGGCTAACGCTGAGCCGGAACCGAGGAAGAGACCAGTTCCGATTGTACCAGCGAGTGCAATCATAGAGACATGGCGGGCTTTCTAGAGAGACGTCAGCACACATTGTAAAAGAGTGAGCCAATCTGACAGGCTCTCAATTGAATGAATCAAAAAGAAAGAGCCGACGAACCAGGTCACGTTTTGTGCCAAACTCTCCGACATGAGTGTCTTCGGGTTGTGCCAACGCATTTGGGTCTTCGTAAATGCGTGCAACGCGGGTGGAAGCGACAGGCTCGAGGACATTGACGAACTCCTTCTCCTTCTTCGTGCTGTCGTTATTTGACCCGTCGGTCTCGCTCCTGCTGATGCCGTGCATGGTGACTGGCTTTTATGGGCGGCTGAAAAATCAAGCACTGGCCCAGGTCGTTGTGAAGAGAGGAAAAAGGAAAGAAAGAAAGAGGTGAGCGATGGGGTCGTCAGCGGGCCGGGCGTCTCATGAGAACGGCGTCGTCAATGCCGCTATATACCACTGCATCCGTTAACAAGCCTGCGGACGCTTTCGTGTCGGCATGCCTGGATCAGTAGGCATGGCCTATCTAGCTTCCGGCCCCCCTTGGATCCAAACCCATGGGAGAGGCGAAGAACCGGGAGGGTCCATGTTTGTCAAACCCTTTACTTCCTGGTAGGTTTGTCGAATGAGGGGAGGCCCACGGCCCCATGGAACGGTATCTTGGGCTGGAATTTGCCACGAGTCTGTATCGTCGCAGTGCAGAGCGTTCGCTTGGCAGCGGGTCGTCCTGACTTGGGCCAGTTGAAGTCTGGGGATATGTCCTTATCTGGACTGCCGTAGATCTCGCCGTGGTAATGCCGGGTCGCGGGTAATTTTGGGGCAGCCATGTTGAATCGTGGAGATACCAATTGCATCAATTGCCTGTACGTAAGATCCGAGAGCCTGGGACGTGAAGGCTCCATGATCCCCGAACTGCCTCGTTTCCCCTCCTGGTAAATCATCACTTGATGCTCTCGGGCGCTCTCGTGACCATTTTTTGAAGTGAGCTTCTTTTTCAACATTTCGGAAACATCCGCACGTCTCGTCGTCAGCTCCCCCGTCCTCACCTCCGTTATCTCTAGCCCCTGAATCGCGGATGTCTCAAATTCGTCCGAAAATCCACCGGCACTATGGCGGGAACCACAACAAAACCAACCCACTCCCTTATCTCGGCGAGTGGCGGGTCTTTTACCACACTTGCCTACGTCAAACTCGATGATCAGTGCCAGCCACGGTAGACCTTGTCATTATACTTGTCATGCCTTTGCATGCCTCTTCGTCGAGCATCAAAATATAGGACCTCGGGAAGGGACATCTTAATTGAGAAGACGGACCCTTAAGCTTCGTTCCATTTTGGGATTTGGGTTTGACTAGTTCAAGTATGGCGATGTGGGCAATTGTCCGGGGGCATTTTCAGGATTTTCACACCACCGACGCATTCGCGGCCAGCCGATCGAACAGAACAAGTGACATGCATATGTGATCAGAAATGCGAAAGGTTTCCTTCAGCCGTGGAAATCTAACCCAGAGGCGGTCGCTCTTGTGGACATCATAGGCGTGTTCTACACGATTAAGAAGGAAACGAAGTGCCTGCCAAGATCCCTTGCCGAGGACACCAACGGACTTGCCGAGCTGGGATCGGAGAAATCAAGCTCTTCCAAGACTCGCCAGCCATCTCTTGTCAGACACAAGCCCAATAGCTAGCGCGGCTAAGAGTTCAGCCTCATGCAGAACATCATGCTGTGTGTGTTCCTAGTCTAATTGGAGGCTGGTACGGTAACATGTCAGTTCTCTCGGCATTGCCTATCGGACGTGTCGAATTTGTGGGTCGGCGAGCAGTTCCGCCCTCGAGGGATTTCTGGGGGGATTTAAATAGCATCACGCGCAGATTTGTTGAGTGGAATTTGGATCGAACCGCCGGTCCTGCCCCTAGTTGTGAGGTGGCACACCTGAGCAGGCGTTTCACTCATCATCTCGTTGGATCGGGACTCAACTGGGCATACTGAGATTGCAAACCACTTGGTTTGGGGGGCTCGAGAAGAATTTCGTCTTGTGTTACCATGGCCGTTCGCGCGACCTTGTCCAAATGAAGTGTCATAGTGAGAATTTGTCACACCTGCTGCGATTCACTGAGCATGGCCATGGCAGCAAATGCATCTGCTCTCCTGGTGCGACCTCGTCACCCTTAGTAGTGAAACACAGAGCGACCATGGTCTGCCTGCCTGTCAGTGATGTTTGCGTGCATATAAAATGGTGCTTTACATCGCGGAGATGGACGTAACGTTGAAAATCAACCTGGTGCAACACACAACACCCTTTGAAGCAAAAGTAAACCTTCGACGCACAACAAAACCACTTCAACGAAACCCTTAACGTTGAGGGCGGTGGGACATCTAGCCTGCGATTAAGGTCATTGGACCCGAGAAGCGAATTGAACTCACTTGCAACCATCACTGTTGACGACCGATAGTCACCACAAACATGAACGAGTTAATCACAGCAATCATCCTCGGCGCATCTGGATACGGCGCCTTCTTGGCGGTCGGTATCGGATGTCTCATCTGGTACAATATATGGAATCGTAAGAACATGGAGAAAGAGTTTGAGACGAATGAAGCATTCTCGGCTCGGCTAGAAAAGCCGGAGGCGCGGCTCGAGAGTGGCATGATTTCGTGGGACGGCTCGTCCCCGGGTCACTCGACAATAGACTCGCTGGGGTCGCGCGGCTTGATAGCGGCGTTGGGTCGATCGTCTTTCGCCAGGAGCCAGAGGCGCAGAGCATCATCGACACCATCGTTGTCGCAGAGTGCCATCCATGACATCTTCCAGGGGAAAAGAAGGTCAACCCAAACGACGTCGACACTGGTGGAAGACGCTGACAAGCACAACATCGGCTTGGACAGCGGTGGGCAGATGTCGACGCGTGTCCAGCAGACGCGTGCTGAGCGACGAGGAAGTGTGGACTCTCGAGACTCATGGGAGGTGTAGTGATACCCAATGGTGAGACAAAAGTATGATGCATACCTGGGAAAGGAACGGGGGCGAATAAAAACTGCACAGCTGCACAGTGAATAGACAATGAGATTGTGTCAATTGAGGTCTCACCTCTCAATTCACCAAGCTAGCATTTCACCCGTGCTTCCACCACTTTGGACAGCACCTTTTAAGGCCACTCGATGCTGTCGAGAGCTGCTAGGCCTTTTTCTTCCGATCTCTTCCACGTTTGGTCCTGGTAGAATTGGGGGGCTAATAAGCGTCTTCATCACCAGTCCAGGCAGCCAGACTCGACGGTCGAGAAGACTGGTCCAACCAGCAGCAGTCTTGGGGCCAAAGGCCGAGCTCGCTCACCCGGCCAACAGCCAAGCTCAAGTCAACGCACGGAGCACTGACCACCTGCACCAAGCTGCTGGAGCTCCATTTTTTCCCAGGGGCCCGGTTTACCCTGCAACGGTCTGCCCTCGAAAGCTCGTCTGCTGGACCAGGTTTTCCTCACACCACCCACCCACACACACACGCAGACACGCTTTGCGCCGTCAACGATCAGCCAACCACAACGGTGAGATCATCGCACAACACATTCTTCCCACAATGCCGCCCAAGTCCACGCGGTCGCGCGCTGCGCCCAAGGTCGAGCCCGTCGTCAATGGCACATCAACAAAACCCAACACGTCCAAAAAGCGCAAGGCCATCGAGGAAGAGCCAAAAGCGCAGAAAGTGACGTCCAAGCGGCAAAAGGGCTTCGATGGCGACCTCGAGGTTGATGCGAAGCGCCCCAAGCCCACAAAAGCCAAGGCGGCGGCAGAAGTCGCTGCTGCGTCCTTCTCGTCGTCCTTCTCGGTGGAACCGGTCGACACCCTCAAGAGCTTCACCTCCGCGCCGCCCGACACCTCAGACCTGCCCGCCATCAGCAATGCGCCCACTGACATCCTGACCGTCTTCGCGTTCGGCACCGGCGACATGAGCGGCGAGCTCGGTCTAGGACCTAAGAAGAAGGAAGCTAAGCGCGCCACCGTCATCCCGAAGCTCGATGGGAGGGACAAGGACGCGTACCGCGTTGTACAGGTCGACTGCGGTGGCATGCACGTTTTAGCTTTGACCGAAGACAACAAGATCGTATCATGGGGCTGCAACGACAAGGGCGCCCTGGGCAGGGACACCAATTGGGACGGAGGCTTGCGCGACATGGATGCCGAAAAGGCTGGCTCCGACAGCGACTCGGACGACGAGGACGTCAATCCCCTCGAGTCCACCCCTACACACATTCCAGAAAATTCCTTCCCCAAAGGTACCAAGTTCACCTCTGTGGCGGCGGGTGACAGCTCGAGCTTCGCTGTTACCGACACTGGGCTCGTGTACGGCTGGGGAACCTTTCTGGTAAGTTCCAAAAACCCTTATACTCCCCATTGACAAGCTGTTCCGCTTGTTCTGACATACCTGCCATCAACAGGACAGCGAGGCCCACGAGACCTTCCTATACTACAAGGAGGAGACCATAAAGGTGCAACACAAGCCAATCTTGATTCCTGGCCTGCAGAACATCACCAAGGTCGTCTGCGGTTCGAACCACGCCCTCGCACTTGACACTAAGGGAAATGTCTGGTCGTGGGGCGTCAACGAACAGAAACAGGTCGGCCGTCGCACACATCCGCAAAACAAGCATCTCGACAACTACTACCCCGGCAGGCTCGAGCTGAGCCGGCACCCAATCAAGCTCATCGCCGCCGGGCCATACCACTCCTTCGCGGTCGACAAGCTGGACAGGCTCTTCGCCTGGGGCCTCAACAGCTACGGCCAAGCAGGTTACGCCAAAGACGCTGGGAGCGACAACGCCATCCTACCGCACCCGCTGCAGATCCGCTCCGGATCCAAGCAAGGCATCTTGCATATGGACGGCGGTGAGCAGCACTCGACTGCTGTCACCGCGGACGGGCGCTGCTTGGTCTGGGGCCGAATCGACGGAGGACACCTCGGACTCAAGCTGACGGAGGACCAACTCAACAACCCAAAGCTCGTCCGGCGAGACGAGCACAACCGGCCTCGAATCCTTCTCACACCCGTTGCGGTGCCCAACATTGGAAAAGCGGCTTATGTGGCCTGCTCCAGGGGCCACACCGTCTTCGTCAACAAGGAGGGCAAGGCTTATGCGTCCGGCTTCAACGGTCAGATGCAACTCGGTAATGGCAACGACGACGACACAGAGGTGGCTGAGGAAGTCAAGGCCAAGGCGCTCAAGGGCGCCAGGCTTACATGGTGCGGGACCGGTGGGCAGTTCAGCGTTGTTGCGGGCCCATCGGCCGACATTAAAGATGTGGAATAATTGCATAGCATGGCGATGAGGTATCGGGCGGCGACATGACGGTCTGGCGAACAGGGTTGATTTGATTTGTGCTATTTAATGTCTGCATAGATATCTGCATCTTGCATTGCATTATCCGGACGGCGACATGATCAGGTTTTCTGCCCACTTGGGCCTCAAGACAGGGTATCAAATGATATTAGTGTTTCCCTAAGTCCCTGACACCCGAAGGCACAGGACGCACAACTTGGTGAATGTTTAACATAAATGGCGCAATTTATAACACGAATTCGGCACAACTCGATCGCCGATGATCCACGGACACACCATGACCAGTCCTTCATCCGGCCTACCATCTTGAAGGCCTAAGTCCACACGAGGGCGGCACTCCATACGGTTAGTATGAGTATCACGAAGGCTGTGTCCGTTCCAAACTCTGGATACCTCGCCGCTGACACCTGTCACGAGCTCCAGCCGGTCGCCCATGCGGTCTTTGACCTCTTTTGTTCAAGTTCTTCCCACCTCTCCGACTCTGTCTCATCCTCATGCGCCGGTGATGATCGATGTCGGAAGCTTCGTCACCACCGAATACAGAGTCTCCGTCTTCTCTGTAAACCGTCGCCCGCCGGTGCTTATGCAGAGCTACAAGAGTTTTGGCAGGCCGGGCTGGAGGTCGATTACTCGTGGTCGTAATCCTGACCTTACTCGCCCTCCTGCTCGGTCTCCTCTCTTCGAGGTCCACCCAGTAAATCGGCGCGCTCACGAAGACGGTTTTGGCCCTAGGCCGGCGTTCAACGTCGCTGAGTTCAATATAGTTGTCTTTGTGCGGCCGGGCCGATTCGGAGCACATCAAGACAAAGATAACGAACATGGAGACTATCACCGCGCTGGTGACCCCTGCGGCCAATTTCACATCTGCGTCCGTGATGGGCTCGAATTCCACCTCGCTGCTCTTCAGACTCCCCCCCGCGTTCGGGTCGCCCTCGCTCGTGCCACCCGTGTCGTGCGTCAGCGGCGCACGCGGAGGCTGCGCGGCGTTGTCCACCTCCCCTTGCCAGTCACCACGCTTGCCATATGAATCAGCCGGCTCGTCACCGAGCAGAACCATAAGCGCCGACAGGACGTTCATCTCCTGGCCCACTCCGACCGTCCCGTCATATCTGCCAGACGACCAATGCATTCCGCACATGCGCCCGTTGGCCCCACCGCTGCACTGCCGCACCGCCGCCTCGGCCGACGACCTCAGAACGGCCGTGATGCTGTCCCTTGTCCATGGACATAATTGCGCGGTGGCCGCCATCCAGCGCGCGGTGAAGCCCTTGAACGCGAGCATGTCGCCGGTACAGCCGTCTGCAGGGACGTTGGACGCCCTGCCCTCACACGCGGGCTCGAACGCGATTCTCTCGTCGCTCTCGCTGTCCCCAAAGGGCGGGACGAAGAAGGTGCGCAGCATGCTGCCAAGCAGGCCGTCGACCCGATGGGCCCAAACGGCCTCGCCGCCCGTGAAGTCATACATGAAGGCCGCCCCCTGGAGCAGAACGGCGGCGTTGTAGCTGAACTGGGCGCGGTTGATATCGCGGCAGTCGTGCTCGACGTGGGCGCCGTCAAAGACATCGAAGGAGCCGCTGTCGACCAGCCCGACTCGCAGCATCCAGTCAAAGGTCTCGGCCGCGTGGCGCGCGTAGGAACTGTCGCCAGTATACCGCGCCAGGCGCGCCGCGAGGTTGAAGTAGAGGCCGTTGGAGATGGCGTTCTTGTAGCTGTACCCGCCGTTGAGCGCGAAGACCTGCCAGCGCAGCCCGCCGCCGCAGGAGCCGTCGCGGCGGTCCGGGCCGGTCTGCGTGTTGAAGACGGCCTGCGCGAGGGCGAGCCACTGCGGGTCGGCCGGGGGCGGGTTCTGGAAGTTGGACTCGGCGGCCAGCATGGCCGACAGGCCCCAGAAGGACTGGTCGTCGTTGCCGATGAAGGCGGTGACGTTGGGCTCCATGTAGTTCCTGTCCGGGCCGATCTGGGAGAGCAGCGAGGCCTGCACGACGTCGTTGTAGGTGCTGTCGTCTGTGTACTTCCAGTACTCGACCATCGTGCCCCACAGGGCGCCGGCTTCCCACCAGACGTAGTCGTGACGTTCGGGCCCGGGGCCGGAGAGGATGCCTGGGGTGTGACCCGGCTCTTGCCCATGGTAGAAGCTCATCACGTCTTTTGCCTTGAGTGCAGCGGCGGATTTGATGGATTCTGAGATGAGTTAGAATCAATATCTGGTGCCTCAGAAGGAGCTGGTCTGAGTTCTTACCTCTTGAGTCGAAGTCGACATGCATTCCGGCACTTGCTGTGCCCATAAGGGCAAGAGTCGAGGCGGGTAGTCTCATAGTGATCCTCGTGGAATGCCCAATTTACGAGAAAGCTTCTCAAGGTTCGCAAGTCTTTTCTCGGAGTTGTCTTCTATGTTCCTCAGTCCGGAGTGGACGAACTGTGGCATAGACTTCTGGACGTTCTCGATTCTTTCTCCGGCCTTTTCCACTATATTTCTCTTCCCGGCTTCGATGAGTGCCGGTATAGATGTGCCTGGCTGTGCGTACTCGATCGCACACTGTAGAGCTATAGTTCCGATGAGGTCTGCGGCGATGTATCGCAGACAGAACGAAGCGCGCTCACGAAAGATTCTTGCTTGCGGAGCCGGAATGAAGTTGGGAGGTGGCTTCGACACTACCGCTTGCTTGTGCCGGAATATTGTTCGATAGAGATTTCTGAGTGCAGTCATACTTGGAGAGAGAGAGAGAGAGAGAGAGAGAGAGAGAGAGACAGTGTATGTGTGTGTGTGTGTGTGTTTTGGGGTTTGTGAGCTTGAGGTCTGGTTCGGAGCTCTCGTACGATGACTGTGTTAAAAAAATAAGAATGAAATCGGGGATGGCTACATTTGAATATTTGGTTATGTAGTGAAATTGACCCGAAATCTAAGCAATTCAAGTTCTGCAAGATAGAGACAATTTACTGTGGCCGGTGCAATGACGCCGCGTAAAACTTGCCGTTTGGAATCTCAGCATAGTCCTCATTCTGCCCACGATAGTTGGTCCCATGATACAAATTAGCGTCACACTGAAAGTTACTAGCATCTTGAAGGCGTGATGTACTGGAGAGAAGTGTTCCAGTATTTTATAATACTCTGAGTCATTTAACATTTGTTAGATACTGCTGTGGCTGCAGCCCCCAAGGCGTATACCACTGGAATTGGTCATCCAATCCACACCCTTTGTCTGGCTAACTTATTCACCAAAACAGCTGGTGTTCTCCAAAGATCCCGGTGACCTCTGAACCAAGATGAGAAGGGAAAATACTTCACAAAGACCTCCTCTGTCTCGCCTCGGTCGAAAATTTATTTCCCAGGAATCACACAATCCATTTTGCAGTTTTGAGGCGACATACTCTCTATACTGGTCAGCCACATGTGATGATGTTGAACGCAGGGCGGCTATCGGTGCCCGGAAGGTCAAAGGGGCAACCGGTTGTCTGTGCCAACGCGCGGGTCTATGCTTCGGTTGAGTATCCGTTCTCGTAGATTACTTTTCTTATGAAAGCACTTCGTTGTCAAAGACATGATTGAAATGAAAGTAGTATTGTTTGCTTCTAGTTACGGTTCAGAGTGTGTTTTGGTGACTGTTCAGTTGGACGGTTCGACCCACAAATTTAAGATTTAACCTTACTTGCCTGCGTGGAGCCCAATATTCAATCAGGGGCACAGCAGGAGCGATGGAGGAGCCAAAAATAAAACGCTGACAACCCAATCCGCCTGCCAGTAGAAGGATGATGCACTGTCGGCTAATTGAAGAAGAGGCGGCTGATGGGGTGCATTAGTGCAGTGTGCATTATTCTTAATTTCGCAACCAGATGCTACCTAGGTAGTGTGGACCTAGGTAGTGTGGACCTAGCTGTGCGGCGTGGTTGTGTCTGGGCATGGCACTGGGCTTAGGCTTGCAATTGGCCAGTGACTCAGGTGGCCTTGGGAAACAATGGCACAATCCGTTGAATGTCTTGTTAGCTGACAGCTAGAGCCATGCGCACTGAGACTGTAAACAAAGTTAAGGTTCAGCCGGAGACTCGGCAAACGAGTCGAACGCTGTCTCGAATGTGAACCAACCGTACATTCACCTCAGAATGTGTGGCCATGCCGTGGCACGCCAAGGCGCCTAGACAACAATGTAAGGTGGCCACTAAAACATGGGGTGAATCCTAATGCACAAAACCGACCCCGTATTGCAGGTGGCGCTTCGCTCTTTCCGGCACAACCGCCTGTCACTTCCACTTTTATCTTCCAACGTCATCCCTCCAATTTAAATCCTGTCTTTGTAAATCCTGTCTTTGAACCTCGTCCCAGCGACAACGCGGAAAGATACGGCGACTGCATGGGCAACGACTCTTGGGCCCTCATCAGCATTGGTTATGCATAAGCGTACCCTCAACTCAGCTTGTAGACATGCGGATAACTTCGTCATGTCGCTCTGCAGCATGGAACCCTCGGTCAAGGGCTTCCTCCTGCGTCGGCGCGCCATCATCGGCCTGCTTGGCCTCCTGCTCAGCATTTGGACGGTCCGATGGCTGATGCCAAATGACGGAAGGCCGTTTTGGATGAGTGAGGATGCACACATCCCCAGCAGCAGCACCACCAGCAGCAGCAGCAGCAGCAGCAACAACAAAGAAACCATGGACGGCAAACAACACACCGCACAGGCGTCATCTCGGCCGTCAGCTGTCGCCCACCAAAACCCTGACTACCGCGTGGACCTGTCAGACCCGGATGCACCCTACATAGGCTGGCCACTGAAGAGGTTGTGTGAGGAGGTCGAGCCCGTGGAGGGCGTGGTATGGGTCTGCGACAAGAACTGGGGCGGCATGGGCAACATCCGGAATTTCATACTCAACTGCCTGAGATACGGAATCGAAGCGGGTGCCACAGGGCTGGTCATGCCCGAGATACACCTGCGCGATGAGGAGGACATCACCGACTACATCACGCCCCTCAAGGCGCCCCTGGGCTACATGTTCGATGAGGCACACTTCCGCACCGCGATGGGCGACAACTGCCCGCACATCACGCTCTACAACTCGACGCGCGACGTGCCTTACTTTGACGCTAATGCCACTACCACCGCCACCGGCGAGCTGGCCATCCCCGAGGTGGACCCGCGCTCGCTCGTACACACGCCGCAGAAGTGCGACGCCGCGGAGCCAGACCGCCACGTCGACCGCTTCGGCGAGAGATTCCGCGCCTACATGCGCACCGGTACTACTAACGGCACAACAGGTGTGACGACGCTGTTGCAGCCCCCGTCACCTACCACGCCCCGGCTGTTCCGCATGGTCGACAAGGACAGGCGGCCCGCGCTGCCGGTCATGTGGGCCTGGCCTGTGCACCGCGACGGGGCCGAGCTCGCAAACACCTTCGGCATGCTACTCAAGTTCAACCCGCGGCTTATGAGGCTGGGGAAGCGGGCGCTGGAGGGGATGCACGAGTTCTCGAGGACGATCGGAGACGAGGAAGAGGAATTCGTCAAGCGTGGCGGCCGCGACGACGACGACGGCCGAGAGGGCAAGTTTCTGGGCGTGCACCTGCGCTCCGAGATCGACGCCGAGAAGTTCTGGCCGACGTACGCGGAGCAGCGGGAGGCGTACCTGCGCAAGGCGGCCGAGAAGAGCCTGACCTCTGTCGCGTACGTGGCGTGCGGCGACGCGGGCCAGATCGCGAGGTTCGGGCGCGACGCGCAGGCGCAGCTGGGCATGACGGTCGTCAGCAAGACGGACGTGCTGGCCGGGGCGGACCTGGCGGAGCTGGAGAGCCTGACGTGGGACCAGCAGGCGATCGTGGACTTCATCGTGCTGGCGGGGAGCGACTACTTCGTGGGCAACTCGCGGAGCAGCTTCTCGATATTCCTGGCGCAGAGGCGGCACCTGCAGACGGACGGGCTGTACACGCGGCAGTACAAGGTGCGCTCCGAAGGGTTCGGGCGGAGCTTTGTCGTCGGGCCCAAGGAGCTCTATTTTGATCACTGGCTGTTTATCTGGGATGCTGCATGGCCTTGAGATTGTGGCGCGTTAGGCGTTGAGGGTTCCTTGCCTTTACAGTATTTTGTTAGCCTCATAGATACCTAAGTAGAATCCGACTAGAGAATCATGGTCTCATTGCGCAGACAAATACCTAATTTGTACAGAACTGTTTTCGATGTCTCTCCATGTCTTGCCCTGATTTGGCTCAGTCAAAGCTGTCACTGCTCATGCGTCACTCATAAGCTGAGAAAGACATGACTAGCAACAATATTTTTTCTCCTAGTATCCCTTTATGGGCTGGAAGACTTGTCAATGTTGTCATGGCAATAGCCACTGGCTTCCGCACTGACATGGATGCCATGCCGCCACAGCCCAACGCACGGAGTCACCCTCGCGATGTTAGAATACTCCATGGATTATCTACTCGGTTAAGATAGCCAAAGACCCGGCCCGCGGCCAAGCCGGAACAACACCTTTAAAATCGGAGCAAAGTGGCTACGACTACGGCCTTGAACCCCGCGCCGACGCGTCCCACCCCTTCCGGTATATCCCCGAGTCTCGCGTGTTGGGGATGGCGTCCTCCACTTTCCGGAACCGTCAACAAATCCAATCTGAGCCGCTTGAACAGCCAAACCCACTGAGAAAACAATTCCCAGGCCAATCTCAGGAATTTCCATAGGGGAAGGAAAAGCGAAATGGACACCAACGAGACGCAGCGCGCCGTCCTCGCGGCGCTGTACCGCAAGATGATAGACGCCAGCCACATCCTGCACCAACAAGGCGTGCTGGACGCCTACGGGCACCTCTCGGCGCGGCACCCCTTCAACCCCGACGTCTTGATCATGTCGCGGTCCATAGCCCCAGGCACCATCTCGAGCGCGGAGGACCTGATCGGGTACCACGTGCGCGACGCGGAGCCCCTGGACCCGGGCTCCGCGAAGGGCTTCGCCGAGCGGCACATCCACTCCGAGGTGTACCGCCGGCACCCACGTGTCAATGCCGTGGTGCACAGCCACGCCGAGAGCGTCATCCCGTACACGATCTCGGGGGTGCCGCTGCGTCCCTGCTACCACATGGGCGGGTTTCTGGGCCTGGGGGCCAAGGGTTGGCCGGAGGTGTACGATGCGGCTGAGCACTTGGTGGAGGGGGACGTGCCGGACATGCTGGTGCGCAATGCCCACCTCGGGGAGCCGCTGGCGGCGTGCTTTGATGGCGGGGCTGTGGTCGCTCTCATGAGGGGTCACGGGCTGACCGTTGTTGCGGGTGGGGTTGAGGAGGTCGTGTCGCGGTCTGTGTATACCATGAAGAACGCGAGTATACAGACGGCTGCCTTGACGATGCAGTCGGCGTTCGCGGCCCAGGGCGGTGCTTCGAGGCCTGGCGGCTTGGAGTTCCTCGACGAAAGCGAGTCCAAGGCTGCGACGGGAATGGCTCAGTGGTCTGCCCAGAGACCTTGGAAGCTGTGGGTCAGGGAAGTGGAGGCGGGCGGGCTTTATTTGAACTCTGCTTGAATGGAATAGATGCAGACGCACCACCGCCCCGGAAGAGGCATCATGTCGAGTCTGGATTCTATGACAAAGTCTACTGCGCCTTTGGTGTTTTCGCCTGTTTCTGCAGCAGCACATCCCCTCCTCGGATAGCATGGTACAAACCCAACAGCCCTCGTGTCGGCCACGTCGACTTCACCCTCCCCTTCAGCCTGGCCTTCGCCGAGGCACGCTGTGCGGCCTCCTCAGCATCGAGATCGACTTTGACACTAACCTTTTCATACACACTGGGCAGATAGTTTGCACCGTACTTGGCCCGAACGATGTCATACGACTCCCTGTCGTAGACAGACCAGAAATCCTCTTCAGTGTAATACGTGTGAGCGTATAGAGTCTTCCACCCATCCAGCTCGCGCACCTTCGCCTCCAACGCCTTGTTCTTGTTGAGGACGTCTCGGCGATTCCAGGAGATGAGGCCCCACACGCCAAAGTTCAGCAGGTCGGAGTAGTCCCGCTTTCCCATCGCCGCGTGGATCCCATGACATGACCCGGGTGAGTCTCGACGTGCCTTCAGAGGACATAGCCAGAGAGGGTAGAGGCCAACGTTCTCATCCAGCCACGTCTTGAACTCGCTGCATTTCTGGTAAGGTATACCACAGTCCTGTATCATATAGTGATATGAGAAGTCGGTCTTGGCTTGTGCCTGGTTGATGACTCGCGTGTACATAAATGGATCAAGGATGTAGCGGGTGACACGGTTGAAAGGAACTTTGAAGTACTGGAAGGCCTGCCGGCCGGTCCAGAACCCACCTCGGTCGTAGCGAAAGAGGTAGTCCCAAATTGGTATGTAGTCTGTGACGGCACTCTCTGAGGATTTCAAAAGCTGGTTGTGGGCATCTTGTGCCCGGAGGTAGAACCACGGATCGCCTCTGCGCGTGAAGGGTCGCGGCTTGTGTCCCGAAGGCAAGTCGTCAACCATGCGGCCGCAGCATATCACCGATGATTCTGGTGTGAACGTTATGCCGTCAATGTAGTCATTGTCGATGTTGTCCGTCTCCTCCTTGATCTTCGCCAGTGTGTTGTCGAACCCCTTCGTCAGGTGGTATGTCAGGGCCACATATTTCTTGGCATCCATGAGCTGGACCTCCAGCAGAGTCACCACACCGACCGTCCCAAAGGCTGAAGCCGCACCCCAGAAGAGGTCTTGCTTCTCAGAATTGGAGGCCGTGGCCACTTCACCAGTGGGAAGAACAATCTCAATCCCGTTGATGGTCGCCTCGAACAGGCCGAAGCGGAACGAGCTGCTCTCGCCGGAAGACCCGGAAAAGCCACCACCGACCGTGATGCTGGGAAGCTCCATCACAACCTGAGGAACCAGGCCTTCCTTCAAAGTTGCCGTGACTAGCGCATCCATTGGGACGTTTGGCTCGACTGATGCTGTCTTCTTCGTCTTGTCGATGGAGAGGACATTGTTGAGCGAGCTGGTGTCCACGATATTGTCTCTGTTCCTGTCTGACGGCCGCGTGCTGAGACTCGAGCCGTGGTAGTTTCGGAAGGGCTTCTGTTCCTTGTGGAAATGCTTTACTCTCTCGGCGACTGCTGCCACCGCGGCGTCGTGTGCTTCCATGATGGCGGTCGATTACTCATTGATTTAGAGCCTTACCAATCCCGTTCGGAAGCGCAGGCAATAGCAGTTCAGTCCAGAACCAAATGCAACTCGTCGGTATGAAGTATGTGTTATGTAGTATTTAAATGTGCGAACCTGCAACGATGGGACCCCACACGGCCGTGACTTGAGGAGTGAACAAGTGTATGGACTGATGGTGGAGAAGTGAGGTCGAAATAAGGTTTGGTGCAGCACAAGGGCGGACCCGCCTCCCAGCCTCGCTCTATCCCTGAAGCTGACAACACTGAACCCTGGCCACGTCGATCCGCTGTTCGACACGTATTTAGTCAGTCTTATTTGATCATCACATGTACCAAAGAAGCTCGATAGTGTGCGAGCAAAATTCAGAACTCCAATCCCGTGTCTTCATTGGCATGGAGATAGAATATCGTTGCTCACTTCTTCAAGCAATCCTTACCTAACGTGCGTGCGCATACAACTCGGCCTCCATAGCTATTATGCAGTGGCTCAGAACTTGCGGTCATGCAATGATCGACGAGAAAGAAATATCACTGGAGAGGTCGGCATGAAAGTCACATGCACTCCAAGTGGGTTGCGAAATCGGTATGTATTCCGCAGGACACCTAGGTATGTTCACTGCCTGGTATCTAGTCTTCTTAAAATTGTTCAGCTCTGTGTTTGTAGAGCGACCAGCGTAAGAAGACATCTGGAGTAAAAGTGCCTGAACCTATGCCCAAGTCATGTTGACAGAGCCCCCCCCCCCAGGCACTAGGTCCTCCTCGGTGTGCTCAATCGCCATGATACTCTCGCTACGCAGTCCTCCACCCCGCACCCCAAGCCCCCTTTTCCATTCCCCGGTCATGTCTGAGGCCGAGGTTTGACTGCTTTCCAATGACTTCCGGCCACGCTTTTAGACCTCCTCACTGTTTTTGGTGTCTCAGCTTCTCAGCCCGCTCTCTCACCCGCCTTTGACCCGCCTCCGATAGCTGGCCAGGTCTGATCTTCGCAGGTATTCCCCTCTCGAGATCATGCGCCTTCCACATGCTCTTCAGGGTTGCTTCCATGTTTGAGAGCTCGTCGAACCTCTCCTGTTCCGCCTGCCGTTCTCTCCTCTTCGCCTCCTCACGCTCCTCACGCTCCTCACGCTCTCTGATGTTGCGGCGCTCCTCGACAGCCTCCCGCTCTCGGTCGCAATCTTGCCACATCTTGTGAAGGCTGGACTGGACCGTGAATCGGTAGTTTTGCTCTCGTATCTCAGCCTCGCGAGCTTGCTTCTCCTCTTTTTGGATTCGTGCTTGCTCTTCGGCCTTCTGGATGTCCCTGATGGTAGCACGCTCCAGGTCCATGTTCCGCTGCATAGTTCGCAGGCCCGCCTCGAGCTCTGCTAGCTCGCTTGCAGGGTTCTCGTCATCGATTTTGGTGAGATGAGATTGTTTGGTGAGACGAGAGTGGGTGATGAGATGAGACGGGTTGGTGAGTTGATAGCGATTGTTCCGATGGAAGGGTCGAGGGTTTATCTGGGATGTGTGTTGATCTGGACAGCCCTCGCCTTCGGCCATGCCCATTTCAGGAATCCGCAACCGCTTTCCACCACCGTTGGTTTCGTCACTGTCGTCACCAACGTCTGCAAACGCCCGTTTCTGAAAATTGTTAGTTTCCCCTGTAGCTGACATCACACGGTGTCACTATTGGGCTTACTCGGCAACGCTGCGATGTTTCAGCTCGAACTGCAGGCCTGTTGACACTGCCTTGCCACCTGTCCCCCGCCTTTTGCTCAAGACATGTCGCCTCATTGGTGAAGGTGGATTCGGCCGTTGTTGTGGTGGGTGTCTGCCATCTGCCCCTTGCCTTTGCCTCCAGCCACGTGGCCGTATGGTTGGAGATGGGCTTGGTCTTTGTTCTAGTGGGTGCCGTCTGCTCGTCGTCATTGATCACGATGGGCTTGTCGTAGCAGCAGCCAGGACGGGCATACTGTCGGGCAGATGTTTGCTGGTGACGCATTTTGGTTTGGTCGCTGGTCGACGCTGGTGATCGCTGCGGTCTGAGGACAATTGTGATCAGAGGAGCCACGAGACGACAGTGACTTTCAGGTTGTTGATTTGTTTGTTCGGTTGGTTGGTGAGGAAGACTGGAGGGTAGGTCTGAGATGAGATGTGTCTGTTGGCAGTGTTGTGTTGAGGAAAATGATGGATTGCCGTTGGCCAGAAGGATTAGGCACAGCTTGGTGACAGCAGTTCTGCAACAACAGACCAGAGTGGTTGTCGGAAGGAAGAAAGAAAGAGGTTGACGTTGGGAGGGGAGATGCCCTTTTATGTTATTTTGGGCAACTGCCGGCAGGCTGACTAGGGCCGGTCGTCTATGCGCAGGACTGTCTGAAGCTATTCTAGCCTGCCGAGAATCTAATATTGGATAGTCAACGTTTGTAATAGTGATGTCAAGTACTGCTGCAAACGATCGAGTCTTCGTGCCGTTGCCTTGATCGTGGCTGAAGCTCATCCTCTTCTTCCTCCTCAGAATAGGTTGAACTACTGAGACAGTGCTGCCCCACCAATACCCCTGCTAGATGTGAATTGAAATAATGGCAAAATATTCTTGGGCTACTAGTTTCTGATTGCGAATTCACTTTTGAAGGGTCCTTGCTCAACGGGTGACCAACGAGGTGCATGGGTGATGGGCCAGGCAGGCAAGTAGACCTTTAGGAAAAGTCGAAGCTGACTTACGGTAGGTATACGACGGAGTATCTACGTCTTCAATTTGCAAACGAAGGATGATTCTGAATTATATTGAGAGATTGAACCACCAAGGGGTCTCAATAGCTAGAAAACCAGCTCACGCATGATAGAAGGGTCTGTTTTTTTTTCTGCCGATCTCTTGCAGTTGAGTCTATATAAGTGTATCTGTAGAGCAGTATCAATACTACACGGGAGGAGCCTCAATGAGAGACAGTTTTTGTGTCGCTTTGATGATCGTTGGCTGCAACCTTCGAAGCGGAAGGCATTTATCTAACAAGCTTCGCTTGCCTTGCCGTCCTGCTCTACTGCACAAGTCGGTCACACAAATGAGAAGGGGTCATACCTCAACAACGACCAGTCCAGAAACTTCGATTTTGGGAAATCTTTTGTCACGAGGGAATCTTCGTGGTTGACTTATTGTGCAAGATCGCCTTAGTGAGAGCCTTTCCAGGCATGGCCAACCAGTATTTGGCACACACCTGGGTTCCTTCTCTTACTCAATAAACACTGCACATCATGGTAATTTTTCGAAATATGAACTTGATAGGTCACACAATATGTCGGCGTTTTGGAAGACACTCAAAGCTGGACCCAGCAGGTCTGACCTTTTACATCTAGATATATACCATAATGACTGAGTCATCTATGATGGTCTTACAAATTGCTTGCATACATGGGTGTTGGTAAGATGTTGCCTCTGCATTCGATATCACAAGCGGGAAAATTGTTTGCATGCAAACACTTTCTGTTGGAATCGTTCTATGTTCAGCTTATGAGGCTCCCATCGGCGCCATCGATCTCAAAGGCTACCCAGAAAATACACGAGAGGGAACCCTTCTTTGGATGTCGTGGATCTCAGTAAGATACCTAAACGAAGACTTGCGCAACTACCAGGCTGACTCTTAGTATCTACAGGTGTATTTCAGTTGCCCCAGGAGACCAGTACCCTGAACGAGTGCAAGCGGAGAGTTCAACACTGGACCGGCTTTGAAGTATCCCCTGAGCAACTTGGCCAGACTTTTGTGGCCATTCACAATGGATGTTCGAGCCCTGGGACGCGTACTGGCGACGACGCTCCTTGAGACGAGTTTCTGAAAAAGATTTGTCAGCGGGCGACATACAAAATGGGAAGGCTTTTGCGGTGTGTGCTTTGCGAGAGGGTGATCGGAACGGACGATGAATGGAAGATGCGATGGTTGCACGTGCACTACCTAGCAAGTACTAGGTAATGAAACACAATTTTGGCACCCTTGAATATCTTTCCGCCGAAATCTTAAGCACAGTCTTGCACTAATCCATCGTTTGATACAAAGTTGGCAATGCACAAATTCCCGCTTCATCTTCGTGAGGGTGACACGAAACGGAAGAGGATTCCAAGTATCGCGATGCACTCATGTCAAAGACAGATCGGATCGAGGAGCAGTTTGTGGCTTTGGCAAAACAGTTGGCGCTGGCAAAGGTCAAACAACAGCAGGGAGAACAACACGACATGCAGGACAGTCATAGCCACCGAACTATCCAACCCTGCCAGAGGGCCAACACCCGATGGACATATATGAGACGGTTTGAAACTGGGGATTTCTTCAACATGTGCACCTGAGCCTGTGGTAGGCCTCACACTGAATATTTTGGACGAGCACGCACCAAGATCGATGTTGTATGCATATATAATGGTTTTTAATAGTAACGATGGAGACATCTAAAGCTACCTAGGTATGTACGGATCGTTAAGACCGCCAGAGGCTTTCAGTGTCGTATAGTCTAATTATACGGGAGGAAGGGGGCTAATTTGGGAACCCTCTGTTCGTGCTGCCGGCTTTGAGCCAAGCACCCTCCGCTCCAACCTTTAATCGAATTCGTAGTGTTCCCAGGTATCCACGTGTATCCATTAACATTCTCTCTGCTCCAGTTTTCCGGCTGTCCTGATCACTCCGTCCCGGCCCCGCTCCCGCTCCACACTAACATCATACTCAACCTGCCAGTCGTCGCTCGTAAGAAGCTCATCCTGATGGGTAACTATGAATCGTGCCCAAAAAGCTGCAACTAGGCGGGCTTGCAATAATTAGCAGGAAAGCTTCCTTTCCTGCCAGCAAGCTCGCCAGTCCACCAGTCCTGGTCGGTCTGCGTCTTCTTGATGATTTTAATCCTGTCGCCCTCCCGAAAAGACAAGTCGCCGGCGCCCTGGCCCGCGAAATCGTACTGCGCAATCACGTACTCCTCTGGCTTGCCACTGCCTATTCGCTTCGGTGGGGGCGGTGGGGGTGGCTTTTTCTTGGCCGCAATGCTGGTTTGCGAGAAATTCGACGCGATCGTGGAAGCTGGAGAGGGTGGGTTGCGGCTTCCGAAATAGTCACCTGCAGACGTTTGGCGAAGCTGGGACGGAGAGACCTGTCCAGACGACCTGCCCAGATCACTCGCGGTCGTGAAGTCTGTAGGCTTCAAGAGCCCACCATAGTTGGAGTTCTTGACGTCGGGCCTTGGGCCAAAGTTAGGGCTAGGCTGTGGCGAAGGTGTCGGCGACGTCGCAGGAGCAGCCGAGTTGGACGACGTTATTCGTGGCCGGCCCCCATTGGCACTAGGTATTAGGCTCGATGACGCGCGGCGCATGCCGGGTTCCGGTGGAGGAGCTGAGAGCTGCCGGCCGAGCGGAGCGCCATCGTTCGATAGGTTCAGAGGCTCCCTGATGCCTCTGCCCCGGGCAATCATAGAGATCAATTCCACGTCACGCTTCCCAGGCTCAAAGGCTTGGGCCCATGCCTCAATCACGTCGTCCATTGGCGGTGCTGGGGACGGGAAGCCATTCTCTTCACAGTATCCATGTAAGACAGTATAATATAAGCCGAGGAGCCGGTTCTGGATGACAATGTGCGCAGCCAAAAGAGGAGGCACGAGGCTGAATGTAGCCTGGATTATGGGGGGCAAGGTCTCTCGCAGGTGGTGATCGGCGATTTCAAACTCCTGGTGACACAGGTTAGATGGTGTTTAGCAGTCATTCCGCGTAGCGTTGTCTCTCACCTCGGACAGGGTTGCCAGTTCGTCCTCGGCTTTTGCCAATTGAGCATCCTCCTTGGGCGTCCGGGTTGCCTTGCGGTGAAGTTTGTGGACCTTGTCCTGGGTCTTCTCAACATCGAAGCGCTTGTCCTCCCTCTTCTTGATGGTCTTTCGTATGGGGGCGATGTTTTGGCGGGCGTTGTTGGCAGGCGCAATGATTCGCGACTCGATCGAGGTGATGTCCTCGGTGAGCTCTGTCCTCAGGTCCGAGTAGACGTCCTTAAGTGCGAAGGTCCTGTGGAGCTGGAGCTCTGGGGTGATGGCAGTCTGGCGACCGTGGCCGTCGGATGCGCCAACTATAGGGTCGTAGAGGCTCGCATAGACGTTGGCGATCTCGAGCTGCGAGTTAACTAGGGTAAACCATGACTCTTGCCAGGATTTTGCGCTTTCGATGAGCTGGAAGCCCTGTATGTTAGCCTGGGTTGTGGTGCCCTGGGAGGGTAAGCAAACGAGGATGGGAAAGTGCTCGCCTTCGCCAGAATGCGATCTGCATCCTCGTAGTCGTTCAACAAGACCGAGACTTTGGCATTGTCGCCTGGGTTCTTGCTGAGGAGCCTGCCGAATTTCCTCTGCACGGACTGCATCTTTGGCCAGGTTGCTGATGCTATCGACGCTCTTGGGTGGGTGCTGTGAGGGGAAGGTATCCAACGCGATCATCAGGCTGCCCACAAGCTACCGCGAGAAGTGGTGAAGAGGCGATGCAGAGCCGCAGGCAAAGGGGCTCAACAGGACGCTGTAAAGTGAGAGCAGCACGGACCACCGTTAAATTAGTGACATCAGAGTTGCACGAGAAGGAGGCGCAGCTGAGATTAGAGCAGATTAGGCATTGAATGGCTTCCCATCCGAGAACGGGCACAGCACGAGGTGGCAGGAAAAGAGTGATGTCGTCCCAGTCATGGGCGATTAAGTTTGGGGCATGGTCAGATGTTATTTATTATTGCAGCAGAGGAAGCGAAGCCGGGCCTGATATTGAGAAGGTGGGGTGGGACGGAAAGACGGGAGCTAGGCCAAGGCAGCAAAGAGGCAGGCGATCTGGGAGGGGTCAGACCCGAGTGACAGCTACCTGGGCATTTCAGGCAAGCTCGCCTTGTTGCAGTCAGCCCCCAGGTCTGGGCTCAATTCAGGATCGCTTGTGGACAGATAATTGGGAGACGGTTTGAGTTTATTATGCACTAGAATGTTGGACTGAATCAAGGAGCGAGATCCACTTCCCCGTGCTCATTTGAAAGATGATGCACGCGGGCACAGTCCATCCGGTGGAGATCCGAGAGGACAAGTTGACCCCGCCTCAGACTGTTCTGGTTGGGGAAGGCGGCCTGAAACATTGCTTGAACCCAGACCCCAAGCCGTCCCCAAAGATTCTGAGCGAGCAGCAGTCACCTGACATCGCGGCCATCTTTACTGGACGCGTCTCGATCCAATCCCACCTTGCACCCCATCAAGACGCGTCTATCCACCTGCCTCTCTCTCGGCCACCACCCTGGCATATCCCCAACACGTCGGTGGCACATGGAATATGGGAGCCTTCACAGCGCTTATAGAACTTGGGTTGTGTATTGGCATTTCAATATTTTCCTCGAGTGACTCTGCCCGGCCTGCCTGCAGTCGCCATGTCAGGCTCTGCGCCGTCAACCGCCACCGTACTCGAGTTCCGCTGTCTCTTCACTCATGACCTGCGCCGCAAGCAGAAAAGGTGGCAAGATGGACGACTCAAGTATCACTCCTTCAATGCACGTGTCATGGTCTATGACGAACGTGGGAACTCGGTTGGGGACATGCACTGGCACGGCGAATACGACTTTGGCGAGGGCGAGGAGGTCCAACTTGATCGTGGTGGCGTCATTGTCCAAGTTGAGGAACTCGTGGAACGTAAGGAGACCGACTTGACTGAGCTTGTCGACAAGCGACTCCAGGAAAAGCAGCAGCGCCAGATACAGCAGCTGGCCCGGTCAGCGGCCCTTAGTGCTGTGCTGCCCCGTTCCCTGCCCCCGGCCTCCAGCTATTCCTTTGGACCGTGTTCAGCCGCAGCGACATCGACCGCTTCACAATGTCATTGGAACCCCGACTGGCCACCATGGAAAGGCTTTGGTTCCCAAGGAGTCTCCCTATGAACAGAGGCAGGAGGCTGCTGAATCCCCGGATGACCGAGCCGCCAAGAAGAGGAGGTACGACGATCCTCCTCCGAGCAAGAGCGGGTATGCATCGGCATTATTCGGGCAAACCCTAACGCTCAGTGCCACGCCTTCGAGTTCCGTCCCTGCCATTCGTCGGCCGAGGCCTGAAGCAAGATCAGATCCACCAACGGAGGCTGATGCTCGAGATGCTCGGGGAGACCCAAAGCCAGCAAGGCGTGAGCAGCCACAATCGTCTCGGCGTCTCAATCAGAGTGGCTATGCACAATCCCTCTTCGGCCAAACCTTGACCCTGAGCCACACCCCCGTGAGCTCTGTGCCGTCGTTGCCCCAGCCACATAATGAGCCGGCCTCGAGTCCAGTGGTCGATAACGATAGACAAGACCCTCGGGATACAGCGCGACCAGTACCACCGCAACATCCCAGTGAGCCTCGTCATCTTGGCCAGCCAGGCAGCAAGCCTCGGTCCGCTTTGCTAAGCGCCCAAACCAGCATGGGCAATGGGCTGGCAAAGGGTAGCGCTGATATCGAGTTCTCTAAGGCACATGCCAGTGTGTCTGGACGGAATCACGCAAAAACACTGTGCGAACGATTCCAGAGAGCATTGAAATCATCGAGATAGATGATCCGGAACCTGCTGCGCCTCCGCTTATCCGAAAACCGAGGACGCAAAAGACCACCCTAGCGAGTCTGCGAAATCCGGAAGAAGATGTGAACAATTCCGACGTGGCGGCGGGGCCTCTTGAAGACTCGGTTCGCTCAAGAAGGCAGCAGAGATTGGAGCCTGGTCGTGGGGACAAAAACAAGAAAGCCAAGAGCCACGACAGAACCAAGAAACACGACATAACTGTATCTAAGGCTAATGTGAGCAATGTCAGCTCTGATCGCAGGCAATCTGAAATTCATGAAAACGTTACGCGTGCCACTGCCGTGACAAAGGACCCAGCACTACCCGTCACAGAGCTGAGGATCAAGTCCAGCAAAAAACGCGGTCTCTTGATGATATCGGACACATCAAAGGCCAAGAAGACGCGCCGACAAGTAGCTGCAGATTCAGCCAGACCTTTTGAGGGGAGTTCAAGGCATCAATCGAGGGACTCTGATGACGACGACCCATTTCACTCTCCATCATCGCGGCCGGCAAACAAGTTTGGGAACGGCCGCGATGTTGGTGAATCGGCCAACAACCCTCCTACGGTATCTAGCCACGTATTGAGCAGCAGCGATGATGACGAGAATTACCCGGATTACCCGATTTTGAATCGCGGTGGACAGTGGGAGAACGAAGAAGCGATGGGCGAGCTCGGGAAGAAGTCCGCGCAGCGCACGATTTCGACTGAACTCGGCGAAGACGACGACCCTTTTAGGTCATCCTCACCGGCAATCCCAGAACAGACGCATGCCAGGCCCAAGCCAGCGACACGGGACAGCGACATGCAACTGGGATATGCGAGACCCGATCGCGTGGAGACCACTGCCCAGAATAGGTCCGATCCTGGCTTGTCCGCCAGAAGTAATGGAAGTCGCGGGCCTGGTGATGCCGTCCAGCCTATGAAGCATACCTCGCTTTCAAGGGCGGGATCTGACCCCTATCGGATCCCATCTTCTCCGCAAGCTTCCAGTCCTGGTGATACATCATCTGCCCAGAGGAAAAGACATGGGAATGACGTTTGTGATGAGATACTCAGGCCAATGGATGACAACAAAAAGCTGAGCAAGGCCAAGAAACAAAGGCATAGTCGAAGAAAAATCATTTCCGACGAGGATAATGAGGACGACACTGAGATGCTGGCTTCACTTCCCAAGAAATCCGATTCCGGCTCTGAGTCTGAAGACGTGGCTGCTTCCAGGCTCAACGAGGGCGCTCGCAAGAAACAAACGAAGTCGAGAAAGGCCACAAGCACAAAGACCAGCGCGCAGGAGGATCCTTCTATGGTCGAATCTGACGATGAACGGCCAAAGAGAGCTGCACGGAAATCCAGAGGTCAGCAAAAGGAACTTGAAAACGGCTCAGACGAGGATGAGCTGCCTATAAAGCGTCGCCAGTCAACGAGACAAAGACGATCTCGAGCCGCATCATATGAAGAGCCCTCGCCTCTGCCGAGTGGACAAGATTGTTCCGAGGAGGAAGAGATTCCGAGGAAACGACGCAAGACCAAGACTTCCAGAGCATCAGAGGATCACCCTCGCCTGGAGAAAATCAAGAAGAATGTCAAAAGCAGAGAGCTTGTCGGCTTCAATCTCGCGGCACTGAACGCACCTCTCGGCCTTAGGGGGATCGGGATGCCATTCAGTATTCTGCCTTCGCCTGTGAACGAGACCGTCCAGGGAACGGTCTCGATTCATGCTGCAGTGGATGAGACTCTGAGCCCGGTGACAGTAAGGGGTGATGATCAGATGTTACCACCCAGTCCCAACCCGCCCGAGGCACCCTTCGAAATGAAAGCTGAGGCACAGCGGAAGAGCTCTACGGCAACATCGAACAGAGAAACACCAGGTCGTGTACTACTTGCTCCCTCTGGATCCCATGTCATCAAGAGAAACACACCTGATGAGAATCTTTTGGGTGAACTTGGCAGGTTGGACGGGCCAGGAGACCCACGGCTTCCAGAGGATCACGCTTCTAAGAAGTTAGATGCGCCAGCAGCCAACTCACAAAGCTCTGGACCAGTTGACAAGGACCAAGTCCCCGTCCAGGACGCTTCGTCATCGAAACAGAGAAGGGCATCGCGTCAGCAGCCCGGCCCCAGCAAGCCGAAGCTGGCAGCACAACAACATGATGCCGCCGCCCTGATGCTACGGGACAGTGCGACTGGGACCTCTTCCAAACACTCGCTTCCGAGCCTGAACCATCCTGTGCAAGAAAAGTCCGCAACTCTTCCCAGGCAATCATCGACAGGGGTGAATGACGCGATGCCCGAGGACCTAGCGCCAGAAGTCCCCACGAAGACAGTGACAGGAGCTCAACCGTCGCCTGCGCCCGCTCCTGCTACGAAGCCCTCAATCCACATTAGAGCTTCCCTTGAAGACAGACCTCATGCAAATAACCAGCAACCGTCGAGAACTGTCCAGGCGACAGGTGACAAGACAAAAGGCGCCACAGAAGCAATTCCAGCAGAGAACATTACAGCGGATCCTTGTGCCGATAGAACACCCAAACAACAAGCAGCTACGCCGCTCAACCAGCAGAAGCCAGGTATTAGGAAGCAGCCGTCTACACTTGGACGTGCACATGCGTCAAACACGGTTGAAAGCAATCCGACTGTCCCAACAGGTGCTCCCATCATCCCATCGGCAACAGACAAACCTGAATCAACCTTGAACCGGCACTCATTGAACACTGGTGACCAAAACTCTGCGACAGTTGAAAAGGCGGCGGATAACCCAGAGTCCGACACAGCATCCGATCTCCCCGTCCCTCAATCAAAGGTCATCGGCCTACGCCGTGAATTCTCAGCTCCACGACGTATCAACAACATTGCCGCAAAATTAGCGGCCCAAGCTGAAACGAGTGAAACTTCGTCAACAGACGTACATACGAAGCCGGCCTCTAACGCGCGCCTGGCCAACCCGGCGTCTCGAGGCCGCAAAGCAGCACTGGCGTCACATGCAGCAGGACAAGTTCCGCAACGTGTACTTCCGCCCACCCAGCCTGCCTTGATGGTTCCAATTTCTACGGCAGACCTGGCGATGACTCCGATCGAGCAGGCTCCGAAGGAACCTGAGCGGCCCAAGAAGAAAATGACGTTCCCTGGATTTCAGTCCGCTAGGAGCGATGGGCCTTGGAGTAGAGAAGCTTTCGATTTGCTCGAGAGTGGCAGGCCTGATTGAGAGGACGATTACCTTTGGCGGTACTCATTATGTCATCATTTGTTCTGCAGAAAGCTCCGATGGATCTAGATATTGCAGTATATACATGTATTGGGAATCGAAGGGTGCTTCCATGGGACTGGCGACTGGGCCTCGGAGTACGTAGCTGACGAGCTACACTTGGACGAAAACATGAGCACCTTTATCGCTACAATGGACTCAAGGACCGTTGTGTTTGCCCGACTTGGTCGAGGCTGTGCCACAACTTTTCTTCAGTCCGTCTCGCCTAGTCCCTCACACCAACTTCCCAGGTCCTTGCTCATGTTTTCTCCTCCAGGTCTCGTACTGGTTCCCACCCTCCTCATCACTGCCAGTCAGGATCCCTTCACTGCTAGCATCAGCGTCACTTGCCCTCCACATGGTCATGTGTGTGCTCTTCGTGACCAGAATCCCGCCCTTCTGAACCGAAAGGTCATCCGGAGTCTTCAGAGTGTCACTGCGAGAAGTCACAGTAGTCGACCGCCCGTCCGCCTCGCCAAACTTGCATGCCTCCTTGTCCCTCCCAAAGCTGTGCAGCTGATAATTACCCGCGCCGACAGCACCACCGCTCCCAGCACCACTGCCGCTGCTTTTCCTGCCGCTACGCCTAAATCTGCCGAACCTGACTGCACTGTCCTTTGCTTTTCCCTCCTCGGAAGACGAAGAACCGTCGGACCCCACGAGGCTAACCAGCCAAGGCAGGTGGCGCCGCACGAAGGGCTTCAACATCGCGAGGCAGTTGCACAGGATACCGATGTTGATCTCCACCGCGGACCAGACCGCGGCCGAGCCCTGCGTGTACAACACGTCAGGGTTGTTGATCATGGCGCGAACGTAGGCAATGCGGACGCATGAGGCTATAACTGCTCTGTTTGGGGGGTTTTTCTTGTTAGCCAGTGTCACTGCCCTTGAATAGAACAACAACGGTAGACGATCGGGCCACCGATCCGAGGGATGGGGGCCAAAAGAGAGAAATGGAACGGGTTGACGCACCCTGACCCAAGCGCGAGGACAAAACCAACGGCAACCTTCTGCTTCCGCGGCATGTTCAGGCCCCACAGCATCACCACAGGCATGAGGACCAGCACCCCATCGGTGGAGATGTTCAGCACGGCCTGCGCGAGCGCGACGTTGTTGAGGCAGGTGCTGCTGCCGACTTCGAGCGGGTTGCAGGGCCCGGAGAGGATGGCGGTGAAGGCGATTGTGTCTTTTTTTGATGCATCGGTGTCAGCTATCTATCTGCTACATGATTTTGCTTCTGGGTGGGCTTGTGGCAAGCCACTGTGTCGGGGCTGGTCTTGTACGTACAGGTTGTGATGACGAAGGCGATGACATAGAGCGCCACGCGGAAGCCAGTGGTTGGGTTGAGGCGGTGGTAGAGGACTATCAGAGACAGTTTGGCTAGTGTTGGAGGCCAGAAGTAAGTCACGCCGAGGAAGAGCAGTTTCTGTGTCTGATGTAAGTATTCGATTGGGGCATGCAAGACATCCTCTGTGTGCAGAAGAAAGTTCCGTCACGCTTGGTGAGACATGGGAAAGGTTTTTGTCTCGGGGAAAAAGGGATGAGAGGCCATGGGAGAAAAAACATAGTCCTCTTGTTTTGACTTACGTTCATGTAGCATTGCAATTGTTCTTCAGTGACGCTCCATAGATGCTTCCCGAACCCACATGGGAAGACGTTGAGCATGCCGATGAATGAAGCTAGGTAGACCACCCAAGATGCGAATAGAAGAACTGTGTGATGAGTGTGTCAGCTCGAATTTGCGTTCAGAGATATAGATTGTTATTAGGAGGCTCGAGCCGTGGAAAGCCGATAGACTCGACACATCGATGGCCTGCTGTGACAGATTTGAGAAGAAAATGCCGACGTACAAGCATCAGGACCGAGTCGTCTTTGGTTGAGGCAGGCTCCAGTGTAAAAGCGCAATATGAGACCAACAGTCGCCAACACAGAGGTCACAATGTAGACGACCAGAATTCTGACTTGAAGCTCCGAGAAACCTTCGAATTCTGAAGTTTCTCCCGCAGGGACAGGCAGTATTCCGACCTTCGACATTGTGGCTCTTCGTGACTTGACTTCGCGCGCGATCACTTCTGGGACCAACCTGGCTGGGTGAGGAGGGAGAGACAGACTCTCCCACTGGGACAAAGCATGTTTTGAATCAAAGGCCAGCCAGCTACGTACTCATTACGCCAGCAAATCTTGTACAGAATTTGATCTGCAGATCGTTCGAGACAGCTCATGGAAAAGCATCTCTGCGGGTAACATCGAGCATCATGCATGCGCGGACCCTCAACGTAACAGTTTCCAACGGCTGCTGTGGCCCTTGAGGCCCGTCATTTTGGAGAGGCGGCTGTGGCGCGCCGTCCTACTCAGCGGCGACCAGCATACTTCGTACAACACACCATGAGAAGAGAGCCGTTTTGGATGATTCCGCGTTGCTGCGTGCCAAGCGTCGCTTCTGCGGCACACTAGACGTAATGCTGGCAGAAGAAGCAATTTCAACAGGGGATCTGGGAGGGACCCCGTGGACCCCATGGACCCTTTTGCTGGAAGGCAGGGGCGGAGGACGACTAGACGAGTCCAAATCATTCGAGTATGCAGATCGTGCAGACGTGCCCAGCCTTCAACGTTCTCAACTGCATGTCCCCTGCTCGGGGCCGAAGCACGGTCCGCGCGTGCGCTTGATGAGCCAGTGAGCCTGCAAAGTCAAACCCACTCACTTCTCACATCATCTCAACTTGCTTCCAACAAGGTATGATATTCCCATGTCCCTGCTCATCCGTTGACTGAGCCTGATAGCCCGGCTTAGCTCTGTTTTCCGTACCAGAATCCCTGGGTAAAACCACTTTAAACGGTCTCGAGCGTGCAGTAGACCACTTCGCTTTGCTTTTCCCCTTGGATCTATCTCGAGACCAATCCAAGCTCAGAGTTGGCCGAGGGGCGACCTGCCAGACGGAAGTGGCAGCTGAATTCGTGCATCGGGTAAGTTGGCTGCAGCTACGCGACAGGCCTCTGACCAACCACAATTGGGCGGGATCTCCCACTGCATTTGATGCGCCATGCAGGAGTCGCCAGTTATGTCTGACTGCTGTCAAGTATCCTTGGCCAACAGCATGTGTAGCTGTCATTGATGCCAATGAGCTGTGCAGACCGACGTGACATACTCCACCCACTACACCGTTTGACCCGGAATTGTTGGCGCCATTCAGATGTTGTTGGTTGTCGTTGGTCAGCGTTGGTCACTGTTGGTATGGAGGCATGCGATCGATCCAGAAGGTCGCTAATCTCTGCAGCGTGGAGTCAGAAGCTTGGCCTCCTAGCCACGCCAGTTCGGATGAATATGAGTGAGGATATCAAGCGGGCGAGTCGCCGGACTTTCTTTCTTTTTCCTGCTGTTCCATCGATCTTCCGGAACACGCCTTTACAGTTGTCACACCCTCCTTTGCTCGCCTCCTCTCCAGTGTTGTGGCCTGGCAAAGTCCGCAGTGGAAACCCGCAAGATTGCTTCTGCCCAAGCGTAAGCCTATCACATTCTAGTACAGACCACTCTCGGCCCCAACATGTCTGTTTCCGACCACACCTTAGGTGCAGTTGCGACTACCAAGCACCGGAGCCTCGAGTCCGCTGAGCCCCTACCCGTGGCGGTTGAGGAAATCACTCCAGGCTGGCTGTCCAAGATCCTAGGAGTCAGAATCGACGATTTGAAGATCCACGAGATCATCCATGGCTCAGGGACCAACGTCCTCATCGAGGTGACTTATCCCAAGAGCCAGGGCTGCTCCAAAAAGCGCCCGCCGACCCGCCTCTGCGTCAAAGGAGGCTTCAACCCCCAGCTCCTGGAGGTGCTCCCCTCGCTCTTCGCGGTTTACCGCCTCGAGGCCCAGTTCTACCATCACGTCGCGCCACTAATCCCAGGGCTCCGACTTATCCCAACCCAGTGGTGCGGCACCGACCCGCCGGGCGCGAGGGGCCAGGGCATCGTGGTGATGCAGGACATCAAGGCCGCCGGCTACACCTTCGGGGACCCGCTGCGCACGTGGCCCGTGGCCCGCGTGCGGGCGGGTCTCGTCCAGCTCGCGAAGCTGCACGCGCGCACCTGGGGCGCGCGCGAGGCCGACTTCCCGGGCGTGCCGCGCGAGTTCGGCCTGCGCGAGGTCATCACGGGCATGATGAGCCCCGAGAACTGGGCGCTGCGGTTCGGCGACCCGGCGGTGCGGCCGCCGATCCCCGAGGGGCTCTGGGGCGACCGCGAGAGGGTCGTCCGGGGGATGCAGGCGCTGTGGGCGAACGCGGACCGCAGGATGGTGTGCCTTGTCCACGGTGACACGCAGATTGGGAACACTTTCATCGACGCGGATGGGCAGCCTGGGTTTCTGGACTGGCAGGGTGTCCATGTGAACTCGGGGGTGCACGATGTTACGTATTTCATGACGGGGGCTCTCACTATCAGGGAGCGGAGGACTCATGAGAGAGAGCTGTTCGGCTTCTACTTGAGTGAGTTGCACAACGCTGGTGCGCCGAAGTTTGAGGTTGAAGATGTATGGGATGTGAGTTGATCAATTTCTGTCGCTTCATTTGTATGAGTCGCTATGTTGACTGACTATCTTTCAACAGGAATACCGCAAGTACCAAATGCAGGGCTTTGCCTGGGCTCTGGCCGGACCTATGATGCAGCCCAAGGAGGTCGTCGACGCAATCTCACAGCGTCACTGTGCTGCAATTATGGACCACCGGAGCCTGGAACTGCTCGAGTCACTTGCTGGAGCCCAGCCAGGGACAAGAGGAAGACCGGAGGTGCGCAGTCGCTTGTAGTGAAGGCAAGTCTGCCGCAGAAGCTCTTCCACTGAAGGGAATGGGAATTCTACTTTGCGAATGGAAAGTACGCTCAACTAGAGTTGATAGAGAGCACAACTTGCAGAGTCAAATGAATACTGTTGATGAACCTCATTCTTACAAGCTGTGTGTGCGCATCCTTACACATGGATGTTCTGATTTCCAAGTGCTTCGAGGATAATGACATCAACGTGAACCTGTGTTGCTGAGTACTCAGACAACATTTGGTCTTCTCCGTTTAGCCCATCGGGACACCTGAGCATAAGAATGATCATGTATCTTCTGGATAGGCAAGGCTCTTCGGAACAGTTGCAACCATCGTGCGTTGAGACTTTGAAGGGGATGTCCGGGTAATCTCATTGAATATTGTCGGATACCATCAGCTGTATTCATAGCCTGCAAAAGTGGTAGCGAGAAGCGAAGTTCCTCGTTGTTAAATCAAAGTGGTGTGTGAGGTTGTAACTACCAGTGCACGTTCCTCGCGGCTGGTATAGACAGGGATTGGAGACTATGTTATGTAGCTGACAGCAATAATACAGAAGAGGGGAGACACGTGCCGTTGGGTTTGAGAACTAGCTTGTGGGGAATTAAGTGATCTGTGAGCAGCTTCAAGGCAGGAAATATTCACAACGTACCTAGGAAACGTTGAGAGGTTTGTAGTAGGATATCATCAAATTTCCAAACACGCTTTTGGATCCATTTGAAGTCTTTACAGGGCTGGCACCCACTGTGATGCGTCTCTCGACACCAAGTACAGAGACGCTGACAATGAACTCTCGTCAGGTTAAGCAGCGGTCGCACAAAACCTCAGGGTCAAAGGCCTGGGGTCCCGGGGACAAGGATACTTACTGAGCTAGCCCGGCAAGGAAGTAAAGAGCAAGCTCTTTCGATGCTCTCTCAACCAATACGTGGCTGTCGTTTGTGAAATGCGATACCGAAATCATGGCTGGACCAACCCCTGCCCAAAGCGAGGAGTGGCTTCTTGACTGGGCTGTATCATCGGACAGATCGGAAAGAAAGGCCCCGACATGAAACGTGGTGTCTATATTCCACACTCGAGAGACACTAGATCCAAAGGCTATCTGGAGAAACGGGGAATTATCGGACGACCCGGGCTTTCGACGTATTTCCGATCAGCTCTTTCGTCCAGCTTCCATTCAGACGGTCTGAAACATGACACTGCTGCTTGGATGGGGCCGCCCAGTCCGCAACAAGGCCACCTCCTAAAAATATTTCCGCAGTCATGCTCCTCGGAAATTACTTGGGATTTGTCCTCCCGCCTGGGCTGGTCTGATGTGTGGAATTCCGACGGGATATGGATGCTGTGTTCCAGGTTTAGAAGCCGAAGTGGACGCACAGTAGGGAACCACGACCTCCACCTTTGTACCCTATCCCTAACGCTCATCACTGCCGCCGAATCGGTGTCCCCAGGATGGGCAGGTGGGGTGGGAGTATGGGGCAGTGGCTGATAGTGGGCACGCAACTCCGTAGGGCAGGTGCATGTGGTTCTCGGCCGACTCAGGCAGTCAGGGAGGCAGGGACCCCTGTGGGCGGGTGGGCCGGATCGCCCCTTCTAAACTTGAGAGTTGGATTAGGAATCCGGAGGATTGGGAATCAAGGCAGAGGGACAGAGGGGCAGGAGGGGCAGGAGGGGCAAGAAGGGGCATGGAGGGGAATGATGGATGGAGAGTGGAAGGTGCAAGGTTATCTGGAACCTGGAACGTGGATTGTGGAATGCAGAAGGTGCATTTCGAAGCAAGGCGGGCGGACAGACACAAGCGATGCACAACTCTCACAGACCTCATCGCTGAGGTCGCCATCATCGTCCCCTCCCGATCCCGTCTCCCATCCTACCGTGCAAATACAGTATCGAAATGTACAAACTCACATAGTAATAAACCCACAGCCACACCTGTCATCAATCTGTCAATGAACGGACCATAGCCTTCCTTCATAGGCAGTCACTCTATGCATCCGGTCCAATGGCAGCCCTCGATCGCTACAGCACGGGGACGAGCTCATCGGCCCGCAGCCGCCGCTCGCGAACCGTCCCACGGGAGCTACCTTGACGACAAGCGCTGGGCCTTGCATGCACCCAGGCGAGCCAGGCACCCAGGATCTTGCAGACTCGTCACCCGCTAGGTCCCCTTCATTAGACCTGCAGTGGCTCGAACTATGATGCGATGTGACGGGATGTGATGGGATCAGACGGATTGCCTGTCTTGGTGCAACAGGGACAGCACTCACAACCCACCGCCGCCACCACCAGCAATCAACACATCGCACCACCGCGGCACAAAACAAGTGGGCTCCTGCAACAGGAACAACAAGGTCATGAGCCACAAGCCGCCCGAGTGGCATGCGGTTGTGTTTGTGTTTGTGCCCTGTGCTGATCCGGAAGGGAAGGGAAACGGCATCACCGAGCCTCGCGGCCGGCGGTACCCCATGCACGTCGGCCCAAGTCGCTCCTTTTCGCTGCGTGATAATCATTTGAGGACCCCGTCGCTGCGACAAAATTCTCCGCGAGCTGCAATTTGGGGCTCACCCGTCCCCTCATTCTGGACACCCCGGGCTGTGCAGTGGCTTGACGGCGTGCTCCCAGGCTCTTGGAAGTTGGAATTGGACTGGAGTCGGAGTCGGAGTCGCGCCCGTTGCAACTGGGAGCCCGTCGCAGCTGCGCCCAAGGACCGCGGAAACACGCGTTTCCCGGTGGCCTGGTTCGTCTCGTCGATCACCAGATCAGCCGAACCAGCTCTTCCCCCACAATTATTTTTCTCGGCCTGGTTCTGTTTTGGCTCGTGCCGGGGTGGGTGGTGCAAACAGATCGCTGGCAGGGCCGGCCTGCTTGAAACATCGCGGCTGGGGAGCGACTTAAAAGATGAGACGAAAATCGCCCTACGAGCCAAACCATCCCGTCTCGTCTCGTCTCGCTGACGCTGACGCTGACAGCTGACGATGCTCTGCAACATGTCCTCTGCCTGTCTCGCACTCGACGACATGGCCCCTGAGCCTCCACAGGGAGACTCGAGCTCAAGCCATCGCCTGCACCGGGTCACCAGCCAGCCCGCCTCCTATTGGACGGCTCGGTGCAGAGCGCCATTGTTTCGAAACACTTGATGGCAGCGGTGATGCTCCTGGGCGCGTTTCAGGTGCTCCGATCCACCTCACAAATTCGATTCCACCTTTCAGCTTCGGGAACAAAGTCGGCAGGGAACCCCCCATCTCCGCAACCTGCAACGGCACTCATGAGAGCAGAGGTGACCCTGCTGCCTCGTTGCTTGCCCAAACTACCCCCTGCCCTGCCCACCCGCGCAGCTCGACTTTTTCTCTCCTTGGGTTCTGGCCAGTGCCTCTGACAATGACTTCCAAAAAGTAATACATCCTCAAACAACAAGGCCGGTCATCCCAGGTCCAATTTCACTTCTCTCCAGCTGGCCTGACTCGCGGGCGCGCCTCGACTCCCGGAAGCAGCTCGCGCGAGTTTGTTTATCACAAGCCACGACAGGACACAGCCTCCAGTCTCTTTTCACCAGCGGTGATCGGGCTTAGGTCTCACTGGTTTGAGCTCTTTTCATCACCATTTCATTCTTCCGACCAAGCTTGACAGGTACATGTCATCGCGTCCACCCGCGTAGTCGTCATCCCTCGGCTATTTGCTCCAGCAACCAGGCCCTCCGGTCACCACTCCAGCCCTCGACCGCTCACGACCGCCGACCATCCCCGACGATCGCATTTAACCTTGATTGCTGTCCGGCATTGGAGCGCAGATGGACAATCAGGACAAGCCCTCGAGGGAGAGCTTGGACAGTCTGGCTCTGGCCAGGCAGCACGTCCGCGCCCTCACTGACGGCGGGGTGTCGCGCCAGGCCTTGCTCCGCGCCCTCCTCGAGCAGGAAGAGGCCAACAATGAGCTCCCGGCCTTGCCTTCCCTTCCTTCTCAGTCCTCGCCTCAAGCTAAGCCGAAGTCGAATCCAATCTCGAGGACATTGTCCCTTTCTCAGGCAAAGTCCAAGAAATCTCACTGGTCCATCTCTGCAAGTCGTATGTCGCCCGGTCATCCCGTCATCCCCGTCGCAGCCCAATCCCGTGAGGGGTCATCCGGTGTTTTGTCTTGGAGACAGAGGCTGAACTTCTCATATAGGTCGCCCACAAGAGGGAGAGGACCGACCTCGCAGTTCTGATCAGCTCTCAACGTCGACTGCAAACTCGGGGTCGAGGAACAGCCTTTTGTCCACCGAGACGTCACTGTCCTCGAGGTCGAGTACGATCACGCAGTTCCCCGGCACCGAGCTTCCCGGCAATAGGCCTACTTCGGCAAGTACCAGGGCCTACTGGTGCACATCGTGAGTCTCGCCCGTCCACTTTGCCTCGTGCATGCCTTTGCAACAACAAGCAAGGGGCCGAAGCTCATGTGTCCCCAACCCCACATGGCTTACCATTGACCTAGATGTGACACCGAGTTCAAACGGAAGTTTGACTGGAAGAGACACGAGGATGAGTTCCACGAGCGTTACAAGAAGTACCCGTGTCCCGACTGCAATCGCGTCTTCTGGGGCGCCAACACCTTCAATCAGCACCACAAGACACGTCATAACTGCAAGACATGCCCACATGCCGACAAGGTGATCAAGTACACCCGGAAGAAGCGTGCATGGGCTTGTGGTTTCTGCGCCGCCTTCCTGCCGTCTATGGACCGGTACATTGACCATATTGGACTACACTACGAGGCAGGGAGGACTAGGGCTCACTGGTATCATTCTAACGTCATCTATGGCCTGCTACACCAGCCTGGTGTGAACGCGGCATGGAAACAGATCATAGGTGCTCGATTCAGCCATATCCCCAAAGACGAACAACCTCGTTACGGGTGGGAAATCAAAACGACAGGGAGGAAGCAAGGATTTTTAGAGAACGAGACAGCAGGGAACTTGCAAGACCTCCTCGAGTTCTTCAATCCGACAAAGGATGATCCCGCCAAGGTCGCCCGGCTAGCGTTCGAGATGGCAGAGCTGACACCGGCGAACCAGTCCCCGGCCAAGGCAAGCCCTGACGACAAGTCGCAAGCTCCGCCGCCGCCGCCGCCGCCGGCGCCGAAGAGGGAGAAGTCTTCGAAGAGGAGCCACAGCGGGACACAGAAAGAGCTGTTGCCTCCCCCGCCATCCATGAAGGAGAGGCCTCTTACCCAGTGGCCGACCAACTACGCGTCATCCGATGTCCACGAACTACCCGCCTCCGAGCCCAGTATTCATAGCGCCGAGCTCGATTTCGACTCGACCGCACTGCCGCAGCCGCTCTTCGTCAACGGCACTTCTCTCTCACCGCCACCAACGCAGACGCAGTTCGCCCATGCCCCAGCCCCGAGCATCGCCATTTCTACCGCCTCCGATCCTCCTTATGTTACGCCTACCACGCCATTCCCCGGGCTACCTCGTGATACTGTGGTCGAGCTTCTGAACGACTACATGGTCCAGGACCACATGCAGCCGGGAAATTCAGTCAACATGCCCGACATGCCTGACATGTCGGATATGCACTCACTCCACAATCCTCCTCCGTTTGGTAGCTATGACGACTGGAACTCGATATGCTCAACCATGGTCGACGACTTGGCTTCACCGAGAGGCCCCCCACTGCCTCTGGCACCCCACGAGCAGTGCCAGCCACAAACCCAGCACCCTGTCCGCCGCTCAGATGTGTGGGCTGCCACGGGAGACAACACAGAGTCGATTTACATGGAAGACGTGCAGGCATGCGATATCAGGATGCAACAGATGCCGACGCCCTCCATGCAAGAGAACAACGTCAGGCGGTCTGATGTCTGGGCTGCGTCGGGCCCACCGGATTACGAGGGCATGGGGTACGAGAATGAAGTCGCGCCACCCCCGCCACACACCAACTGGCTGTGAAAGCCCAGGACGAGCAGAGGGCGTGCGCGATATTGCTGGTGGCGTGGGAGGCGAGGCTTTGACGCAATTGCGTCGGTCAAGCGAGCGAGCGAGCGAGCTCTCAAGCTGAGGAGCTTATGAGATGAGCTTTAATAACCTTCTTGTTGTATATATATTAATGGTAATGACCGCATCGGAACGGGGCCGCGTGTTGGTACGGATACCTATTGTACTATGAAAATCGAAAATACCCAACAACAATCTTGTTATCTCCTTTTTTTTCTTTCTTTCTTTCTGTGTGTATATATCTACACTGCTGGACGTGGGCCTTTTCTGGCATATCGAGTGGTGCCAGCTCGGTGGTCTTCAGGAAAAGAAGGGGGAAGCTTCGGTTCGAGGGGGACGGGAGTGAAGAATGGAGGGGCTCTGTGTCATATCTCGGGGTCACTTCTTAACATTCTGTGTATTTGTATTGTATATTATAGCGGACGAGACAAGTCTTGAGAATGAAACGAGCGTGTGCGTAAAGTTCGTCGAGTCCGGGACTCGACCAAACTGGGGGAGATGAAACGAAGCGTCTTCAGCATGGGACGAGGCTCTTATGACCGATCCTCCGTGTCTGTTGCCGTGCGTTTCGTTCCAGATGTGCTCTTTCTCGTATCGCGTCCGCAGGGCGTATCTGGAGGAAGAGACAGACAAATTCAGACCGCTCATATCTCGGAATTGCGGCCAGGCCGGGAGTGGTGGCTGGCTACCTCACGAAAGACGAACTACGTGCCGATCATTGCAGCGCCAAAGGGCCGTAGCGGAGGTTTAAAGTCTGGGAGTCCGTCTCACCGGGTACACGTCATCTCACAGAAGTCAATGGGGCTCTTACAGTGCAATATGTGAACCAGACTGGTGGCTTGTCCTATTCCGACCTGCACCGGAATGCTTGGGTACCGTGCCATGGAGGGCTGGAGGCATCCGTTCAATTTAAGCATTTCTCATGCGTATCGAGCACAGCGCAAGGGTTATGACAATATTCGCGGGAGGCTTATGAGAGGACATGCCTACAGAGTCATCGGCAGCCGCTGGACCATGGCTACGGTTGAGGTGGCAACCAGTGCCCCCTTTTGATGGATGGCCTGCCTTCTGCAGATACCGATCGACGGCGGAATGCGATACGTTCTAGGCTTGACGGCTATCTACGCTGGGACCGTGTTGGATCATGGTCATCGAGGAGGGGCAGAGAATTGCAAGTGCCCAGCCCGGGATGCCCTACTACTGTATTGATGGCCCCCCTGCATGCTGATGATCGCTGTGGCCTAAGCCAGCTAGGTCAGCCGGGATGCCTCTTCAGACCTCTGTACGTACACGAGGGTTGGGTCATCGTTTATCGCATATTGCTGAGAAGTAATGGTAAAGGTGGATATTGGGGGGAGGGGAAGATGGACGTGATGTCCTGACAGGAATCTTCCGCCATTGCGGTGTTGTGAATCCAGCTAGGGAGGATTTTTCAGGACTGTGGGAGTGAGGCAAGGACTACGAATCTGAAGCACATCAAATTCAGTCAAGGCAGAAATAAATGACAGTCCCGTCTCCAGTGATGGGCGTATATAATATCATACGCGGTAACATCGCGTGTTGTGTCAAAGCCAGACAGGGACACGAAGGAGTTCAGCCACCAGAGATCTCATTTTCTATCTGCAGACATGTACACAGCTAAATCTGGCCTCAATCCGGGCCAGCAACCAAGTGCCCACCCACAGCATAGTCAACAAACGACCCCTGACAACCAGCCTTTATTCCCCCACACCGCACGTGGGCAACGCATCGCATCGCATCGCATCACCAAACAACCACCGCGACACTGGTACACACACATACACACACGCTCAGCAACAGAGGAATGAAAGTTATTGTTTCCAGAAATGCGCAAATCAAAAGAAAAACAGTGGATGGGTGGGTATCACAACAGATGCAAAACAAAAAAGAACACACAAGACGCTGGAGCCAGACAAAGCCAGCATCGTCACCGCCGCGAGACAGCTGAGACAGCAAAGTCCCCCTGTGCCCGAGGACAGTGAGGATGAGTACCCGGTTAGCAGCAGCTGCTGAGCAGGGGCACCACGCGGGCGACAGGGCTGAGGAAGCTCCTGACGCGGCCGAGGATACCGCCGGATCTCTTCCGCGGGGAAGCAGTTGAGACCGGGGCGGCCGTCGACAGGATGGCGAGGAAGACCGCTGGTATGCTTGGCAGGCCGGCGAGGATGTTCTGGGCTTGCGCTTGTTTTTGTGTTCGTTGTTGATGCAACGTTGTCACCACGACCACCACCATCAGCAATGACAGCAGTATGGAAACAAGGCCGGACGCGGCCAGCTGTGACGGTAGCACCTCCGAGGAGGAGCCGCCTGCCACCAGCAATTGTCGCGCCGGCGAGGAGAGTGGCGCACTGTCCTCTGACGGGGACAGGCGCGCGGGTTTGGGTGCAGGTGATGGGTGCTGCGGCAGTCCTTGGCTTAATACTAGGCCTTGGAGTGGCAGCTCTGCATTGACGTTTGCGGAGCCGAGCCCGCGTTGTTGGCATACCAGTGCCGAGCCCGAGTCGGACAGGCATGGGCCCTCGACGCTGACGCGCGAGAGCTGGCGAAGTCCGCTCGCGGCATTGCCGTTGGCTGACGACCTTAGTCCCTGTGGCGCGTGACCGTGCAGTGAAAGGCCGGATGGGAGTCCGCCTTGGCTTGTGCTGCTGGCCGGGCTTGAGATGCCTCCTGGCTGTGGGCTCAGGCTGCCTGTGCTGCCCGACCTTGACGCAATAACGGAAATTGACGATGCCAGTGGTGATTGAGCAGCGTCGGTCGTCGAGAGGTCTGGGAGGTCTGGGACATCTTCGCGGCGCCGCCCTGGGTCTAGGTATCGGTTTTCCTTTTCAAAGGTCAGCATGATGGCCATGGAAGGAAAGGGGTAGTGGGGATTTCGTACAGTGGTGGCTGTCTGTGATCTCTCTTTGTGGCCGTTGCCGGCGTGCACTGGTGTTGTGTCTCGGCTGATTTCCCGTAGACTAACCCCCTGTGAAAGCACCGGTGCTGACGCAACGGATGAGGACTGCCTGCTGAGACCAGAGTCCGCAGAAAGGCTCTCGACTGGTGCTTGGTGACAGCCCAAGGTCGTGTGGGTGTGTATAGTCTGGAGACCTTGTAGTCTTGTTACGGCACTGGCAGAGCGGGCCGTGCTGTGGCCAGCGTCATCTGCGTGATATGGCAGTGAGCCGATCAGCTCGTTTGCACGTCCTGCGGCTTGTCCGCCACCAGGAACTCGCTGCTCAGGCCCGCTGGGGCTCAGTGTGGAGCGGGACTGGGACTGAGGCCGATCAAAGCGTGACTGCTGATCGTGGGCCAGGCCGGTGCTTGATGGTAGTTGCTCGTCCAGACCGGCTGGTGATTGAGCCTGTGAGGCTGGGGCAGACTTCAGCGACTGTGGCTCCTCGTCAATGAAGCTAGAAGTAGGAGAGAAGAGGTTGAAATCCACGTAGTTGCTGCCAATCTGGCCAGCTGGGTTGAGGTATGGCAGGTTTGGCTCCTGGCTGTTGTCCGCGCTTTGAAGGAAGACTAGGGCGTTGTCCTCGTTGAAGGTGAAGTCGTTGGCCTGTGTGAGGAGACCAGAGCTGACTGGTGTCAGTGGCTGGGCAGAAGAGACAGAAGAGCCCGACATGGATGGCGAGAATGAGTTGTCCATGCCAAAGAAGAAGTCGAAGTCTTGTGGTACGGCGCCGTAGAAGTCCTGGGGGATAGGGGCGTTCACGGGCTCGTCGTTGAAGGTCAGGAACTGGTCCCAAGACTCATCCATAGAAGCGGAGAAATCGACGCTGCTGAGACCCAGACTATCCGTCTGGAAAGAAGCTTCCGGGGCAGGTGTGAAGACTGCGGAGTGCTCCGTGGGAGAGGACACAGTGGTCTTCCTTGACTTCTTGGCCGGCTTGGCCGCCTCAGACTTGGACTCAACCTGAGAGGCAAGTCGCTTCTTGTGGCTGGGGTCACACTTGACCTTCTTCTTCTTGCACGCGTCGCAGGCCTTGAGGATGCGCATGAGGTGAGCATGGTCTCTCTGCTCCTTGCTCTTGCAGCCGCGGGACACGGAGTTGGTGACGTCCTGGCCATCAGCAGTGAGGATCTTCATGCCGGGGAGGTGGGAGAAGTCAGTGGTGGTGGTGGTGGCCTTGGCGGGCTTCTGGGAGGCAGTACGGGGCTTCTTTGCTGCTGGGGCCACTGCGGGAGTGGACGCCTGCGACGGAGAGCTGTAGAAGCTCAGGTCGGACATGACGGGGGAGACGTTGTAGGCGGACTCGGGGGTGGCGGCAGGGGTGACGACGGCGTAGTACTTGAAGTTCTCGCCGGTCTGGCGGGAGTGCTCAAAGAAATCCATGGAGATGGTGGCTCGCTTCTCCTGGGCGGAGCCGGGACCGGGGAGATAAGCACCGATGAGGTGCTCAAGCTCCTTGGTGCCGACGGCGGGCAGGAACTGCAGGGGGGAGCCGAGGGCAGGCTGGTAGACGCTGAAGCCCTCGACGGCCGAGGCAGTTCGCGACATGTCGGCCATTGCTACAGGGCGATGACTGAAGCACAGGGGAAAGGGATGATGCAGGTTTTGGTGTGGGACGTTGTTGGTGGTTTCTGAGGGGTAACCGGTCATGAGTTACGGGACGACCGGCGGCCTGATCTAGTGATTTGACCTTGGCAGGTCTCTTCGATAGGGATTCTTGCCTTGTGTCGTATGTGTTCTGTTACCAGATTTTGTTGTCGGTGATACTTGCTTGGTGTTGGTGTTGACAATCCGGGGATAGCGGAGATTGGGTTTAGGCAGAAGAAGAGCTGAGGATTGGAGGCAGGACCCAGTCTCTCTCTGATGGCTGGTCTCTTGACTGTTGCCAGAGCTCTTCAGTCTTGGGAAAGACACGGGGATAATCTTGCTTCCGACGCGATATGTCGATTAGTTGAGAAGAAAGAAGGGGAACGGATGACAATGCCTAGGCTCGGGAGGGAGTCAACTTCATATGGTTTGCGGCCTTGAAACTCGGGAAGCCATCTTCGACAAGGCGCAGCAGTGGATGAAATTCAGTCATTCGGCGAGCCGAAATGGAATAGCGCCTTTTTCACAGCGTCTACTTGTGGGTCCGAGCCTGTCTGATAGTGAGGTACTGTGGGGTATCGCCGGCCAGCCCGTCTCAAGTGGCATGTGCACTTCACTCCGTACTCAGTCGAGCTTTGGAGCAAAGTGAGATGCAAAATATACCGAGGAGAGAATTATTGTATTTATGGGACTTCTAAAGTCATTTCTCCCTGTCTTACCGTGCTCGTCGTGAATATCCGTGGCGAGGTCGAGGTCCGGAGCAGACAGGATCTCGCAGCAAGATGCCCCAAACCCCAACGAGTTGACCGTAGCACTCTAGCAGACTTCCGAAAGCTCACTTGTAGCTGCTGATCGAGGTGGGTCCAGCCTCCAGCTTCTCATTGGATGGACTAACCCCAGTCTGCAGTGGTTTTCGGCGAGAAAATCGCTTGATGAGTGAGACCCGGTCCCCGTCAATCCACTCTCGTCCGCAACCTTAGAACCTGCCTACCTAGGTACTGCAAGGTTGCTGACGGGCTTTCGGGACCGCCTTTCCAATTGGCATCCGCGCACATCACCCTATTCAGGCTAGACCTTGTCCAATTGGCCAATTGCCTGCCACCTGAGCAATGAGTCAATCCACAATGGCTGGATGGCTTGTAACATCGACCGTCCATCAATGGATCGAATGGATCAATACTATGTGTGCTATGCATGCAAGCGTGACTCCTCTTGCTCGTGTATCTTTGGGGTACGACTGGGATTGATTGAATCCACTGCAGAGCCTCAGGCCTCTCCCTCCACCTATTTTCTACATACCTGGGGACTGCCTTGTTCACCGTGGGGGCCGTCAGCGCCAGCCACAATCTCATTCCGTGGCTCACTGGCGCCGGCATCAAACAGTATACGACATGCGGGAAAGGGCCCGTTCAATGACACCCTGAGCATCGCCGCGCTGTATGTCGCTTGTTGTTGCTCTACTCGGTACGTCATGAGGGTCAAAACCTGGGGCTCGACAAGCGAACGGCCAGAAAAGTGGGGGAGCTCGGATCGCATTGCTCACGGTATTCGGAGCCGGAGGCGGGGTGCATCTGGGAGGTGGGCTTATAAAGCTTGGTATGGCCATGGTGTGCGCCAATTTGAACTATCTATGTGTCCCAATGTTTTTTCCTGTAACATATCATCAAATCCTCGGACCAGAAGCGACTACGCAGTATATAATGTTGCCACCCTGAGTCGCGCAGACTGATTTTCGACCCATTTCTGCTCCGTGCAGTTCCCCCTCCCTGAACCTACCCACAAATGAATTTCATGGTTCCCTAGCAGACTCATTCCTACTGTCAAAGTGCCGCAAGGTCAGAGCAAACCTCATGTTGAAGTTTTGGACGAACGTGGTTAGACATGGTATCTCATACTGCTGCTCGAAGTGTGCCTTGGGCATTGCGATAGCTTCTCCGCTGATGCACGGGACGCCGAATCTTATCTCGTCCAGATTGTGATGGAAGTACTTTTAAATTGGGGTTACGGCGTCTTAACTTTTGCATGACTGCAGGTATCTGCGATTCATTCCCAGTATACAAGAAACCTACTCATTTGGTTTCTCCCATGATCATGCCCAAGCTCAGGCACTCTGAACGCTCTGCAGCTTGCGACCCCAGAGTTTGGTTGCGGTGTCGCGCCCCTCCTTCTCCGCCACCCAAAGCAACCTACCGAGCCCCAAAATCTTTGGCAGTGCCCAGGAGCTGGAGCCACGGCCACTGAGACCGCTTCAAGATCGGATGGAATATGACCGAAGCAACATTGCATTGGAGCTAAAAGTCAACTTCTCTTCTCTAAAACGTCATTCAAACAATCATAGGGCCCAGGTGTCTGTGTAAGTGGCAGCGACCGAGGGGACGTGTTTGCTGTTGTCTCGCAGTTCGTAGTCTGGTTCGCCTGCGGGCGGAAGAACGCCCCACCAGCTCAAGTACGTACCCATGTGCCCGGGTAGCAAGGCCAGCATATGCATTTAAAAGAGCTCTGACCTGCCCAAGGGGGTTGTGAGGTACGGAAATGCATATATCCGTACTTTCCACCCCGGTAAGAAAGCTCCGAAATTTCAACCCAGATTGACCCTGCAAACCGGTCTTTCTCTTTGTTGTCACACTTGTGATATTCCTCATGACCGTCATCTGCGAGGCGTCTGTCCTTTCTCCCGAGTCTTTTTTTCCACAATGAGAGGCCACATGCCCCTTGTTACCCGTCATTGAAAAGCCTTTTTGTGAGATTTGAGACGTGCAGAGAGGCTCGCGCTTGTGTGTGTACGTGTACTGTGTGTGGGAGAGAGTTGGAACGAGCAGGGCCTGGCCTTGGCTGAGGACGAAGTGCCGGGGAGACGCCTCTGAGCAGCGGAGGAAGGAACGAGGGGCTGCTCATCCCTGGCCAGCGCCCATTCGGCGCCTGACCGGTGCCTTGGCCGTCAGAAAGTGAAGGCAGCGAAGAGAGGGACGGGCGAGACAGGAGAGGGGGCAGGAGAGAAGAGCACTGGAGGCGGCGGCGGCAGCAGCAGCAGCCCAGCGGCTGCCCGTTTGAGCTGGGGTTTGCATAAAAGCCCGCAAAGATGGTAGCTAGTGGGGACTTCACTTCTTCGGATGGCCCAGGTGGAAAGGCTTCGAGGTTTCTGGACGCCGTGGTCGCCTTTGTTGTCGGCATCTTCCAACCCATCTTTCGCTTTCTGCTGTCGGCCATCTTTACTCGCAAACCTCGACAGCACAACAATCAGAACCGCGACAGAGATCACACCCTCGGCGACTCCCCCCACGACAATAACAACAACGGCGACCCCAACGACTCCCGTCCCACCCCCGACGGCCAAGACGGCGACCATCAAGGCGACGACAGCCCAGAAAGCATGCAGCGACACTCCGGTACCGCCAGGCCTCAGCATGCATACGGCCCCAAAGCTGTCAATGGCGATGCCCGCCCTTCTGTTAAGCCCGCCTTGCCCCAACTTGTCCCAGCGGTGAACGCGTCTCGGCCTGTCAAGCGGGATGGCAAGCCCACCAACGGCGTCGCAGCCAAGACAGCCCTCGAAGACGTCACGAATGGCGTCGAACACACCTTGAAGCACCACGTTGTCGGCGAGGAAGAGGCCGAGGAGAACCTTCACGACCAGGTTGATCTGGCACCAGCTGTTCAGCCTGTCGAGGGTGAAGAGGAGCCTGAGGACCCTGTCAAGGCTGCGGAGCGAGCAATCCATCATGGCTTCATGGACCAGGCACTGGATATGGTATGTCTCGCGTCGCCTTCCTTCTGTCGGTTGTCTTCAAAAACATTCATGCACACGCCCACGCTTTGTCTGCGTGATTCTGCACTCTCTTTTGAACGCGTCAATCGTTCCTTGACACGCATCGCATTGTCACACCTTTATAGTGTTTCACACGCTCTTTTTGCCGCGTTTCAAAGCCGTACACCAGCTTGCATCACCTATCCCCCGCGCGTTGACCACGTCTCGTCCCATGACTCCTATCACGACTCCCATCCGAGCATTTCCTCCCAGTATACAACTGCTCTTGCCACAATTTCGCCCTCACGCGCGCATTCGTGCTGATTCCATTGTTTATAGGCCCGCCTGGCCCTGAAGACCAATGAGACACCTGTCGGATGTGTGCTCGTTCACAACGGAAGGGTCATCGCCAAGGGGATGAACGCGACCAACGTCACCCGAAACGGTACCCGGCACGCGGAGCTGATGGCCCTGACCGCTCTCTTGTCTTTCACCCCTGAGGCAGAGGCAGAGCAAGAGCAGGAGAAGCCAAAGAAGTCTAAGGGAAAGAAGAAGAAGAGACAGGGCAGCCAGCAACATTCCGACAAGCCTCCGCCCACAAGGGCCTACACAGACCAAGAGTGGGGAGACGTCGACCCCGAGGATGGCCACATTTTCCCATACGGCCAGAAGCTCCACCCCGCCCCCATGGTCGACCGGACATTGATAAAGGAGTGTATCCTGTACGTCACCGTCGAGCCCTGTGTCATGTGCGCGTCGATGCTCCGCCAGTATGGCATCAAGAAGGTCTACTTTGGCGCCGTCAACGACAAATTCGGCGGCACCGGAGGTGTTTTCTGCATCCACAAGAATTCCGACCCCGCACATGCTGTCAGCATCCCAGCGACCCCCATCCATCGGCCTGTTGCCAATCAACTGCCCTCTCGACCACCTCTGGCCCAACGACCTGCCTCCGCTGCCGCCTCGGTCTCGACCAACGGGTCTCAAGAGGGCCCGGCTGCCACAGGCGAGAACAAGCAGCCCGGCAAGATGACGTACACAGAGCCGCCCAAACCCGTCTCCAACATGACTATGGGTCATGGTGGAAACGTGGAGAGCGGATTCGATGCTGAAGGTGGATGGAACCGTGATGAGGCCGTCAATCTGCTGAGGCAGTTTTATGTCCAGGAAAATGGCAGAGGTAGGTGACCGATTCCCAAAAGCTAATACCCAGCAAAGGGTTGCTAACATCCTCCAAGCACCTGTACCGCGAAAGAAAGAAGGTCGCGCACAACGTCTCGCTGTTATGATGGAGGAGCAGGGGATGTCGACGGAGGGCACGGCTCTTGAGGGCCTACTTCAACAGGAGCGAGAGGCCCAGGAGAAAGCTGCCGCTCGGGCTGCCAACGGTGAGAGCGCTACCGACGGGAATGACTCCGCTCAAAACGGCACCGATCAGCAGACGGACGGCCCAACTGCGCTCGAAGCGCTGGAGGCGAAGGTATATGCTGAGATCGAGAAGAAGAAACGGGCCAACAGAGCCCAGAAAACGGATGGCGACAAGGCAATCTCCGCCGACCAGCCGGAGGCGACGGCTTAATACTCTGTCTATGAGGACCTCTACTCACACGATGACACTTGGAGACACGCAGAATCCACAGGCTGGAATCTTCGCAAGGCATCTCAGCACTTATCCAATCGCGGGAGATCAGAGGAGCTGTAGAACGAATTCGGTCCCTCGACAGCCGACGTGGGTCCCAACCGGCTGGTCATTGCAAACGCATTATCTCATCAAGTTGATTTGGATGCAGAGTCTATATCTCAGCCACTAGCTATGCCTTCACGGATCCATATGCTAACCTGGCTGCTGCTTGAGGCTCTTATGGACCATGCAAGCTGTGTCTTTCGCGGCCCCAGACGGGCCTATTGTACTGCTAGGAACTTTCGACACCTGGAACTCCGATTCAGAACGTCCTTCTTTTAGATAACCTTGGACGCTGACGGAGAGCTGGAAAGACTCTGGATCATACAGATGAGCAACGACGCGATGGACACGACTAGATGACCACCGGGAAACGCCAACACTGGTCCTATTGGGCTCCATCGCAACAGACGTTCTCGCCATAACAAGTATAGCCTTACGTTGGCATCAGGGCATTGTTCCCTACAGACGGCGTTTGAGTGCTCGCAGGGAATAGGGATTCAACAAAAGTTCTACTTGATGGCAACCTCTCATCTTTTTCTTCCTCTATTTTACAACCTCCTGTAAATCAAATACCCTCGATGGGACTGCATGGCAGGGGAACGGAAATTCAGCATGATGGCACTTGCGGGCACGTATGGACCATATTTCTAGAAGCCTCTCATGACCAGATTCGGTGCAGCCGACGCCGGTTGAAAGCCTTTGCTCTACAGGAAATGTGTGTGTGGGTGATTCTTGTAGTTCACTGACTAGCAGCTTTTACTGGAGATTGCTTATCGCTGACGACAGTGATGTTCGTAGCCCAGCTGATTTATCATTGTTGTGACCAGCGACACATAAACGTGATGAAGCCGCCCACGTCGAGCATTCCATGGAGTTTCGAACCAATCAGTTTCTATTGAAGCAGTGCCACCCAAAATACTTGTCTGATCCACCCCACTAGGGCTACCCCGCGGGCCTTAACATCCACCAGTGTGAACCAACATCACTCTCAGCATCAAGTACTCGTATTCCCGTTTCCCGCGATCATGAATTTCACGATTAGCTGTCTTTGCGGTGCCAGCCACCAAGAAGTCGTGTCCGACCGTCCACATCTGTTGCCTAGCGATGCCGAAACGGACCGGCACGCGTCGGGGGTCCTCTTCGTCTCTCATCTGGCCATCAACCCCCCGGAGCATCGAATTCTGTCCGGTCTGTCACATCACGAATATGAAGACGGGAAACGATTCTTCTGTGGGACTTGTGGCTGTCACATATTCCAGAAATTCACAGTCTCACCAGCGTTGGCCTCGCTAGCTCAAAACCTGGGAGACGTACAGCCACCCACAGAATTCTTCGCAGTCGCCACCGGAGTGATAAATGAGAGTCCACATAAGCGAGACGGTACCAGGTTTGGAAGAGCTCCAATGGACGATACTTGCGATGGCGGGTTGGGGCCATGGTTGCCAGTGGCCGAGATGAAAGGACGGACACAAAGTCCAGAAACCGAAGCACCCCAAAAGTCCACCTATACCTCAGTCCCGGCGACTTGTGGATGTGGCAACGTGAAGCTGTTGATTCAACGCCCTCAGCAACTGTTGGGCACGGGCGACAAGAGCCAGAAAGCAGTCCAGCTCCCATGGTCCCCATACCCTGATCTTATGTTCCCTTACAAGACAACCCCAAAGGACAAACTGGACAATCCTTCAGACGAGAAGTGGTACCTTCGCAAAACAGGCGGAGAATCTAAATATATGGCCGGTACATGTGCTTGTAAGTCATGTCGGCTCATCACAGGCTACGAGATACAGACCTGGGCTTTCATCCCGAGAGTGGCCATCAGTATCCTCATATCGCCAGACTCTGCCACTACTGGATCAGCATCGAATATCTCTGCCAGAGATACGACACAAAACGCCGAATCTTCTTACATCCCTCTCGACTTCGAAGTGCTCGGGAGTCTACCAGACCAGCGAAACCCGCTTCGGACCTATGAGTCTTCCCCAGGAGTCCTTCGCGAATTTTGCCACGGATGCGGTGCCACGGTCTTCTGGCATTCGAAGGTACGCCCTGACCTGATCGATGTGAGCGTTGGTCTACTCCAAGCCAGGGAGGGGGCAAGGGCGGAAAGTCTGCTTGAGTGGTGGCGGGACAGGTGCAGCTTTGCTGAGGACACGGGACTGGATCGGAAAGGCTGGATCAGGGATTGGGCCGAGAGCCTTGTTCAGGGTTTAGAAGAGGGGATGAAGATGTAATAGCTGTTGATGGTATGGTGTGGATGTGATCGAGGCGAGGAGGCCTCTTGGCACGAGATCGCTACGGAACAGGGATCACAATATCCAGAATCAAAAGCTTACTGAGGACACCGAGCCGGGATGTTCATCATGTCCGCCAAGATTTCTTACATTAGTTCTGCGCTCCGAAGGGGGGCTGAAGGCACCGAGAGCAACGGAATTTACGAATAGCAGAGCATCCAAGCCGAAATTTGGTATGTGGATAAGCACGCAACGCCCAAGACTCCCTTAGAGTCCTTGAATAAGGCTCATTCCGATCGGAGTAAGGTTCAGTTGAAATCGTGCTGAAGTATGAAGCTTGATCGGAGCCACCTATCTTATATATAGAATACGGAGATTCCCACCTGCAAAAACGGAGGGTACACCAGTACACCACCACCTCACCCAACACCCACACCCAATACTCATATGCCCAACTTACATACCCAATTTGTGCACCTAATTTAACTTGGGTGTGTAGGTGTTAGATGTGGGTGAGCGAATTAGGCTTGGGTGGTGTGCTCCAATTGGCTATAGCTATGGCGTGAGTTGACATACCAGTGTACCCTCTGTTTTTATAGGTGCGAATCTATGAATCTATCTATAAGGCGATCTGCATTGGTGATCAAAGCCTGAATTATCTGTTGGTGCTTTTCATCCAGCTCCATCCACTGATCCATTTTCCAGTCAGATATACCAAGGGAATCATCATTTCGTACTGACCAGGCCACCTCAAGAGTGACGACCCGAATGTCACAAAGGTATACGACTATCGCACTGCGCAAACCTGCGCGGCGTACCTCATTCCATACCTCGACCCGCATTTTGATGCCCTCGACGTCAGTAGTGGGCCAGGCGGCATTATCAGGGACCTCGCGCTGATTTGCTCACAGGGACATACTCTGGGTCCTGACATGTCCCAGGGCGTTGTCTTGCAGGCTGAATCCAAACACAAATATCAGGCGGGAAATCTTTCATTCGCCGTTGGAAACGCGGAGGACCTGTCTCAGTTCCTGGACAACAGCTTCGATGTCGTCCACTCTCACATGGCCATCTTCCACCTTCGCGATCCAGCTCAGGCCTTCAGGGAGTTCATCCGGGTTTGTAGGCCCGAAGGTGTGGTGGCAACGCGGGACCCGGGCAATGAATGGTCCGTGACGGATGTCAAGCCAGACTTGCCTGTGATACGCTAGACGATGCCGATTTGCTTCAAGTGGCTGGCTCATTTCAGGTCGACACCTGAAGTGAGCAAATACAAGGTGCAGTGGGCCAAGGAGGCTGATATTAAGGAAGAGGATATAATTGTGACTGAATCGTTAACATATCATAATACTCTGATAGATACTATGACTGAGCCGCATAGAACGCTGCTGGTTGTGGAAGGGCTCGTCACACAGCAGGACGCGGAGAGGTATTGCAGAGCATGGGAAGAGTGGGAGGCTACGGAGGAGCATGGGTTTTATACTACAGCTGCCGAAAAGTTGTGCTTCAAAGAAAATTGAATTATGGCACTTAGTTGAAACTGAATTTCTACATATACACTAATATGATGCGTTCGCACATGAGATGTTGGATGGAGCAAACGGCAGGTACTGCCGTTGGCGCAGTGATTAAAGCCAAATTGCTCGAAAGATGTTGAGACCGAATCTGAACGATCAGTGACTGTGTTGGTGTTCCATTCATGCTCCCAATATCTTGTCACTTGAGTATTTCAGTCACTGGTTGAGTGCGGCTGCAATTCTGAGTGTGACACACGACTTGGCTAAATCACTGACTCCTAGTGAATCACTCAATCCAGTGATTCATTCAAATGATGGCTGACCAAAAACTTGGGACGAAAATGAAATTATATAGCGGCTTCGGCCACACTCGGCGACCTTACTCTCTGGGTTAATGACAGTGAGAAGGCAGATATTCACCGCAAAGTCAAAATGCCATCAATTGAACAAACGAACAAGTCCAAGAGATTTCACCTCTCCAAACCCAAGCAGAAGAAACCCAAACAGCAAGACTCAGAGAAAATCCCAATCAAGCAGACCCATGCACAGGATACGGAGAATGCGGAATTCCGGGAGACTGAGGGCATGAGTTGGGACGATCACATAGATGGGAGGAGTCGGAGCTGAGAATCTTGCGGTCTGGTGCGGGAAGACTAGCCGGGTCATCATGCTGGCAGCCCTCGCACCCATTGTCATACAAACCAGGGTTCGGGCCAGCCTCAAGCACCCCAATCTAGTCGAACTTCTCTTCTGACGCTTTCTCTTGTTTAGTTGTTTCCTGTCAGCCTCCAGATATCTATGGCGTCTTCACAAAACACCCAGAGGAACTTTTACATGTCATGCCGCATTGACTTTTAAGGAAAATTAGAAGTCGGTACGGTAGGCACCTAGATTCGCTAGGATGTAGCTGCCTGAATCTTGGATGAAACCGTCGGATGAATATCAACACTTCAATCAATGTAATCCATCTCTCATCTTGTTTCCACGGAAGAGATACAAAACAATGGCACAGACTGAAACAGCCACCATCAGACGACAGGCACTGTGAATAAAGTCTGACGGGAGATCTACAATGACCACGCGTGTGTGTTTACCAGGCGTAGACTGGGAAAATCAAGACCGTTCTTGTAATTCAAACAGTTGGAGTCTAGGCGTTGAGGAACGTGAAATACCTCGCCTTTTGGCCACCTTGAAGTTTCAAGGTGAGTCGTAAACGCGAAAATGATCAGTTTGCCTGGGAAATAAATACCAGTTGGACGCTCATAAACCTAGTAAGTGTCAGCTGGACTGTTTGACAAGGCAAGCCTTCTGGCGGGCGTCATTGAAAATGTCTCTCACTTACGCCGCCGTCGCCGCAAAGACCTCAATTCTCCTAGTCTTGGTCAATGTGCTCAGTGCAAGGCAGAACACCAGCGAGAAGACGCACACCAGGCCCACCCTCAATCCCATGCTTTGGACGGCGTACAGCGTGACGACAGATGCGACGGGCACAACAGTTGAGAAGATGGCCCCGATAACCCTGTTGGCTCGCGAGTATGTCCTCTTGTCCCACTGGTATACCCGCCCGCCAACAATGGCAAGGCTGCCGCCTAGGCCGCTCTCGATATCTTCTTGTCGGATCAGTTTCTGCGGTGAAACGATCAATTATGTGGACAAGGCGCTATAGACAATGGAGATTGTGGATAAGGCAGGCAAAAATCAGGCCGTACCATCTTGCAGCCCCGGAACGCTCTCAATATCCTCAGCACAGCGTTGACGACAAACCTCTCAAGCGGGTCATTGTCCTCGTCTGCCGCCTCGAGCAGGACTAGGTCGTCCAGGAACACTTCCCTGTATGCCTCGGGCTCGAGACCTCTCAGCTCGCGCGACAGGAACTGCATGCTGCTCTCGCTGAGCGAATCACGCCCCACGATCTTGGCCAGTATGCTTCGCTGGTCCCCCGTGGGGCCAGCCATCGAGGCGATTTTGGAGTGTCTTTGAATTGCGTCCTCTCGAGAGACACATGGGGTTGTTAGTATTCGTGTGTGGAGACGTGTGTGTCTGTAAATTGCTCACGATATTCATACAACCTCTCCCGCAGTTTCAACCAAGTCCTCCACCTCTTGTCATCAATCCCCTGTCTCTGCCCGCTCGTCGCCAAAAGCCTCCAGTGGTAGTCCCAGTTGCTCCTCTCGTCGGTGCGCGGATACTGCGCATCCGCCGCCGCCTCCTTGTCCAGCTCGAACCGGAGCTGGTACAATTCGGCTTGGAGATAAAGGAGATTCTGCGTCGACAGGTCCTTGAACCGGCGAATCATCCCGTGGTGAGTTTTGGTCATGAACTCGGCGAGCTGGGCGTAACCGCGGGTCGGTCGTGGCACCTCCGCTGTGGTCGAGGCCGGGAGCGATGTTTCGGCCCTCTGCGCGCTCGCTGCGTCTGGCTGCTTCTCTGGATCGACTCCTTCCCCCATGTTGGGACTGATGATGGTTATAAGAGCCTGTGACAAGTATTACTGCGTAGCAGTCCTGGGTGAATCGGCGAGAAATTATGAGCCACGGCGAAGGATGAATAGGTGCATGCGTAAGACACACACATGTCGATGTATCCATTCATCTACTTAGACACAAACACCTGTTTGTCACCCACCTGCCCAGGTCACAGGCAGCACAACAGAAGGCCATGACGGATACCGCCTTCTTCCCCTCCATCCGTATTACCTTCCCAGCCCCTTGCATCGCAAAGCGCGTAGCCGTTAACTACGGAGGGCAGATCGTAGCCAATTACTTCTCGACCTCAGCATCCCTGCAAAACACTAATACAAGTCCCGAGGCTTGTCCTGCTTTGGACGGGTCATTCGTGTAGTACGGAGCGGGAGGTCTGACCCAAATCAATGACCGGCGATGTTTGTCGAGGACCAGCAGTGGGAGACGCAGGAATCTCTAGTTGGCGGTGCGTCTTGGTTGCAACCTCACTACGGCGTGACTACCTGCAAATATGATGTCTCGCAGTTTAAATTCGCACTGGTTATCGTGGTTACGGAGATTTCAGCCGAGCCTATTGCAACAGTCTTTTCGTCCCGTGGCTGTCCCGTCGTTGTGCCCTCGTTGTGTTACTCCTTTCTGGTTCTCGTTTCTCTCCATGCATTCACGGCTGATGATGATTGTTTGTTGCAACAGATAATTTTGTGTTCAAACGTAAATGAATGCGTACGTGAAGGGTCTCGAAAGAATAGTTTGGTGCAGGTACATGAGAATCTACTCCCGGGCTCCATATGTCTATTTATGATCAAGAAAATGATGTTTAAGTTCCCAGAGTCACACATCTATAGCAGAAAGGAGACCAGGAAGGGGACCTTGAAAGGATGTTAGCATATACGTGGATGACATTAGAAGGTTAACAGAAGGTGAAATGAAAAGGAAACGGAAAGACGGTGTCAACAGAAAAAAGGAAAAGGAAAACTCCGAATGCGAACAGGAGACAGTGATATCTCTAGTTGAAGCGGAACCAAACCTGGAGCACGGCGTCTTGCTTACCCTGGCAAGCCGTTCCGATGGGGCCCAGACACGCTTATTTCCATTCCACCATTCCTCTCTGTCACGGCCGAGGAACCGGATTTCTCATGCACTGAGGGGGCGGCAAAGTGCAGGGAACATCTGCCAGAAATCAAGGTGGCAGGGAGGACCAAATGATCCTCGTACTCATGTAAAAGGGCAGCACTTCCTATAAAGAAAAGGGGGGATAGGCGTAGCAGTCCCGTTGAATTCATTGTTCACTGTGAGCTCCTATTTAAGCCCCGTCCAATCCTCTCCTACTTCACTCTGCCCAGTTACCGAAGGAAAGGCAATCAAAAACACTGGTATCAGCTTTCTAAGCTACACCTCTTCCCTCACCAAATTCTCTCCAGCCTGACTCACCATTGCTGCCCCTGAATCCTGGTGTAGTGTCTGCCACATGTCTTTAATTTTGTGTCGTTCAAGGAAGCCCACCCCTATAGTGACAGTCAATATGGTCAATGGCACCGTCGATGCAAGATACGGTATCCATGACGAATCATCAAGCTTGAAGATGCCAGTGCTGAAAATGCTCTGGTATGAAGGTCAGTCATTCAATAGCATTTTATCTGCGGAATTCACAAACGTATCTGGCAAGGATCATTTAATAGCACACTCACGGAAATAAGGCTGGCAGGAGCAAATAGCAAGGCCAAAATTGCAATCAGGTTGGTCTGTGTTGTCTCTCGATGACCAGTTATGTTGTCCATCTACACGAGTAGAATGTGCGAGATCAGATGGATGCCTGAATGATCCAGGGCAAGCTCAGAAGAGAAGAGAAAAAGGTGAGACATACCAGTTCAATCTGAACTGCGATTCGGTCTTTCAGACAAGCAATCTGCGCCTTACGACTCGAAGTGTGTGCAATCTCAAATTCCACGTCGTCTAGAACCGACGTCCACTCGCCTTTACTTAACCCCAGTTTAAGCCATTCCTGGAGTTTGTCCTCGGATGCGATCCTCTGGATTAATTGCCAGGCCGTAATCTCAAAGCTTACGGCATGGTTGACGAAGATTAAGTTGTTCTGGGCTAAATGCAACGCACTCATCGCCTGAAAGTAGTCATTCGGCCATCGTATTGCAGCCGTGCTCGGATCTTGCCAGGGCGTGGACTTGGTCTGCATTTCGGCGCGTAGGATATTTCCGTCCAAGATCTGTCGCTTGACCTCCGCGCTGTGGCCGCACTCCTTCATGAAGAGGGATAAGATCGCCAAAGGATTGTGTAAAGGAAGGTGCAGCAGCGTACTAATCACATGCTCGAGGTCCTTCCGCCAAGTGTCAAAGAAGAGACACGTCGTGGAGCCTGAAGCTGGATGAACCCGCATGGCGCACATGATCTCACGAACTGGAGCTTTCGGTGTAGAGACTAGTATGACTGTTTCTCAAAGTGAGTTTCAAGTCCTTGAGTCAACTGCAGGCTGTGTAAGAGGTAAAGACACAACGCACGAAGAGACTCGTTCCCGTTTCTGTCGTGTTCGACAAACCGTGCAGATGCTCCATGGATAGAGCAGATGACTTGTTCGATCCTCTCCGGTAACTGGAATCTTTCCATGATCTCCTTGAAAACGTCATGCTCAACGCTGAGAGGATGGAGAGTGCCGTTTCCATAGCCAGCTCTACAGTGAATGATCAACTGGTCAAACGGCTCTCCTTTCAAATGGCATAGATGACCGCAGTGAAGCTTACATCAGAGTAAAGGATCGTTGTTTAACTTCCTTTTGTCCCGCACTCGTGCATATATTTGGATTTAAGGCGACATCCTATTCGAATTATGGGAGTCTGGGTCAGTATATGGCGATATCAGCTTGCCGGACACAAATGGGAGTGCATACTCTGAGAAATTCCATTGTCTGAGCCTTGTTGCACCAACCCACCGTTGGAGTTTCGGTGGATAAGCCGTCAGGAGCTATAAACCATGCTTGAGCTTGCATCTTGGTTTCGGACAGGCAATGGATGCGGGTTTCTACAACATACAGGTCTTGATGCACAAAACTTCGGTCTCTTCCTGGAAATTTATATTGCAAGTCGTCTTTCGCAAACCCATTTTTCTGGAGGCGACATCTGGGATTTTGGAGGCTAGCATTTGAGGTGTCTTTGAATTTGTGGCTAGAGCAAAGAGAAAAAAAGAAGATCCATTCGAGCAAATCCAGACCATCTGTCCAACTCTACTTATATTGCGCGGTGCGATACCAGATCTCAGCGGGAATGAGGCCGGGAATGTTGAAAAGCAAGTCTCTTCCCGGCTCTACAAGCAGTTTGATGAGGCAGATGTCCAGGTAGTGGGGCCACGTATTATACAGGTGCAGGAGTCTCTGCATATTACTTCCGGATTGATCCAACTGTGGCTGGCTGAATACTGAACCCCGGTGCTACATCTCGTGTTCTGGTCCAGTAGAGAATGAATGAAAAATGGAAATAAGAAATGATCATCTAACCCGAAACTCACCCAATAGTCCGGTCCAATCGCCAGACTGCCCCGATGCTCCGAATCGACGGTCCCGCGACGGGCTGTGATGAGCAGAATCCGTTCACCATGCTTGCTGAGCGGATCTCACCCCCAGGAGCCAGCTTCGTGTCGTTTCTTATTTCTGTGAACTCTCTCTTTAGCATGGCCAGAACACCCGAGAGAGGAGACCTTGGTGGTTGATACATTTCGCAAGGGCGTTGCGACGCCTGGACTGAGTATATAGGATGTCACGGGTGGTTAAATCCCCACTTCGTTCCTCACCTAGCGAAGTGTTTGAGACTTGAGTCCAATTAAATTGACGAACATGTGACTCCATGATCACGAAAACAGTTCCTTATTGCTCTTACTTAATCCCCAGTGCGTCCTGTATTCCCTGGCGGTGGCTACTATATGCCCTTGATGGGTCAGCACTTCCGGCACCTCATCTGAAGGTCATTGATCACGCATCAACCGTGCCCGTCTTCAATCCCGAAAGCTTTGAAGATATGTGAAGATATCGGGCATACCATTCTGGATGTGGTTTTCTCCGGCTACTACTGAGTGGTATATCACCCAGCCACTCCAAATCTAACCGGCTCACCAGCATCAGTCGAGATGCCAAACCAGTAAGTCCCCAGACAGATCAGATGAAGAATGATTCTATACTTTCAATTTCCTATAAACACATCTTTCCTCAGTCACTCAATCGCCCTTGTCACACGCTCGCTATGCCCATCACTCGCCACCTGGCTCGTCAGATTCCATCCATGTGTACACACATTCTCTCGCACTCTCTCAGCCCACGCTGGTCAAGGTCTCGCTCGGATGGTTTGTATTTAGTCACACCATCATCACCTTTCAACTCTTCACAACACTTTCGACGCTCCCATCGTCTGCTCGCGCACTTTGTCGTCTTCGCCTTCAAAGCCATGACACCCATCATTGGCCCCGGCCCCACAATTCCCAGAGATACATCATATGACTGGCCTTGAGTAGTGAAACATCGCTGATGTCTTTCTCGTTATCTCTCTGAGTTCCTTCTGTAGTTTGGTCTGAAAAGCATCTCAATATGCGTAATTCCTTGCGGCAGCGGGGACAAGACGGTGCTAACTCCCAACCCAGAAAGAGCTGGCTATCCGTCAAGTCTATTTCTCTCGTCCAACATTCCACAGCACCTGCTATTTCATCATCAGACTGCCCCAATATACCCTGAGCCCAGAGCCGTCCAGACGCGTTATGCCCCACCTAGGCCCGCCTGTTATGCTTCATCAGGTCGGCAAACGCGCCGTTGAGCTGCTTCTTGAGCTCGGCATACGTGATGATAAAGTCGGTCTCGCCACTCCTGCTAGTGAGGCGCACGCGCTCGGCGGCGCCAGCGTCGAGCTTGTTGAGGCACGACACCATGTGACCCATGTCGAAGACGGGCCGGCCAGCCTCGTCGACACGGTGGAAGACGTAGTCGCGGAACAATTTGAGCGTGTAGCGCTCGCCGTTCTCGCTCCACCCGGGGTCGTTGTCGAATTCCTGCCTCTCGTTGACCATGCCCATCTTCATCAATAGCCGCACTAGCCGTCCGTTCTCGAGTTCCCTCTGCAACTCTGAATTCAGGGCATCTGTGTGCTGTAGGTTCTTATCCAGGTTCTCGATCACGTGGTGCGGCATACCCGTGATGAGTTGATCGGCGAGCTTCTCACCCGGTGTCAGGAGCCAGCCGACAAGATCTCTAAGCGCCGACTCGCCCTTCGGACCAGACGGGTATTTTCTCGCTATGGTGGCCATCTCGGCGTTGACGTCGACGAGCTGGCCGGGGAGTTTCCCGGCCCCTAGGCAGAGGATCAGCTTCCCCAACTGGACGAAATCGTCTTGCTGGTGCTCCTTGGTTGACCGATGGCCCTGATATTGGACTACGTCGAGGATCGCACACGCTGTGAGCCGTATCCTGTTCTTCTCGGTAAGTATGATCTTGCTGGGGTCAAGACATCTGGCGGACAGATCTCTCGCATGTATGGTTCGAAGCGCGTTCGCGATTTGGACAACATATGACCATATAACAGACTCTGGTATCTTGGGCGGAGTAGCTGGACCCCGGAACCGGTGGTCCTTCTGCGGTTGTGGGGTGAGATGCACCTCGGCAAGTGTTTGTGCCAGTGGGAAGTAGTCCTGAGCAAAAACGAGCGACCTGTCACCGAATGCGGAGGTGGTGAATGCATCATGAACGAAGACGACATTGGCGTTGTTGATTTGTTTCCACTTCTTGATGGTCTCGATGGCCTGGGTGGCTTCTCGGTCGCCGAGACGGTAGTCCTGAATCCTTCTAAGGCAGTAAACCCGCCCTGTCTTTGCAGAGAATGCCTTGAACAACCAGCTTGTCCATCCAAAAATGCTTGTGCTCTTCCTATGTGGCGTGTCGAGTTTGTCTAGGGGCACGAGGGAGTGAAAGTTTTCCAACTGAATTGTACTAGGTATGACTTGGAGGGCAGCGTGTGACTTCCTCTGCAGATCCTCCCTAAGATCATCTGGCATGAAGAAGTCGCGCGTCTGGCGTTGGTATGGTAGTAAGTCTTCCCGATAAGGGCCAATATTGGCATATAGATGGTAGGGAGGTGGCTGCAGCGGAGTGGCGTATCCCGCTTGCCCCTGGTAATATGCATTCGCCGAGGACCCAGCCAACGTCGTGTGGTCATTAGCATACGGGTTGTACTGAGCGGGAGCGATCGGGGTCGAGAAGGGATCGAAGGGCGCGATGCCAGCGTCTGGAGTCACGGCGGCAGCGCTGGCGCTCGCGAGATCATAGTTGTTTTGAGGAGTAAACTCCTTGATAGCGGCCGGGTTGAACAGACGTTCGGGTTCGGGGTTGTTGGAGGGTGTGGCAGCCCCGACGCCCCTGGGAGTGAACACGGCGGCGCTGGCGGCCTGAGAGGGCAACGAGGACTTCTTTGCGGGCTGCGATGATAGGCTCGAGGGGGTGAAGGAGGGAGAGTCCCCATTGAGGGCCTTCTTGGCGTTCTCGGAGCTGCTGCTTGCGTGGCTAGTCCTCGGGTCGTCGTGGTTGAAACTGCAGCCTGCGTTTTCATAGCGGCATTTGCCATATATCAGGATGTTCTTGCACGGGGTGTCTCTATCTGCTGGAGACGAGATACATCAGCGCATGGCTACGCGACAGGCAGGGGGAGAGCGAAGGCGGTGACTTCGACCCGGAGAGAGGGGGCCAAGGCAGCGAGCTGTGACGAGCTGCAGCACTGAAAGGGCGCGGAATCTCGACTCACCACGTCCCTTGGGCCTCGGCGACCCAACCTGCCGGCGCAAATCCGGGGCGCCGGCCATCGTGGCGGTTGGGACGGGGAGAGAGCTCCCCGTCAGTATTTTGAGGGGGCGGCGGTGGCAACGGCAACGGCAGCACAACGACCTCCTGGACCGAATCTACGACGTCTGCTTACATAGCCCATATCAGCAAACAGTGTCCCCGCAATCGTGTGACTCGGGCGAGAAGGAATTGGCGATCTGATCAGCTCGGAAGGGGAAAGAACTTGTCGCGAAGGGTGCCGTGGGGACCCCAATGTGGTCGGGCTGGCGGTGACATGGCTGCGAGACAAGACTGACAGAGAGAGAGTCTGGATGGTGGGGGTTCGCTCCCGCAAGAGTCGTTGGGTGTCAGCGTGCTTACTTGGATCTGAGGATTGTTTCCCATGGCCTTGTCCTCTGTGCCGTTACTCTGCCCATCGACCCTGTTTGGGAGATGCTGCAAAGCAAGAAGATGTTGGGCGAGGCTAGCGACGGGGTCGCACGAGGCAGAGCGAGGGCGAGGACTCGTCCCGATATCGTCGGTGTGGTGTCGTGTCGAGGCCTGGAGGGACCTGGCGGCTTAGGTGAAAGGGGGGTGTGGTTCATCGCACATCAATGCGCCCGTTTCGCTGTGGAGAGACGCCAGCTCTAGGGTCTCATCGCCGTGCTATTGGCTCAGACAGCCCTGACTGTCCAGCGGGTGGCCGGGTACCTGAGTACCTAGGTACTTACGTCCGCAGCGTGTTGGTACTTTAGATAGACTACTTGAACGTCTGAGTAAGGCTTACTCAAGTGGCAACAGGGTTAGGGTCCGATGGGGGAGAAGCTGTTCCAAGAGGCTCACTTCAACACTGACCTGCAAGGTAATATACTTACTATTTTAGATACACATTTGCTCTGGGCAATTTTGTTCGCCTTGAAATTGAATAAGTGCAAGACTGACCAATGTGTCTGAACCAGACCACGCCGTCTCTACAAATACACGCTGGTGGGCGAACCTGCCAGGGCCACAGCACTGACACCTCGGCGGCTATCAGCTAGGGTGGGGTTACTGCAAGCGGCCAGACAGGGAGAGACAGGCACTTGAGCATCCCTGCATTTCTTAGGATGCTTGCTGGCTGGCTGACTGCTGACGTCGCTTTGGTCGAGGTCAAGCACAATTGACCTGTGCTAACTTTCCCAACTCCTTTTTTTTTCCAACCACCACAACTACGACGACAGGAAACACCAGGCTCGTCCTGACCTGACTTGCTGACCATCCATCTGCGCGACCGTCAGCCAAGACAACCTCAGCAGTCAACCGGAGTTGCAGCCACGCTCGCTCTCATCCAAGTTCTGGTCTACGTAGGGCCAGCTATCTCCATCCCCGTGGCCCCATCCATCCGGTCATCGGCCATCCAACACGAGACCCCCAGCACGACAGCAGCCCTGGTATTATTGCAGCAACCTCTCTTCGGACACTGGATGGATTGGTAGAATTGGGACATCTTTGAAGAGGAGCGGACCGGAGACAGGGGAGGCACAATTAATTCGATCCAAAAAACACAACATGGCCGACTTCGACCTGGCCAGCCTCTCGGCCGGTCAGCAGGAAGCTCTCCAACAGTACACCGCCCTCACCAACCAAGAACCAAAGGACGCAGTTCCGCTACTGGAGCGGTCACAATGGAACGTACAGATCGCAATCACAAAGTTCTTCGACGGCGAGGGCCCCGACCCTGTAGCAGAGGCACAGGCACAACAACAAGCGCAGGCTGACGTGCCCCGGCCCGCCGGACGACACGAGAACCTCCAAGAGAGCTTCTACGCCCCGATAGGCAGGCCGCCACGCCGCGACCGCACCGAGCCCGCACCCCGCATCGTCCCGCAGCCGTCGACAACCTACCCAGTCCCATGGCTGTTCTCCCTCATCTTCGCCCCCTTCCAGCTCGGCTGGAAGCTGTTCGCCAACCTCTTCCGCCCCATCTACTACATCCTATCCTTCCTGCCGCAGTCGCTGCGGCCCCGCGCCGTGTCAAACTCCATCACCCGCGGCCTGCGCAACACAAATGGGCGTAAGATGCTCCTGCCGCGGGACTCGGCCGCGCGCTTCAGGCGTGAGTTCGAGGAGGAATATGGGTCCCCCGCTGGCGGCGGCCCTGCTTTGCCGTGGTTTGAGGGCGGGTTCGCCCAGGCACAGGATCTGGCCAAGAAGGAGCTCAAATTCCTCCTGGTGGTGTTGATGTCGCCCGAGCACGACGACACGGCGCCGTTCGCGCGCGACGTCCTCCTCAGCCCGGACGTGGCCGCCTTCCTGTCCGACCCTGCCGCTAACATCGTGCTGTGGGGTGGCAACGTCCTCGACAGCGAGGCCTACATCGTCTCGCAAGAGTACAACTGCACCAAGTTTCCCTTCTCCGTCCTCATCAGCCTGACCCCCAAGGAGGGCAGCACCCGCATGGGCATTATCAAGAGGCTGGCCGGCGCCACCACGCCAGCCGCCTACCTGTCGGGCCTGCGCTCCGCCATGGACAAGTACACCCCGGATCTGGAGGGCCTGCGCGCCGAGCGCGTCGCCCAAGAGACGTCGCGGAGCCTGCGGACGGAGCAGGACTCGGCCTACGAGCGCTCGCTGGCGCGTGACCGGGAGCGTGCCAGGCAGAAGCGCGAGGCGGCCGCCGCGGCGGCGGAGGCGGAGCAGCGTGAGAAGGAGCGGGCCGAGCGAGCCGCGGAGCAGGACCGCAAGCGCCAGCTGTGGCGGCGGTGGCGGGCGACGACCGTCGCGCCGGAGCCGCCGGCTAGCGAGGCGGACGTGGTGCGGCTGGCGCTCAAGATGCCCGAGGAGACGGGCGCGGGCCGTGTTATCCGGCGGTTCGCGGGCCACACGACGGTCGAGGAGCTGTACGCCTTCGTCGAGTGCTACGGCGTGCTGCAGGCCCGGGCCAGCGGCGGGGAGGACGAGTCGGAGCTGGACGACAAGGGCGCGCCGGAGGGGTACGAGCACGGCTACGGCTTCCGGCTCGCGAGCCTGCTGCCCAGGGAGGTGTTTGAGCCGACGCGGGACAAGACGCTGCGGGAGACTATCGGCAAGTCTGGGAACCTGATTGTCGAGGATGTCTTTGACGCTGAGGAGGACACGGAGGGTGTGGCTGAGGGCGAGCCGCAGATATCATAGAAGCCTGGTTGTCATGTATCACTAGATACATGACCCAGCAGTCTCTGGCTCCTGGAACGCAACTGTACACAACCATAGACTATGTGCCAAGTACGCTACTTCTCAAAACTGGTTCTGAAAGGGCAACGCGATTTGAGCGCAGGTGTTGCGGATAATCTGACTCTATTTTATACTTTTACTCGCTGGCGCGGTGAAGACCAATGTTTATAATACCTCACGTACCGTACATCTGTTTCAACCCATAACAACGCTCAACCGGTCCAGTGAACCACCAGTTGCGCGGTCATGCTCGTGCGCCGAGCCCAAGCCACAACCTGCTTATTGGAGATCATTTCTGCGAAGGTAGTCCTCGAGGTCTTCCTCCGTCGGGCGAGTGTCCCCGACAAAGCCAGGGGAGGGCGCGGGCCTCTTCGCAGCCTTGCCATCCAACTTCCCTTCCGCCTCGTCGGCCGTCGCGGAGTCGCTTGCCCGTCGTGCTGACGGGGGCGACATTCCCGCCTTGCCACCGCCTTCGGGGCAGCTGTCCTGGGTTCCAGCGTCCGCTGCCAGATGTTGCGTGAAGAGGTCCTTGAATTTGTCGCTCAGGGGGTGATTGGCCTTCATTAAGCGACCGTCATGTGGGTATGCCAGTGCATGCTCCGTCTTCCGCGTGTCCTTACCCTCGTCGGCCGTGGTCACCTCGCTTTGCGGACCACCAGCCGCTGAGTCGCGCTGCCCGAGACGCTCCAGCGACTCGCTCAACACCCGGACCCTGGTTTTCAGGGCGTGGATTTCGTTCCATGGGACTTTTGGGGCCATAAATCGGTACCATGTGGCATTGGCCCTCGCCTCCGTGGTAACCAGGTGCCGTGCCTGGTCCTCCAACTTGGCCTGCCTTGCGGTCTCGGACAAGACCTTCTGGGTGTCTGCGGGTTCGGGGACGTCGGCATCACAGAGCTTGGCACCACCTCCTTCTGAGTCTGTGGATTCGGGGACGTCGGCATCACAGAGCTTGGCACCGCCTCCTTCCGGGTCTGTATCATCGCGCTGGCCATCAAGGAGGCCGGCCCAAGGCCGCTAGTCCTTGGGAGCCTCGGCAATAGCCTCTTTGGCGTTGTTAACAACGAAGGCGCCGCCGAGCAGTATAGCCGGCTCGTCGACGCTGTGGTGCTCGTAACTAAGAGTACCCACACCGCCAGCCTCCATCAGGAAGGTCGGCCCCTCCTGAAGCGTCTTCCCCACCCATCTCATGGCGAAGGCGCGCAGGATGTGCCCGTGGCCCACGACGAGCACGTCGCCCGTACCGTCGTTGGAGGAGTAGTTGTCCTTCTTTGGATGGTCCTCCTGCATGAAAGGCGCCTGGTACTCGGAGCGAATGGTGGCGATCAGCCTGTCCAGGCGCTGGGTGACCTGCTCGGGCGACTCGCCGCCGGGGCAGCCATCCCTCCAGATGTCCCAGTTCTCGCCGAGGCCCTGTTCCTTCCTCCGCTCGCGGATCTGTTTGCTGGTGATGCCCTCGTAGTCACCGTAGTCCCACTCGCGGATGTCCTCGGTGATTTCTATGCGCGCATTGCAGGCTAGGCCCGGGGCGTCACCGACGGGGCCGTGGGCGTCCCAGGGTAGGTCCTTGAAGCCGAGGTTGAGCAGCTCAAAGGTCCGCTGGGCTCGCTTCCGCGGGGAGACGAAACTGTGGGGTACCGGTCAGTGTCGGTCTCACGCAGACGACGACTTGCTTGCTTGCATGGCTTCGCAGTGAACCCGCGCTTGGAGAGGCGGTGATTGGGACTGACATGTGAGTGAGCTTGTTCGGCACGATGAGCCTGTCGTTGCCAACGAGAGCCCTCCCGGTGGCCCTGACTCTCTTCTCGCCGTCTGCGGTGAGGGGGATGTCTGTGACGCCGGTGTGCTTCCCGCTCAGGGACCACTCGGTCTCACCATGGCGGGCAATGAAGACGCGTGGGGTTGACATGATGGGACTGTCCGGGTGGGGGTGCCGAGCGACGGCGCGCGCATAAAGCTGTCAAAAACTCTAGTTCGGAGTAAATGCCGTGACCAAGGCGGGCGATGGCGTCGAAGAGCCGTGAATGGGTCCGGTTCTGGGTGGTGAGTGGTGCGTGAGCGGTGCGTAGGCGGCGGTGGTGTTTCAGCAGCTCCGCGTTTCTGACACTCAGCGAGACAAGGTGAGACGAACCAAACTCCGATGGGGGAATGTTAACGGGAAGGGAGAGGCTGTTGATGGTTTCAACAGGCTGAACTAGGCCAAGTCTCAACGGCGGCCGAATCCTGGGTCTCTGTGATTTATCCTCTGTTTTTCCTTTCGTTGAGGTTGTTCCTCCTTCCTCGTTGTCTTCTTCGTCCGGGTGGACATCATCGTCATTATATGCCATCCAGCAGTAGCTAGCAGCCAGCCAGTACCCGCCATCGCCCGCTGGCGCCTTGCAAGGAAGGAATCAATCAATTGAGCAATGGCACCCACACCCATACCCGCAGCTCCGCGCCGCTTACTAAGGGCCCTCTCGCGCGCCCCGCGCCTGCCGAGCCAACCGGGCGCCGACCCCGACTCCCCAGCATCGAGCCCAGAAATCGAGTTGGATCTGCTGGGCCCACAAGGAGCGAATGGGGCCGCGCATGCAGATCATCGGCCTGCAGGCGACCAGCAAATCTCATCAGTGCGACGACGTGTCACACAGCTCTCAACGACCGCTGCTGCACTAGAATCACCAGCCTCCACCCCGTCATCTTCACCATCAACCACGCCCACACTTCCGCTTCCTTGGCCATCACAGCCTCCTGGACATCTTCGCAGCCACAGGCGGAACGGCTCTGTCACCAGTCTTGTCTCCGACACATCTTCCTCATCAACGGCGTCAGAGACAGGGAGCATAGGGAGCCCGCGCCGGAACACGAGCACGAGGTCGCAGCGGGAAGCAGAAGCAGAGTCCGTCTGGAGGGAATTCTGGAGCTGAGTTTGCAGGGACCGAGCTCCACCCAGCAAGAGCAACGAGGTTTTGGTCACCGTCTTTCTCTCATCATCGCCGGGCAGGAGCCAGCCAGCCAGCAAACATGCTGCGACGCACTCTCGCGCCAACCGCAGCCAGGAGCCTACGGCGGTACGCATCCACCTCGGGCAACCCCGCGGACCGCAACTCGGCCAGCCGCCAGAACTTCCGCCGCGTGGTCCTGACCGGGGCCGTTGCCCTCATCACTGCGGTCGGCGCCATCACCGGCGCCAGCCTCAAGGGCGACAAGGACGTCGTCACGCAGAGGCAGAAGGTCCAGGAGATGCCCATCGCCGAACGCATCGCCATGATAGACGCCCGGCGCGCCGAGCTGCTCAGGGCCAAGGCCGACCTGGACAGGAAGCTGGCGAGGCTGCAGGCAAGGATGAGTGGCGACGCTGCCGCCAAGGAGGGAGGCCAGCAGAGGGACTGATCTGAGAGGAGAGATGAGGAAATCAGCATACACAAGGCCGCTCGCCCGCCACACTCATACATCTATCGGACTGTGCGTTGCCCACTTGTGGGAGGTGATGGAAGAGCCTGGGATGGCCGACGACAGATGTGAGGGTTGAGCCACAAGATCAGGCTGTGGCGATTCTCAGTTCGTGGTGAACTACGTGAACTTTGCGTGAGAGGGAATCTGCTGCCGCGCCATCGTCGCCATGTCCATGCAAGGTGTCGACGAACAGAGCCGACCAACGACATGATGGGCTGGGGCGTTTACGACGAACGAGGATAACTCGAGGCTGGCCAACTATTGCAGGAGGTAGTCATCGCCTTGGATGTCATTGAAGGGAGGCTTCTCTCCAGGGCAGGGCACATACACTCACGTACAGAAATGCGCCAATGACCCTATCCGATCTCAGTCTTCATCTCATCAGTCAATTTTCGTACCACAAATCCAACAGCCGGCGGGGTGGCCGATTCGGGAGAGCGGGGGGCACGAAAGCCCCCGTTAGTACCGAGTTCAAATCCCGCCGGCACCACCAGCAAAACCCTAATGATTCCGACCCGGCCACGGCCGGGACGAGGAGAAGGGTTTTCTGACTTCCGGGGCCACGCCGCCGGGAGGGTCTTTTTGGCCAATTTGGCCTGTTCAGCTCTGGTGGTGCTGCCTCCTTTTTGGAGGTTTGCTACTTCCTCAACGCCGCCAGGTACTACGGTCTGCAAGATGAGGCATTGCTAGCAGGACCTAACCTCGCTCGAGGTGGAGCAAGGTTGATGGTCTGGTGTTGCTCCATTCCTTCCAAACAAAATCAGCCATAGCACCAGACCCACTGAAGCTCAGATTGTTTGGGAACATCACGACGATGACGGAAGGATCTATATAAACGTGGGCACAGCGATCGCGAAATGCATGGGGAAGTCACTCTGTACGATGGAAACCGTAGACTGGACTCATAAGAACTATTTTTGACTAGACGATGTACACTAGATCAATCGATACCCAAAATTGAATTATCAACACGACTTCCAAGCATTCGCTCGAGTCATTCTCCAGCGATATAAAGTGCACATCAGAATCAACGGCAGCCCACCCTCCTCCTCCGTTGCTATCAAGGAAAGAGAATCACCCCAATCCTCTCCCCGACATCAACTATTTTCCACCTTACCATTGGCCCAAGCGCACCCTCGCTACAGACCCGAGCAAGCGGGCAAGGGTCGTCGTGAAGCCCGTCTCTAAGAAACCGACCTGTAACAAAACGCCTCACCCTCGCCTCGCCTTGCCGATTGCCCCATAAAGTGGTGGATCTGGATCGGCCCCTTCGTCCCCCCTTTGCCCCTGAGCGAACCCGTTTCGAAAATTCCCCATCCCCCAGTCAGCTAACATGACCCCTATTCAAACAATTTTGTTTACCATTCGGTAAGCTTTCGCGTCACCGGAGGAAGAGAGGGGAAAATGGAATAGGCTGATCACTTCGGAGGAAGAAAAATCCACGGTGGGCCCACCACTTTCAACAATGAGCATGTTTGCAAAAATAGTTCAGATCAACGCCATCATTCGGCAACGCACATGCCATTTTGTGTTCTGGTATCATTAAACTGTACTAATTTTGTGTGTGTGTGTGTGTGTGTGTGACGCAAACGAGGAGGTTTGTCTATCACCGAAAGCGCCGACGCCCGTGAGACCGCCGCCATGGTGGCTCTTCCGTCTTCCCGTCCAGGCCAGCCCGTCCGTGTTTTCCCTTTCTTAAATAGTGACCAAGACCGTATTGATCAGCCTCCGGGTCGCTCTATGTCCGGTCGTCACAGTCCCATTTATCCCGAGCCACAGCCCAAATGCATTCCTTTCCTGCCAGTCTTCCGTGTGTTGCCTCCCATGCGCTCAAACAATCATGAGGGAGGACTCCGAAGACGGCTCCGTTGCATCAGCCCCAAAACGCCCAAACGAGGAAAAGTCCATCTCAGAAGGCCTGAGTACCAATCATCATGCCTCCTTCCCATGTGCACAATGGCAATATTAAAAATATACATTCAAAAAGTGAATTGTAAGAATCCCTATCGATTGTTGGGTTCAACGTCGATGTGGGTAAGTGCCGCGAAATCGTCCTCAGCCCGGTTTCTGTCTTATGAAGAAGTCGGTGTAAGCGACTGTGAAGACAAACGGTTCATGTCCGTCGGCTCGGGGGTTCGGGGCGGCCTAGGAATTGCTTCTATCTCTTGCTTTGTCTCAGTTTCCGCAGGCTTTCCAGTTTCAGCCGACGTGGGTTCGTGAACGATAACCGATTTGTCATCTGAAGTATCACTGTTGTCCTCAGGAGTGTGCGATTGACCACCCGGAGTAGTCTCGAGAGAGCTTTCTTCCAGTGGGGTCGCAAAGTCTTCGGCATTGTCATCGTCCTCGGGGCTTATTTCCCTCACGTCGTCCAGTGACTTCGGCTCTTCTATCACAGAGAGAGGCTTTTGTTCCATGTGAACGGGCTCTTCCTGACTCGGACGGGGACTTTTCTCGGCCATGCTGTTGGAGTGCCCATGGAAGCCCTGAAGGATTGGACGGACGCCACCTCCTATGCGAGACCAGAACATATTTTCCCTTAGTCTGACACTCTCCTCCCACGCGGATTTCTCCGAGTCCTCGTCATCGGTCCGCCAGTGGCCATCTTTGACGATCCTCAGGAAACCGAGGAAGTCACATGTGGCTCGCACACGGCTGAGACAATACCGACAGAGAGGGTAACGCTGCGAGGAGCTGCTCTCGCTGGTGCGGAAGCGGTATCGTCGGAGGTACTGGTCATCCTTTCGATTCTCCCCGCAGAGGGAGCACGGATAGAACTGCGGCTTGGAGAGCATGGCATATGTGCCCGTTGTTGGAACAGGTTCAACAACCAAGGAGCCATCAGACATGGCTGAGATAACCGAGCGCCGTGCCAACCAGGACAGGCCCGGGGCCATGTCCAGGCGAAGCGTCGGCTCGACATCTTCAGCAAGTACCCGTTTGTAGAATTTGCAGTCCTTCAATGGCGGAATCGGAACCATAGATGCGGTGGACATTCCGCTAACGGTGGAGCCTGGAGTATTCGGTGTCTGTATGGACAGTGTAGAAGAAGCCGCGGGTGATCCCATTGATGACAGAGACGCAGTAGAGGCGCTAGAAGGTATGCCTATGGAGGTGACGCTGGAAGCCGGTCCCAGAAGGCCGAGGCCGAGGGTGGAGTGATTTCCTGATGGCGGTCGGCTCGCGGGCGTTCTCGATGCCTTGCAAAGACTCACGAAGTCATCATAAGCGCCAATGTCGTTGCGAAGGACCGGTTGCAAGAGATGGGTGAAGCTCGTGGGGTAGGATGGAGACACGAGGTCTGGGATGCCGGACTGCGAGCCTAGATCCGACGTGGGCGTGTCGTCCTCTCTCGAATCGAACTTGCTGTAACCTGGGGATGATGGCGTTGTCGTCGCGGTGTCGTTGTCATGGTCGCTCATTTGCTCCATGACGTGCTTCAACTCGATCAACTGTTCTTGTTGGGACTGGAGCAGACCTTCTGTGTCGGCCAGCTGGGCCTTGAGCGCGCTGTTCTTACGCTGCAAGACCTCCTGCTCCTTGCGTGCCTCCTCTTTGGCCGAGATTACCATCTTGTTGGCCTCTTCGAATAGTTCGGTCGTCAGGTTTTCCAACTCTTGCTCGATTCTTCTTTTCTCATCCTCGGCCTCCAAGCGCAATCTCTTTTCGTCAGCAATTCTAGACAGCAAGTTAGTCTTCTCTGCCTCTGCCGACTTGCGCCTGATCCAAATATCGCCAACCAACATTTCTCTTTGCTTTTCAAGCTGGACCTCCATGGACTGGATCTGCTCCCGTGCCCTCTCAAGCTCGGCGCGGGTCTGCGAGAGGTTGTCGTCGAGAGTCGTCTGGTGATTGATGGCGTGGATGAGCTTGGAGCTAAGATGTGCGACCTCGTCGTTCAGTTCGGGGTGTTGATGAACACTCGAGGCATCGTCGGCGTTGGATGGTGTCATCGCTCTGCTTCGAGGGTCGGGGATTGTGGTCAAGTCAAAGTCGCTTTCTTGTATGCCGGCGTATATTCTCTTGGGCTGTGACTGGGGCGTGACGGGCATCGCCAGCGAGGAGACATCGGCGGCCATGTTGGAGGTCTGGGTGTTTGACCTGGGCTTCGCGGAGGCGGGGAGCGAGCTGACAGTAGGGGTGGTGGAATTTGACTGAGAGCGCAGGTGACCTAATCGTGACTGTTGTGGTGCCGGGCTCGCACTGGGGCTATGGTGGTATTGAGACCATCCTGCGGCCACTGTCATAAATCTGCGCCATAGCAAGTTAGTCGTCTGGGTTTTGACCTCCATCTGAGGTTGAGGTCGGCGAGGGAGGCGGGATTGAGGTCAAGTGGAGTGGATCCAGTATAGGGGACGCGGCTCGCAAGAACGAAGTCCCTCATCATAGGCACACAAGAGCAACAACACAGCTACGAAGCCGAGGCGAGGCGGGTGAGGAATGCGGTCATGTATGTGTGTAGAACACACAACGCTGTGGTACCAAAAAGGGCACTCCCACTCAGGGACAAGGGAAGGGAAGGTGCGGTACGTACGAATCCAGCTTGGCGGATCAAGGGCAGAACCAGCGACGGTCCTGCGAGACAAGAGACTAGATTGGTGTTTGATATGGAGGCGAGGAAGGAGACAGGGAGTGTTGTGCTCCAGATCGACGGCAGGGAGAGACAAGTGAATGTCTCGGAGGTCGACGGTACAGATGCGGTGGCTAATAAAAAAAGGTGAGGAACGGCGATGTGCCGAGCAGCTCGGTACAGCTCAACGGGCCGGTAAATGAGCTGAGCTGGGCGAGCTGGTGAGCAAGCAAAGCGCGTCGTGACGGATCGAGTCGGGTCCGATTCGAACAGTCGAGCACTCGAGCGCACGTCGGGGGTGGTGAGACCTCTTGAGCCGAAGGAATGGCGTTTAGAGACAGATTAATATTAAAAGGTGGCCATCCGGAAGGTAGTCGGTAGGAATTGGCCTAGGTGAGGGTTGACAAGCTGCTGGAATGTGCGGGTGGTGCAGGAAAATTGAATAGAGAGTACGAGCGGTAGGAGTCCGAAGATACGGAGAGATAGAGCTAGAGATAGATAGAAGGAAGGGAAGGGAATGTGTGGGGTGTTTGTGACTAGGTAGGAAGGAAGGAAGGAAGGAAAGTTGAGGGGAATGACGAAGCAGCTTTACGAGATGCGATATATTGTTGCAAAGAATGGACGGAAGGCGCCTGGGGAGGGTGGGAAGGAAGGTGTGTGTTCGGGAGGAGGCGAGGCGAGTTAGTCCAGGGCCAAGGTCCAGGTGAGGAGAGAACAGAAAAGCACCCAATTAGGGACCCGCTCGCAAGGTGCAGGTTGCAGGTTGCAGGTGCAGGTGCAGGCGCAGGCCAGCAAGCGGCACTGGCAAGCAAACGCCAACTGAACAATTGATCGGATGCCCGGCGGATCAGGAAGGCGTGAGGGTGGAGCACGCAGTCTTGCACAATCAGCAGGGACGACCCAGGTCGCAGGTGAGAACCGAGATCAGACGCTAAAACGGGAAAGTGCCACTATAATTGGCCAGAAAGCAGGAGGAGCCTGCAGGGTGCCGAAGTACGTACTTGGTCTGCTGGGACTGTATGACACCCTGATGCCCCGGCACCCCGGTACCCCAGTACCTTCCTGGACCGGCACGTTCTGCTGTGGCCTGCGGTATTCTGGGCGGCCAAGTCGTGCAGCGGGCGACCGACAAGGTTCACCTCACTTCGCCTCGCCGCAGCACAAGAAATTCGCAAGTCAGACCACCCCACGGACCGCCCCCCAGCGCTGTATGTCCGAGTTGCACAAACTATTCATGAGCAGGGCGAGGGCGACAGGCATGAATTTCCAGTTCTGCACTGCACGGTGCCGCAAACCAAAATCAATTAGTCCTCCAACCTTCATCAGTCTGCCATGCATCCGGTCTGTTCATTCGCTCTCACCTAATCCGTCACTGGCAGTCGCATCCGTCTTTAGCGCCCGGGAACGGAAACGGGGCGGAGACAAACGTCATCAGTGGCCCAGCGACTTGGACCAACAGAAATCCCTCGTGCTAATCTCGGCCCCAGGCGGCAGGCCTTTTGTTCTTGCCCACGACGCAGCAGGGAAGAGCGCTGGTCAAGCCACGCGAGCACGGGCTGGTCCAAGTGCTAACTCGACAACGAGTAGCCTGGCAGGCCTGGCAGCAGCAGCCTGGGGCTGGTATGCTTTTGTACGGCGTAATAAAGTAGTACGAGTACGACGGCGCGCACATCGCGCTACTGCCGTCGGCTGCCCTGGTGGACAAAGTTCTTCGCTGTTGGTGCGGTCATCAGTCGTCAGTCATCAGCCATCATCAATTCCTTCTTGTGGTCGGGTTAGAACCCACAGAGCCTCCGACCCCGACAACAGCAGCCGCGTGCGGACCACCATGATACACATATGCCCACTAGCTGCATCGTCCCTCAGGGCAGGTGGTATGCTGGAATCCTCCTCACCTGATCAGCAACATCACTTGACTGACTAGGTAATCCTCAACGCTGAGAGCTGGCAGGGAAAAGTGGGGGTTGGCCACAACCTAACGAACACTCTCGTCGAAGCATTCGGTCGCCAATCGTTGCTCGTCTGAGTCTTGGTTTGACCACCGGTCCATCCCGTAACTCCATCACACAGCACATTCCCACGGCTCAATGCATCATTGCTGCCGTCTTGGCGCCAGCAGGCTCCCATTGGTTGGTCCTGCGCTGGCGGGTTGGCTGCATTTGTTGGATCGCATCAGACAGCCTGCTTCGCCGTTCCCTCGGCTGTCGGGTCACATCCGCTCGCTGTAACAGTCAGCAGCGAATGCGACGCAGCGACAACTCACCCCCCCCCCCGGAACCCCAGCAAGGCTCGCGGCCCCTTGCATCTAGAACACGGGGTCTTACACAGTCCTGTGGTAGTGAATCTGCTGTGCGCCCAGTCAGCCAATACAGCTGACGCTTGTTTCCCTTCCTGTTAGATTGAAGGGCACCGACACTGGAGACTCTCCCTCCACCCCCGGAGCCTCCTTCAAACGCATCAGACGTCGCGACAGGCTTCGACAGCCTGCCAAGTCCCCAGCTGGAAAATGCGAAAAGAACACGAACCTTGGAACCGCGGGAGCTGCGGGAGCTGCCACCTTTGTTTCGCAAGGCTGCCCCTTGGTGCCGGGATCTTCAGACGGGGGGACGAACCACTGCCGAGACGCCCCAGACTCAAGCATCTATCACATCCGACTCCATACCGACAATCATACATCCACCAGGGCGCGCCGTCTTGCGACACCACACAGTACCGTCGTTCCGTAAACCTAATCTACACGGCACATGCCGGCTCGCACCTGGCGACTGGCTCTGTCTCCCTCAGCAGCAACACCGGACAGCGCCAGTCAGACATCAGCGATTGAGTGCCTTGCCATCCGTAGGACACCCCGAATTATTCCAGTACTGCATTACGACAAGAGGTGTTTCATGGCTCAAAAGTGTATCGCGTCGACATCTTAATAATTGTCCCGTCCCATATGCCGCACCAACAGGAAACGACGTTCAGACGAAAGTATTCGTTTCCGTCGTCTGTGGGTTCAATGCAGCCTCGCTTGGCCCATCCCGCCTTTTCTCCATTCGTCTCTCCTCTGTCCGGTCTATCTGCCTGGGTGGTACTCAACCCTGTCGTCGATCTTCTCCCGTCCGAGGTCCAGCGCAGCCTCGCACCTCAATCTATCAGTCGCGTCTCCTTGTTGCTTCTGACAGAGTTCACTTTTCAATTACTCGAACCCTCCATCTCTGCGAAGTTTCCATCGCTTGCTTTTTTAAGCTCCTGTCAAGGTTCCAGCCCAGTTCTAGCCTTGCTGCCACTTTAGACTCACATCCACTTGGCAATGTGTTTCAGAAAATACCAGCGTCGTGGGCGCCCGCAGGGATTCTCCCGCGCGCAGCACTTCCCCAACTCTGCGAATGCTGCGATCTCTACCGCTGTACCATTTGGAATATTGAACTAAGAGGGCTAATGATAAGCTTTTATGTTAAAATAGTGCTGCAGGTGCTGCTTGGGTCTAGTGTTACAACCAGATTTCCGACGATATCTCATCCAGCTGGAGTCGAACCCGACTGGACAAGCCATTCGGAGTTTATGGTCAATGCTCAGGAACGCCGAGGCACGGGCAGCATGTTTTCGTTCTCGTCGTCCTCGCCCCGGCTTCGCAATCACAATCATTTGTATCTAAGACTTCGAAGGCCAGTCACAGGGTCTTACCAGTCGCCGACGAGCACCGTGTAGCCAGAGGCAAAGTGGCATCCTGGAGTGAATCGGTGGCGCCTTGACCTGGACAGGGGCTTAACGGACGGACGTTAACAACCTGAAAAGCCGCACGAAGAGTGGTTTGGCCAGGATCGCCCAGCACGGTCTCGCCTCAGAGCCCAATGGACATCAGCTGCTCCCACGGAGCTCTAATCAGCCACTGAGGCGACTTTTGACTGCATCGGAGAAACCCTCACATGGCCATTATCCTAGATGCTGATTAGGTACTATCATTTTGAGATACGAGCATATTTGGATTATTTCGGCGGGAATCAAGGTGGTCTGAGAAAACGTGTAGCTGCTCGATATCTTGACTTGCTGATATCTCTGCAAGCTGTCGGTTCGGAGCCAAGACATCTTCGACTCACTTACCAGTCGATGTCTAACTTTAGTGACCTCCATATTTTTTGACGTCTGAGGAATCGATCTCAACATCTTTTTTAAAAAGAAAAACAGAAAAAAAGAAAATAGAAACATCCCAAGAAGCTGACATGAAATCGACTGTGATCAAACCGTGAGGAAAAATAGTACAACATGTAATAGTGAATAGTGTAAAGAATATCTTGGCGGCTGCCCTTCCCAAGTACGTCGGGCAGACGCGCTTAAGACGGCCTCTGTTGAAGACTAACTACCAAGTCACCTTCCACAGAAATGAGTTGCATAGTAGCTTCCAGCTGAGATGGACACAGCCACATCCCACATTCTACACGCAGCTGACCTCCGCTAAAGATCAGCCCATGTCAAAAACCGGCAAGCTCTTTTAGTTATGGGCAAGCCTTCAGGGAGAATCGCGATATATCACCAATGCCGTTTTCAACGCTTCGTGGGAGAGGGCTGAGCCTGCATTAGCGTTGATAGAAACAATCTACTACATATTGTCGTAGCCGAACCCACCGCGCCCTTCCCACCGCGACCAAAGCCTCCTCCTCTCTTAATGCTTAATGCTATTGTGAAAGAAAAAAGCAACCGCCGATCGTCGTGGACTGATACACCGAATAATCTCCAAAGCTGTGACAAGTGCGCTTCACAGGGACGATTATTCAGCGGAATCACATATGTCCAGAGGCTCAAAGCACACTCCGACTCGGTGCCCTTCCGGGTATCTGGCTACCGCTTGTCAGTTGGTTTCTGGGCCCGGCGAATGAAGGACGCTGTGAATGAGCTAAGACAAGAGACTGTGAGCACAGCACGGTGCGAAGCACAACCCCGGCCTGACCTAGATTAACAACCGCCATGGCTCGTAGAATCGCGCTGTGAACCATTGTCAGTACACTCCTCTTCCAGGAGGGAGATACACCCGCGTGCTCGAGCTGCACCCCGGAGCAGGCGATGAGCCTCTGCGCGGCACCCTCTCAGATGTCTCCCTGGACGACTCCTCGCTCGAGTTCGAAGCACTCTCCTACGTCTGGGGCGCGGGGTACGAGAACGCAGGCACAGTCAGCCTCGGCGGCGGCCAGTGTCTCGAGCTACGGCCTAACCTCACTGGCAGTCCTTGGCTATTTATGTGTTGTTTATGAGAGTGTGTTGACCTGCCATTTTCTTTTTGGAGCTTCTTGTTTGATTCCTTCCTGTTCATCTTGGCCGCGGCGCCCGAGGAGTCCAGATGTCTGCATGTTGCGGCCAAGAGGGTGTTGGCCCGGATGGGCTGGCCAGCCGCCATCACAATCCAATAGGACGCGTTTGCAAGACCAAAGCTCCACATAAGGATCACATGTTGGTTCCCAGTTGCGAATAGCTCCTCACAAACTTCCTTCACGTTCCAAAGAGGTTCTTCCCACATCCTTGGCCGTCAGATACTTCAAGCATTTAGTTCTTATCGGTCCCATCGACCATCTCCTTGTTGTCGATGTAAACCTTCTCGTACCCCACCATGATCTCTCCCCTGGTAGAATCGATCCGGCCGGCCTCTGACTCCCGACCGATCTCCTGATACTCCGGATCGCTGGTAAGGGCCATAATGTGCTGGATATCCCGGGCCCAATAGGTGAGAACCGCATGTGAGCTGATGACGGTCCACCCTGGGCGGACCTTTTCCGCTGTCGCGGCAAGAGCCTCGGAGACATTGCTCGGGCAAAAGGTGTGACGCCACGGATCATCTAGTCATCAGCCAGGCACCAATACAAGCGAGGGGCACTAACAATGGAATATTTCATGACCTCGTGTCTCTGAACGAGATTCACCCAGGCAGGGTTGATGCTCTCGGAGACATGCCTTTCGAACTCCTCGTCAGTCTTGCTTGGGTCCTTGTAGTGCAAAGCCGAGACCTTGAGGACATCGCGAGAAGCCATTTTGGCGTGAGGTGCAATGCGTGAGTACAAGATTTTGCCGATGAGGAAAAGATATCGTGACCTGACATAACGTGAGGGTCTCAGGGGCGAATACAGTTTGCTTCCTGTCAAAGTAGATAAGAATTGGAAGGTGATGCGATGTATGCCTTGTGGGCTGATGGACGAATCTTCTGCTACCAAATGGTCTTAAGCAGGACTTCGGGCTTTTTTAAACCGTCTCTCTGTTGACCGTCAGACAAGGTCTAGGAGTTGGTCATGGGTTAATAACGACGGGATCAAAACCCAACTCAAAGGATTCTCGCAGGACACCAACAAAATGGAAGCATGCGCCGATTTGTTGGCCTGTTTATGTGGATCTGTCAATGAGGATCCGGCCCAGCTGTGCGCCATGCCTCATCGGCGCATATAAATTGTGAATCTTGCAACTGTCCAATGACAGCAAAACCACGTACGTCAATGTGCTGGGGTAGGCGGAAATAAATGAACTGAAAGGGCACAACTGTTCATGATCAGTCGAGGGGCGGCGGACTCAGCCAACGCGATCGCAAAGCCTACATGTAGGTATGCAGATGATAAAGACAGCCCGTAACCGCTGTCTTATCCTGCAATAACATCTGTCCCTTAGTCTTAACTTCAGCATCCGCAACCAGCCCGCTTCTAGCACGAACTGGCCGCTTTCAACCTCCAAGAATTTCCCTAGGTGTCTAAACTTGTTCAGCGCTCAATTATGTCGATCCTGCACCTCATACCGGTGGTCACGTCCACCGTGTCCCTATGGTTCGCCTTTGACCAATACTTCTTCCTCGGTATCTTCCTGCACAAGGACGTCGAGCCGGGAGCCAAGCACGTACTCACCCCTTACTGGAACACGATGTTCGACACCGGCCTTGGCCATGTCATCGCGCCCCTCGTCGGCACTATAGCCTCTACCGTCGCGATCCTCACCACCACCTCCACGGGGCTCCTCCGGGACAAGGGCTCCTGTTGGTGGTATATTGCCAGCGCCTTCTTTGCCGCTGGCCATTTCGCCTTCGTCCCTGCCGTTCTGCCCAAGATCAGGAGTCTGTCGAACGGAGGGCTGACGCCCGCGCTCCGACAGTGGATGCGCGTACATGTTACCCGCGCCATCACCGTGGATCTTTTCTGCTGGGTCGCTTGCCTTGTTGCCAGTGCGAAGACCTTGTCAGCTTGACAGGAGGTAGGGGCGGAGGAGGGGAGGAAGACACTGCCGCGAGTGTTCCAAGGTCGTAGGTAAAAGCTGGTTGGTGTTCTATTAGTAGTGGCCAAGAAGTACAGCTCGCAAGGGTTCCAAATTATGTCCTGTAGATGCATATTATCCTCAATTTTCTAGGAGGTAGCTCTGTCATAAAATTCAGCTTCGGAATCTGCGGATCTTCAATAAGTCTGGAGATGCACACTGTTCCCTGATACGCTCCTCCATTTATTCGTTTGTTGAGAAAGACTTCGCTGAGAAATAAAACGGCACCAGGGATTTTTTGCTACTTAGGTAAATCCTAATCCAACGATATCAACTTCGAGTACAGAGCATTTCACGATATGGCAGCCTCAGACCCGGTTTCCCGAAAATATGGCATCGTTGTGCTCGGATCCTCTGGCTTCACCGGCACGACTTCAGGATGGTATGCACGCACATCGCGGCCAAGTTTCCCACAAGTCTCAAAGGGGCAGTCGCCGGCCGGTCACGGGATCGCCTCGAGAAGCTGGCAGCAAAGTTAAGAAAAGAGTACCCCGATCGAGTACAGCCAGGTGAGAAGATGCAGTCGGCGCGGTTGGAAAGGTCGATGGAAATTTGCTGACTTACGCCAATTAAACCTCGAGGTGGTTGCGCCTGATGACGCGCGGACGCTCGGAGAAGTCATTGGGAGGGCCAAAGTGTGCCTCAGCAGCGTTGTCTACGCCGTTGACGGAGACGCCATCATCCAGGCGTGCATTGAACAGCGAACTGACTATGTCGACTGGTTTGTTCTGTCTTTCTTCTCCGCCTCTCACTATATGGTGTCTAACAGTGATTCGCAGCGCCGCGGTCCCCACCCTGATTCGAGACTGGGTCGCCAAATACCACAAACAAGCTGAGGCAAATGGCGTTGCGGTAAGTGGCACCACCGAATCCTGAACGCGGGATGCGGCAGCTGACAGATTTCATCAACAGTTGATTCACTCTTGCGGAGCCATGACGGGAGAAATGGACCTTTTCGCCATTCACGCCTGCCAGGAGATTAAGCACAAATGGTCGGCACAGATGGGGAAGACGACGCCGCGGGCCGATGATCTCGAGTATGCAAGCACCCATCATTTTGAAAGCTACTTGATTGTGGAGTTTGCACGGCTAATTTAAAATCGCCAGCCCCAACGTGAGCGGCGGTACCATGCGGACGATGCTCTCATTCGCAAGCGGAGGCCCGAAAGCCATCGCCGCAGCCGGGCACCCGTCGTTGTTGACGCCACCTGCAACTCCCTACACGAACACCCTCGAGACGGTCCGCGGGATTCACACGCACCCAGTGCTTGGACTGCTGACACTCTCCTCGCCCCCCCCCCCCCCCCCGGGCGACCAAGCTCGCACCCTCATCAACAGATCCTGGGGTCTTGTGGGCGGGCCCAAGAGCAGCTGGGGCCCCAACTTCCGGTACAACGAGTACGAGAGGGCTCATTCATACCTGGGCGCCGTTGTCAACCTGATCCGCTGCTACGTCATCCTCACCATGTTCTCCTGGGTCCAGTATCCCTGGTCCAGGGACTTGCTCATGCGCTCCGCGCCGGACCTGGGCGCCGGACCGTCCGAGGAGCAGATCAGGAGCTTGCCCTTCTCCGCGGCGGCTTTCGTCGAGGCTGACCCCGCTGTGGAGAAGAACCGTGGCAAGGGATGTCTCATCAAACTGAGGTACAATGAGGGTAACTACCCCTTCGCTGCTATGCTCATGGCTCAGGCGGGAGCTACACTGCTGTACGACCGGAACCTCTCAGCGGGTATCAAGGGCGGATGCCTGACGGCTGGGGTCTTGGGCCCCGATTTTGTGGAAGGGGCTAGGCAGGGTGGTCTCGAGATTGAGACAACCATGATTGACAATTTGCAGTACTAGAGGATTCTACCAGGCCCATGTGGGAGAGTCGAGTAGTCAGTTGTGAGACACTCAGCCTTGCAAGCAACTCTTATAAACTCAGTATTAACTGCAGCAACGCGATCCAACCTTGAAGACCTGCGTGGTAGTATACTTAGCCAGGAAACAAATAATACAAGGAAAAGAGGCTGAGTAAATTACAGAATGATAAATGCAATACGAACGACCTAAACAATGCTATTGAACTCATGCTTAGATTTGAGATAGACTGTTAAATCTGGCCATCACGAGATCGATCAGTGGGACGAGAATTAGCTTGCTGAGCACATACTTGCCCAGAACTCGTCACGATCCATACAACCACGGACACCCGCTTCACTTAAAGTAGCCGAAAACTACCGGGTAAAAGCTTTTAACTTTCCCATCGAGTATAGCAGCTTTGCCTCTTAGCCTCAGTCGATATAACCCCCGTCTTCGTTGTATATTCGACAATCGCCAAAGGGTTCCCGCAGGGGGGGGGGAAGGGGTGGATGGGGGAGGAAAACCCGACCAAGACTTAGCATCATCATTGTCAAAGAGCGAGAGGTGGCGAAGCGGATGCTCAAGTCGTCTCAAATAAATCGTGTTCGCGTGAGAAGTAAGAAGGAGAAATATGGCTATTACAAAGGAAGATGCATAACCCCGTTTCCCCATCCTTTATGTGCGCTTGTGCTCCAAGTACCATCCAGGTCAAGATCATTACAATGCCAGTCGTTCGTTTTGTGGTCATACGACTGCCTCACCCGCTTCTCGTCCTCTAGTACCACCCCTCTTCTACCTTTATCCGTTCTTTCCGAGGAATCTGGAGCGCTTCCAAGCCCACGTTGGTGCACCCATCGTGCATATGTGCGCATGTGCATGGCTGATTGAGTGTGTGCGAGACCGAACCATGTCTAGGCGCCTGCGGCTACGGCCTGGTGGCTCATGCTCGTTCGATTCCTCTTGGCCTTCGCCTTCTGCGCTGCGACGGCTGAAGAGGACCTCTTGTCCTCCTCCAGCTTGGCCGAGAAGTCCTTCCATTTGCGCCAGCCGTCAAAGTCGATGAGCGCCTGCATGCATCCCCACTCCATGACCTTGCGCTCGAGCCAGACGAAGTTAACAGGCTGTGAGCGTGACTCACGTTAGCATACACACAATCAAGTCCACAGTAGCCCATCGTGGGCGCTCGTTAAATATGAATGGAGAAGGAGAGTGACCTACCTTGGTCAAGAAGTCATTACACCCCGCCGCCAGTGCCTCGTGACGGTCGCTCTGCAGCGAACTGGCAGTCAGGGCGACGATGATGACGGGCGACTTGAACAGGTCCATGTTCTCGAGCTTGTCCTTCTCGTCCGGCTCGCCCTTGACCTCCGGTGGCGCGTCGGCGGCTGAGCTGAAGACGCCGATGGAGTTGACCCTCTCTAGCCGCCTGATCTCGCGGGTCGCATCCAGGCCGCTCATGACGGGCAGCTGAATGTCCATCAGCACCAGATGAAACCCGCCGCCTCGCCATTTGGTAACGGCGTCGCGGCCGTTCATGGCCGTCGACCACCGCACCTTGAGGCGCTTGACGAAGGCCTCGAGCAGCTTGAGGTTGATGATGTTGTCCTCCACGATGAGGACGTTGATGGGCGGGACGCTGCCGTTCAGCATGCCCTTGGGCAGGGACGGGTGCTCCGCGGCTTTCTTCTTCTTGGAGACCTTGGGTCTTGGCGACGACACGCGAGGCGGTGGGGTCGCCGACCGCTGGGATGCGGCTGTCCCTTCAGGAGCCGGTGGGGTGGAAATGGCCGGTGGCGCCGGAGCTGCTTGTGACTGGTCTGAGGCATTGGAATGAGTTCTTGATCGGGGGGCTGGTCTGGAGTGTATTATATGTTGCATACCATGAGGGGCTCCAGCGGTTGTGGCGATGGACGCCTGATGGGTTGTTCCCGAGGCCATGTTTATGAGCGTAGGCGAGGAAGTGTGCTGGCGTCCTAACCTCGGCCGCTCTGGTCTTTCCCTGTAGGTCCTTGCTCGTGTGCCACCTGGTGATGGTATCTGTGGCGGATGTCCGGTCTGCAAAATAGAGATCGCATGCTGGGGGGCCGTTGGGTTAGACGGCGCAGTGACTGTAACGGGTAGGGTCGATATAGCGCCGGGTCCAAAGTAGTCGTTTCCTGCTTCCGAGGGCCTTGCCTCTTCGACGTAGTATTGCACATGAGGCGCGTGGGGAGGGCCGTTGCGAGGGGATGCTCTGGGTGTGCGTCGTAGGGGGACGTCAATGATGAGGGCATCGTCTACGGTCTGTCCACTGGGGAAGTAAGCATCGAGGGTTCGAGACATTGGCTCCTCGGGCCCTAGCATCCGCTCCTGCTGGTTCCCGTTGGGCCTGATGCGGAGGGTGAGGTCTGGCGCATCGAATTGGCGGCCGAGAGAGTTGGCGTACTTGCGCAAGATCATTTCTCGCACGTCGTCGACCAGATCGTCCTCGTTTATTGTGACGAGCGTGGCGGAGGCGCCAGGCCGCTTGACCCAGATCTTGCGCATGACCATGTTGCCGCTGATAGGGAGCAGCTGTTCGTTGCTGATGCTGGCGTTTTCGTCGCCCTGGGACCCGCGCAGTAAGGTCTGGATGAGGGTAGACTGCCTGTTGGAGAGGAGGGACTGTCGCCGAACGGGAGCAGGTCTCGAGCTGACCGAAGAGTTGCGGGCGAGCGGAGAGCTGGGGGTGACGGTGCCCTTTGGGCTGTACGCGGCGTTCGGCGAAAGGTTTGCGGCGGATGGAGGGACGACGGCGGCGGCGGGGAGTGGGATGTGGAAGGGCCGTTGGGTCGCGGCGGAAGCTAATTTGGGAGTTCGAGGAGGAGGAGCAGCAGCGGCGGCGGCCGGTTTGTCGCCAGCATCGTCTGGTTTCGGGGGCAGGACTGAAGTTGCATCGGCCGAGGCAGCGGGTCCTGTGATTGGGGGCTGAGTTGGGTGGGCGGTGATGGGATTTGGGTTTGGGAGCAGTTCCTTGTGGTCCGGGGAGGGATGTTCGCTGATGCACGAGAGTTTTCGCGGTGACGGGTGCAGATCGTTGCCCGGCATGACGCTGGCCGTTGCGGTTGCTGTCGGGCCCTCGCTGCTGGGCTCGGGCGCAGATGCAGGCTCGGGTTCGGGTGCAGGTGCAGGTGCAGGTGCAGGTTGTTCAGATTCAGGTTCGGAATCGACCGCAGGGGCGGGTGGCTCAGGGGGGCCGGCCAAGACACTACCCGAGGATGCTTCCTCCACAGCTGGAGCTGGTGTTGGAGTTGGTGCTGTTGGCTTTAGTGTCTCTGGGGAGGATGAAAGGGACGATGCACGTTGGGCATTTTGGGCGTTTTGAGTCTGGTGGCCGGTTGAGGAATCGTGCTGGGCTGGGGAAATTGGACTGGTGCTATCGGGCTCAGATTGGTGGTGGTCGTGCTGGACCGGCGGCGGCGGCTGAGAATCGTCGCCAGCCAGGCCCTCCTCGCCCTTGCTCTCGACCTCTCCCTCGCCCTCGCCCTGGCCTAGGCCCGGGTGTCCCACCATTTCTGGCGCGGCTTGTGCGGGCTGGCAGGATCGATCCCGACCGGGCTGGGTTTGGGATTGGGGAGGCGAGCCGGCGCCCTCGTCGTCGTCCAGGTCGACGATGACGGAAACGCGTGAGCTCCCCGCACGCGACTTGGAGTCGGGGTCGTGGTCGGGCTCGGGGTCAGCCAGGAGGTGGTGGTGGTGGTGGTGGTGATCTGCATTGTGGCTGCGGTGGGAAGAGGAGGTGTGGCTGCCGGTCGACCTGCTGCTGAGCAGCGAGGGGATGGCAGACGGCCGGCGTTTGAACCTGGCACGTATCTTTGCAGCCAGTTCAGCCATCCCAGACCAATTGCCACCGAAGTCGAGGTAGCGGTCGTGAGGCCTCACTCATTCACTCACTCGCTCGCTCGCTCGCTCACTCACTGGCTGGCCGACTGGGACGGACTGTGCAGCCAGGACTGGCTGTCTCAGTCTCAGTGTGGGGTGTTTGTATGTGTATGTGCCTCTGCGTGTGTGTGTTTCTGTCTGTGTCGCTGTCCGCTTGTCTCTGTCTCTGTCTGTGGTTGTGTACTGGCCGGACCTGTCCCGTCCTAAACTGACCTGGCCTGACCTGTGCTTGCTGCTTGCTATCTCATGCCCATGGGGAGGGACATGGGGGCACACACGCTGAGCGCCGAGACCGAGCTGGAGAGGCCGAGGGGCCGATGCAGCCCGGCAGTGGCAGTAGTAGTGGCAAAAAGCAGGAGCTGCAGCCGTCTGTACAGCAACGGTCGCATATGCCAGCCGTTGGACTGCCGGAGAGGAAAAGCGTTTGGACTGGGCACTCGCAAAATGGCCTGACCGATTGACTGACTGCCCGACGGCCTGACTGTCTGGTGATATGTATGGTCTTGAGAACAAAGCAAAGTAAACACTGGAGACGCGTCACCCGGTCCCAAGGAGGGAGGGAGAGAAAAGGAGCGAGAGAAGATGAAAAGGGAGGACACCAGGCGGGCTAGGCTAATAAGATTTTTGACATGTCGTACAGTACGAGCAGGCGGCTGCCCGTTTGAGCTTCTCTTCTCTGTCTGCGCGGTGGCAGCAGCGGCTAGTCTACTGCATGGTGTGGTCTGCTTGGTCTGTCTGATCTGGCAAGGAAAGGTCTGGCTGGTTTTACGGTATGGATTGGGCGGTACGGGTTGTCTGGATTGTCAGGATGGGGGAATGGCATGGTCTGGGTATGGATGCGGGTATGCGTGTGCACGCCTGGGCTGGCCTGAACCCGAGCCTGATCCAAGGGTACTTGGGTACATACAATGCGTGGCGTCCCGTGCCGCTGGCTGCGTCGGTAGTCTCGATTGCATGTATTGTATGTATGTGCCTAGGTACTGTAGACTAGATGCGGAAAGCACGGGAATCGACTGGGTACCCAGTAGTGCAGACAGAACGTTCCTTCTCTGTCCGAGACGCGCTCACCTTCCTCGACATGGACCGTTGAATCTGAGATTGCCATCCTTCTTGCCCGGGGCAGGGACATGGGGGACATGGGGGACTTGGGCATCTGGAGCGAGCACACTTGGTTCTTCTAGGCGCACCCGAGCAGGGACAGGACACCAGCTTATACGACAAGCCCACCCATTTATTATTTACTGGCATCCGTAATTGGCGAATTTGCCGGTGCTATTCCGTCCCCCAGTGGAGACCTGCCCGCCTGGCCGCCCGCACGGCTGCTCATTTCCACTTTTCCCGCCCACACAAGGGCCGCGCTCCGTAATAAGTGGTCTCGCTGCCAAGATCGGGATCCCCGCTTTCTATCGAACGCCCTCGAGCCTGCCGACAACGAGACGACCGCATCGCGTGTGGAATTGACCCGTTCAACAGAAAGTACCAGCTGCACATGGCCTGCATAAACCCATCGGCACCTGCTGCCCACACGCTTGGAATGCGCAGGGACAACAGCAGACAAATGCACAAGGGTCAGCAGTCTGGGCATTTGCTCATCCATGGTGGGCCATCTTCACCAACCCGTACCTCTAAGCACATCAAAGGAAAGTCCGAACAATCTCAGCCAGCCATGATACTTCTCCCGCCATCCTCCGTCACCCTGTTTCGCACACGCACCTTGAGCATACCACTGCCCAGCTTCCTCGCCGCGCCCTCCCCACCAACACCTACTACGGCGTTGGGCGAGAACACCAGCGCCTCACCCACGCGCAGCTCTACAATCTGTGCAAACAGGCTCGCCGCCGCCTGCTTCTGACCCATGGTCGCCCCGCGGCCCTTGAGACTCAGTGTATCGACCGCGTCGACGAGTCCATCCAGGACGTCATCAACTCCCGAGTCAGAAGAAACATCACTGCCGCTCCCAGCACCAGCGCCAGCAGTCGCTCGCGCCAGCGTTCCCGCTGTCTCCTCGGCGCCCGCTAGGTGCCGCCGCAGCGCCCGCAGCCACTCGGGCGACGTGAAGCGGTGCACCACCGTCACGCTGCACAGGTCCAGCAGTCGTGGCGACACGGTAGGCTCCTGGGTCGAGATCACGACGCGCGCCCCAAGGTGTCGCTGCAGTCGGATCGTCGCCAGGAGCTGCTCCGTGAGGGCCGACGCTTCGCCGCTGTCGTTCATATACTTATGTGCCTCGTCTAGCGCCACTATCTGACCTATACGCCGCGAATCTTGCTCTAGGAAGAGAGACAGGCAGATGTTGAAGAGCGCGCATGCTCCTTCCGGGGTGACACACGGGCAGCTCAAGTCCAAGATTGTAAGCTGGCCAGCCCGTGGGCTCCAGTCATTCCCGGCGGGCTTGGCCACGGCGGCGCCAGCAGCCTTCTTCTTCTTTTTCGTTACAGACTCCTGCGGTGGCGCCATGAATGATTCGAGCGTCTCAAGCCGTTGCGCGAGAGGCACTCTCTGCGAGTCGGTCAGATCCTCGCGGGCGAGCATTGCCTTGAAGGCACTGTAGTTGAATGAGCCGCCTGTCTGCTGTTGCTGCAGACGGAGCTCACGAAGTATTCGGTTGACGACGTGCATGTACAGCGGCATGGTCTCGCTCTTTCTCACGGCCATAAGATCCATCATACGTTTTGTTGTGAGATCCTGCTCCCTAATGCTCAGCGGCTCGATGACGACGTTGGGAAGTCCCGCGTACGTCCGCCGGATGGTCGCGATGTTGGTCGGCGCACACAGCACGCGGACGCGCACGGCTGGGTTGGTCGATAGGTAGGCCGCCTCGCACGGGCTGCCCTGGCTGTCGTTGATGAAGGTGTCATAATGGAACACGATTCCCGTCAGCGGGCGCGGCAGCTCGTTCGCCACCGACGGGAACAGGCTGTTTTCTAGCAGGCACGACAGCGTGTGGCTCTTGCCCGAGCCCTGGCTGCCGCAGATGAAGATGCTCGATGGCGCGGCTACATTGTAGTAGAACAGCTCGTCCGATTTATCGTCGCTGGCGTCGCCGGCGAGGAGGCCGTACTGCGAATAGACCTGGTCACCACCACCAGACGACAAGGCGTGCCTTTCGGCCTGGAGCCGGGCGGATTCGGTGAAGATGGGGGCAGTCTGTATTTCGTCCAGGCCGCTAACACCACTGCGGGCGCGGGTGATGAGCTGGCGGCGGCGGTCCATGGTCTGCTTTCTCATGAGCTCTGGCAACGTCATGTGCGGCGCGGGGACTGGCTCTTGGGCTTTATCCGTCTCTGGCGTGGGACTTGCTGTGTCGGACGAGATGTCCGGCTCGCTTGAGCTTCCGGAAGACTCCTCTTCGCTCGCCTGAGGAAGTGAGAAGTCGAAGGTGAAGTTGGTAGGTAGTTCCTGTGTCTGTGGCAAGACACAACCGGTGGTGGGTGCTTTTGTTTTGACAGATTCGGTGAGAGGTAGATTCTTCTCTGCTGGAGGCGAGAAAGTAAACAGAGGAGTTTCACGCCAGTCAGAACCCCAGTTGATCTCTGGACCGGGAGCGGTGGTGTCAACTTCTGTGGTGGATGCAACGAACGAGACTTGAAATGGTCTGCCCTCTGGCTGGGGGCTGTCTGTCTTTATATTCGCCATGGTTGCGGGCTCTAAGGGTCAGATGTGAGTAGACAAAGACAGACCGGTCTGAGACAAGAGCCACAATGCCAAATGGGAGACTAATGGGGCTGGGACTGGTGGCTCCTTCCTGTTGGTAGTAGCCCCACTGCTGTTGTTTCCTCGTCGAGCGGTCTCCCGGGGTCTCAACAGCCTTGATGGCGATTGAAGATTCCCGGAAGGCTGAGTTCCAGACCCCCAAGAGCGAGAAAAATACCAATGCTCGACAGCGATTGTGGCAAGCAAACGATCATGGAGAGGCCGCGAAAACCCCATGCAAGAGTGGCAGTGTGAGCAGCCCCGGGGTCAAAAGACGGGATGATGCCCACAATTGAGGCCTACCGTCCAGGCTGGAATGCTCAAGTGTAAAATGAGAGACTGGCTGATGTCACGAGATACCAGACCGAAGAACGTTGAGGTGTGGAGCCTTTGAGGGCCTGAAGAACCCCTGCGAGGATCTGGCAGCGGTGTCTCTCATTCGGTTGAGAGAAAGGGTGGATGGAATCAGGTAGATGTGTGTGCACTTGGTCGACAGTCGACGACATGAGGTCGGCTGCGGTCAAAACGGCACGTGGGTTGTGGGGGATCATTAGGACCACGGGCCAATGCAGATTTTTCCCGTAGGTTGGCCAAAGACAGTATCCATTCCCGTGCATGGATTTTGCTTTTCCAAGGTCATGGGCTGTGGGTGAGCCATCATGGTACAGGACGAGGGGTTGTGTACTTCAAGATGAGCGAAGCTACCTCGCAATACTGTTAGGCTGCCCATGTCCACTTGCACTGTCTAAGTCAACAAAATGCAGAGGCCAAGGTTGTGATTGCCTGTGGGACTCCGAGACCCACTCCCATCCAATCATCATCGAAGAGGCATCCTATGGACTGACTGGTTGGTTGTTCAGTACACAGACAGCATGGCATGTCGTGGGCCGGGGTAATACGTAAAGTAAAGTACCGCACCGGATGCCAAACTAGAATTCCGGTGTCCACGGGCCGTCCCGCTGTGAGATGGGAAGCCACAGCGAGGGAGAGGGCTCCCAGTGGTCACAGACAAGACGCTAGCTTGAATCATACGCACTGTAAGATACGCACAGGTCGCTCTCTGGATGACCTCAACCCGTTCTCAAGGCCAAGGTCGCGGTTCACGGGCTCTCTGGTCCCACACGCTCACATCACCCAACAAGCCTCAGCAGGTCAACAAGCTCATCCGAGCAAGGGGTACTACGCAGCTGTCCAACGAAAGAGCACCGAAATCATCATTCGCATTCACATTCGGCAGGAAGGGAAAATTTGCCACTCTAAGGCAAGGCAAGGCAAGGCAAGGCAAGGCAAGGCAAGGCAAGGCAAGGCAAGGCAGAGCAAGGCGCGGCGCGATCACAACCGCCAACTTCCTCAACGACAAGAGCCACCCACGCACCCGCACATTATCAACATCTCTGATCACGATCACATTTAACCCAAGAGAAGGGGGTAACAGGGCCCAGCGCCCCGGTCTTCGTCTCAATATGACACCGCAGGCGGAAGCGAACTCGCCTCCGCCACCACCAACAGGAAACCCAGACCTCTTCTCAAGGCCGCGGCCACGGCCACCCAGGTCGCCCTCCCAGGCTGCCAAAATACGAGTGCAGAACAGGCGGCGACAGTACTTGGAGAACAACCCGGACTACCTGTCCTCGACAGATAACCAACTTGCTGGTAAGACCCAGATGATCACAGCAGCCTAGTTCCCCCTGCCCTCTGGGCCCCATTTCTCTTTTGGTGGATCTTCCACACCACGGACTGGCTCTGGGCATGCATTGGGTTTCTGAGCCTGGAGCCGGATCCTTGGAAAGGCTGTGTGAGGAGCGCCTCACACACAAGTCCTTTGTTGTCCCTCGTGAAGCTCCACGGTCTGGGCAGACAGCCAGGCAGACCAGTTCTTCCGCCAACATGTGACTTCCTTCAGGGATCCCAACACCCAAGCATACACACATCTGGGCCCCCAGTGAAAAGAGACTGACCTATCACCACAGACCCTGAGCTTTACGACACCCTGGTGAGGAAGTTCCAGACGCCCTCCGAGCGCGAGGCAGAGGTCCGCGCCAGGGGCTGGGGCAAGGTCCTCGAGTCGTCCCTGATGCGCGGCGAGGACCGCCTGGACAGGGTTGCCTCGTCGCTGGCGGGCGACAGGTCGAGACCGAGAGGGCCCCAGCCATCCTCGTCATCCTCGTCCCGCGGGGCATTACCTCCCACGACGGGTGACAGGCAAGGACCTGCCGACACAGCCGCGGCGGCAGCAAACTTCACCATAGACGCGGACCTGGCTGAGTCCGGGCCCGCGACCAAGGAGGAGGGCCGCGCCGCGTGGGAGGACTTCCTGCGGGAGCGGTTCGTGCGCGGCGGGGACGATGACTTCGATTATGGCCCCGTGGACGCGGACGAGTGGCTTGATGAGCTGGAGTGCCGGGACCGGGAGGAGGAGTGGTTTGATGGGGAGGAGCCGGAGTGGGCTAGCGACGGAAGTGAAGGCAGTTCTGGGAGTGCTGGGGTTGTTGGTCCGGATGGGGATCCGGGCAGGAGGAAGGGACCAAGGGAGAGGGTGTTGACTGGGCAGACTGGGGTGCAGGATTACTGAGCTGATGGATTGGCATACTTGCTCGAAACCAGAAATAGCCTCCAGTCGTGGCAAAAAAGTCACAGCCTCACCACCCGTTGAATGGGGGGAAGCGGATGCACTCTGTAACGCTGTGTTCAACTTCCGTATTTCGAGCTGTGCTTGATGATTTGGTGCAGAGTGATACCATTGTCGTCCTCGTCTACTTCGCAAGTGCTGCTTTGTGCCGGATATCAAAGTCAACGACTCTCACAAGGCAGGATGAAATCCATCTACAGATGGAATCGCACTTCACTTCAGTCAAATGCCGGAACGTCACTTCATCAAAGACAAATTGAACAAGGGACCAACAAATTTCTATTCTCTTTCAACACAGACGGCCATCACCATACGTGACCTCCGCCCTACGCACCCGGCTTCTCCTGCACGATGCGGTCCCCATCATAGAATATCTCCTTCACCTTGACGCTCCGCAGGTGGTCAACCCCGCCACTGAGCTCACAGTCGTGGTGAAATAGCCACCACCGGTCGCTCCCCTCGGGGAACTCGACAACAGAGTGGTGCGTGGTCCACCCCAGCACGGGCTCCAGCATCCGGCCCCCGTACACGAACGGCCCCATCGGCGAGTCGCCCACCGCCCAGCACAGGAAGTGCGAGTCCCCCGTCGAGTACGAGAAGTAGTACTTCCCCTTGCGCTTGTGGCACCACGCCGCCTCGAAGAACCGCCGCTCGTGGTCGTCGGCCGCGATGCGCTCCCGCGTCTCCGGGTCCAGGATCTCGACCTCGTGCACCCCGCCGTCGAGCGTGCGCATGTCCCTGCCCAGCTTCGCGACCCGCGCCCCCAGCGCCTTGGCCCCGGGGCCCGACGGCTCCTTGGGCCCGGACCAGGACGCGTCGAAGTCGGCGTCGCCGTGCCCGCGCTGGTAGCACTGCAGCTGCCCTCCCCACAGCCCGCCGAAGTAGAGGTACGAGGACGCGTCGTCGTCGACCAGCACCGCCGGGTCGATCGAGTACGTGCCCGGGATGTACCCCTCGTCGGCCTTGAACGGCCCCTCGGGCTTGTCGCCGACGGCCACGCCGATGCGGAAGATGCCGTTCTTGTCGCGCGCGGGGAAGAACAGGTGGTACTGGCCCGTGGCCGGGTTGCGGGCCGCGTCGGGCGCCCACAGCTGCTTCGAGGCCCAGGGCACGTCGGCCAGCGTCAGGACGGTGCCGTGGTCCGTCACGGACGAGGCCGGGTCCAGCGAGTCCAGGCTGAAGACGTGGTAGTCGGCCATGTCGTACTGGTCGCCATTGTCGTTGAACTTGATGTCCGTCTCGCGGTCGTGCGAGGGGTAGATGTAGACCCTGCTGTTGAAGACGTGGGCCGACGGGTCGGCCGTGTAGAGATGGTTGATCAGGGGCGCCATCTTGGGGAGAGGCTTTTGCTATTGTTTCCTTGATATTCCACCCAGGCTCGGCTTACAGCTGGTTGGACTGACAGTAGAGCTAGCAGTTCCGTACTCAGTTTCTGGATCCGGGAGATAGATGAGGCTAAGACGTGCAGTAGGTCTACAGTGAGTGAGTGAGTGAGTGAGTGGGTGAGAGAAGCTGGTCACCAAAGGCCCAGTCAGTCAAAACGTACACAAAGACGGGCCGGGCATAACTGATTCCTCACATGCAAATGAGCAACACAGAGCTTTATATCAACCCATCGCGACTCAATTCACCCGTACAGCCGCCCGTTCAAGCGCAGAGTGGGCCAAGGGGCCGTTCAAATGGTGCCAAGTGCACACCCACGTACAAGAGTTAGGCTGGTTGGAGAGGGCGCGCATTTATCCCCCCCAATTTAGCCGGCGGGATCCTGCAGGGACATCCCTCTGTTCTCCTCTCCCCACGGGGGGCGCCGTCCCCTCTTGTCCGACAAGCCCAGCCGGGCCGAGAGATTTTTCACTGGCCGCCGAGGCTAGAAGCGGACGTGGGTGGAAAGATCCATCATCAGGTTCCAAGCCATGCGCTGGGGTCTAATTCGTTTGCAGGAATCAACAGGCAGACAATTGCACGCCAATACTGATGAGATCATTAATATTTGGTGTCTCTATGAGCTAGTAACTTTTTTTGCCAAGGCAATCTAGGGCTATATGAACCAAACAAAATAAAACTAAATAGAAATACAGAAGCACAGACAGTAGGGGGTATGAACATGCTCCTAGAAGACAGGCACAGTTACTGCGGCTGGCCTGAAATCCACCCATCCAGTTGATCCAGAGATTGTAAAACAAGAACAAGACATTAATCTAGTAACATCCAGACTTAGATGTGTAAATCCACAGAAATATAACATCGAAATAGATGCGTAAACATGAGGGGGAAAAAAAATGAACAGTTGACACTTGCTCCCACCTTTGCTAACGGAAGCCACAAGATCCATCCAATGATAGACCCGGGGAACCCTTCGAGAGCCGCTCGGGAGTACCTTACAAGTCATCATCGATCCATGCATCCCCATAAGGATTCCACTCCTGCCCGGGGTAGCTGGTAGCGCTCATGAGAGGCGCGTCCTCGCCCTTCTTCTTGCCGCCGGGGCCCAGCATCAGCATGCTGTCGGGCTCGGTCGGGTTCAGCGCGATCTTCTCCTCCATGTCGCGCACGAGCTGCTTGCGCTTGTGCTCTTCGAAGATCTCCTGCGAAGTCTGCACGGGCTTGCTGCTGCTTGCCCCGTTGGCGGCGCCGCCGTTGATGCCGTCGTCGCCTTCTTTCGTGTTGCCACTGCTGTCGCTCTCGCGTTTCTTTCCTAGCTCCGAGTCCGTCGGGGACGGGGGCTCGACCCCTTCTGGCGACATGGACTTTGAGGTGGACACACGCGGGCCGGGGCTCGGTGCTGATGGGGTGATGGCAGTCGCCGGCTCGATGATCACCGGCGGCACGTCAACGACGAAGCTCTGCTGGGCTGGAGATGGCTCATTCTTGGCCGCAGGCTTGGTCTCCGGACTCCTGTTCGGCAGAGGCCCAGCGAACTTGGCCTCTGGTTCTCCAGAGGGCTCCTGTGCCGATGACCTGTCGATGGAGTGTACCATAACGTTCTGCTGCTGCTGCTGCTGCTGGTGTTCCTTGGCCAGCACTGGTGACACGTGGCGGGATTGCCTCGGCGTGGCACCATATATGTCTTCTTGCTCGGCTGACGCAGTTGTCGCAGGAGATTCTGTCTTTGGCGGATTGTCCGTCAGAGTCACGGGCGGTCTTTCGTACACAGGCTCGGGACTGATAACAATTCTCTCGGGACTAACGTTCGCCGCTTGTTGTTGCACCTGATGGATGGTCTCACTGCTCTGAGTACTAGAGCCGGCTTGGTTGGTAGCAGGAACAGAGGTCAAAGATGAGACCTCACTAGCCCCGCTGGTCTGGCGCTGGGGTATGAGGTTGGAGCCCTGGTGTGGCTGGAGCTGATCTTGTCCTGGTTGCGGCTTGACAACAGCGAAGGCACTCCGTGGCACGGTCTGGAACGTAGTCTGGGCGAACTCGGACTTTACAGCCTCTGGCTGATGGAGTTGCGGTCGGCCACCCTTATCCATGTGAACTGGGATGACGGGACTCGCGTCAGGAACTGGCGAGAGTTGCTGCTGGGGCTGAGGAGCGGCATGTGGTTGGCCATTGTCAGGTGCGGCCTGTGCTGCATCCGCAAGCGCAGGGGCTGCTTGCTGAGCGGGCGCAAAGCCAGCATTATGTGAGGGACTAACTGTCTGCTCAGGGACATTCCGATGGTGGCCGGGGGCAGCCGCCATGAATTGTGGGTGCACTTGGGGCTGCGGCCCGTGCTGCTGTGCCGGCATATGTGGTGGAGCCTGTTGCCCTTGCAATGGCGGAGAGGGCGTGGCATGCTGTCCTGGCATGTATTGCTGCTGAGGCGGTGGATGCTGGGCCATGACCATGGGAGGCGGTGTCCCCTGGTAAGGAGGGTATTGCGGCCAGCCTTGCTGCACCATCTGAGGAGGCATACCTGCAGGCATCTGGCCTGGCGCCATGCCAGGGTATACCCATTGTTGCGGAGGGCCTTGATAGGGCATGCCTGATTGTGGCATTGGTAGCGGTTGCCCGTAAGGTGGTGCTCCCATCACATTTGGCTTCGCAGCCGCCATTCCTTCCCCATGGACAGTAGCGTACCCTTGGGGAATAGGCACGGGGGCGTACTGAGGTTCGGGGGCACGCTGAGCGGTCTGTTGCTTCGGATTGTGCGCTCTCATATTGCCGGATGTCGCTGCTGGCGTCTGGGACTGTGTCTGCCCTATTGGGGGCTGAGACGGCCTCCGTGGCTGTTGCTGCTGCTGCTGCTGCTGCTGTGGTGGCATCTCATAGGGCGCTCGAGATGCGTCCCCACTAATGGACGGCCGTCCACTTTGCGGCTGACGTGCCTGCTGTTGTCCCAGAGGTGGGCTTGTCTTTTGCGGCGAGGGCCTCTCATTCTGGTTGTCCGGATACGGTTGAGAAGTGATCCTCGGCTGCTGCGCCCGCGGCAGCTCAGGTGAGGGCTGGCCGGTGCCGTAAGCTTGGGCCTGAGATTGTGACGCCTGGGCCTGAGGCGCCTGTTCTTGTGGCTCCACGGGGATCTTTTGTTCGCCCTCTCCTATCCCCATCACTTGCTGGGCCTTCGGAGGCATTTGCATCTGCGGCAGTCTCTGCGCCGTCGGCTTCCCTTGTGGGCTCTGGCTCGAGCCATACTGTTGCATACTGGGAGGAACCTGGCCCGACTGAATAGCCCATTGAGGCCCACCCGGTGGCGCCTTTCCGGACTCAGGTTGCTTGGACTCCTTGGCAGGCCTCTTGAAAACGCCCATCATGCTTTTCATTCCCTTGTTTTCTTTCTCTGGCTTGGGCTTGTCGTTCAACGACTGCGAGTCGGAAATCTGGTGCACAAAGGTCTTGCTACTTTTGAGGAATTTCGAGAAAGTGCCCTCCTTTTCCGACCTCTGCTCCTGTGGCGGCGATGTCATCATCATGCCCTGTGGGGATTGGCCTGGCATGAACTGCTGTCCGGGAGGGCCGGGCTGGCCGAATCCATTCTGTCTACCAATGCTCCATGGCGACTGTGGCTGTTGCTGGGAGAAGCTCTGCACGACGGCAGCTATCTGCGGCCCCGAGGGCCTGTAGACAGACGATTGCTGTGCCATCGGAGCCGATTGGCTCTGCACACCTGGATTTTGCCAAGACTGTGTCGGTGTTGAGCCGAATCCCTGGCCTGGACTCGGCGCAGGGGAATTCTTCGGAGGCACGCCAGGAGGAGAGACCTGCTGGCCAGGATTTGGCGCAGGCGACGCCGATGGAGACGACTGAACAGAAACAGCCTGCTGCTGGTCCGAGCCTTGTAACTGCTGGCCTGCCATGACGCCCTGCGATACCCTCCTGGCCTGCGGTGGAAAAGATGCACCAAGCTGACCAGACGATACCGGGGTCCCATTTTCCTGATTCTGGGCACCATGCGACGGCGCATCTTGTGGCTGAAACTGTGGACTGTTCCGAGGCGAGCTTGAGTTGCCTGTATGCCTGCTCGGCGCATGAAGTGACGCGATATGGACTGGGTGTTGCTGTGCGAGTGACTGCGATGCCGCACGGTTCCGGGTGCCCTGCAGGTCGACACTCGGTTTCCGAGCACCGCCAACGTCGATCTGGTTGACTACCGATGCAGATCGCTGGCGGCTTGAATCGCTCTGTGCGCCGGGCGAAATACCTCCTTGGAATTGCCCGGAATTCCCGTTTGGAGAATTGCCGACCTGGCGGATCGGCACTGCTGTCGCGACCTGTACGACGCCCAAGGGGTTGTTGCTGGTCTTGCCCGTTCTGCAGAGTGGACAATGTAGAGCCCTGCTGCATGGGCTGGAGTCTTTGAGCTGCAGCTCCTCCCGGAGCCTGTGTTGTCAGAAGAGGACTTGCGGAGGACTGCGTGACAGGCGAAATGCCAGGCGATGGCTGCCGCTGCTGGTTCAAACCAGGCTGTGATAGATTCTGCCTCTGCATAGGATCTTTGCCATTGGGCATCCCCCGGCCTTGATACTGTTGTTGTTGCTGCTGCTGGGCCTGCTGGGCCAATCCCGCATACTGGCCGATCGGTGGTAATATTGGCTGACCCTGCATACTCAACTGTTGGCTCTGGCCCGGCAGGAAGAAGCCCGACTGTCCAGGTCTCTGCACCACCAACATCTGTCCCTGGGGATTCAGGCCCTGGGGCTGATCAAGCCCAGGGGGCGACCGCGGCGGTCTCTGCTGAGCGTGCTCCCTGTTCTTGGAATCCGACCGCTTCCCGAAGATGTTGGACAGCAGATTCCCGCCCGAAGGCTTCCTGCCCCTGTCCTCCTCCGCGATCGGACCCATGGGGGCAGGTGGGCCGTAACCTTGTCCTGACGGGGTCCGCCCATGATCCGAGATGCTAGGCCGCGACCCTGCGGTTGAGCTCCTCGGGCGTCCATATCCTGACATCTGGCCGTCATCGCCAGGTCCGCCATGGGGACTCATCTGGTCCGAATAGCCCATCGCACCCCCCGGAGGCCGTTGCCCCTGAAAAGACGGCCTCTGGCCCTGCGTTGCGCCATAGCCCAGTGGTTGCGACGGCTGGTTTTCTGTCTTGTCACGGTTGAGCATGCCGGTCAGCTTCGAAAACCTCTTCTTGGGTTGTCCAGGGCCAAAGCCGACGACTGGTGGACCCATCACACCCTCTGCAGTTGCGGGCCGCGAGACTTCTTGTTGGGAAGAGTTGATGCCCAGGCCGCTGGGGCGGGAGAAGAAAGGGCGTTTCTCCTTGGGTGGGCTGAATGAAGCACCACTGAGGCCCTGTGTTGAAAAGGGCGTTCCGTCACCGTTGGGCTGCCCGTTACCACGGAGGCCGAAGAAGTTAGAGGGGACTCTCCTCCCCTGGTCGTCGACCGGGATGCTTGCGTCAGACACATCGTCTCCCGTGAGACCACCGTTCGGCTGCGGTCGGCCGGTCATGGCGTCGCGCTGATCATTTCCGCTGCCTGCAAGCCTATTGCGTATGCTTGAGAAGACATTGGAGTTACGCTTGCTCTCGGGCTCATCATGGAATTGTGAGTTTTGAGTGATGTTAGTGGAGCTACGGGCCAGAGCAGCACCTTGTGTCTGCATCATGAACGGGGCGTTCGGAGGTCGGAATTCACCGTTCTGTGAGGATGGGCCGGCGGATGAGACCAGGGCAGGCTGGCCAGGGCGACGGGAATCAACAGGTGAGTGAGTAGGCGGCGAGACAGATCTGGCGGACGGGGCACCGGTCTCCTTGTCGATCTCATAGGCCTGGTTCTGCTGCTTGAGGGACGAGATGCTTGGTGAGTGGCGATGCCTGGGAGAGGAGAGAGGCTGCTGCAGCTGGGACTGCTCCATCTTCCAGCCGGGCGGCACGTTGAACTGGCCGTTGGACATCAGGCTTGGCGACGGCATGCCTGGTGGTGGTGATGAGGACTGGAACTGCTGGTAGCTGACGGGGCCCTTCTGTCCGGGGTAGCCGGGCTGTGAGGGCCCAGCCTGGTGGTGCATGATGTTGGGATTGCCATTACCACTGCCGTTGGCGCTGAACTGGTGAGCAGCGGGTTGGAAGTGGTGGGCGGCAGGTTGCTGGACGTGAGGTGACTGCATCATCACATAAGGGCCCTGCATGAACTGGGTGCCGTGGGGATGAGGCGAGGATGACTGGAGCTGGTAGTTCATGGTGGGAGAGGCAAGGGGTGACGCGCCCGGAACAGGCCCAGGTCGGGCCCCGTTTCGGCTGTCGCTGAAGGCGGTGTTAGCACGAGTGTTAATGTTGTTGTTGTTGTTGTTGTTGTTGTTGTTGTTGGCGGTAGCTGTGTTGTCGGTGTTGAAGATGGCGTTGGCGATGCGATTGCCGCCGCCGTCAAGGTAGTGAGGATGTGGAGACGGGCCTTGGAGGTGGCCCGGTGGAGAAACAGCGCGATGGGGGTCGTCTAGGTCGCCGGGAGAGATGCCCAGGGCGGAACCAAACTCGGGACCCGGGCTGATGGGAGGGAGACCGACAAAAGAAGGCTGGCGCTGTGGCTTGGGCGCAGATGGTGATTCGAAGACGGACATTGTCGTCTTCTGGACAAGTTCGTCCTCAACTCAGTCGAGGGCGGCTGAAATGGGGGAGCGGGCGAGCAGGAGGGGAGGGAGGTTGGAACCGACGGCCACCATTGGACGGAATCACGGGACCTGCAACTGGAGCTGACAGGACATGGACTGGACCGAGACTGGACGAGACTGGGCTGGACGAGACAGGAAAGGACAGACAGGACAGGACAGGACAGGACAGGCAAGGGAGGAGAGGACTGGGAAAGAGATTGCAACATAAAGCCAACAGCCTGCAGCCGGTGTAACTCTGGTGGACCACAGCCGGCGAGCACCTTGGGTCGCATGGCGTGGGATGGTGTGTGTGGCACCTGGTCGAATGCTTGGAGGAGAGGAGGGGAGAGGACCCTAGTGAGAGGCGTGCCTCCCCCCGTCTGTTGTCTGCCTATCTGCGTGTCAGGGCCGCCTGCCTGTCGCCAACCAGAGCCTGGCTGAGGCGGAACTGGGGAGATCGGAAGGATTCGCCAGATGGGGCCAGCTGAAATGAGAAGAACCCGCATACAGTAACGGCAACGGTGAACTGTAACCTTGCAGTTGGGGCCGGCCAGCCTCGTTTATGTGCTGTGCCCTGCCGTGTCCTGCTCTGCCGTGCAGTGTGCCTGTGCCGAGCTGCGGCTGTTGTTTTTCCAGCGGGGCAGTGAGGACCTCGATCAATTGCTGGTGATGGTGGTGGTTGTACGCGACACGGGGGCAGCAGGATCCATGCATGGGGGCCAGGAAATGCTGACAGCCCACGCGGCAGTCTGTCTCGCGGCTGCAGCTGCAGCTCCAGCTAAAAGCTCCATCCAGCTCAAAGCTCTCGACTGCCTCCCACCAGTTCGAGACCCGCCACGGCCCCAGGAGGGATCGGATCGGATCGCCGGCGGCTGCGGTAAGACTGGCGACTGGAGCTACAAAAGCCACGGCAGACTCGAGAGTCAAGACACACATGGATGGGCTGGCAGCAGCAGCGGCAAACGGTCAAGTTGGCTCTCCACTGACCCCTGGTGACTAAAGAGCCCACTTTTCACTGGGGGCCCGGTGGAAAAGCTGCCATGTCAGCGCTAATAAGCTTCTCAAAGTCAACAAGTGAGGTAGCTTTGACCCACCTACCAAGGTGCAGCATCCTGGCGACTTGATAAGCATAACTTCTTTGCCTAGCATCACAAATGTCCAGGTCGGGACAGGCGAGTCAACCGTCATACCATCAACCACGTGTGTCTCGCCGGGGATGTCGATTTAGAGGGGTTAGGGCCATCTAAGAATAACTCAAATTCCAAAGCCTAGAACATGGCTCAGTACACCGTACCTGCCTTCGATACCTAACTTGGGTGCCTGGCTCAGGTGCAAAGCACAGCCACTGCGGTACAAACCGAGATTTAGCTCAAAGTTCGTGCAACACGTGCAACACGGGATGAACATCGATTCCCGACATGACTCTTCATGACACATCGGATGCCGTGGCCATTGGTGTTGCTTTTTTACTTGAATGGCTGCCAATTAAGCATGCACCGGACAACGTATCTGCAGAAGTCAATAATATGATTGCCAGCGGCACAAGCCGAAGCCTCACAAGACCTGACTATCGCAATCATTATCCTGCAGGTAGCAGGTTGCTGCCGATTCAGATCTGCTCCAGCTGGATTGGGACTTTCCCAGTGCGCAGCGGGAGGGGCTCTTGGATAGCTCGATGCAAGCACCGAGGTCGTGGGGTGGTTGCAACTGGACAAATAAGCCCAACACTGAATCCGCTGCGTATCGGAGTGACCAGGTCAAAATCTAGACCCGAAATAGCAAATAAACAATAATTGAATCGATGTGTTTTGGAGGGGGTGGAGAGAGACGTACGTGCCTGGGCAGCGCACAGAATGACGTGGGATGCAAGAATGATAAATATTTTGTCAAAAAGACGAGCGTCGACATGGCAGCCGTTGTATTGTTTTCAAGACTTCAAAGCATTCAAAGTACGGTTCAACTATCAGAAGCAGGCTGTGATATCCACCATGTCCGGGGTATCAAAGGACCAGGATGAAGGTTCCTAGCCCGAATTAAGCGCTGCCCAACGTGTTGCCTTTCGCAAAGAATCATCGCTCGCTCCAAAACCAAAGTCATCGTGTGATCGGATCCCAACGTCCATATCATAGCACTGCGTCGCACTTGGGCCGAGTCCCATTACATCACCTGGCCCACATATCCAGCTGTGATGTGATTGCTGTCCTTGCTACCACGTGGTGGCAGCAGACCTCGTATCGTACCATAACCCAGGACGTGGAGGCTCAAGAACCAAGGAAAGAAGATGTCGTCAGTATGAGCAGGAGGCCAAGGCGCCGACTTAGACCTCGCCGTCAACTTGCTCCTCCTTGACGCCGGCCTTGACGCCGGCCTTGTCCTCAGAGCTGACCTTGTCCTCCTCAGAGTCGTCCTTGACGGCAACAGGAGACTTGGGGGCGGCGGCGACGGCCTTGCCCTTCTTGGGGGTGTTGGGGAGCTTCTTGCGTGACTTCGGGGCGATCTTGGCCAGCTTGACCGGGGCCGGAGTCTCGTCGTCGTCGTCACCCTCCTCCTCGTTGACACCCGCGATCTTGCGCTTGCCGGCGGCGGGGGTCTTACCAACAGCGGGGCTGGCGGGGCCCTTGAGCGTCCAGTCCATCTTCTTCTTGATCTGAGACTGCGGTAACATGGTTAGGTTTTTATACTGTGAATTATGCTCAAGCTGTGTGTCTACTTACCCAAGCGTTGACAGCGGAGCGAGGGTTCTTCATGTCGAGCTCACTTGCGAGCTTGGGGAAGTCAATCTGTGCGGAGAGGGGAGCATGTGTCAGCGAGCCACGCAAAGAAACGGATCATCATGAAATGCTGCCTAGGTAAGGAAGCACATAGCATAGATAGGTATGTGATGATGCTGCTGGTAGGTGACCGTCGCATGCGGCGCGACGGCGCCAGTATCAAACATGCATCATCGTCGGAAGCGGGATGGTGGGACATGAGGACAGACGCCAAGGCATGGGTGCGGAATGATTGTGACCGTGGGGTTTGAACCCGCAGGAAAATGCTTACCTCGGGTGCGGACTTGAGGCAGGTCATTGCCTTGGCCAGGATCTCCTGCTCGCGGGTGGTGAGGGAACTGAAGCCGCCACCAGCAGCGGCCTTGGGGGTTGCGGGAGCGGAACCGTTCTCGCCGTTGTCGGATTTGCCTGCCATGGTGAGAGGATTTGGAGAGGGAACAGGATTGATGAACGGGAAATGCTCTTGATTTCTGCAAGATGGTGTTGTTGCTTGTGTGGGTGTATGATGTTGATGGTGAGGGTGAGGGTGGAAGGCTGCAGGTGTGGAGGGGGAGAGTTGCCTGTCACTTGAAAAGCAAAAATGACCGCAGCGTGCAGCTCACAACCAGATCCCCGGCAAATACACGCTAATTCGGATTGATCCTGGGAAACAATTGCATGCAGGTCATGGCATGCTGTGATTCAGAGCTCAGCATTTGTTCGTCCGACTGCTCATGCAAATTCCGTCACATCCAAACCCGTGGGAAGGCATAATACCTGGTCCCATTGCCCTCCATTACTGATCCATTCTGTCCCAAAAACACCTACGAATGGGGTATTGTTGTATCTGAAACCCAAAAAACGGTGGATGCATTTGCAGTTGACGGGTTGCTCTATTGTTGGCCCCGCTGAGCGAATAGAGTCAAATGAGCTTGGATGTACGCATGAATGACTCCTGAAGCCGACGACACACAACACATTGTGGGATTGAAATTGTGACACTCAAGATCAGCCATACAAACTACACGGACATCGACTTCAGGGAACCATTCTAGGCCAATTCCTTTGTCACATGCTGTCACGGCCACCCAGTCACGTCTTGGTGTTCATTGCATCGGCCAGGCAGATAGTTGTGTTCAGAATCCCGGACACGTTCGCATAATTTTGGTAAGAGATCGGCTGTAACTGGAAGAACACGGAGCTCTGACAAATCTCTGGCATGTGGCGAAGTCAATCGTGTACTGAATGGCCCTTTGCCGGCCCGTGTCCACTGTCAATGTCACCAAATGATTCCAAATCCTCAGATTGAGGACAGCTTTTGATCAAGGGATCCAACTTTGATGAAGGGCAAGTTTTGAGGGCATCTTTGAGGTGACGTCTCTGAAGATCCAGGGTTGAAGCTAGAAGACGAACTGTATACCAAATTGTGTACTTGAATTTGTTGGAATCCCGATTTGCCTCGCTTTTTGCTTTGCGTTTGACCATATCGGCTTGAAGAGAGCACCAGGAGGACGATACGATGGTTTGGCCTGGCTAGCTCATTGTAGCCATCTGCTTCTACAATACATGCTCAAGATCTCATCTCAGTGACTGGCCGCAGCTCGGCGAGAGCTGCTACACATGATCCGGTCTGTTTATAGCCTGTAAATCCTCGACATGCTCTCAAGCCACGCCTGTGGTCTGCTGGCATTGCAGGCCGGAGTTATCACGTTGCACTGTCCAAACAAAGGAAGACGCATTTCAAGCATGGCATTTCAGGTCGGAGAAGGACGCACGACCAAGTAAAAAGAGGCTATCCGTTCTCGCATGGAGGAGGCGTACGATGAGAAACAGGCATCAGCAAAAGCAAATCGATATTATCGGGCACGGAAGCAGTGTTCCTCTCCAGGGTAGGGCGAAGCTGCTGAACCGCCAAAATTGCAACCAGAATATGGAACACCGGCCTGCCACCGCAATGGGTTGGATAAGAGATACCTGGTCAGGTACCTTGTTACCTGGGAATACTAGCCAACCTCATCACATTGTGGGGCTAGCCAACTTCACCTCGATCTACAGGTGAATGTAAGTTGTCACCAGCATGCAGCCCCTCCCTTTGACTTTTCAACCCAATCTTCCAGTTCCCAACCTTGTAAGATCCCAAACTCCCACCCTTCCCATCCATCATCCATCATCAACCTTCCAACCATCCTTCCCTACCACAACAAGCAACAATCAACCACCATGGATGCCAACAGCCAAAACTGTGGCGACGAGGTCACTCCCTCCAAGAAGCATGCCATCGAGCAGTCTCCTCGTAAGCAGCCTCCCAAGGTGAGCTCATTCTCGAGACACCTCGTCTTGTTGCTTACCTCCACCGGGCACAACAAACCTTCCACTGTTCCTCTGCCTCTCCTCTACCGTTTCCTTCATGCTTCACTGCTTCCTCTCCACGTCTTTCCAGGCAACCCAACAGCACCCTTCCTCCTTCTTTTTAATCTCACACGCACCTCACGCACCTCCAGCTTTCCAACAACATGATCTTCCCCAGCGCCACTCCGGTTCGATCTACTTGCCTTGCCTACGTCGCCTTGCCCATTTCATCTTGCCCACATCATCTCGACAGCTCTCCGCTTCATCTCTTCTTCCGTCTTGAGTGCTCAGGTTTGCAATCTTCAGTCTTGCCTGCCTCACCTTGCCCGACCCCAATATCGCCTGCCTACATCATGTCCACGTCCATCTCACCGCGCGTCGCACACCTTCGAACAAACAACTTCCTCCCGCGTCGCGCCACGTCACGTCACTTCGCAGTGAGTCCACATCACACGAGCGCTTGGCTAACAGCCCTTGCAGAAGCCCATGGTTGAGCAGCATGTAAGTCTTGAATCGCTCGCGCGCTTCCTGCATCCAGGCCACCAGGTCATCTCCATCACCTCCCAAGCGACTTTTTTCCAGCAAGTCCAGCAAGGGCCACTCTCCCGACCCGCGGCCAGGAACCTCCTGCCATCGCGCACACCGTAATCTTCACTACGGGTGTATTTGATGGCGGGTGGCTGCGGGGGGAGGAGAAGGGCCCGCGCTGTAAGAGCTCCAGCGATTCGGCGTCCAAGGGGACCACGCAAAGCCCTCGTGGCCGAGCTGGGAACCGTGCCTTGGGTGGGCTTGCTCGTGAACTTCCCTCTCACATCTAGCTGCCAGGGGCGACATGTGAAGGTGGTCCGGTATGGGCTTCTGGAGCTGGGGGAAAAAAGCTTGGACTTCTCCCTCTTCCCCTGGTGGTTCGCGGGTCACCTTCTGGTCAACTGGTGGCTCGTGGCCGGCGTCTGTACCCTTTCAGTAACGAGCCTATGTCTCCAGCCTGTGGTAATAGATTTTGGACACCAGACCTCTTTCGGGTAGTGCGGGCGTCGGATTAGGTGTTTACTTCGGTATGCGGCGCAGACCTCTCAAACGACGGTCCCAGGTCAGGTTAGGCCCCGCTGGCGTCGCACCGTTGGGAACTGCGTTGGGGGAGCTACGTTCTGCGTGTCCGTGAGCCGGTTTGATTGTAAACCCGAAGAATTCCGGACATTGTTCAGTGTAGTACTCGGGAACTCGACTAGGTGTGGGGGGCCAGGTCTCTTCTAGGGATCTTGGCTTTCACGACCTGGTGGCTGTGACTTACTTAGTGGGCCACCGCTAACTTGGGTGCAGAGCCAGGGCCCGACCAATTTCCGTACCGGCGACAAGCTCGACAACGTCACCAACACCGTCGCCACCCTCGAGACCCGCGTCACCAGGCTGGAGACGGGTGGTCAGAAGCGCAGCGACTTCCTTCGGAGGAAATTGGAAGACCAGCACACATTCCTCATTTCCGAGATCGACAAGAAGCTTGATCAGGATGCGGCCATGACCGACAAAGAGCATGAGGAGTTGATCACCGACGTCACCGAGATGGCTACCCGGGCTTACCTGCGCAAGGTCTTGGAGCGCAAGGTCAAGCGAATCGTCAAAGACGTCATCGAGGGCGTTCTCGAGGAGGTTGTCGACGAGGTTATGGAGGACCTTGTCTATCGCAAGCTGAAAGAGCGCGATGCTGCCATCAAGGGCATGCTTGAGACCAAGGCCGACCAGGATGAGCTTGACGAGGTTGACGATGAGCTCGCGGCCGCTCGCCGCATGCTCGAGGAGCAGCGCCGTCAGATCGTTGCCATCTTGGATTGGATTCGGAATCGCTCTTAATGCGGTGTGGGGATCCAAGCGTTTCGAGGTCAGTGGTTTCGAAGATAGGTTGTCTTGCGAGGTGGTGGAGGTGATCTTTGTGCATTCCTGGCGTTTGGATGGTTCTTTTGATGTTCAAGATACCCCGTGGAATGTCTCGAAGCCGGTAGCGAAGCATAGAAATTGAGATACTCAAGAAGTAAGAACATTACTGCACTCATCGTCTTAAGTAAACAACCTGTGGTCTTGCCGCGTGATTCTTTGCAAAAGCCTGTGTCCCGTGTGACAAAACCTGTTGCTCCGTTGGCTTCGAGAACGATCCACCGCATAGTCCAACTACTCGCCTGCTCTGCTATTCATGTCAGGCCATCATGGGGGAGTTTAGTCCTGAGACGCGATGCTCGGCGTCCGGGGCAAGGTGAGGGCTGTCCATCTAAAAGATGCCCAGGCTGACAAACAGCAGATATCGGCCGAAATATATCTAGACAGATACCTAGGTAGAGTGTGGACCTGAATCACAATTCAGACTGATTTAAACATCCCCCAAAGGCCGCTTCCAATGGATGGGCCCAATGTGGTAATGACATGATGTCGTCCAGGCGACGCGCCTTTTTTGTTGCTGTTGAAGGCCAAGCCTTGGCGGCCACGAACCCCCTGTCCCACGTGCTGTGGTTTGCCTGCGATCGGCGCTTACCAGCGTTCAGAGCGATTTCCTTGGCACCTGTGCCCGACTGACGCTTTACCGCCCACCGCTCTCATTCACCTCAACTTCTGTCTCACACTCTCTCCAAGGCTCAACCCCCCCAAGAAAACATCTGTGCCTAGATACCGACGTCGATCAATTACCACTCACACACACACCACTGAAAGCAGCCTGTCTCACATATCAACACGCCAACGTCATCCCCGAAATGGCTAACCCCGAGGCCCCCAAGCCCCAGGCCCCAATGGAGGCGCGCCCCACCTCGTCGAGCGGCCCAGACGGCACGACGGGCCCGATCACACAAGCCCCCGTGAGTCTTCACACCATCAGCCTAACAACACGGCCGCGAATCCGATCCTGCTTGCACGGCAACTAACACGCCGGGACCGCCCACAGAAAGCCGAGCCCCGCCCGGTCGCGCAGAAGCAGGAGCCCGAGCTGCGCGGAGGAGGCATGACCATCGGCTTCAACTGCTGCCGCGGCCACTGCAACTGCCACGAGACATGCTGCTGAACGCCCAAACGAGGGCGATGATGAAGCTTTCCCGCCTGGAGGGGCTCAGGTGGTTTTGGGAGTTCTGGATTAGCAGCGCGATGGTCGACGGTCCGTTGACGGAGACAGATTCGAGGCCGAGTCGGCGTATGCGAGACACTGGATGTTTTTGATTTTCAATGGATGAAGGGCAAAAGATTGCGACTAGAGATATCCGATTTGATTGATTACTACTCAACTGCGCGGTCCGCCCTCAGCCCCGGGGCCAGGTCCTGTGTGACACCTCCCTGAACCGAACGCGCCTCTTACACGCTCGTGCCCGTGCTGAACTGGATTGTGCTGTACAGTTCTTCAACGAAAGCTCGCCTACCAGATATTGTTGGAATACTGCATGAATTTCTCCCATATGCTCCCAGATACAGGCCGGAAGATGGACTTGCTGAACTCGTGGCCGCCCGCTGCAGGCGCCGGATCGGGGTCGGCTGTCGAAGTCGGCACGACGCTCGGTGGTGCGGCCGAGGTGCCTGAAAGAGTGCTTGTGATGGGAGTAGAAGTTGCCATGGGCGTTGACGGAGTGGTCGTGACGCTGACGGTCGTACACACAGACGCTGGAGGAGCGGTATAATCTTCACACTGGCCATGCAGATCGGCCCCGTAGGTGAAGTCATCCGCGAGCAGGCTCTCGCCTTCACCATTGCTGACGTCGGTCCTGGACGAGTAGCTGATACCCCCCGGGATGGTCCAGTTGGCGTTGTACAGCGTATACGGGCCGACGCATTCGCCTTTGGTCATGGCCATGCTTGTCTCGTGGAGGCCGGCGACGGGCAGACCTGGCCGTGGCACCTTATAGGAGATTGTGAGGTATGTGGGGAGGGTGTTCCTGTCGTTGCGGACGGCCGCTGTGACGTTGATCTTTCCCGTGTATTGCAGGAGGCAGGTCTGTCGTCTGAGTAGAATGATGGCATCCTGCATGGGGTAGTCATGGCCGTTGTTGTCGAAGGGCAGTCTTGTGCCGTTGGCTAGGATCAGAGTCACGGTGAAGGACGAGATGCCCTTGTCGACTGGGATCGTCGCGTCGATTGGGAAGAACTGCAGTCAGACGTCAGCACAAGCCTCGCCCATGATGTTCCAGCGCACTTACAACGAAGCTGTCGTCCAGCCCGTACCCACTGCCACGGGCGGTAGCGCTTATCAGGCAAGACCTAGGGCCACAGTCATGTTCACCATGTCGATTCTTGTAGAGGATTTCCATCTGTGCAATTTCTTTGACCGGCAGGTTGGAAGTCCTCACGCGTATGTTGCCACTGAGTTGCAGATGCCTCGCTGCCTGTTCCAGTGAAAGCCGCAAGTCTACCGGCTTGATCATGTAGGGTTCGATGGGCTCAGAAAGCATAACTCCCTTGGGGACAACCTCGATCATCTTCTGAAGGACTTTGCGGCAGACATCCTGGAAGGTCTGCGGGTCTGCCATGGCCTTGACGGTAACGTTGGAGTCCGAACTAAAGATTCGAGCATCCGAGTCCTTGCCCTCGCCAACTGCCGGACCAAACACCAGAGGGTTTGTCGTATTGTCGTCCAGGTACTCGGTGATGACCTTTTCATCGAACACGGCAACAGTCGAGTCGGACGGTGCCTCGCCCTCCTCAACCAGCTCAGGGAACTCGGTATCGTGGACACCCCCAATCGTGTGTCCGCACGCCGTGACCTGGATCATCTCCTCGTCTGTGAATCCCATGCGGGAGAACTGCTCGCGGAACTGTTCGATCGAGTGCTCCGGCTGTGGCACTCCCATGTCCCCAGGCCCAGGTGCGTCCACCCTCCCACCCCTGACAGGCACTACCGGGCCGCCACACGACCGAACCGAAGCGTACACCCCGAGGGCAATCAGATCCGCCAGGCTTGACCTCTTCGAAAGGTAGTCCGAAAAGAACTTGAAGGTAGAGTTGAAACCCGGTCCCTGGCTCTCCCCGTCGTCGAGCTGGTACTGAAGCGAACCGTCCAGGCCCCCCTTTCCCGTCCTGACGTCTGCCGTTGCCATGTCATGAAATGCGACCCTGAGCCACTCAGCCGCGACTTGTCTGCCAGGCCCGGAAGCTTCATTGGAGCATGGTGAGATGGTGTCTGCAAAGTTCCTCGACTTAAATATCTTTTGCTGGAACATGATCTCTTCCAGGTCATCGATCGGGGACGGCCATGTCGGGTCGGCGAGCACGGCAGATAGCAGCGCTGCTGCCACCGCTACCTGCCGGAGGAGAATCGGTCTCATCGTGCCGGACAAGCTCCTTGAGAGGTCTCTTCTTTCCTAGGACAGCCGGGTCGAAGGCCGACTTGATACGGTCGCTCACGCCGCATTCGATGTTCCGCCGTGTGCCCACAGTTCAAGTTGGAGGCTTGTAGGCGTACTTGTGCGAAGCTGAGCAGGCCATATCGGACCACATCTGAGTAAGCATGGCGTTCACCAGCGATAAGAGGGAAAGGTTGCACGCTTGCAGCTGGATACGAGGTCGTCTCTTAGTGGGTGATCTGCGGCAAGGATGAGCACAGCTATGCCGCTTGAGGTAGCATCTCGACAGGGGTGGATAAATAGTGGTGTTGTCACTCCCTCCTAGAAATTCCTCAGTATCTAGGTAGTAACGTTGATTCAAATATGTATTCTGGCTGGATCTGTCGCAGACTTGACAAGACTCAGCTTTTACGTGGCGGAGAATACTTGTCCAGAGCCCGAGTCTTGGCCGTTGGGCCGCAAAGAGTAAGTAGTTTGGGATTTGGTTAAGCCATTATTTAGACTTAAACAAAGTGTCCCACATGACGCTACTGAGGCATGGGATGCAGTGTATACGCCCCTCTGCATGTGGCCATGTTAAGTGTTGAAATTGCGGCAATCAACACCAAGTAATAGACGCTCGACAACAAGATGAGTTGCCAAAAATAAGAAGTACAGGTCAAACCGAAAGTGAAGAGTGTTTAAACGGTAGATTGTGGATGACTATCCTGATGATGGTTGACTTAAGTAGGCCTCAGGATCCAGTTCCTTTCCGAGTTTGCCTTTGCTTTTCCCTCTGTTGGCATTCAGTATCTTGGTTCCGTTTGCTTTTCGTTTTCTTGGACTCCTGCCCCTCTCCCCTTACCTCTAAGCGTAGTAAAGTCTACGTCGGCCCAAGACCCAGGGACTGCGATGATCTCAAGAGAATTATGCGAGCGAGGTTCTTGTATATTCTGTGTACCCATAAGAAGTGTAAGGCTTGGAAATGGTCACATCATTGTCACAGTCCAATGCGTTTTGCTACTATTAATACGGAGTGAAGGCGAAACACATGCCTGAGGCAGGAAATGGGTACTCGTGGCCATTGCTTGGAGCTTGGGGCAGAAACTTCCGCCTGTTTAGCAGCCATTTGATGATTCATGTTGACTGAACCATGCATTATGGGCTCGAAAGTGAACACTTAAGCCGTTTGATGGTTTTGCTTGTAGATTTGCCCCGCATTTTGGTGCCTGCTTTCCATCTGCTGTTGCATAAGACCTTAGGCCCTCTCAACGCGAGCTTCCTGCCACTGCTTCCTTCGACCAACCACTCTGTCAACAGCGTAGGTACCTACGTGATACATGTTGACTGGATGTTCCAGAACCTCGTCGTCTTCTCAGCACAACTCGACAAAATGGATCCTCCTAAGGTCAGGGCATCACCAGGTCGTCCTCATTTCTCCCTCCAGATCTCTAACGACGGTTGCACAGATGGGCAAACTCGCACAGAGATTCAATCTCAGTCGGGCAAAACGCAAACATGATGAGCAGGCATCAACTCCAGATCGCTCTGGGAAGGCAAGTTTTCTGACAAGCCAGTCCCATCCAGTGCAACTTCCAGGATCGCAGGTGCTTCGTCGCGTTGACGCTTCCGACGTGCCAACGACTCACCTTCCTATGGTTGCTGGATCGCTTGATGGCCCCAGATCCCGTCCCATTCCTTCTTTCAGTGCTTCCCCTAGAGAAACGTCCATGAAATTCAGCGCTTCCATGGTGAGTTAAGCCGTTTCCCAATGTTATTGATGGAACAACCGTCTCTTGACTGATAAATCCGTCATCGTCCGTTCTAGCCGTTCATGGAAATCGACACCCCCGAGTCTCCCAGCCCAGAGCAGCGAAAGATCTTGGAACTCGAGCAGCGCCTGAGAGTAGCAACCCAGAAAGTGCAGGATCTGGAGGATGACGCAAAAGCTCACACAGAAGAGCTCGTCGTAGCCAGAAGCCAGGCTAGGATCGACATCGACCAGGAGGTTATCAGACTCCAGCAAGAACTCGAGACACTAGGGGAGCACGAGGACCGCCTTATTCGTGAGCTGGTGGCCTCAGAATCCAAGCTCAAGGGCCTGAAGACCACAGAGCGGGAGCTGAAAAAGCGGCTCTCGCATTTTCATACCATCTACTGCTTGAAGCATGCATACAAGGACCACCTCAAGAAGATGAACTACATAAAGCAGGGCGTTGCAAAGCGCCTCCATGAAAAGTTTCTGGAGACCGAGGCCAAATACATGGAGGCGGCATTCGAGCTATACGAATACCTCGAGGACAACGGTCTTCAAGACACGATCCCACCGGACGTGAAGGCCTGGCTGGCCCAGTCTAAGAGGAGCAAGGGTTGAGAGTCTCCAGTCAGAAGAAGCCGAGGATCAGGGGGGACTGAAAGAATTGAGGAAGTGCTGTCAGTTTATGCCAAGATTACCATGGCGTTCAAGGGAGCAAGATGTCCACGCACGTGCCGCGGGCGTGTGATCAGGGCAGGAGGTTCCGTTTCAAGGACGCTGGAGAAGCCTTTGTGGGATCCGAAGAGGGACGAGCCTTACCTCTCCCGCGCAGGCAGTCTCTCGTCTCAGGATGGCAGGGCACCCACACGCCACTCATGAGCTCTTTGGATTACTCACGCCCAGATGACCAGCATACAGTTGAAAGGAAGCTTCATTGGCACGACCAGGCAGTTCCTCATTGAGAGGCGTGGATCTGGCAACAGTATCGACACTCTTCTATCATATGGCCCTCGAATTCTTCTACGCCAGGATGTTCAACGCTATCGGTCCATTTGCAGCCGATTCTTGAGAATCCTTTCACTCGAGTCGGAATGGTGGGATGTCTATGGCCGTATGACGTTCCCAATGTACGACTAGAAGTCCACCGTGCAGAGAGATTGGTCGAAACAAAGGAACACGATCTGTCCAGAATGCGAAATCAAGGGTCTCGGTGCGCGGAATGCTTTTCCGGAGCTGAGGCGGAAGCCAAAGAATGTGGCTCTCAATCTCACATACTCATTGTAACGTCCCCAGTGGCAAACTGCGGCAGTGGCCAAGTGAGCTCTGATCGCCGTGCTGCTATTTAGGACAGTGTACCAAATGTTCAACAACCAGAAAAGCCGCTTCGTCGCAGCAAATGCAGCATCACCAAGTCACTCTTCGCCACTCCAGTGATTGTCATGCCTCCGCTGCTATTACTGAGGTTGCCTGGTCCTCACACCACTTCCAGAAGTTCTCACCCAGATTGTCCTCCTCTGATTTCAGCTTCGCCAATATGTCCGGCCGGCCAATTTGTTCTTCAGGCTGTACCCTGCCGAACGGAAGAATGTACGCGCCATTATTCTCCACGGTGATTTCCGGCGAGAAGCCAGCATACAGCTCGGTGTACCCACCAAATTTCGCATCGTAAAGAAACAGACGGTCCGCCACCGCCATGAACTTCGACGGCGCCCCTTGGAACGCGTTTGTTTTCAGGTTTCCCGGGTTCGCCGCCACGCTGATGATCCCGTGTTGGCCATACCTGCGAGCATACTCATGTGCAAGAATCCAGTTCCCGGCTTTCGACCTGGCGTAGTTGCGCCTGCCATTCGGACACCCGGCAGCCAAGATGCTGAAGTCAATCCCGTCCGCGGGGACATGGGATTCCGCCATGATACTCGACAGCCACACAACACGGACTGCGCCCGGATGAGAATTCTTTGCCGCATATTGGAGCTGGGGTAGCAGCAGTTGAGTGAACAGGAGTGCGGCAACGCAGTGCATCCCCACGAATTTCTCCAGGCCTTGGGCGGTCTTTGACTGGACCGGCACGGCGTCAGCGCCGATGCCCGCGTTGTTCCAGAGTATGTCGAGGCGGTTCTCCTGCACGGAAAATTCGGAGGCTGCTGTTCGGACCGAGTTCAGGTCGTTGAGGTCGAGGAGGAGGGGCTTAAAGACGGCTGGGTGCTCAGGCTTGGGCTTCATGCATCTAAGTGCCTCGATGGCTGTGTCAACTCGTTGCTAGGATTTAAAGTCAGCAACTGAGTCCTCTCTTTATTGCTTCTCAAGAAACAAACTAGGATATCGCGTCTCACCTTGGATCGTGAGGCAATATACACAGTCGCTCCCGTGCCCCGAAGCATCTTGCACAACTCGAAACCGACGCCCTGATTTCCACCTGTCACGACAAAACATGCCCCTTTTTGAGCCCCACGTCCTTCTCCCCGAAAGTTGGTGCCGGTGGAAATATCTGTGTCCACCGCTTCGGATGCAGCATCGCCATGGCTGCAAGCGGAGTCTCTCTTCAGAATTAATTTGAAAGTCTCTACCTCGGAAACCCGGAAGACACGGATGGTAGGTTTCAAAGCTCCTCGCAGCAGGTCAGGCTTGTTGGGAAAGTGAGGATGGCAAAGCAGGACAGAACACAGAGAGTCGTTCCCACGTGGCGTGGGAGATTCTCGTGGAGTATAATACCATCCCCAGACGGTGTCAGCACCGCATGAGCTGACAGTAACAATGCCAGAGCCTCATTGCTAAATAAATCTGCCTCACTTTTGAATCCTTAGTTATGATCATTCGTAGCCATTTTGCCTCGTGTCCGGTGTTGCTGACACGCCTCCGGGTTATGCTGACAGGGACAGTCAGCACCGGGGGGGGGGGGGGGACCCTAGCCAGCACCACACCTTCAAGATCCGTATTCCCCGAGGTACAGTACAACGTTAAGAGTCAATGCACTCTCTGGACCCCCGAGACGCGTATGTAGGGCAGGGGTCTATTGGGGGCACCCTTTGCTCCTCGCTCCCGGCTCAGGGACGACGACAGGAATTGTCGACCATGAAATGCCCAGATTGATCCAACTGATTGTGCTCATCGCCACCGAGGCCATTATGCGCCTCTTGCAGCTGCAATTGGAAAGAATAATCAGACCGGCTCTGAAGAGCTTGAAGGAGTTCCTGTCTCAATGATGTCACAGAGTCCGAGCGGGGTCTCCAAGGCGTCCGGCCACTGCGATGGAGAGACGACGGGTGTCTTCCAAAAGCTGAGTGCATCTCGTGCCCAACATCTTGGACACGCAAAAGGGAGCCCGGATCTCGAAACCGCCAGACAACAAACACTCAAAGACCACCATAATCGGAAAGCATGTCTCACCAGCAGGGGACCTCCGAAGGCGCCGGCGCCGGCTCCTCCTCCTCCTCATCGGCACAAGCACGCCAAGCCCTCTTCGACGAAGGGTATGCCATCCGCGCCGAGGTCACGGGCCCGCAGCACGTCGAGCGGTCGTGGACCAACGCGTCGGAGTTCTCGAGGCCGATGCAGGAGCTGGCCACGCAGTCGGGCTGGGGCCTCATCTGGGGCCGGCCGGGGCTCGACCGGCGGACGCGGTCTTTACTCAACATAGCCATGCTCGTCGCCCAGGGCAGGGACGCGGAGCTCGCGGTGCACGTCAAGGGGGCGGTCAAGAACGGCGTGACCGAGACGGAGGTACAGGAGGCCATCCTGCAGGCCTCGATTTATGCTGGGCTGCCGGCGGGAATGGCGGGGACTCGGGTGGCCGACAGGGCGCTGCAGGAACTCAAGGAGGAGAAGGCCGAAGGCTCATGAGGGCTGTCAACCACGTAACTCAGGCTGGCGAGGTCTACAACTCTGTTTGCATTTCCACGTAGATTGAAAATGGTGAAGGGCTCTTCGCAATGTTCATGTCATCTTGCTAGGGAGGCTCATAGACTGAGGGTAGTTAAGCCACGGAATAAAACTAGAGTCTCGTGTCTTGCAACAAGAAAGAAGAAAAGGCTCACTGAGATTGTCTGTTTGGTGTGTCCAGACCATGACCGCAACTCCAGGCCCAGCATCAAGCAGGCCGGAGTCCAAAATGATCGTCTCCAGCCGAATGGCTGTGACCATATCAAAACCATTCATTGGCTGAGTGACAAATCTTGGCATCGCCAACAGTCACTTCTTCCAACATTCCACAGCACCACCTCCATCATTCATCCTACTACTTCCAACCCTCTTGACCCAGACCTACCGCCTCAATCACCCTGCGAGCCTACACTGGCCTTGACCGGAATTCGCACCTGCAGCACAGCCCGTCATGGCGCCTCGCTCAGCTGAGGAGCTCCGGTCGATGGGGCAGATGGATCCCCGCCTCAAAGAGGTAACTAGACTGCCCCAAGTGGCCGACCCGACCCCTCGTAGAAACAACAATCTAATTGACGGCTAGATGCTGGAGAGCAACCCACTGCCAAAGCCCCCTCCCGGATCAGACTTCTTCGCCCTCCGTGAGCACCGGGCTGCCATGCTGCGCGAGAAGCACCATCTCCGATACCTCCCCGGCCCGATCAAGGAGGTCGCGGAGCATGACCGAAAGATCCCAGTCCCGGGCGGGTCAGAGATCACGGTCCGTATCTACCAGCCTGAAGGTTCTCGCGCCCCCGCTCGTGGCAGTCCCCTGATCGTAATGTACCACGAGGGCGGATGGTCGATGGGGGACCTGACGGACGAGGAGACAAACTGCCGACTGTTCAGCCGTGACCTGGGCGCTGTTTGTATCAATGTGGAGTACAGGTCAGTGTCTGGCCAGTCCTGTCTTCTTGCATCACCCAAATCGAGGAGGTAGGGGAGAAACAGTGTAAAGACCCGGCGGGCTGACTGTACTCAGGCTGGGCCCTGAGCACAAGTTCCCAATTGGCATCAACGACTGTTGGGACGCCTTGAAATGGGTAAGTAAGCCCCTTAGGCCGCCTGAGATTTCAAAATACCTTCCTGACCGGCCAGGCCGCCGACAATGCTTCCTCGCTCGGCGCCACACCTCAGGCCGGATTCATAGTTGGCGGCGGCAGCGCAGGTGGGAACATCGCAGCTGTGCTTGCCCACCTAGCAAGGGACCAAAGGCTGCATCCGCCGCTCACAGGGCAGTACCTCTGCGTGCCCGCAATCACATGTCTCATGCCTCTTGAAGAGATGCCCGAGCAGTATCGTGCCGAGTACCTGAGCCACCCGTCGGTCACGCCCTCCGTCGACCCAGTGCTGCAGGCAGACAGCAAAAACCCGCGAGGAGTAGTCAAGGTAGTGGGCGCAGACGTCAACAACCCCTTGTTCGTCCCCTTCCTCTACCGCAGTAAACCGAACGGCCATGAAGGCTTGCCTCCAGCCTACCTCCAAGTCTGCGGCCTGGACCCGTTGCGGGACGAGGCTCTGATTTATGAGCGGGTTCTGAGGGAAGAGGCAGGCGTAAAGACAAAGCTGGATGTCTACCCTGGGCTCGGTCACTACTTCTGGACTAACTTCCCGCTTCTGGATGCGAGCAGGCAGTTTGTGGAGGACACTGTGAAAGGAGTTGGGTGGCTCTTGGAACGCTCCTCAAAGGAGCCCTGAACGTAAAGTGGGATCTTGCCATGGGATTTCGGCCACGTTCAGGGCCGTAACAGGAGTACATGACTTGGTTGAGGATCCAAGGCTTCTGATATAGATGCATAAGTGCAAGGTTTCGCAGCTACATATTGTGGCTTCTCTGCACTATTTCTTCGCCGTTTGAACATCAACATTCCATCAGCGTCAACTTTCGATCACCAGAAGCAGTGATGGAAAACGGCACAGATCATTCGAATCCCCTACTCCCACCTGCTACCCCCGCCACGCTGCTATGTCCCCGCAAGTTTACAGGCATTGAGAATAGTAAGGGTTCACAACAGTGCAAGTGTACGGCGATGCGCAGACCGTCGCACCAGTCCAGCCGGAACCACCACACTGACTCCAATGCGTCGCTACATTGGTACCAGTGGCCAAGGCAGATGAGCTCGTCGTGGTCGTCGACACCCTCGTAGTGCTACTAGACAGCGTGGTTGCCGTGCTCGTCGGCAACGGCGTCCCCGCCGCAGCCGCCAGGAGCTTCTTCACGTTGTCGTACGCAGGCTTGGTGGTGAGGTTCGACCAGTACAGGCACGCATCGCCCTGCCCGGAGAACGTGCTCGGGATCCAGCTGTACTTGTCGTCAAAGTCCCAAACTGTGATTCCTACGCACTTGCCCACGGCGAGACACGCACTGACGACGGATCCGTAGTCCGTGGCCTGCTGCGCGAGTCCGGCTGCCGTCGACGGGAGGCTGGAAAACCGGACGTCGACCTCGGTGTATGCCACCTCGAGGCCGAGGGCGACGTAGGTGTTGAGCTGGCTGGTGAGGGCGGATGCGCTGGGCGTGGAGCCGACGATGAAGTGGCCCTGGAGGCCGACCCCGTCTATCTTTGCTCCCGCGGCCTGGATGGTCTTGATCAGATTTACTGCCGCCGTAGACTTTGCCCCTGAGGATTCAATATTGTAATCATTGTCTGTTTACCAGTAATTATTAGCCAAGCCCCAACGACCTAAAATGCACATTCTGGTCCATAGCAGTGGTGAACGAGTGCGTAGTCGGTGAAGCGACAGATAGTGTTTTGGAATTCAAGGACACTGACAGTAGAGCTTGGCAGCCGGGTCCGCTGCGGCAGCGGCAGCAAAGGCCACTGGGAGATAGGAGGTCCCCATGGTGTTATAGAAGACACTCGTCCGGTAGGTTCCATCATCGTTGAGGGCCTCGTTCACGACGTCCCAGGCATAGCATTTGCCCTTGTAGTGGCCGACCTCGCTGGCGATGTGTGCCTGAATGGCGGCGGCGAGAGTGCTGTTTGTCCAGGTGCCGGAGGACACCCAACTTGGGAGCTGGCTGTGCCAGATGAGTGTGTGGCACCGCAGCATCTGCCCGTTAGTCGCCGCAAAGTTTGTGACGACATCTCCCTGGGTGTAGCTGTACGTGTTTTGTGTGGGTTCCGTGTCTATGATGTATTTGTTAGCAGCCCTTTACAAAGCGTACTTGAGACCAACTTAACGCAAGGTAGGATTCAAAACTTCAAATGAATGACCGGACTCACATTGCCATTTTTGAGTATTTCCCGGTGTTATTTGCCCGAATTCATTCTTGTTTGACCTAGATGATTCATTCTGTTAGACTGGATGTCGCTATCCTCCTGCCCGGCTCACAGGACTCACAGAATAGCGACGTATGCGGAGTCAGACAGCTCAGAATTGTCTGTGGCTGAGCCGAAATACAATTTCCCAGCAGCTTGAGCCAGCTGGTTAAGGTTTGCTTGCACTGCCGGGACGGCCAGGAGCGCGGCCGTAATAGTAGCGCACAGATGCATTGTGAGGGCTGGATATAGTCAGGAGCAGAGGAATATCTGCCAAGGAACAAGTGCTTCAACTTGGCTCCGGCAACTGCAATAATTATACGTGGTCGTGCTAGGTCAAATCCGAAAAGGGATACAGCGGCGCGTGGTCCGCGGACTCGTCAGCTCGTTGCGCACGGTAGCACATTGTCGGAGAAGCAATCGTGAGTTCCGGGCCCTGGAGGTTCTATGCCTGATTCTGCCCGGAAACGAGCAGTTGCCCTCGTCAGCTATTGGCGAGGAAGGGGGCGAGGGTGAGGCTAGGGATTGGGGTTGCAGATACCACACATATTTCTCCACCAACCAAGCCTGTTAAGGAACGGAACCTCAACGTCCTTGGGGGCCGTGGGGACATCTGACTTTCGGCATGGAAGCCGTGGCTTCCATCGACGAACCCGCCACGCGACGCAGAAAACTAGCAAACTCGACGGGTGGCTTGTGGAAGTTTCCGAATCGTGATTTAGTTGCGAGTCAGAAGCTGCTCCGGTCGGCGGGGTGCAACAGCCTTCAGAGTCCGGGTGTTGATTTTGCTGGCAGCTGCTTTTGCCTACTTGACCAACTCAGAGAAAATGGGTGAAGCTCTTGTCCACTCTATGTGGGTTCCTTCGCAGCCAACAATACCAGACTCAGAAAACGCCGTGTGCTGTAGAAGTGCGCACGAGCTCAAGATCTTTATTCCCACTCCTCCTGTTTGTGGACTAGACTATGGGCGCATAGAAATTCAGCCGTGCATCCGGGTCGTAAATTTGCTTGAGATTTCTCAGTTTCTCAAGCCTCCAGGCGTCATGTCCATACAGCTCTTCCAACGTCTCATACCCATTTGCGTAGTTGACATACGCATAAAGCCTGCCGTCCTGCCGTCCGGCGACCGCTACAGAACGCAACTCCTCACCAGCCTGCCTCGCAATCTCGTCGTTTTCCGGAGTGCTGTTGGTGTATATAAGACAAGGAGCTATGAGATAGGCATTGAAGCGATCAGGGTACGCGGTCGATTCATCCGGTATCGTCTTGACCGCAGTGTAGCCGTAGTTCTCGAATATGTAGAACGAGTTGTCGAGAAAGGGATTGGCGGCGACCACGTCACGGAACTTGACCAGCAGCTCTTTCTGGGTCGTGATGTTGTAGACCTCCAGATCCGCAGGAAATCGCTGCACGTGTAGTTGGCCTTCGAGGCAGGCAGGGTCTTGTCTGCTGAAGCGCACGAGCCTGGCAAAGTCGGGGTACACTGCGTCCACCAGTGTGGATGACTCTGGGCCGATTGCCCTGTATAAGCCGAGATACTTTTCGGCTTCCTCTGAGGTGCCTTCATAGAGGAAAAGTATCTCGATGACTGGGTTCACGGGGTCGAAGGCAGGCACGATCCGATATTCTATGAAGCTGATGATCTCGATCGGTTGGTCGCCCTCGTTGCTGATTTCGTTCGTAACCCTGAAAACCTCCTCGACTTTGTCTGCGGTGAAAAACAGGTCGGCGAACACCCACTTGTTTTCGACTGGCACGTCATAAATTCTGTACTCAAGCTCCGTGACAATTCCAAAATTATGGCCAGCCCCCCGAAGAGCCCAGAAGAGATCCGGGTGCGAATCGTCGCTGGCTGTCACGACACTCCCGTCCCCGAGCGCAACCCTCGCCGAGACAAGGTTGTCGAGGGCAAGGCCAAAGCGGTTCTGGAGGAAACCATGACCACCGCCGAGCATCGGGCCGGCAAGCGACGTGCATTCACAAGACCCCGTAGCTTGAGATTATGCCATTGTCAGCGAATTACATCACAGGCTCGCCGGAGTCACGAACTTGTCCATTTCCCCTTATCCCACAGGGCAGCCGTCACCTCTCCTGAGGTGATCCCACCGCCAATTGTAGCCGTCTTGCCATCGGAACTAACGACAAGGCTGTCCAGGTGGTCGAGGTTGATCTGCACTCCGGCGTCCAGCTTGCCGAGGGACAGGATGCCTCCATGGCGGCCAGAGACAGCTAGCCAGGGAAGTTCGAATTTATTTGAAGCTTTGATCTGAATCTGACGGTAAGCTGAACGTCTTCGTATCTTGTGTAGAGTGTAGACATTACCGTATTGCTGACATCCTCCTCCGTATAGACTTGGACTGTTGCCTTGAAACTTGGAGCTTCCCAGGCAGTCCACCTCAAGATCAGTTCGTCGAATTCTTCAGAGCCAGCCAGTGTGATCGATGCTTCTGACGAAAGTTGCGGGCCTAGCTCATCGACAAAGGCGGTGATGTTAGAGCCCGAGCCTGAGATTCGCTTTGCAGTAACCTGAAGCGGGGCCTGGAGGGGGTTCCTGATGTCGATTGTACTCGAGCTCCTTCTCCTGTATTCGTGCCCGTGAATGGCGAGGGCCAGGCATGCCAGGATCAACAACCCCTTCAGGAACATTTGCTGCGTGAGGTTCTTAGCAGGACTTTTGGTGAAAAAGGGATATTGACATCGGTGGTACTCACAGGCATCTTTAACTTTTGAACTAGATGGGCGGTCTGTAGCTTCAGACTCCTCCGGGGCGTTTCTGCTTTCTGGATTTTGAGCGGCTTTGTCAAGGACTGTGTCGAGTGTCGTTACCCTTTCAGTTATACATTGAGGACCATCTAAAACACAATTTCATCGGGATTGCCGCCGCGGGGTCAAGATGCCTGTAGCACAACGATAAACTAATGGTTGGAAAATGCGACCTTGATATCAGCACTAGGACTTACTGTAAGCATTGCCAAGCTCCTAAATACTTAGCTAGGCGCTGTGTGTAAAAGACCCCTGATCGCAACCATGGTTTGCGATTTTTCGTTGAATCCGAGCAGCCCAATCTGACTTGAAAGCGACGTCAGCGATGTTTCTCATGGAATCCGGCTGTCTCGTACACTCCAAATAGGCGTGCCTTGAAACTGTTTACAAGTTGGAGTCTTTTACTGAGAGTATTCAACAAGATCGAAGGGGCAATGGCAAAGTGAGGTTCAGACAGATGTTCAATTGAGACTTCAGGAACCGCCAACAGTGAAATATCTACTGCACCGTGATTTAAGAAAACACGGTCGGGCTGAAATAATTATGACTACAAGAATCGAAATTGACACCAGACTCCATCTAGAAGACTGGTAAACCAATTGACCTAGTCTAATTCGGCCTCTTCCAAGTTTTTCTCGAAGTCCCCGTCCTAGTAATCGGTCAGTGGAATGTTTTCCATGTGAGTTACGAGTAGGGCTTGAAATGAAGTGCTTTCGAGAGAGCAATGCCAATGGAAAGGGCGGAGAAGTTTCGCAAGTGCAACACATGCCCGCACGCCGCCTAGGACGACACAAAGAACCAAGATTCACGACAACAAGAGGCTGCCTCCGGAACAATGCCAGGCTCCAGGATCAAACCACCGATATCATGATCTGGAAAACGAGAAACACAGAGTAGACAGGGAATAGTCACTGACCTTGAAAGGAGGAGTTGCGTCACCAAAATCGGTGTCCTGCAGCGCACTCTTGGCAGCATCCGGCATGGCATCCCAGTCCGAGACGGGATACGTGTTGCCGACCGTCTCGGTGAACTGCAGCTCGTGGTTCGTGGGGAAGCTCGCGAAGTACTCGACGGTGGCGCTGTCGCCCCCGGGCAGGGCGCCAGACGTTTTCTTGTAGTCGCCGTGGCCCGACGCCGCGCCGCCGAGCACGGTCGCCATGTCGCTGCTCAGCCATATCACCACGTTCTCGAAGTCGTGCCTGTGCGAACCGGGGGAGACCTCGTCGACGGTCTGGTCCTTGGGCATGTACCATGAGTACATGATCGCCACGTTGCCGTCGGCCTGTGTTGACGCCCTCGCGTAGGTCTGGCCCTTGGTGGTGTCTTCGCAGTCGCCGGTCTGGCTCCCGCTGGGCTCCAAGCCACCACTACGTCACAGTTAGTAAGAGTTCGCATGGTGCATGAGTAGGAATTCTGGCCACTTGCTTGGTATTGCCGGAATCGTCCACAGCAGTGTATGGTTGGCAGCCGGAAGCGATGTGAAGGCGGGGGTTGAACTTCTCGATTGCAGCACCGAGTGCGCCACTCTGGACTCGTGTTGCGACCGGATTTAGCGAATCGTGGTCTACCTCTTCTCGGCGATTAAGAGAGTTGATCGTGGGGGCACACAGTGCCGTGCTCGCCAGAGCGAGTGATGATAGAGTTTGGAACAACATATTCGTCCTCTTGCGATAATGCTGTGAATAGTTTGACTGGGGAAGAAAGATTCTAACGCTGCGCAGGTCGAACCAAGGAAGAATTATTGAAGACTGTGAAAATGAAACAGAGGATCCCTGCCTGAAGGTGAAGTTGAGAAACGTCTTGATTATGCAAGTGCCACGAGAAGTTTCACGCGGCACTACTCGATCTTTTATTCTCGGACATCCTGAGAGGATCGATGCCTCGCGTTCGGCTAGAAGTGGAGGCTCAAGGGGGCCCTGATGGGTGCTGGATTGAGAAGCATGGCTTCCAGCCAATACGGCGCCACAAACACGTGGAGGGGGCGTTCTCAGAAAGACGAGGATGGATACGGATGGTTGCATCAGAGCTGGGTACCGCGCGCGCTCATGCCACAACGAAGGGGCGGGTTCGGCCCCGACGGGCGCGTGACAGTACTGTAGGTGAGGCCAAGCGAGGGGAGAGTGGGAGCAGCAAGACCCTCTGGTGAGCAGGTGGCAGTTGTTGGCCTGGCCAATATCCGCCAGGTGATGGAACGGACAAATTGCCCAAGTGACTGGTACCGATGGGGGGGGGGGGGAGTTCGCCCGTGATGCTGCGGTCCAGGGTTCCGAACCTGCCTCGGAGGAATCTATGGCTACGAGTCAGGAGGATTAAGCTTAACGCAGTTGGGAGACGATAAACTGCTTGACGTGGAATGACGCCGATACGCATGGGTCGAGACCGGGTTGCAAGGTTGGGAGCCTGAGCTGCTGTCGTGAGCACGCCGACAGCCCGACTACATTCATACCTGCGGCCCCACCCCTTGCCCGTTCAGGTGGCTCAGGCGGCTCAGGCGGTGCCATCTGAAACACCTCAGATGGAGCCGGCTGCCAGGGACAATCAGCAAAGCATGGCCTTAAAAAAGATCGTCGCAAAGTGCGAGTCAGATCCAGCGACGACAGCATGGGGTTATCGGAGCACCTGCCAGTATTTCAAAACATTCGGGCTCTTGAAGCCATCCGTCGGCTATGATGAGCGTGGAGTGCTGCAGGGTTCGGCATTATAGAGTGACGACCTGTCCTTCCTTGCCGAGGCTGCGAGAGCATTGCCCGCCTTGGTTCTTGGGGTTGCGGATGCCCTGCGATGATGCCATTGGACATGACCAGACTACGATTCAGCAGTTCATGTTCGTTGTTAGACGCGGACAAATACCGAGTCCTCATCAATTAGGGCCTAGACCAGACACGAATTCCAAGCAATCTAGCGTGACCTCCACGTGGTCAGGAGCTATTGCAACGTAGGTGCTTCGAGGATGGTCGTTTTTGACATCCTGTTGGGTTTGGTATGATAAAAATATCCATGACCACCTAGCAGACGAGAGAAGGGCTGGTGGATTTTAACCGGGAATACTTTGTGCTCGTTCCCTCTAAGCATGGTTTTCTACTACTCGCAGGGATTCCTAGAGTTTAAATTGTTTCCCAATAGATACATATTATTCTTACCCTTTCAGGTGATCTGTCTAAATATTTCACTGCAGTCTACAGGTCTTCAGCAATTCTGGAGGAACCCTGCTATTCCGTATAGTCTTTTTCTTAGCAATAATCTTTGGTGAGCAAGAACCAAAACAAATCATCTAATTATATCCCCGTACATGGGGAAATGTTTGGAACCCTTGCGAGTTGTAAGGGAGGCCATTCGCGGTGCATGGGCAGACGGGCTAGTCCTATCACCCGAAGCAGCTGAGGCCCGGGGTAGGCTCAGCCTCAAGTCTGGGGGCCTGGCATGTCACATTCAACATTGCAATGTAGGTGAGACGACTTAGGTCGACAAAAGACATTAATAGATAGGTATATATACAAATGAAGGCCAGCAGCGCCTCGCTAAATCACATCATGTGGTATCCACACCATCATGACGACCCCTTACCACAAACACACACCCATCGATGTCAGCGGGGAATATCCACTATACATGTCTAGGTCCCTCGCTCGGGCTCTTAGATCAGAGCGAAGAACAGAGGGGCGATGGCAGCCAGGACACCGAAGGTGGCCTTGCCCGCACCGGAAGCCTGGACAGCGGTGCCAGAGGGCTGGCTGGAGGGGGAAGAGGGGGTAGCGCCGTTGCCGCCAGTGGCCGCCGGGGTGGTGGGCGTGGATCCAGCGGGTCCGGAGGGACGAGGGACGGTGCCGTTGGAGGGGCGGTTCCAGCCAGAGGGCGCGGCGACACCAGAAGGCCACACGGGGGCGGAAGACCTAGCACCAGTGGCGGTGACGGCACCAGTCGCGCCGGTTCCGGAGGGCTTGGTGCCCTTGCCGGTACGGGTAGCGGTCACGGGGCAGACGGTGGTAGCCTCGGTGACGACGACGGTGGGGGCCGGGGTGGTGACGGTCTCGGGGATGGTCTCCGTGGAGGTGGAGGGGGTGGCGTAGGGGGTCAGGCTGACGGGGCTCGAAGGCGTGGGGACGCTGACGGGGCCGGCGGGGGTGGTAGAGACAGCAGGTGGAGTGACGCTGCCGGAGTGGGCCGCAGAGGTAGCAGCACCGGGGCCGCTGGGCGTCTCCTCGCCCTCACCGGGGACGGACAGAGCGGGGGCCGAGGGCTGGGGAGCCTCGCCAGACGGGGAGGATCCGCCAGTGACGGCAGCAACGCTAGAGGTAGGGGCGGTGCCAGAGGGCAGGCCACCGTTTCCAGTGGCAGCAGGGCCGGTCTGGGTGGCGGTGACAGGGCAGACGGTGGTGTAGGACACGACCATGGAGGTGACGATCTGCTGCGTGTACGAGTTGGGGCAGTTGGTGACCGAGGCCGCACACGAGGTGATGGTGTAGGTGTTGGTCGTGGTCAGCGTGCTGGTGGTCATGCCCTCGGGCAGATCAGAGCCGCCGTGGGCCAGGGCGTCAGCGCTCGAAGTCGGGCGGGGGCTGGCACCGGATCCGGTGAGAGAGACGGTGGTGGTGGGAGAACCGCTGCCGGCGCCCTCTCCGTTGTTGCCGGCCTGAGGAGAGCTGTTGTCAGAGCCAGACTCGGGAGAGCTGGAGTCGGGAGAGCTGTTGTCGGAGCCAGACTCAGGGGAGCTGTTGTCAGGGGAGCTAGAGCCAGAGCCAGACTGGGGAGAGGAGTTGTCTCCAGAAGAGCCAGATCCAGAGCCAGAGCCAGTCGAGCCAGAGCCAGAGCCGGTGGAACCAGAGCCGGAACCGGAGCCGTCACCGATCTGGGTGCCGTTTCCAGAAGCGCCAGATCCGTTGCCGTTGCCACCGTTGGCTGTCTGCCTCCAGCCCCACTGCCACTGAGAGCCCTCACCAATGGTGACGGTGGTAGTGGTCTCGGTGGAAGACGCGAGGGTGATGATGACAGAGGGGGCGAGGCCGAGCTTGAGCTCAGAGATCTCGACGTCGAGCTCGACAGCAACACCGGCGGTCAGGGCAAAGACCTCGGTAGCAGAGCACTCGCTGCTGGATGAGCCCTCGGAGTAGGTGGTGGTGTACTTGAAGATGTCGAGCCAGATGGCAACCTCAGCACCCGCGCCAAGGTCGAGGCCGACAATGTCGATCTCGGAGGAGATGGCAAGGCCGGTACGCAGGCGGAGGACGACGTCGAGCTGGAGGTCCTCCTCGAGGTCGATCTCAGCGCCGATGCTCAGGGGGACGGACTCGACAACGAGGCCGGTGATGTCCTGCTTGACGATCTCCTTGGAGAAGATGTTGATCTCGAGGAAGGAGCCCTCAGGGAAGTAGACGTTGAAGGTCGACTCGATGTCGATGGCGGCAGAGGCAGTGAAGATCAGGTCCAGGGCGAAGCCGGCGTCGATGCCGACCTCAGCCAGGCCGGGGACGGCAAGCTCAAGCGAGAGGTCGGACATCAGCTCGACGGACTCGGAGACACCGGCGGTGGCATCAAGGGCAACCTTGAGGTAGGTCTGGATGCCGCCGAGGTCGATCTTGACGATAGGGTGGAGGAGGAAGTCATCCTCAACACCGAGGTCGATGGAACCAGCAAAGGCTCCCTCGGTCAGGGCGAGACCAAGCTGGATAGCATCGGACTCGGCGGTCTTGGCAGCAGCAACACTTGAAGAAGTCTGGTCAGTACGATAGAGCGGCACTGGATTCCAGAAAGATGGACTTACCCCGCGTAGAGGACGTTGTTCTCCCACGTCCTGGAGATGTCGTAGCTGGAGGAGCGGGAGGAGCTCGAGGAAGAGGAGTGAGACTCGGAAGAGGAAGATGTCACGGAGGACAGAAGGCCGCCCGAGGACTCCTCCGAGGACGACGAGGACTCCGAGTGAGACTCAGAAGAGTGAGACTCCGAGTAGGAGGACTCGGAGGAGGTGGACTCCGAAGAGGACTCTCCGCCGAGCAGAGAGGTCAGCAGGCCCCTAGCCTCGTTCTCGGGCGACCTGACGACGACGCTGCCGGGCCTGACTGGGTTGGCCTGGACGGCAGAGCCCAGAAGCCCCAGAAGGGCTCCGAACTGCGCGATATGCATGGCTTTTTGTTTTGTGCTGTATGGATTAAGGAATGACTACTGCGAATATGCAGTGAACAAAAGCAACAGGGTAATACTGAACGAAGGAATACCACCCGAAACAGGATTCAACACAAACAACTCAGAGCACAGAAAAGAGGGACTGTATTTGGAGGTGAGAGCCTGCGGAAGAAAGAAGGAAACCTCGTGCCATTCCGACGCGAAGCACGGCAACTATTTGAATCAAATCGACGACCAGCAGGCCGGCAGCCCCTCGTATGGAGAGATGACCGATTCGGATGGGCAGCTGCAGCGGTGCTCCCGGATTTCACGATCCACCAGGCGAGGAGATCCAAATTTTGATCAACCCCGCCGGCGAGAGATGTCAGATGCAAAAGGGCCGTGATGGCCTTGGAGGCCGTTCGGGGCCGTGCAGACGAGCATGCATAATAGGAGGATTGGCGGCGAGGCTGCCGATCTGTATCTCAGGGGCAGTCGAGGGGGCCCGCAGAAAACGGGCCACAGCCACTCGGAGCTTGGTGGTGAAGGTCGGCGAGCCGCCTGTGCGGGACAAGCAGGGACAAAGATATGCTTGTTTCCCCACAAATGGATGCAGTCAGTGCCGGTTCTCAGAGGCAGGCTCGCAGGATGCGGTGGCATGGCGTGGCATGGCGTGGCATAGCGTGGCATAGCGTGGCATAGGTGATGTAGTGTTTCCATTCTGGGCTGCCCTTCATCTCTCGTGATCGACCAAGGAGATGGCATGGCAGGGGGTCGTGACAAAAGCGGCAATGGCTGGCTGTTGGGAGAAGCTGTGAGAGTCTTCTCCCCCTTGCCGGCCCCTGGATCACCCCATCGCAGGAGCAGATCGCGTCTGTTGCCTCGGGGTAGGGAGCCACCGATCGACAGTGGAGGACCGCTTTTCCAGGGGTCGGTGCTTGATCAGTTCGCAGGATGGGGGGTGCTCAGGATACTCAGGGTGCTATCGTCCGGACGCGTTGTTGACTCCCACAAGGTTGAGCCGGAAGCTCAAGTCACCAGGTCACCTAATGCAGCGGTATAGGTGCGAAACGCATAGTCTACATTGATTGGATGCTGCAAGTGCAAGCCATGATCACCCACTACGAGCAGATCTAGTTGAAGCGTAATTATGTGGGTTGGCTAGCGCATGCTCTTCAATCTCCTGTGGGGATGGCACTTCCCATTCCTGCTGCTGCTGCTGTTGTTACTTGGACTTGATCTGCAAACATTACGAAGCTCTGGCTGGAAAATGAGTCGAGGGAGTGGTATTCTTGATCTCCCATCGGGATGACGAAAGAAACAAGCAAGGAAGAAGGAACGTCTCGCGAAACAAACAGAGTGAGCCAGAAAGTGAGCTCGCCGTCAGGACACTAACAGCCTAGCAAGTAAATGAACGGCATTGCTGATAGTGCGCCAAGCAACCCTGCCAACCCCCAGTGCCCACCCACCCAACTCGAGGAATCAACGACACGCGGCCATTGCTGGTCGAAGTCAGCTGAGCTCAACGTATGACTGCGATCACGGGCTGACAATAAATAGTAATTTTAAGCCTTCATTGCCAGCGTCCACGTCCCAATTATCGGAAAATTAAATCACACGTAAGCTTCTTGGCACGCTGGTGTGATCCGTACCGGCCCTCAACGTTGTTTGTCCACCTCTGTTCGCACGCAATCGTGACCGCCTTTCCCCCTTCTCACCCACTACCCATTCCAGCATGGTGCTCCTCTCGCTCCAGCCGAGAAGGGTCGGTGTGCGGCAGACAGTGGCTGCGAGTTTCTACCTCTATGGACTCATGAACCGAAAGTCGATCTCATCATGGAGATGTGCCAACAGCAAGTGCACCACCTCAATGGCAGCGACGTTTCCACGCCGGCGGGTCTCTCGAAGAGCTGCGCCTAAACGAATGCGGTGGCGAGAGCACCTTGATGTGGCCCTCGTCAGCGGTATGTCCCCGTTACCAAGCTCACGCCGAGCTAGCTCTCCGGAGATGACTGGATGAGGACACAAAATATTCTGAAGTCTCGGCCGCAATGTTTATTGGTTCTGACAGCAGGAAGCCCGAGACCGACTTCATCGAGCTATGATGTATATGACTCCGGGCTTGCCGATTCGAAGACGGTGAATGTCCCTGTGGATGGCACAAGCAGTCTGTCCAACACATCGCGCTGTCGGGTTCTAGGCAGAACTGCTTCCGTGGTCTCGAGGTGCTATCGTTCGAGCCACGACTGGGTCAGATCGTACCTGGACATCACTTTCCGCGAGACCGACGCCGCCTACACGCACGCGCGAGATGTGTATGAGACACCAGAATCCGAGAACGCCTCACGAGCTGCAACATTGCTCCTTGACCATCTCACGAGACTTTGAAGCATTGCCTCGAACAGAACATTTCGATCACGCAGCACGCTTGCAGCGTGACTATGTAACGGAGAACAGTCTTGTGGCGCATCTCATGCAGGGCAATTCACGGCGTTACTGAACTCGGTCTGTCTCGGCCATGCTACTGTGGATTCCAATTCATGTTTCCAAAAGCGGAATAAGAGAAATGAGCAAGACCAGCAAGTCATTTGGAAGAAGAGAGCCATCCGTCCTCTGGCGTGCTCAACTATGCGGGGGAAAACGAGCTCTGCTGGCCTCCTTCCATGCAGTACGAACATGTTGAGATTGAAGAGGTCTCCGCGATTGTTGAGACAGGAAGCTCACTGCTGGCCGTGGTGAGAGTCTTGTTCTCAAAAGTGCAGGCTGTTTCTGGTCCCATGTGATGCCGTGGTCCATGTGCACAGCGCCGACGGCAGCGGTGTCCAATACTAACGGGTTTGTTGCCATTCACACTATGCTGCAAAGACGATATGGAATCAGAATGGGAGGGGGCATCGTGAGCCATTGTTTGAGATTCAGGTTGACATCCAGACACTATGCCATCGGGACACCATACCGTCTTTGCGAGTGGTATAAGCGCTTGAAGTCGACTCGTGTGCTCCAAACTTCGCGCTGGTAACTCCGCATTGAATGCCGAGACGTCACTTGATTCCCTGGTCCTGAGAAATGGTGCTGCAAAATGTTTGGTAATTGCTCGGCGAACTTCTCTCGAGTTCATCCGAATCGTGAGGAATGAGAAGGATGTCATCCCTGAGTTGATCCAGCTTTCTAATCCTTGGGTGGCACCTTCGGTACTACACAAGGTGCGCGTCCGAGGATTAGTCCCGCGCCGCCGCAACAGCTCGCCTGTCGGAGTTAGTCGGTCAAGAGAGGCTCCCCAATCTAGCTTAACATCCTTCTCTCGCCGGTCTTAAGAGTCACCAGAGGCCGAAAGCATCACCAACGCGGCGCTATATAATTTGCCTAAGTTACTCCTCCATTCACATGCCTCTACTTCGAGTACTTTGCAAAGCAACAACTTCACAACATTCGGTCTATCACCACTAGATTTCGCAACCCATCAAGCCAATCAACATGGCGTCCGACAAGAAGATCATCCTCATTACTGGCGGTAGGCCCTCGCCATCTATCATGCTATTTCTGTAGCAGATTGGGTGACTAATACACGAACAGCCAATACCGGCCTCGGCTACGAGATCGTCAAAGCCCTGTACGCCACAGACGTGCCCTACGAGCTTGTCATTGGAACACGCAGCCTCTCCAAAGGCGACGAGGCCATTGCCACTCTGAAGACCGAGGTCCCCAGCTCCCCATCAACCCTGAGCACCCTGCAGGTGGACCTGGCCTCCGATGCGTCCCTCGAGGCCGCCGTCAAGACCCTCTCCGAGAAGCACGGCCGCATCGACGCGCTCGTCAACAACGCGGGCGCCAGCTTCGACGGCACCCTGCGCGACGGGAGTATGTCGATCCGCGAGGCCTTCAACGCCAGCTGGGATGTTAACGTCAGCGGGACCCAAGTGCTGACCACGCTTGCCGTGCCGCTGCTGCTCAAGTCCGCGGACCCGCGGCTGATGTTCGTCACGTCGGGCACGTCGTCCATGGCCGAGACGGACCCGGACAACTGGGGGAATCTGGCGCACCTTCTGGGCCGCATCAACGCCTCGCCCGAGAAAGGGTGGCCAAAGGACAAGGAGCTCAACCCAATCACGAGCTACCGGTCCACCAAGGCTGGACTGAACATGCTCATGCGGGAGTGGGTGCGAATCCTCAAGAACGACGGCGTCAAGGTCTGGGCCATCAGCCCAGGCTTCCTGGCGACGGGGCTCGGGGGTGTCGGCAAGGAGCAGCTGCTCAAGATGGGGGCTTTGGACCCGTCCGTTGGTGGCCAGTTCATACGCGATGTCGTGCAGGGAAAGAGGGACCAGGACACTGGCAAAATCATCAGGAAGGACATGATACAGTCCTGGTAACTGACAGGGCCGGATATCAGGCCGTAGAGCTCTCGCCACTGAGTTAAGACGGGAATTGTGCAAAATTTAAAGTGCACTTGCTCTGCGGGCGGTCGCCGCGACACTAAAATCAGTAAAATTCACTCATTCGTCGCTCATGTCCATGTTGCATAAAGCAAGTGGGCTGGTCGCTTTTATGGGATGCAAATGCCGAAAGTCGGCGATGTGATCTCATCTAGCCTCCTTTCCTGTTGAAGCCCTGGCTGTCTCCGAGAACACGTCGTATGGCATCGTCTATACATCGTGATCATCCCTCAAACCGGCTGGAGTTCATCCAACCTAATACACCAACCATAACCACCAGCATTAGCACCGTGACAATAGCCGCGCCTGCCTTATCCCCTGCCTCCGGAGGTGGGGCGGGCTTCATATAGTCAGGTTCCTCGCCGGCGTTCGGGTCGCCCACGCTGGTACCGCCCGTCGAGTTCGTCACGGGCCCGCCGAGGTCGTTCCGCTGCAGGTCGAAGAGCAGGCTGGTCAGCGCGCCCAGGACGTTCATCTGCTGCCCGACGCCCGTGTCCCCGTCATAGTCCCCCGTCGTCCAGCGGAACCCGCACGTCGCCGTCGTGACCCCGTTCCCGTTGTTCGTCCCGTCCGCGCAGGAGTTGACTGCGGCGGCGGTGCTGTTCCGGAGCGCGTCCATGATCTGGTCGTGCACGAAGGGGGCGAGCTGCGCGGTGCTGGCCATCCACCGGTGGAGGTAGCCCTTGAAGCTCTTCATGTCGGTCGTGCAGTGTATCCTGTCGGGTGTCTCGCACGACCGCTCGACCGCTGGGCCGTCGGAGAAGAAGAAGTTGATGGTCTGGTTGACCAAGCCCTGGACGCGGCCACGCCAGACATCGGAGCCGTTGGTATGGTCATACATGAAGGCGGCGCCTTGCAGGAAGACGGCGGCGTTGTATGAGAACTGCGCCCTGTCGATGTTTGTACAATTTGCGTGCACATGCCCTCCGTCGTATATGTTGTAGTTCTCGTCCATAAACCCGACGCCGACCTCCCAGTCCCACGTCTTGATGGCCCAGTCGAAGTATGTCGCATTGTTTGTGTACCTCGCAAGCCTTGCGCCGAGGTTGAAAAAGATACCGTTCGCGATGCTGTTCTTATAGTCATAGCCCCGGTTGGACGGGGGGATCTGCCAGCGTAGCCCCCCACCGCACTCATCATCATGCCGGTCCGCTCCAGCCTGGGTATTGAACACCGCCTGGGCGAGCGCAAGCCACTGGGGCTCCTCGGGCGGCGGGTTCTGAAAGTTCAACTCGGCAGCGAGCATGGCGCTCATGCCCCAGAAGCCCTGGTCGTCGTTCCCCAGCGAGATGGACCAGTTCTTGGGCATGTAGCTAAATTCGGACTGGAATACAAGGCCCTGCTCCGCGGCATCGTTCCACGTCGTGTCGCCCGTCACGTACCAGTAGTCGACCATTGCGCCCCACAGTGCACCTCCTTGCCACCAGTAGTAGTCGCCGCCTGGAGGTGGACCTGGGAGGATGCCAGGGACCTGGCCAGGCTGGTCGCCTCTGTAATATGACATGAGATTTGTGGCGACGTCTTTGGCGGCAGATTTGATCGAGTCTGCAGAAGGGGAAGTCAGTAGCAACAGGTGCGGTGTTGCACGTGCGAGCATACCTGATGATGTGAGGTCGACATCGAGGGCTGCGAGGGTGAGACTGGCCGATGCCAGCATGAACAGTCTTGACATCATGGTGGGCGAAACTTCATTCTGGTATCCTGAGTACTGTTTACACAGGAGACGGGAATGAAGAAAGAAGTGGGAACTCAGAGATGAGAAACCGTGCTGGGCACGACGCGGTGCTCATTCAAGTGTCTCTGCTGCTGGTGTTGCACGAGGGAAGAAGGAGGATGAGACTGTCTGTCGGGTGAGACGACGAGTGGACCACAAAGACAACGGCGAATCCATGTGTCCACAATTACCGATCTTGGCCCGTCTCCAAGTTTCTGCTGACTGTGTGCAATACAAAAAGCCACCGGATGTTGAAGGCTGCTCGTGTTGGCTGACGGGGGCCATCAGCAAGCCAAGTCGACATTTTGCCTGCACTGGCTTGCACTGCCACTTGCTCTCACGCGGCAGGATTCGATCCCCCCAGGCTCCATTTGGCAGTTTGGGTGGGAATGACTCGGCCCAGACCGAAAGTGCTACTCCAGAGCCCGTTCGAAGCTATCAAGCTTGCAGATCGAAGTGTGGAGGATCGCTCATGTGGGCCCCGTCGACGGGATTAGGATACGAGACGCCAGCCGACCCATGCCTCACAGCAATCCCTCACCGACTGTGCCTGTTGTCTCCTGACAGCTCACTTGATTCTTGTCTTGTCTCGGGTTTGCGATTCCTACCGTCTGCATTCTTTGTTTTTTGAAAGCTTTGTTATTGCCTAGCCTACATTTTTCATGCCATCCTCATTTCTCCGCACTCTTGGCCTTGGCTCTCGCACTTTTGTCATGGGATCCCCCCTCCCCACTAGTAATTATGACGAACGTGCCAAGCTGTGCGTGTGGGCTTAGCCTGCTCTGCTGACTTGTGAACATTAAGCGCAGAGGAGAAGGGAATGTCTGGCTCTGGCGTTGTCCCTTTTAAGGATCGTCGCAAAGTGATATACATCTCGGATGGTTCGGAAGGTTTGTATAATGGGCCACGCCCGGAGACAAATAGATTGTGCCCAGACACAGTCACGTGGATCTATTCTTGACACAGTAGACCTGCATGTACACGACGTTACACAGTAGTGACCTTTGCGAGCATGATCGTTTGTAGTATAGCTCCCCAGAAACCCCGCCCTAAGCGAGAGTGGTTGCCCAAAATTCTGAGCATACAGCAACTTTGGTTCTATCTGTCACAATTCCAGATTAATTGCGCCATCGAGACTTGTAACACCCATCGTCCTATCAAGTTGTGTGGTAATTTCAAGGATGTCTGTGTCATGCTATAAGTGGAAATTCTTCCAGTATTTCCACATTGATACAGATACATACTGTCTTCAACCTGGCGAGGTCAAACACATGCCAACACCCTCAACACCCCACGCCTGGCCTTTCTCCTTGCGCCTGCCATTGTGGTGCTTCGTATGATGGAAGTGTGCTTTTCTCCGTACTAGTAGGCGATGTTGAAGACCACTGGCCTGTAAACCCCGGAGTTTAGCAGCGATGGGGAGAAGTGTCCAAGTTTTGCCGGCCGTGTGATCAGAGGGGAATTGTGGTGTTAGAGAGGAAGAGGACATGAATAATTATATTGTCAGTTATACTAGATATAGATATACCTAGATCCCATCATCTTGTTTACTTTCGAGGCGCCTCCCATCGGCTTGCACTGCCCTGCCATGCTTGCCTAATAGGCAACAGCAGCTCGGGCCCACTTTTCGCAGAGGCAGTTCCATCGGACATGAGAAGGCTACAGGGGAAATGGATGCACCCACGCCCCTGAGCGTGGTTTTGGCCCTTATATGGTGACTTCCTGGATTCAACAACATGCGCGTCATACCTTTGCCCGCAAAGGCCAACTGAAGACTTTCTCAGCGAGAGGCCGTGCCAGTTCGAGGCACGGCTGGGCTCACGGCACAACTAGCTCCCGCACGGGCGCCGCCAATTTGGACGTCATCGATGGCTCGTGGTTGCAAGGGGTTGCTTGGCCCTTCCAAGCCTCGCCCGGGCACGACATCTTCCCGCGGAGACCATTGACTAGTTTAGTGTCAAACATCTTTTTCCGGTACTTCGGACGGACCGAGAACTCTGAGACTCTGGGCAGCCCAATCGCCGCCAGCAAAGCGTTGATAAACGCTCAGCATGCCCGGACCCAATCCTCGGTCAGGCCAGTTGTGGGCCGGGGTTCTCGGATTCACTTCCCATCGTCCTCATCCGCACCATTTCAAAATCGATGTTACTATAGCATAACTTCCATCACAGCGACCCTTTTCGGGATGGATGATCGAAGCGACGAGGTGCTGGCAGTGGCCATTTTGTTCTTCATTCTATGCTGGATCACTGTATCTCTTCGGGCATATTGCCGTATACGGGTCATCCATTCGGTCGGAATAGATGACAAGTTATTACTGCTGCTCTTAGTACGCACCGTGCTCCATCATCTTGGTTTGGTCGCTGGCGAGAGCTAACCTCGCGGTAGGCTATCTTCACAGCGTATCTGGCGTCGCAATTCGTGACGTGGAAGCATGGCACAGGGAGACACGCGACGGACATATCAGCTGAAAACACATCTATAGCATTGAAGGTAAGAAAGGGTACTGCTTCACTGGTAATTCGCAGCTGACTTTAGATCAACCCTAAGTATTGGTACATATGCGAGCTCCTCTACATCGTCTCAACATGTCTGTTGAAAATCAGCGTCGGATTTCTCCTCCTACGTATCACCATCGAGCGAATGCACGTCTACGTCCTCCGCATTTTGATGCTAGGAACAGTCCTTTTCGGCAGCACATATTTCTTCATGGTCATGTTCCAATGCCGACCCGTATCAGTCTTTTGGAACGAGAACCCCCGTACGCCTGGGAAGTGCTGGAACGACCGCGTCGTTCTCATAATGACTTACACGGCAGCCGCGATCAATTGCCTCGCGGATTGGGCTTTTGGCATCCTGCCGATATTTATTGTTTGGTCGCTCAATCTTCCACTCAAGTCCAAGGTTTTGGCCATGCTCATCCTAGGCTTCGCAGCGATTGGCAGCACTGCAACCATTGTGCGAATCTTTTATTGTAAGCGACGACCAGCCATCTTGGAGCACATCAGGAGAGCCTGCCGGCGAACTAGCCGCATTTTGAATCCCCCCTCATTTGGCCAATCAGTCTGGTACTTTCTTTCTTCTCGCTAACATCAACTTTCAAAGTGCATCACCTCACCGATAGCAATGACTTCCTTTGGTCGACAACCGACGTTGCCATCTGGAGTACTGTCGAGCCTGGAATCGGAATCGCGGCTGCCTCAGTCGCAACATTACGGCCTCTTTGGCAACTCATCTGCTACAGATCCGGTCTCTCAGACGAGGCCCCGGCCAACCTCCGCTGGCGCGAGCGGAACCGCGGAAAGAGGACTTATATTCGATCGGAAGGGTCTGGCTCAAAACGCACACCTCGCCTTCGGCCGGACATCGACACAAGCTTAACAAATATCACAATAGAAGCAAGCGATACGCTCTCACCAAAGGAGCACTTCTCGCCGAGGCTCAGTGCCGTGTCGTCTCAGGCGGGAATTACCAAGACGACGGAATTCGTTGCTTTTGGTTCCACTCAGCCCTCGCCCCCTCTACCACTTGAGGTAAGATTGATCATCTGCGACTTTTACCCTGCCGCTCTCAATATCTAACGTCCGGATAGCGAAGCGCCGTTGAATCACCAAGGCCGGAACAATTGGGGCCGTCATCTCAAGGAGAGGAGTCAGATCTCGTCTCACCGACCCTGGATTGGAGCACTCCTCGGACGTCTGCCTTGACAATGGGATGGCCTGAAAGCTCGAGATCGAGCACAGAAAATTGAAAGACTCAGACATAATCGAGACGCATTCAATGCCAGAGCTCCCACCACCTGTTTACCTTGACGTGGTTTGGAAAGTGACTGACATCCAATTCAAAGGCTTGCATTGACATGATACCCGATTTACAATTGTGTTACTATTAATGAATCCTGCTTTGTCTACCAACACTTCTTTGAACATGGCTATTGTGTTTCCACAGTTCCCAACAAATCATCCATTGTCGGCAATGCCTTTCTCGCAAACAAAGAAGTTCAGGAAAACCGACTTGTCCATATTCTTATTCAAGCCAGTCCGCTGCCGACAATACTTTCACACTGGGACCTTCATGACACCTCGTATTGCTTGAAGCAAAAAAGCTCGAACGCACAGGGCACCAAAAGTTCGCTGCAACTGATCCTACGACACTGCTCACCATATACGATACCTCTCCGATATCTCTGGTGTAAATCATGATGGGACAACGCCTAAACGATGACGTACTGTACGTTGTTGCGAGCTATCTTGACGTTGAGTCTATGCTAAACCTAGCGAAGGCTTCCCGTTCACTATACAGTGTCACCTTGGCCGCAGCACTTCGCACAGATTTGGAAGAAGATGGCCGGTCCATTTTCCATGCAATCAGAAACAACGACTTCCAGCTCATGGAAAAGATCCTTCGCTCGCCAAAATTCGACATTAACAAGGCCTACCAAATCTCAGGAAAGGACACGCATATGCTGCAACACGCTGTTCAACATGCTTCCGTGCAGATGTTCAAGACTCTGACAAACCCGAACCTGTACCAGGCATTTTTGAGCCACACAGAAAATCACCCTTGGACTAATGAGCAAGGCTCTCACAGCAATCTTCTCACAGAAGCAACCAGGTATGGTAGATCCGACCTGATTAACTTCATTGTGGAGTGTCTCGGAGTCCAGTCACTACTGGCCGGCTGGCCCGCCTACCTTGAACCTCAACGCCTCTGGGACCTCAACAACACATCGCTTGTCGCGGGGCTCTCCGGGAGGAAAATTGCGGTAGACCCCGACACGATCTATTTGTTGTCCCAATACTGTAATCCAGATACCTTCATCGGCGTCAACGGAAGCCCCCCATTTGAGCTCAAGAGCCGTTGCCCAGTGGCTCCGTACGCTGTTCCTCACTCCTCGCCATCTAGACCGCGACAGTGGTTCTCCAATTCTCTGCATATGGCATTGTTGCAGCGGCAACACCCGGAAGCTAGGCAACACGTGCGACTGGAAACTCTTGAGGCTTGGCTCCAAGTTGGTGTGGATGTTAACCAGCAAGATGGCGGGCTTGTAGATATTGAGCACGCAAATCCCTTGGTGAGCTACTTCCGGAGACCGCTTGACTTCGCAGCTGAAGGTTTAGACATCGAAGGAATGGAATTCTTGATCAGTAGGTGGGGAGCAACGGGTAGCATCCTGGGCATTGACAACGGCTCTCTCACAGCCTCAGTGAGGTGCACGGATGTTACCACAATGTCACTGCTGATCGGCCACAGGCTTTGGTCTCATTTCGAGGAAAGAGGCTTCTCTGTCCTCTTACCGGACCGGGACATTCAACTGCCGGCTGGTTCCACGTATCAGGAACTGATGTTGCGTGTGCACCAAGAGCGAGCATCTTTGATAGCAGCAGCACCCGATCTGAAGAGCTCCCTCTCTGCAGTTGAAGACAAAATATGCGCCGGGATGAATATTCTTCTAGAGGAAATCGGCCAGGATCGTCTACCTCTCATTGAAGAAGAGTCGACGGGGCTACCTGTAGAGGTGTTCTCTTTCTTGCACGATGAATTCTTGGAATCCCCACAGATCGCTAACTCACTTGTTAGATGTTTTGGCAACGAGTGGATTAACCAAAGGGACTGGAACTCTCGTGCTCCGCTTCTGCAACTCCTATCAGGAATCGCGCCAGTAGACGAGCACAAATTCTGGGGCATGGGTAACGATCAGGCTTGGTACATTCGGCAGGCATTCCACAAGCCACGCCTTGTCCGTTGGTTGCTGGAGAACGGTGCGGATCCCAACGCTCGAGACGTCGAGGGCGTTTCACCGCTTCGCTACGCTCTATTCCGAATGGACTTTGAGGCAGTAGATCTGCTTCTTCAGTATGGTGCTGACCTGACAGAGGTAAGTGGTCTTATCCATCGCCTCATGACTTGCGACGTTGAGGAAGTCTTGCACAATGCGAGCGGCTTCATGGCCTCTGCTTTCAGCGACTGCTTCCTTGGTGTGCGAGACGGATTCAAGAACAGAATTCTGGAGTTGGTGCGTGGATGGGATCTGCACCGAACGGGAGTTCTCGGAGTCGAAGTTCAAACTGCTGATGGTGGGACGATGTATTCCATTACTGTTCCTTCGACGCCAATGGACTCTGGCCTGGGTCTTTTCCTCGATACTTCCCTCTTCCTTGGAAGTGCCATCAGAAGGCCTTTGGCCCAAAGACTTTGGGAAGACGAGAGTCTCCAGGTCGTTAGGTGTGTTCAAGAGGACAGGTGGGAAGCTTTTGCTTATCGTCTCAACAGACTTTGGTGCGTCCTTCAGCGTCACTGCAACTATACACCACTGCCAAGCAGGAAGAGGAAATGTTCGGTCATCAGTTGCTTCAAAGATGAGAATGATCGACTTTCCAAAAGATATAGAGCAGTATAAGTTCCCTGGAGGAATTTTCATACAAAATGTTTTTAAATGTCGATGGTCAATCATATCGTGTTTATTTTTTGGAAGTTGGATATCTTAGTGCACATGTTTTAACTAGTTCTTGTGAGATAGAAGAGGCTTCTTTACTCTTACAAAAGTGTTCCAAAGTCATCTCAAACAATAGCTGATTTATACAGCTCTCGACTAAACGCCCATTACCGAGCCTGGACTATAAAATCGATTGGCTCACCATCACAAGCTTTACGAAAATTAATCTTTATTATTAACAACTCTGTAATTACGAAAATGTCTAGTCTTGATCAGTGCTATATCAAGTCCAACCTCTCTTTTTGAAACATGATATAACACACATCTTTGCTGTTTGCCACAGACCCAAACCCCTCACGCTAGCCTGGCGGCTGGTTATGAATTTCCCTGGGATTGGTAACCTCGTGTTCCAGCGAATGCACCTGATAAGGCCTAATCTCGTCCCACTGGTGCTGTGGCCGCAGCATGCTCATCCTCAGCCTCTCAGACTGCTGCCTCTCATCCTGGAAGTGGGGAGGCTCCGGGGCGTTGTCGTCATCGCCTGCTTCGTCCGCATACTTGCTGTTGTACACGAAAGGCATAGTGGTTTGCGGCTTGGTCCATGAGACGTCCATGGCGTCCCAGTAACCCCTCGGCTTCCGCACACCGGGGTTGCGGTACTGCGCGACGCGGGCCTGGGCTGCGGGCAGGAGCGTGTTCAGGACCCAGTCTGCGTCTGCGACCGTCTGGCTCTTGGGGTCCTGAAAATCGTTTATGTCCGTGCCATCTTCCATGCCGTCCCATTCGAACTCTGCCAGACGATCCTTCAGCTCTTGAGTGTAGCCGGGCGCGTCGTTTCTGTCCATCATGTCCTGCATTGTCAAGTTATCTGGCCGCCGGTCGAGTAGTCCACCCGGGGGTGCGATGTGCGTCATGCTCAAGTCTCTCAAAATCTTGCCGAAGGTGTAAACGTCCTCCCATTCGACAAGCTGTGCCATTGGCTGATTTGGTGGCATGGGCTCGACATTGTCAGGCAACTTCTGTGGATCGTCCCCGTGTATCCCGCTGTATCCAAAATCACCGAGGACAATTTGAGGAAGGGCGTTTGTTTCCAAGCCAGCAGCAGGTACAGCTCCCGGCCCCCTGGGGGTATAATTTATAAACACATTTACCGCATTCTGACGTTTGTTAGCTGGAATGATATTACGAGACTCCAAACCGCGCCGGCCTCATACCAGATCACGGTGGTATAAACGGGTCCACCCTGGCTGTGGATCTTGATTGATTTCAGGTCGGGCACCGAAGTAAAGATATACCATCGCGCAGCTGAGTTGTTCAGCGACGCGCCTGCAATGTCGCATCAGTACGGTCTGGACTGTTCAAGAGGCTATGTCCAGTATAACCAACCAGATGAAAGACTCTGGAACCGGTCTCTGGTGTTCTCGATATAGGTCTCTAAGGTCGGCCAGGTTGCCTCCGTTGCAGAACCTAGAAGACACAGTAAGAGCCGAGCGCCAAGTTAAAATCCTTGTGTCTTGGAGTCACATGTGCCTTACTCAAAGTATAGCGCATAGTAGGGGTCCACTGTAGGGTCTGCTATTTTTAGCTTCTGCCAGAACCGCAGGGTATTAAAGTAGGGTGCATCGTGCGGCAATGCACCTATGCGGTCTGCTTGAGCAGGGTGAAGCTTGGGATTCGAGGTTGATATCCTCAGCTCTAAAGGCTCGTCATATTCGGTGGCCTGGTCTGGTTGCATCATTTTGTGTACGAAGAGCTCCCTAGTACCTGTTAGTCACCTGCTACGGATCCCAAAGTGACACATTCTGGGACATTCTAAAGCACAAAGATCGGGGAAGTGTAGCAGGAGAAGAATAGTACTGAACCCTGTTGAGACTGATTGTACAAGCAGCACATGGTTTTTGAAGCTGTCTACAAATATGAAGCCACCACTCGCAATCTTTGTTCGTCTCCTTCCGCCTTCTCCCACAAGGTTCTCGTATTGCTTCAACACATGGTCAGGGTCATCGTCTACATTGCTGACATTGAAGACTACTGTCATATGGCGATATGGCCTTCTGGAATTAACGGACATGGCGTCATCATAATCGGACAGACTGACTGGTAGCTACTGAGAAGGAAAGAGTACTATGAAAAAAATGGTCTTCAAGGCCGTGGTCGACGGGTGGAATATACTGTTGTAAATTTAGATATGGAGTTCTTTGAGCCGACTGGTCTTCCACAATAAAATCGGCCGGATGCGTCTTCCCACGCAGGCATGGGCACGTGGACTCCAAGGCAAGACCTTTGTTGTAGGGCATGATGACCAATAATGTGAGCCTTATCTGGTCTGAAAGAAAAGGAGCGACGTATGCATTTCGTCGAACCACATGTACAGCCAGCGAGCACGTTGATTGCTGTCTTGAAATATTAGAGCCATGAGCTCAGCTGAATTGTCAATCCACGGCTTCAACAGCACCTTTTGAAGAGAGGTGAAACTTGAGAGAATAATTAGAAGGCATTAAAGAGACAGTGTATTCGATGGTTTAACAGTGTAGGAGAGCTCTAGCTTTGAGAATTGCCAATATGTGTTATCTATTATGAGATACTGGTACTGATTCTCCCTTCCCCAAGCCGGTAGCTCATGTGCTGACTCTACTACGGCAGCGGAATCTAATTCAGGAGTCTGGTAAATGCGTTGAGTTGATTGCAGTTCAGAAGTCTGCTGACTGTGCCTGTCATTTGTCTTTGAAGGATCCCAGTACCCTGGTAAGGGATATTCGGCCAAGGACAAGTCTTGGTTTTGTCCACTCCCACCAGTGTCTGCAGCTCTTGCTTGCCTTCTTTTCTTTCGTGCCCGGAGGAAAACCCACAAGCCAGCAGCATCAGCTGCAAGGCCCGCTATAGAAGCACCAAGGGCAGCCCCGACTATGGTGCATTGACTGGATTGATGTGGCTGGTATCTGTGGGTACAATACTGGTTGATGACATTTTCCGCGGTTTGCACAGACAGGCAGGCGCTTGAGCCTATAGATAAGGCCAGAAATGTCGTGTCCGACTGTTGGTGCCGAGTGCAACGTGGATGGTAGGACCATCTGCGAACCACCCAACACCAAGAAATAGCATCTAAAAGTGTCCCGACCTGTTGGCACGCTAAGGCGTTGGTATGTTCGCAGAACAATAGGCAGGTGGCCGCCGCCGCCGCCGCCGTGGGGCTGCATTTCCCAACTTGCCAGGCTTGCGCATGCCAGGTGAGTGACCTGCCCGCAATGCGCCTTCTCAGTTTTGCGGGTCCTTGTTTCCCGTTACGCCGAAAGCATGGATTGGCTGTTTGAAGCGCGACTTGAGTCATTTGCCATTTGCTCGAAACAAACGCCGCAGATCTGTCAGTTGTGCACTCCACGCGAGATTGCTCTCTTTTTTTTGTTGTAACGGTGCTGTGCCTCGCGAGTTCCGACCGTTGAAGCGAGCATCCAACTCCGCTCTTCTTCCCATCTTTGATCGACAGACACCGTGGAAAAGCCATCTCTCATCGTGAGTCTTGAGAACCACACAAGACGAGCGACATTTCACCAGACTGCGCGCCTCGCCCTTCTCTTTCACGCCTGCCTTTCGTTTGACTTTCTGCCGCGCCTTGCCCTCACTCCCACCTCGACAGTGACATCCCAGTCGTCCCAACTCAGCATCGCCAATGTACCGAGCGCGTGCGGCATAGTGAGGCACAATATTCGCCATTGTCATCTTCATCATGCTCGCTGCTAGAAGGAGTCCCAAATGGCTTATGGCCGCTGTTGTGATCTCCCTGGTCACAACTTTCTACATCCTCAACGACGATACCCCACGTCCGTGGTCCGGACACGGGTCTTTCTCAACCTCAGACAGCTCGAGATGGAAGGTCTCCGGTGACTACTTCTGGAAACAAGTCCCAACTCACTATCCTCCCACGTCGATTCGGCCGCTTCCCACGGGGAAGGTCACGCCGTTCCCCAAGGTCCAGGCGACCAAATTCCCAGCAGAAACGATACAACAGCGTGACAGGCGGAAATTCCATCGAGACGCCGTCAAGCAGGTCTTCAAAAAGTGTTGGAAGTCATACAGGGAGAAAGCATGGCTCTCTGACGAGCTCACGCCCATCAGCGGCAAGTCGCGCGACACCTTTGGCGGCTGGGGTGCAACCCTGGTCGACTCGCTCGATACTCTATGGATCATGGGAATGAAGGCTGAGTTCGAGGAAGCCGTTGACGCTGCCGTCACAATCGACTTCACCAAGAGCCAGCACGAGGAAATAAATGTCTTCGAGACCACCATTCGGTATTTGGGTGGATTCCTGTCAGCCTACGACCTGAGCGGCGACCCGCGACTGTTGAGGAAAGCAAACGAGGTTGGTGAGATGCTCATGAAAGCGTTTGACACTCCCAACAGGATGCCAATCACTCGATGGCACATCAACTCCGCTGCAGCGGGCGAGAGACAAGAAGCGCCCGATGATGTGCTCGTGGCTGAGATTGGCAGTTTGACAATGGAGTTCACAAGGCTGTCGATCTTGACCGGAGATCCAAAATGGTTCGACGCAGTGCAACGTATTACCGACATCTTCCGCAAGCAGCAGATGACAACTTCGCTGGCCGGCATGTGGCCTTTGGTCGTGAACGCCAAAGAGGAGGTGTTCAATCAAGGGTCGCACTTCACCCTAGGAGCTATGGCCGACTCGGTTTTTGAATATCTGCCCAAGATGTCGGCCCTGCTTGGGGGTAAGCTTCCAGAGTACCAGGACATGTACGAGAAAGCCATGGACGCTGCGAGCCAGTGGCTTCTGTTCCGCCCACTGACGCCCACGAATGAGGACATTCTTATATCTGGTCGCATCGAAACCCACCAAGAGGGAGGCAACAGCTACGTTACCCCCCAGCGAGAAGGCCAGCACCTTGCCTGTTTCGTCGGTGGTCTTTACGCCCTGGGAGGCAAGCTCTACGGGAGGAAAGACCACCTTGATATTGCGACGAAGCTCACCGAAGGATGCATCTGGGCGTACAAGGCGTCACCTCATGGCGTCATGCCGGAGACACTTTACATGGCATCGTGCCGCTCCAAGGAAGATTGCGAATGGAACGAGAACGAGTGGCAAAAGCAAGTTCTGTCTGTAGCTGGTGAACAGCCCACAGGCGACTTCGACTATGACCTCGGCCGCGCGCATGCGATCATCGCCGAGAACAGACTGCCAGAAGGCTTCACAAGGATTCCGGACGGCCGGTATATCTTGCGGCCTGAAGCGATTGAGAGTGTGTTCATTTTGTACCGCGCGACTGGTCGCGCAGATTTGCTGGACTCAGCGTGGCAGATGTTCACGGCTATTGACAAGGTTACGTCGACGAAATTTGGGAACTCGGCGGTTGACAATGTCATGAGTCCAGAGAAACCGTCAGCCACGGACTCAATGGAGAGCTTTTGGCTGGGGGAGACTCTTAAATATCTCTATCTGATATTCAGCGACCCCGGGGTGGTGAGCCTTGATGACTTTGTTTTCAACACTGAGGCGCACCCATTCAGGCGGTTGAAGAGATGAGGGCCTACGGACCGAGCCCTTGAACATCTCATCAGGACGCGTGAGGAGAGCACCGAATTTGGTGCAGATGAGTGCGAATGTACACAACTCAACCGTGGGAAATAATGAGTGCAGAATTTACAGCGTCATCAGAACTTTCATGGTTCACAAATTTCAGTTTTCAGCAGAATCTCTGCGCGTGTGGAGATACAAGATTGTGTTCAAAACTGTTGTTCTACGCTAATATGGGTCTTGTCGAGCTGGGTGAGATACATGTCACACCAAAGCCTCAACTCAACAGTCACCTGCCTACTTGTCAACTCCGACAAATTCCCATTCAATTGCAGTTGAAGACCGAGTTACGGAGACAAGCTTCGATCTTGGGTCGCGAGGCCATACTGAGCCGTATGAGGTCAAATCGCAGATGCCGAGCAATTAAGTCATCAACAGCCTCGCGTTGGTCGGGCCCCAAAATGAATAGCTGCGGCTGGATTGCGTCGTGGCGTTTTGCCTATGCTTTTTTACTCTTGGCGCCTACCATTGGTGGGGAGGATCAGAACGCCTGATCATTTTGTCTCATCACCCTCCCTTGCACAAGGGGTGTCCCAAATCCGTTCCGGAGCGACCGCTACGGTCCGTCTGGGGGAGTTGTGATGTTCAGGCAAGCTGGGGACGGAGCGCGAGGTGTGGCCGAGCTTCCTTTCACCTGCCTGTCGAGTCAGTGCGGGCTCGCAGGGTGGGTCGTCCTGAGTTTGAACTTACTGTAGAACAAAACTTTGAAGACCCGGCAGACAACGTGTAGCAAAAGCATTCACTCGGTCGGGGGATCCCTCCGGGGATCTTATTGTTTGCTTCCTCCCATCCCTCGTTGATATCATGAGGCCCACAGTCTCCACCAACGGGGTATTTTGGACCATCCCGTTGGAAAGTGAACGAAGTGAAGAACCTTGATCCCTACATAGTGGGAAACCCAAGAACACGCGATGGAAGCTGACCAGGCCTAGTGTAGCCAGCTCTTGTCAATGCTTGTTGTAGCCTGAGCCGCCGACATTACAAACCCTACTTCCTTCGGGTTGTGCCCGTGCTGTTCAGCCGTTTCATTTCTTCTACACCCTGACCGTTGAGACAACACCACGGCAGTGTCCTTCTCGACCATGACGGCCATCATTGTCGTCGGCGTGCTGGTTGCGCTGTTATACGGCCTCTACCAGTGGCTACTCCCAAAGCCGCTTCCCGGTATCCCTTATAACGAAGCTTCTGCAAAGAGCCTGTTCGGCGATATTCCCGGCCTCGTAAAAGAGGTCTCCAAGACAGGGGACTTTGCCGACTACATCAGCAAACAGAGCAAAAAAGCACAACTCGCCGATCGCCCAGATCTTTATGAAGCCGTTTGGCAAGCCTACCCTTGTGGTCTGCGACTTCAAGGAGGCCCAAGATGTCCCCCTGCACCGAGGCAAAGAGTTCGACCGGTCCGCTTTTGTCGGCGAGCTGTTCCAGGGGGCTGGCAAGGACCACCACATCGCGAAGAGGACTGGGCCCGAATGGAAGGGCCGCAGGAAGCTTCTGCAGGACCTAATGTCGCCGACCTTTTTGCATAGTGTCGCGGCACCTGCGATATATGCCAGCAGCCTTAATATCCTGAAGCTCTGGGAGCTGAAGGCTGACCTGGCCGACGGGCGGCCCTTCTCCGCCTCGAAGGATATTTTCCACGCCGCCCTGGATGCTGTGATGGCCTTCGCGTTTGGGAACGGGTACAAGGAGAATGCGACTTCAAGTCAGACAGAGCTGATGAAGAGCCTCGAGCGCGGCAAAATCGCTGCCGGCGGGCAGGATGTCCCGGTCGAGTTTCCAACAGCAAAGCTGGGCCAGGTGATCTCAAGTATCCTCGCCTTAACGGCGGCTGTGGAACGCGTCAGGGGGGCCGCTAGTATGAGCCTGAATTGGTGGTTTATCACGCGCGAGGCTGGGTATAAGAAGGCCATGAAGGACAAAGACGACGCTATCCACGAGCAACTCGAGAAGGCTGTCCAAGCTCGGAAGCAGAACGGCCAGGGGGACAACGATACGTGGGTCCGATCTGCGGTCGACCACATGGTTGATCGTGAAGCTCGTTCAGCCGAAAAGGAAGGGCGGCAGCCGGAACCTCACTCACCTGGTATGTCAAGTTGTCTCCAAGACACACCCATGCGGCCTCTTATTCAAAGCACGTCTTATTGCTCATATATTGCTAACACGACATGCCAACCTCCAGCTATGGTAGTCGAAACCCTGGGCTTCATCATCGCCGGCCACGACACGACGAGTACCACCCTCTGCTGGGGCGTCGAGCTCCTCGGGGACAACCCAAGGGTCCAACAGCGCGTCCGCGAAGACCTGCAAGCCGCCTTCCCCGAAGCCAAGGCCGAGGGCCGGCTGCCCTCCGTCGCCGAGATCACCAAAGCGTCGATACCGTGCCTCGAGGCCACCATGGAGGAGATCCTGCGCATCGGGAACACGGTCCCAATCGTCGACCGCGATGCCGTCCAGGACACCACCCTTCTGGGCCACTTCGTCCCCAAGGGGACCCACGTCTTCTTCCTGGTCAACGGGCCTTCGTTCCTCGAGCCGGCGTTTGACATTGACGAGTCGCGGAGGAGCCCACAGGCCCGGGACAGCAAGGTGGGCGCCTGGGCGCCCGAGGACATCGGCGCCTTCAAGCCCGAGCGGTGGCTCGCCGAGGAGAATGGCAAAGAGGAGTTTGACAGCCAGGCTGGGCCCGGTATCCCCTTTGGTTTAGGAACTAGAGGCTGCTATGGGAGAAGATTGGCGTATCTTGAGCTGAGGCTCTTGTTGACGGTGTTCCTCTGGAAATTTGAGTTTGAAAAATGCCCTGCGGAGCTGTCTGGGTATGATGCTGTCGACGGAGTCGTTCACGGGCCAAAGAATTGTTATGTTAGGCTGAGGAAGGTCGCTGCCTGAATCTGCCGTTAATGTACATTACCGTATTCAACAACCCTTCTCAATAGTTAAAGACAAAACTTTTGTGCCTGTTGCATAGAAAGAAAGGGATGGTGTACAGAGACATTACAAGCCTAGTACACCCACACCCAACACACCCACACCTACACACCTATACACCTATACACCTATACACCTATACACCTATACACTTATACACTTATACACTTATACATTTATACACCTATATAACCACACCTAATTTACATACCTAAGCCCAACTAATATTAATATATAAACTGGGCATAGGTGTGTAAATTAAGTGTGGGTGTGGGTGTGGGTGTGGGTGTTATGCTTTGATTAGGTCTGAGAATATTGTTTAGGAGATAACTGTGCACCATCCGCTTTCTTCTGTGAATATCTGTTTTCAAACAAATAGCACCCAAATAATTGAGGTTTGCGCATTGCCCAAGGAACGAAATTATGTTTCTTGGTATATTCTCTAGGGCGACAAGCGCCAATTTTGGAAGAGTTGGAAAGACATGAAAAGGAGGGTAAGCCTCTTGGGCTGAAAGCTTCACATCAACGGAGCAAACTACTAGTAGTAGTCGACAGCCAGACACAGTACAAATTGTCCCCCATTCCACCCTCTGGTCCCGGAAGCCACACAAATCATCGGCGCATGTTGAATGCGTCTCAGGTAGACCGCACGTGTTGAAACACCGGGACGCCGGGCAACAGCCTGCCTCAGATCTTCTCCCACCTCAACAACACGGCTGCCACGATGACAGGCACCACACTGACCAGCTCTCCAAGCCCCGCAAACTCGGGCGGGATCCTGGCGTTGTGAAGGCTGGAGAAAGCGCCGCCGCCGAGCAAGATCGCAAAGATGTTGTAGACGAAGCTCCAACCAAAATTGAATGCGATCCTGCCCATGGACTTCTTGCTGACGTTGATGAGGGTGACGATTCCGGCGAGGCTGGGCCGCATGAGGACCACATCCGCCGCGGACTTGGCCACGTCGGTGCCACCAGAGGAGTCGTTCATGTGCACGCCAATGGTGGCCTGAGCCAGGGCGACGGCATCGTTGGTCCCGTCGCCGCAGAATATGACGGTAGGAGCTGACTTGCCATGAGGGGCTGCGAGGAGTTCCTGGACATAAGCCTGCTTGTCGGCTGGAGTGCAGCGAGAGCGGACGCGGTCGTCTGGGATGTTGAGTTGGTTCGTCACTGCACGCACGGCGGCATCGTCATCACCTGAGATGACGTGAACTGCAACTCCTCGTTTGTGCAGCTGCTCCACGGTGTCGAGGGAGTCCGGGCGGAGGGAGTCCTGCAGGCCGAATATCGCTACCAGGTTGTCGTCTACCGTGAAGCAGAAGGTTGTGTAGCCCTCGGGGAGAACGGACTGGACTCGAGAGTCCTGGGTGAGCCCAAGCCAGCGGGAGTTTCCGGCACGAAGGATGGAGCCAGAAGACGTCGTTGCCTCAACTCCTTTCCCGGTCAATGTACTGGCGTCTAGTGCCTTTGCAGTGGGAATGACGCCTGCAGACTGGAGTTGTGCCGCAACAGTCGCAGATACGGGATGTTTGTTGCTGGCGAGAAGTGACAGCAGCAGTGACTTCGAGTTAGCAAGGCTTTCCTGACCTCCCAACCACATTTCCCGGGCAACTGTAAGCCGTCCTTGAGTGAGCGTTCCGGTCTTGTCCAAGACCACGTGGGATGCTTTGTAGGCCAGCTCTACTGGATCGGCAGACTTGATGATCACACCCTTCTCGGCAGCCACACCACTTGCAATTACGATGACCATGGGGACTGCCAGGCCGATAGCACATGGGCAAGAGACAATGAGGACCGCGATTGCGTATGTGATGGCCTGTATGGCAGCATCAGATGCAGACCTGCGCTGAACAGCAACGCCGACAGCAATCCAGATGCAGAAGACTATGATGGTGAGGGAGACGATGACAGGGACGAAGTAGGATGCGACGCGGTCGGCGATCTCTTGCATCTTGGGCTTGGAAAGCTTGGCTTCGTCAACCATATTGGCAATGGCACTGATTGTGTTGTCTCCTGGGAGTCGGTTCAGCCGCACAATGAGCGTGCCAGCCCCGTTGATCGACCCAGCAATGACAGAGGACTTGGTGTACTTCTCGACGGGCCTCGATTCGCCGGTGACCATCGACTCATCGACCTCGGAGGATCCAGACACAACTGTGCCATCTGTGGGAATCTTGGAATCGGGGAGAACCTTGAAAGTATCTCCGTACTGGAGAAGCCGGGCGTCCACTTCACGTTCCTCGTCTCCGACCAGGATAGCAGTAGCTGCTTGCAAAGACCGGATGGAGATGGACTCGACTGCTTTCTGGCGGGCGAGCGCAGCCACGTATCTCCCAACCATGATCAGAGTCACCAGAAGTGCGCTGGTCTCGAAGAACTCGCCAGTTGACAGTGGCTGGCCAGAAACGAGGTAACCGAAAGACACGACTGAGAAGATGTAGGCAGCGGTTGTGCTCAGGACGATGAGCAGGTCCATCTCAATGACCCTCGAGAAGACAAGGGCCTTGAGAGCCTTTGGGTAAAATGGCCCGGCAATCAGGACCTGAACCAACGTTGCGAGTGCTAGGGACGCAGATCCGTAGGCAATCTCTCTCTCTGGCAGGGGAGCCCACGCGAGCACCAGCACGGGAATGGTGAGAATGGCGGAGAGGATCGTGCTCAGTCCAACTTTCCGAACATGCCTGCTGCCAGCGGCAAGGCTCTGGTCGCCTCTGGGAGGAGCAAGGGTCACAGGGGTGTCCCATCCTTTTTCCAGCAGGTCTCGGGCTCCCACAAGCTTGGAGTCGAAGGCAACGTTCATGACGTTCTTGCTGAGCACCGTGGCATCAGTGACACCCAGTGGCCAGCTGTCATTGACGAACCCAACCGCGTCGCCGGGAGTGATAATATCGATGTTGGACCCCTTGTTGGTGACCTCCTCACACTTGAATTCGGTGGTTCTTTCGAGATGTTTCATGACCTCTGCCACGGATTCAGTGCTCAAATCCAGATCAAACTCGGCCCGTGAGAGAACCAGGCTCGTCTTGAGGTTCTTGACCGAGCTGAGACTTGCGAGGGTGCGCTGTAGCTTTGTCTCGCACCCGGTACAGGTCATGCCAGAGATGCTCAAGATCACATGGTCTTTGCCTGATTTTCCAGTCTCAAGGTCAACAGAATAATCCTTGCCACGCCTGAACCCCTTGGTGTCTTTGGTGTCGACCGAAAGACGAGTGGTGGTCGTGGTCGGAGCACAGCAGTCCTTGTCTGCACAGTCGTCCTTCTGAGACATTTTGCCAGGCTCCTGAGCGCATGATTTGCCCTTGGCCCTGGCCCGCATGGTCAGGGAGGCCCTCGTGGCAGCGCCGGTAGCGCAGCAGGAGTCGACAGACGTGCGGGTGGTCGACGATGACCGCTTAGAGCAGCGCTTCCGCTCGAGGGAGGACCTCTTGGGCGGCGGGCAGCATGAGTCCTGCCCCATCGCCAGGAGTGCCCGACAGAGGCATCCGAGAGCCTCTAGCTTGGCCGCGTATTTCTGGCGAGTCGATTGGCTGTGCTGCCCGCATGGCTTGCCGTCCCGTCCTTTGCCACAGGCACCCTTCGATGACGAACTTGCATTCTGACCTGTGCACTCGCGAGCGGCGAGGCGGTCCAGGCAGGACACGTCGCAGCACGGGCTGGACTTTCCCTTGCAGCAGCTTGGGTCCTTTGGGTCCTCCGGCTCGGGCTTCGTATCGCCGCAGCAAGCGTCCTTGCACGAAGCACCAGAGTCAGTGCTGGCTGCCTTGACGGATCCTTCGCCGTCACAGCAGGCATCCTCGCACGTGGTGCTCATCTTGGCCCCAGTGGGCTTCGAGGGCTCATCTCCGGCGCAACATCCGTCGCCACAGGTGTCCTTCGGGTTAGCCTCTGTGTTGGCCTCAGGCTGCTCGTCCTCGTCGGCGCAGCAGGCATCCGCACAGGTGGCCGCAACGGTTGCTGGCGCCGGCTTGGGTGAATCAGACGCACAGCATCCTTTGGCGCAGGAGTCCTCGGAGACCCGACTGTCATCAGCATCGCAGCAGCCGTCCCCCTTGGTGGAGGACTCTCCGCCGGTGGTGCTGGGGCCCGCGTTTTGGGGCTGTTGCTGAGGCGGGGCCATTGTAGTCGTGGCCTCTGGGGGCGCACAACACCCTGATCCACATGCCCTCGTGCAGATGTCGTTTCTTCAATTGATGATTCTCAGAGTACCCTGGTTCGTGTCAAAATGAGTTCAAAGTTGGTGAAATAATGTAGCAAGTCGAGGCGGCCCGCGATCGGTGTGGACGCGTTGAGTGGAAGGCCTGCAAGTGGAAGGCCTGCAAGTGGAAGGCCTGCAAGTGGAAGGCCTGGAAATTTTAGCCGCGGGTACGCAGAGCTTGGCATCGGCAGCTGTTTCGCAATGTCACTCGATTCAGTTGGGGTTACCACCGCTCTGTACATCTCCGCAGGCATCCCAAACGCTACATGGGTGGTTTCCTCTCGTACCGTCACATTCGACCAGCCTCGTTACTTTTCCAGCAGCTTCTATGGAAACGTATTGACTCCTTGTGAATTAGTAATTTCTTGCCCACTCGGGCCAATAATTGCCGTCGTGGTCACTACCGGACTCCATCACTACAGAATTCTCTTGTCACAAGAGCGTTAAGAGACACAAGCAGCTAGCCTCGACATGTCAGTTGAAGGGGAGTCGGCGCTATTCTCTGTAGAGTTAAAAGGCAGCAATTCAGACGGCTAGTAGGCGAAATAAAATCAAGGCCCAGAATTCTACGTTATGGACCAAGATTTGAGAGCATCGTCTCTCGTCTTTGTCTCTTGTGAAATCAATTATCGAATCCAGGAGAAATGAATGACTTGAAGTTGTTGTTGGCTGATGCTGGCCAAGTCCTCAGCGTGCTACCTGACCGTCCCCTGCGCTATCACCTGCCAGAGTGATTGTCCTGCTCTACTTCTCGAACCAGGTGCCAGTGATGTTCGCCATCTTACACTGCCCCCGGGTATCATCCGACCAACAAGCAGTAGGATCCGCATCCGGATTCTCACCCTCTTCCTCTTCTGTGTCCACGCTGGCACCGTTGGACACCACGAGAATGCTCGGCGGAATGTCGTATTTGTACTGTGATGGATCCTTTGAAAGCAGGTTGTTGGCATCAACCCGCTGGAATGCGGTCCTGGTCAAGTATTTCTTCATGCACATTCCTACCGAATCTTCTTCAACCGCTGACGTGGGGTTGTAAGGACATGGGTTTGACGCCTGGCCGAGTATGTAGGCAGCCAGGCCAGCCTGAACATGTTAGCATCAGGAACTCGGGAGACTAGACATTGGGAGCACGCACCACAATCGGCGCCGAGAAGCTGGTACCTGATTTCAACTTGCGATTGGACAGCTGAAGATCGTAGGTGTTGACGCCCTCGCCCTGGGCGTAGAGAGAGACGGGGGTGTTTCCTCGGCCCCGGTGTGGAGAACTGACAATTGCCCTTGGCTGTTCGTGGAACCAACCAGCAACATTGGACTATCCGCCGTCGCCAAATTTTGTGGAAATTGCTGGTCGATATAACGAGGAACGAAGCCGGGGTCTTGCTGTGGATTTGCGGATACGCCATCGTTACCCGCCGGCATAACGATAGTGACGCCGAGATGGTCCAACTGTAACAGTGCGGTCTTCATTTGTGCCTTGGTAGTCTCCCACCTCGCGCCATATTGACTCCTCATATCCTCCTCTCTCCAGTTCCCGGCGCACATCACAAGTACGGCTTTGCCTCGGGGGGCCTCGGAGCGTCCGACTACGGAAATGACTTTCCGCAGCCCTTGAAGCTGTGCGTCTGGGCCGGTGAGAATCTCCTCGACGCGTCCTGACTTCATCATTACTTCCATCATCTTAATGAGGTACAAGTTGGCTTTACGCGCGACACCGGTCTTGCAGCCGGCGGCAAGGATCGCCACTTGGGTTCCGTGGCCGTGGATCTCGTGGCTATCACTTGGCACGCCAACGTCGTCCACTGCGGTCTCGAGTGTCAGTCGGTTCTGACGCTTGAGATCCGTATGAGGAGCCCCGATGCGGAATTAACAAATTGAAGCACCACAAAGGGCGGCGGGTAAGCACTGACTGTTGTCTGGTGGATAGTAATAGCCGTCCTTCTTTTCGGCATCGCTCAGAGGTACGCCGCGATAGGACCATGGGACCAGATACGTTTCAATTTTTCGCTGATCTAGGCACTGCTCATCTGGATACTTCTCCAGGTTGAACCCAGTGTCGATGGCGAAGATCGTCGTTCCCGTACCTGGTACATTGTCAGAAAGCCATTGCCATCCCCGTCAAACCACTTTATGGGCAGTAAATGCAGCTGTAGGGTGTTCTGATTGGAAAATATGTCTGAGAGAAGCATGTCCAAGGCCATCAAGAGAGCTCGCTTTCTCATGGGTACTGACCGTCGGAATCGTCGTGGGCAAAGCCTTTGTCGACAGGATTGGGATTGGCGACATCGAAGGGCGCACTGAGCAGGGTCAGGTAGTCGTCCGCGGAGGTGTCAGTGATCACGACGCGGGAATTGGAGATGTTACTTGCGAGAAATGAAGCATTCAGGTCGCGAGGGTAGTCGTCAAGGGGGAAGGCGCTGATGAGAAGAAAGTAGACACAGAGGCCTAGAAGAACGTGAAGACCAAACATCTCGGCTTTGGAGAACTGCTCCTACGAGTTTTCGATCTTGGCCTGTTGGTTTCCAATTCAACGACTGTTGAGGATGCCAACGCGTCTGTCGTTGGGCTGGGTTGGATGTTGTCTGTGAGAGTGAGCAGCAGACTTTCTTTGCACTTTGGTGTACAGACCCAAGTCCGGGTTTGGATGCGACTGGGGCTGGCGCACAAACAAGATTTTCTCAGGTGCTTTCTTCCCATGGGTCAAAAATAAAGACGGGGCAGCCTTGTGACTTTGAGATGGCAATTGGAGTGATGGAGGTAAGAATCGAAGGGGTTTGCTGAATCAGAAAGAGTGTCAGTTTGAATAAACTTGACATTTTCGCAAGAGATTGTGGCCGCCGTTTGTTTTTAAAGCTATCTCTCAGATCAGGATGATCGAGAAGGCGAATGTCCAATTTTCAAGCTTGTAACTTCAAGACGGGGCTCGAATTCCCTCGCCTCCCCCCTCTGATCTTTGGTGGCGACGAGCAATCCGTTGATGTATCTGCACTGATCTGCCACACTTGCCTTTTCATTCTAAATTACCCTTGATTTTACTTCGTGTCTTTATTCAGGTCATTTATGAATATCCAATGCTTGTTGACTCATCACCTGGCAAGTGGGCGTGATGGTATCGATCAAGTGAGCAAAGCAGTTCCAAAGACTCAACTTGACAGCTTGTAGCTGCCGTCTCCAGATGTCTTCCCTTGGAAACCAATAAAGCGAAGCAGTCTGCCAGCCCATAGTTAGAAATGCCTTCAAGGTCGAAAGTATTTGCGTCTCAGCTCAACTAAGGGGAGACCGCATGCACATACGCACGGCACATAGGTTGCTTCTGCCTTGTAGATAACGAACTAAGATCTTCCTCAACCATAGCCATCAAGTGTGGCATGAGATGCAGAGAACCCTCATAAACTCAGATGTGTTGTGTCAATGTCCCTCCTACCTAGGTACCGAGGATACAGGATATCTACCGCTGGGGCAGCCTCCCCAGGCCTCCATTGGCCCATAGTGACATTTTCGTTTTGAGCCAGCTGGCAGGAGTAGGTCACAGATTCACGTCAGACTCCGAAATGCCGCACTTTCTACCACTGGTTTGCATCGTGACCAATCTGTGGGCCAAACCCTCGCTACCCGACAACCTCGAAATATGTAACAAGCTGGCTCCGCATCCGGTGTATCTAGGGCAATAGCATTCAATTACTTACGATATGATATCTTCTAGTCGTCTTCCTCGTTGGCAACGCCCCGTGGCTAACCATTGACTGGCCAGTAACATTGCCCGCTTCCAGGGAGGCCGTGGAGTGATATCCTCCCTGCGATCCTGACAGTGGATCCGCATGCAGCCTAAAACGGATCTAGATCTATGGATGAGCTGGCAGTCTGGCCTGGCCATACCCACTTGTGCTAATGAATCGCTCCTAAGCTGGGCCGCCATCTCTTGTCCCCATCGCCATTCCCCTCAACCGGAAGACAAAGAGGTCGCGGAAACTTCCACGATCATCCAGACCGGTGGCCTGCTCAGATATACCCGGAACGATGGGTTGCAGTTGCCAAGCCTCCCTCGTAGCCAGCTTGAACCACGTTGGTGCTGAGTAAGGAGGCACAGCGGTGCTACCCCAGGCCGTATATAAGCCGCATCCTTCCGTGATATGTTCGTTTGACTGGAGATCCACGTGCGTCTAATCTCCCCAATCACTCGACCTGCGTTAAGGACCTTGGCGCCACGACTGCCAAACCAACCATGAGCTCACCCACCACCGGACATATCAGCACCAACGACGGTGTTCGTCTCGCCTACACGCAGACTGGTCCAGCGTCAGGTGACAACCTATTATTCATTCCTGGCTGGAGGCAGACTGCGGCTCAGTGGCACAAGCAAGTGTCCCACTTCCAGACCTCATACCGGGTTACGACATTTGACTACCGTGGACATGGCGACTCAGATAAGCCTGCATCAGGCCATCGCATCTACCGCTATGCGGCAGACCTGCTAGATTTCCTGACGCAACTCAAGCTGCGCCAGGTGCACATAGTAGGACACTCGATGGGCTGCTCCATAATTTGGGCCTTCTTTGATATCTATCCAACTCAGGCCCAGGACTTGCTCGCCGGCATCGTGCTCATCGACCAGTCACCCTGCATGATAGCCGACCCAGCCTGGACTCAAGAGCAAGCCAAGCAGCTTGCGGCCATCTTCTCGCCCAGCACGGCCTTCGAGCTGGGGAAGAACATCGCGCCGGCCACGGCGGGCCTGGTCAAGGGCATGTTCACGGCAGGCGCGGACGCCAAGGATGTCGAGTTCGCGCTGGAGAGGAGCAGCCTAATGAGCGACGAGGCGGCATCTGCGCTTCTGCGGGACCACGCGTCCAAGGACTGGCGGGACGTGCTGCCGCGACTTGGAATCCCCGCTCTGGTGATCGCGGCTGAGGGGAGCGTGTTCCCCGCCGAAGGGGTGAGGTGGATTAGCGAGCAGATCCCTGGCGCAAGGTTGGTCACCTTTGGGAAGGAGGAAGGTGGCAGTCATTTTATGTTCTATGAGAACCCGGATAAGTTCAACAGCGCTGTCGAAGACTTCTTGAGGCGGTCTTGAGGTGGCGGGTGGCATGTGGCCCTGCCATACTGAAGAGCGCGTTGTTGTGTGAGAAGACCGTAAACGCAAGTGTATCCAATGTTTGACTGGTGTCTCGTGCACTGGAACCCGAGTTTTGCTGCACCACAGTAGGTGGGTTATGGGAAGCAGACGTTCTTCATAGATGTGATGTAGATCTGGTCAGCAAATGAAGAGCAAATAATGAGGCAATTCGCAATCCTCAGTCGGTTGCCTGTTCGAGATACCACAGCTCCGGATGGAACTCCAGACGGTCATATTCGCAGGAACAGACTTGAGACCCAATATCAGGCCATAGGAGCGACTTCTTGTTGACTACGTTGTATTGAAAGGTAGTAAGGGGTTGCCAGATGTCCAGGCTTCCCTGGGTGGACGGAACCGGAAGAGAAAGACGAGGCGTGACGGGTCCCTTGAGCTCCAAATTAGCTGTGGATACGACGTGTACCTACAGATGTGAACATGGTAGCCCTAGGACACATCGCCAGTTATGATACGCGTTTGCAGCATGTGAAGCAAATGATGATGCTCAGGCCAGGGAAGAACAAGACACTTGTGATGAGGGTCTTGAGGCCTGACCCGTCCAAAGTCGGAAACACGACTGCATCTCGCGCACCAAATCGGTTTGTGATGAGTAGGGTCCATACAGAAGATGTTGCGTGCGTGGGGCCATGTAGGATGCGTAGAGGAGGTTTTGACTTGGGATGACGACCACGAGCATTGCTGACTCAGGCCCGTGGTACGTGTACTGTTGTGATGACTGGTGTAACGGAGGTGTGCTGTTAGCAGTGCTGAGTGCAGAGGTGTTGCTGAACGTAGGTATGGTACTGCAGTAGGTAGTCATGATGCAAGATGCTGCCGTGTGAGAGTGCGAAGGTGTGTGGTGTGTCGCTGTTGGTTCCCTGTTGGACGAAAGTGGCATTGCAGCCACAGCTGAGTGAGTGCCCAGCTACTCGGAGATAACCGTGCAGGATGCACGTCGCTTAATCAAGGAGTAATCGTCAACAAGGGCGTGTGTTGCATTCTGGCTGAAGACGTCGTGGCAGGCAAACTCATTGACTCTCATTGTCTTAGGGATACAAAAGCAGGTAATTTCGACAATTTGCAGAGGTCTGTGATGAGCGGTCATGACTTGACGTCGTCATCTACGGTTGCGGTCCAGTCATTACGGCCACTGCGTCTCGGGTCCGGTCTTTCCCGAATGTGGGCTGACTCGGCATCTGTCGACATCAAGATAGCAGCGAGACGACGAGACGCGATACGGAGCGAGTCGTGGCCCTTCGCGTTTTGCACATGTGAAAAAAAAGCTCTGCACTGCAGCGATCAATGCATGATGAAACGCTTTGACGGCTGGTGGCTATCATCTACTCGACGTGCAGCAGTCCGTCATCCACCCAGCCTGACAGCGAAGCTTGGTTGGTGGAGCGCGGTGGAGCGTGGTGGCAGAGCTGAGTCGGGAGTCAAAGAGATAGACCTGCGCAGATACTACCCAAATGGATAGAAAATTAACGGACGCATCATCCGCGCAGCTTTTCAGCACGCCTCGCGCCCACGATCTGGGAAGTTGTGCGCGAGACTGGCCCTCGGCATGAGATGCTGCATGGTGCACGCCGCATGCTACCCGTTCAATGGTCCCAGTACCGAGCAAAATCGCTGGTCCGCGGTGGGCAGTGTCGGGTTCGTGGGAGGTGAGGGAGAGGGAAGAAAGATAAGAAAAGGAGGCCGTTGTCAGTCTCAGACACGATTCCAGCATTTCCAAGCCGACGGTTGCAGGCTCAACAATGAAAAGCAGATTTGGTGGTGCCATGTCAGCCTTCTGCCCGAACCTCTTGTCGAGAATACCCGAACAAGGCCCACTCGTAGGGCTGAAGGCGACCCGTTTCAATGTCGGGAGCGTGCGGGAAGGGGCCCAGGGGAGCCCCCGCCTGCGGGCCTGGAGCGCGACCTCGCGCCGCGAGATCCACAATACCTCGTCCGTTTGTGAGTCTCGACCCTGATTGCCCATGCACGTTTCCCGCCGCCCACCTGCTCGTAAGGTTTCGCCCTATCAGCTTGCCCCCGCGTCTGGCCACTTCCCGCGTTAACAGGCTACCCGCGTATGACGGTTATCAGCACAGCCTGACCGTCCCATACCATACGACATTGTCTGCCCACCATCCCAATCGCACCACCACATCCGTATCCATTTTTGTACAACCACCCCCTAGCCAGCCCTCTCGATACCTTCATCCAGCGCCTTTCAACGCCCAGGTCACCGAAGCCCGAGCTTGGGCCACCCTGCCCTTTCCAGCCTGATCGGGGCCGCCCAGGGTGACCTTGGGCTCGGAAGGGCCCCGTCGAGCCATCGAGCCATCGAGCAGGCGAGCCGTCCCTGCTTGCGCCTCACCTGTCTATTCAAATATCAACAGAGCCCCAGCCTCAAATCTTGCCCCCGGAGAGTCTGCTATACCATACTCAGACTCTTCGTCAACCATACCACCAAGCTCTGTCGCCAAGCCGGCCTTATCGCCTCTTTACAACACAACACCACAACACCATCACAATGGACTTGCCCAATATGGCTTCCATACCCATGAACATCGATGACCTCCCCAGCGAGGTGAGCTTGCCTCTGCCCCTTCCCCTAGTCCTGCTGCAGCACAGCTAACAGGCCAACCCCAGATCCTCATGCAAATCCTCAGTCCCATGACAACCATCCAGCTCCTTCCGCTTGCCCGTGTGAACCGCCGCTTCCATGACCTGGCAATCCGCCTGATCCACACCCGCCTGACGAACGCAGCCTTCCTGCCTGAGCATGAGCTGATCCTCGAGTGCTCCCACCCCTCCGCAAAGATCTCCACACCCTACCTGCAATGTAATTACCTCGGCACAGACGGCCTCAGCGGCTACGAGGAGGAACACCAGATGAGCTTCGGCCAGTTTGGTCAACTTTACTCGCGCTTCAGGCCCGTCTTGCAAGAGGAGAACCGCAGGTCAAGGTCGAGACATCCGAGCGTGAGTGGTGGTGGCGTCGAGGGTGATGACACTGCAACGGTGAGGGTGGACCTGGACGATTGCGAGATGTTCAGCCAGCTGTGCACAGTCACAAATATGGTCAAGACGTCGTCCAGGAAAGGCTTGTTCCTTTCTCACGTCAACATCAACGAGGGCGTGGTGCGCGTTTTCAGGCGGTGGTTGCGGCAGTGCCACAAGGGCGAGCTGAAGGAGCAGGACCAGATCCTGTGGACCGACCGCAAAAAGAACGTCGGGCTGCGCTTCAAGGTTCGCGAGAACGTTGGCGCGAGAGCCGGCCCGGCAGACGAGGACGAGGATCTCCCTGTGTCATACGAATTGGAATACCAGGAGATTTTGGTCCGCACGGGCCAGCTGCTTCTCAAGGTTGAGAAGGCAGAGGACCAGGAAGTCCACAATACAGGTAAAGCAATCGTCATTGCATCCATCTAGGGGAATCAGACCTCGAGGAAGAGGTCCATGGCTGCGTCGTTTTGGCAGGACGGTCAAGGCCGAGAACAGAAACGCATTGAGTTCGGGGCAAGTCTCTTTGCGCGATGTTCACGGCACTTCACCTCCGCCGATACGCACAGACCTGTGCTGCAGTCCAGCTCAAGGAGACCGACGTCGACGACACCACAAGGATGATGCCGCCTTCGGGCCTATGGACCTGGTCCAGAGCCACAAGAACGAAGTGGACACAACATTGAATCTTATCTGAACACGATTGCTCACACTCTCTTCCAGATCTCGGTTTTGTCCGCGAAACCGGCAGCAAAGTTCCCTGCAAGGGTCAACAGATGTACTTCTGGATGCCACCCACGAACACGTACGACCGACAGCTTTGGGGCGGCTCGGCACCCTCTATCTGGGTCGGTGGTGCTTGAACAACATGCCCGAAATGTTTTCATCAAAACGACACCATCCCACGAGCGAATCGTAACGGAACCCCCCCCCCCCCCAACGTCCGCTCCCATCCTCGAGCAAACTCTTCGATCTAGGACGCCAGCCGAGAACCACGACGGACCACCCTCAGCCGTCCGAAGGCCTTGCCGCGCCAAGGAGACGAAAACCGGACATGCTCATTTTCGTCCGAAAAGGCGAAACGAAGACAGGCCAATATTCTCAGGCGAAAGCCGAGAGTTTTGATACTGAGGAGGTGGGGCCAAGATTAGATGGAGTTTACCGGGGTCCCTCACGGAATCTGCGGGCGCCATCCCGCCCCTTGCAGCAGGACGCCGAAAGCAAACTTTACTTCGGGACTGAATCTGCTGCAATGTCGCGGCTGCTCTCACACCAACCCAAACTTTCATGCGCTGGGTCACGAAACACCAGCCGAGGTGGGGTTAGTGTTCGTGAGCATTGAGTGCGGGCTCATTTGTCAAAGGTTCCAGGTGTCATACGCGTGCCGTGCCTTCACGCTACCTGCTCAACCGCGGAGGCACGTTGTCGTCCTTGCAGAGAAGCTGTCACCACACGTGTTAGGTTTGAAACGCTGCAGGATTTCAAGAGAACAATTCGCACTTTTCTTTTCTAGGGCACTTTTGGATTTAGGTGGAGGCAAATTCTGATAGATCTGGTCGCACATGCTACCTGACATATGCCAGATAGAACTGGGGCAGTGCTAGATACAACTAGAGTGCCGGTTGGCCAGTTCTGGACATACCTTTTTGGCACATAATAGACTTCTGGAAATTATCGATTCAAAACCACTATTCAAACAGAACCTCAATGTCCTGGAGCTTTCCCCAGACTACCTGACCGGGCCCAACCACATGGGACCAGTCATGGATGGCTCGCCTTCTCACCGCAGAACACAACTGTGTCCGTGTGTCTAGTCGATTTCAAAGTTAAATTTTCAAAGTTAAAGTAACATGGTCCACCCACGGAACATTTTGTGCACGGCAGAGATAGGCGGCTCAACCAAAAAGGGAAATTATTCGGTATCTCACATAGTCACAGGCAGGCCTGAGCCTTTCGCATCGATTAGCTCGAGGGCTTGAGTGTGCTGATGCAAATTACGCACGGAGATACGTACGCTCTGCCTAAACTTGCCCATAAGATCTAGCTCAAGCATTACTGGTGGCATGGCAGATGGATGTAGGGACCAGAGAATGTCTTCACTAGTATGAAGCTGTGAACATTCAGGAGTCTTTTCCAAAGTCCTCGTCTAAGAACTTTGTACGACTTTCTGATATTCGAAACAGAAAAAGAAGCGCCTGAGAACATTTTGAAAAAGCAAAAGGCCGTTGGGAACTAAAGATACGGATATTGTGGTCACGAACCTGTGGGAGTGTTGGGTCTGAGACCCGATGCCCTTCCATCCTCCTTGCTCTCATGAAATGACACCTTCTGGTGCGTGTAAAAAATGCTGAAGGGACGAAGCTGTCCCTGATGCCCTCCTATCTTCTTTGTCTCATTCTAATGACACACTCTGGTGTGTTTTATAGAATACTTCAAGAATAAAACCATCTCCAATACTCTTCTTGAAAAGCCAAAAGATAGATTTTCAACATACCAGTTTGCCCAGAGAGAAGAAGTCAGAAGGGCCTCATTTGTTTCGAGTCTTTTGATCACTGAGAAAACAGTTCACGCCTCTTTTCCGCGTCGCAGCTGTCCTCCCTGAGCAGGTAAATACATCGAGGTGGCGTTTACAAGACGAGTTCGCTTAGCCAGTGCCAAAGAGTCCGCGAGTCTTGTAATCGCTCCTCGCGTCCGAGAACCATTCATCCTCTTTCATAATCTTCAAACTATCAGGGCCATACATTGTCACGGCCAAATCTGTCTCGGCCGGGAGCGGCTTGTCCTCAGCGATGTCGTTCAGGGCCCACAGGATGTTCCCCCGCAAGCCTAACAGCCAGGGATGCACCGCGGTCACGTAGTCATGGACCGTGACATACGGACCCTGTGCGGCCTCGACCAGGAGCGGGGGGACCTCCCTGGGCAGGTCCGTCCCGCAGCACCTGAGCAGCTCGACCTCGCCGTCGCCGTCGCCGTCCTCGGCACCCCCCGGTTCGTCTGCACCCAGCCTTCCAAACACACAGTCGTCGCTGTCCGGATCTGCGTGCGGCTCATGGCCGTCCAGCCAGACGCTCGGGAATTCTTCCAGGTCGTCGACGGAGACGAGGACGGAGGAAACCTTGGGCTCGGTGAGGGGCTCCCGCGAGATGGGATGCCATACGGTCTCATCAGGATCTACCCGCTGGAAATATGGCTCACGGGTCGCGTCTGGATTTCGGTCGGCGTCCAACACGAAGACGGATGCGGCCACGGGACTTTGAAGAGTCCAGAAGAGACGGCGGGCATTGCGGGTGATCCTGGGCAAGGGCCCGGTCCCGGTCCTAGCAGCGTGGAGGAGTGTCTCGAAGGAGGGAAGGGGCTGGGGGGAGCTGGGCGAGGCTAGCATGTTTCCGTGCTGACGCTCGGCACCCTCCATAATGAAGCCCGGCGAGAGACAATTGTTCAGCTTCGTGGGCGGAGGGGAGCAGAGTTGGACACGTCGCACCGATAGTTTTACCCAGCGCGCGCAATTTACGCGGAGGAATCACATACTGCCTGGTTAGGCAGCAGCATCCTTCGGGGTTGTCTAGCCTCACCATAACGACATGGTTTGTCCAGTACGGCTCAGTACCGCCTTGGCAAAATGCATTCAGTCTTGATTCGTCTTGGTGCAAGTGACAATGTGAAGCCGCGACATTACAGCTCAGTTCAACCTGTTTCCTACGCACGGCTCCGCGTGTTTGCACATGCGTTTCTACAAACGCGCAGCATCCAATCTTGGGATGGAAAAGCTCTGGTGCTTTCTCGAATACAAAGTGTCGGTCTAAATGAGGCGCCTAGCGCCCAGCATGAATTGAGATCACGAACTCAAGTCGAACTGCAGTGCGTCCGAGCGACGACGATCGCCACGCAACATGTCTCGATGTTTCCCACTGGGCCGAAAACGAATTGCATCTGACAGCTCGCCAGTTCGTCTGGCTCGGGACGCGCACGTTCCTGGAATACTGGGGCGCACCTGACAAGCGATAGGCTGAACCCATGGCCGGAGGTATTGTTGAGGGCAGCACAGGATTTGTCCAACGTGAGCCTTTGGGTTTTCTCCTGCGACGAGCTTCCGGATCGTCTTGCATTGATGCTTGGCTGCTTCGGTCAGCTGTCGACGAACCTGGTTACGGGTTTTGATGGGCCTTGCAGGTGCACGAAGGGGGGGCATTGGTGTCGTTCCCCCCACGTATGCATTATTACCCCAATGCTATATATCTTCCAAATAGTCGGTCGCCATCACACCGCCCCTAGTAAAAAGTGCCAACGCCCTTGGTTGACCGATGCGTGCTTCCGGGGAAAACACTTGTTTGGTTAATATGTGGACGGTATATATGTCGGTTTAGGACACATTATCCAGCCGTCAAGCCGTTTTGACGTTTTCTTGCTGCATTAGGGGCGACGATCTTTGCTACTAGTGGCGGGCCTCACACCGAACTATTGGTCGCAAGAGATCTGGGCGTTTTGTGTACGCATTTTAGTGTGGTTTATGTCTAATGGTGTGTGATAGTATGATCGCCGTTACAAAGGCCAAAGCTAGAGCCCTTTCTGTGCGGTACGCATGCAGAGTAACCTCTGTGCGTGTGACGGGTCCTGCCGCACAAACACTTGTCCGATTTTGTTTATAAGGAGAAAAAGGGGGGAGCCATGAGGGGTTCCTAGTGTTTCTTCAACGCACAAGTCGCATTCATTTGTCTTGTGTGTTCCAACTTGGCATTATGATGCCCAGATATAGGCGTTGAAGAGGCGCCAGATGAATACGTGTGTCGATCACAATAGGTGTTCTGGTTGACAACTAGCTAGACTACCGTAGTGATGACTGGAGCCACCTAGGCAATGGGCAACTATTTGCGGACAAGACCAGTACTCCTCGGGTTGGCGAGGGAGTCGAAAAGGGCGACGCTTCATAGGCAAATTCCCTCCCTCGACAGGACTTCAAGTGGACCACAAGAGCCCGCCAAGGAAAGAGGAGTAGGAACTAACTTCTACAAATCCATCCCATACCTGCTAGTCTTGGCCCGAAGTCCGTCCATTGATCACTACGTGCTGATTGATAGTTTATCAAATAATGACTGTCTGGCTAGACTGGACCGTCGCTCGGCGTCCGAGCCGGAATGGCTGTGATCCAGATGCAGGTGCAGGTGCAGATACAGATGTAGATGCAGACGGAAAAGGCTGATGGGCCAATCGCGACCACGGGCGCAGCAACGAGACGGAAACAAGCTTGTTTGCCAGTGGCGTTGGCCGAAATTGCACGATGGAGCCGTTGTGCATTGCATGATAGCGGCGTTCCGTTGCAGAGTCTGAGGGTATGCAAATTGTTCGGATGGTGCGGTGCTAACGGTCCGAGTGTCACAGGTCCGGTGTCGTGAGCGGTCGAGGTGTTCGGACGACGAGAACGGCTGACGTGCTTGGCCCGGACGCCAACAGAGCTTGGTCCCGCACCTCCACACCCCTGGCCACAGCCACTCATCTCGCGAGGGGGGACGAGGCAATTCAGCCTGATCACGGGTCTGCTCCTGCAGGCCCTGGGTGATGGAGATTCCGGGCGGAATGTAAAAGAGAGACCGGCAAGACTGGGCCGAAGAAGCGTGCCTGGAGATCTGCGACCAGCATCTGGCTGCCAAGTGATGGCCATGTGCAGGGAGCGAGACCGGACCTGGCTCTACTGGGAGGGCCTGGCCCATGAGCACGGGAGTTTCGGCCTTACCAAGCCGTGCTGTACCTAGGCAGGTCAGGTAATGCCATTGTTCCTCGGTGAGGGTAAGAGCGAGAGCAGCGAGCATCGTCACCACATGTGGTTTGCTTCATTCTTACCGGCGTACGGCTTCACAGCGTGCATGTGGTGAGCTGGAGAAGCCGAGGGGAAAAATAAGAGTAAATCAAGAGAGGGGGAGGCAAAGAAAGACACACAGATGACGGCAGTCGCGAGATTGGCTCATGATGTCTTTTTTTTTTTTCTTTCCTTCCTCTTTTCTCATTTTAATAAGCTTTGCGCGGTTGTTTGCACCAGTCTCTGTCTGTCGGTGGCAGGTCTTGGCACAGAGTCAAGAACAGAGCAAGAGTCAAGACGAGAGATACTCCACTGCGGAGGGTGACCCCCCCCCTCCCAAACTGCCCACTCGGAGGATTCCTGCCACCTCGGGCGCCTTACCGAGGAGCTTTGATCCCTGGCACGCTCGGCATGTCAGCCCCACATGAAGCTCTGGGCCCTGTGTCAGAGGCAGCGGACGCTGTCACAGAAACCCTGCCCGTCTTCGTCTTGATCTTGCCGATCTGCCCTTTTGCCCTCCCAACGTGACCATCAATGACCGATCGTCGACGACATGGGACACTCGGCATCGTCTGCACGCCTTGGCTGCTGGCCACGGTGAGGGTCGATGTCCATCCCATGTCCCCTTTTACCCTCAATTGATTTGCACATCAATTGATGGACTACACTGCAGTGCACCCAGCAGCAGCAGCAAGCCACAGTCACTCACTGGTCGCCCGGCCGGCCGTTGATCGCCCCTCACCGCGACGACGGTCCCACGTCAAGCTTGTTTCAGCCGCATGCGAGGCCCGAGCTCTGTCACCTGCAAGACACGCCCGTGGCACTAACGCCAAGAGCAGGGCTAGATGGCTAGATGGGGTCATCTCGACCGAGAACTGGGCTGGCGCAGGCTGTCGGTCTGTCTGACAGGCAGGGCTCGACTTCGTGATGTGCTGCTAGTGCGCCGGTGTGCCTGCCCATGAGTCGGGGAACAAGGGGTTCAGGAGGCAGGGGACAACCAGGGTGAGGCACACACCAGTGTCCACCAGCGATCCGACGTCAACCCTTCCACTCCTACCCTCGCCCACCCTCGCCCACCCCTCGTGTCCACACACACACACACACACACATGCAGTTCTCGAGGCAGCGAGTGACAGGCAGAATGTCTCACCGGACTGACAGACTGACAGAATGACAAGAACTGCTCCACTCGTGTTTCTGAAGACGTCACTCCGCCCGTTCCGCGGCCACACAACCATCCATCCTGCCCCGAGCTCCGCTACCCTCCCGGCGCAGAGGGACCGCCTCCACCAGCTCGACTGCCACGTTCCGTGTGCGACAAGGTCGCGATTCAGCATCGCTTCGTCCCTCGCTTCGCTCGCTTACGGTGAGGTCCAGCTTCCCCAGGCCCACACATGGCCCCTCCTCCCATGTGTCTGTCTGCTGCCCTGGTGGGCATCTGGCCGCAAGTCTCATCTCATCTCGTCCCATCTCCTTCAGCCTATCTGTCCCGCTGCCTCGAGGGCACGGCCTTAAGCCTACATGAACTATTCAAACCAAACCAATGCAATGCACATTGTTGGAGAAAGAGGAAAACCGACCAGGGTGAGGTCGGACGACGCCGTTCCTGCATGCCTCTTCCGCCAGACCCGCAATAATTCTATAACACCAGCGCCTTGACCACCATGACCATCCGAGCTCCCATCCGCGCCCGTTGCGTCAATGCCCGTTTCACTCTAGGCCATTCTGCCTGAGAGGTCGGCCGTGTTCCAACACGAAATACTTACTCTGCTGCCTTCCGGTGTCACCCAGCCGAAGCCACTGTTGCTTCGTTGCTACCCTTTACTTTCTTGCACCCCATGCCTACTTCCTTGGGTCCCACTCCTTCACCCTGATCCGTTGACCGGGCCGTCGACGTGATTGCTGCTGGCGGCACTTTCTCTTATTTAATTTTGTAATCTCGAGATACCCACAGAGCGTTGCCGTTCTCGCCATCAACCACCATGGCTCATGATGGGGACGACCTGCGGGACCTGTCGTACCTGGCCAACGCCGACGTGAAGCTGGGCCTGGCCGAGCGGGACAGCATAGCACCGAAGCAGAAACCAGACGCGAGAGGGTCATCAGCAGAATCTTTCGCCGAGTCCGCAGTATTACCCCGGGAATCAGCCTATGGACCTCCACCGCCGGTGCCGGCAAAGGACAGTATTTATGTCAAGCGAAAAGTCGAGAACACCGAGGGGGAGAGAGCCAGCCCCGGAGCGAGTCGAGGGAAGCTGGACGTGAAGACGAAAGACGACAACCAACAAGAGAACGGGGACAGCAGTGAGCTGGCGAGATGGACTTCAGCAACGTCCGCGGCCATAACAATAGGGATTACTGCTTCAACACTGAATATATTCCCAACAACGAAACCGAAAGAGACAATAAAGGACACAATGTCAACACCCCACCCTCTGGGCATGTCGCCGCCGGACTTGACCACACCGATTCCAGAACAAGTTTCAATACCAGTGCCAACGAGACCGGCAAGGCCGTCCTCATCACGTCTGTCCTCGTTAACGAGAGATGGGCCGCTTACGACCGACAGGGTGGTTATTGTCGACTCAAGCAGGCCGCCTACCTCGAGGTCGCAGCGGTCCCAACTCAAGACCTCATACACCACGTACAGTACCTCGACCACAGGAAAGGGCGGTCGTATAAAGTATGGACGGGGCAAATATGCCACTACTGAGTTGATCCCACAGCCCAGTGACGACCCTGAGGACCCTCTGGTAAGCCACCCAATCTGCCCAACATCATACTCATGACTAACACCGTACAGAGCTGGTCAAGTCTCAAGAAGGAGCTCAACTTGTACGCTCTGCTGACCACTGTCGCCATTTGCAATGCTATGAAAACGGCATTGATTAGCGTGAATGAGGATTTGGCCCGACGGTATTCAGTCTCCTACACAGCTGTGGCAGCCCTCACAGGCGTGCCGCTCATGCTCTCGGCCATCGCGGGACTGGCGAGCTCCGCTGCCGCCAGGATTTGGGGCAGGAGACCGGTATTCCTGGCTTCAATGATTTTACTTTTCATCGGGCTGGTATGGAACACCAGGGTGACGACAAGTTACGGACAATTCATGGCGGCTAGGATTTTTCAGGGGTTCGCATGGGGTGCCTTCGATACTTTGGTGGTTGGGTCCATCATCGACACCTACTTCGTAAGACCTCCCGACAGCCTTGCTTCTCATCGCTTCTAACAAAACGGACACAGGAACACGAACGCTCCACTAAACTAGCCACTCACCGTATCGTCTCTGTTGCAACGCTCTGGGGCCCACCTCTGATTGGAGGAGTCACCTCCCAGAACCAAGCTGGCTTCAGCCTGCAGTTCGAGATTCTTGCAGTCTTCCAGATCGTCTCTATCCCCTTGCTCGTCCTAGCCGCCCCCGAGACCATGTTTGACCGCACGAATTCTATGCTTAAGACGCCTACGACGGGGTGGTCCACCGGCGCAGCGAGCAAGTTCCCTCCATGGGCGAGGAGGAGATTCACCAAATCGACCGCCATCAACTACATCAAGACCGTCGCCAGGCCAATCTCCTATCGCGGACCCTCAGAGGGCGTCATCAGCAAGGACGTTCTCCTCCAGGCTCCGCGGGCCATGCTCGCGCCCACCACCGTCCTCGCCTTCCTGGCCTCTTTCCTGCCCTATTCCCTTCTCTGGGGCTTCTCCGCCTCCCTCTCGGGCCTATTTGCGCCCGCGCCCGCGTCGCTCTCCCCAGCGACCATCGGGCCCCTCCTCACGTTTCCCCTCGTCCTCTCCACTACTGCCGTCGCGGTCTTCGCGCTCTGGCCCTCGTGGTCCCAGACGATGACGGCCTTCAAGACCCGCTCGACACACGTCTATCTCTCGGCGGCGGCTCTGTGTTGTCCTTCATCGGGGTTCTGGGCTTCGGCCTTTACGTTTCTAATACTAATGCTTCTTCCCTGCGCTTCTCGGCCGTGAGCTTCCTCCTGGGCCTCCTCGCCGCCGGGGCCTATATCCTCGACGCGCCGGCCAAGCCCCTCCTCAAGCGTTCCGCCCAGTTCACCTCCCCGAACCTGGCCATCTCGCTGTGCAGCATCTCCGACATGGACGTCGGCCTGGCCGTCTGGCGGGCGCTGTCCGCCGGAATCTTCGCGATGGCGATCCCCTCCGCCGTCGTGGGTCCTGCCTCCTCCGCCGGGCTCAAGGGCACTGGTATCGGCGTCTCCGTGGTGCAGGTTCTGGTGGCGGCCGGCCTGGCTGCCGTCTGGTGGATGTGGGAGGAGAACATCCGCAAGCTGGACGGGAGGACGATGGGCTGCAGGGTTGACCTGACCTTTCTGAACAGCCGGGCCAGCCTTCAGGGCAGCTTTTTCGAGACGGAGGATTGAGTCCATCTCTCTTTCACTTCATTCGCTCGTTTATTATAGTTATACATTTGGTGGGCATACTGGCAATTCATGATACCAAGCACTACATATATGTCTCTGTGGGTTCTAGGATAGCGATCTCTGAATACACAATACTGAATAGTATATAATCACCTTTCCAAGCTCTATCCCAAACATCTGTAACGTGACACACATTTGGTCCGATACTTTCCTGTTCTACAAGATCGACTTATTTCCCGAGGTCTACAGAGACGTCAGGCTATGTAGAGACGGTGCTCACATAAAATCCTTTGCTCGCCTCTTTATGATGGCGTTCGGGCCTCGGAACCAAAACGCTGCGTTCAAATTTCCCGTCATTCATCATCTCTGGTCGTGGTTTGCCTTCTAACCCTCGAGTTCATAGATGCTCACTTCCAAAGACTCTGCCGACCGGTCGCCAACATACAACTTAATAGTGAATAGATGTATCGATCAGGAGCCAAGTGACTGTTCCTGTACCAAACGTTCTCAGGTCTTATGAAGTGTTCAAACCAGATCGTTGAGCGCTGAGCATAGATGGTACCAGCAACATGCTTTTCAAGGTGTAGAGCCGACTCGTGAATATGCAGGTGGCCAATAATTAAGACTTTGCGTCCTCTTCGCACAAGCTCACACCATAAATTACTCCATGAAGGCTACGCTTTCTTCAAAAACGGACCTTGCTTAACTTTACAGCGATCATTCTCCTTTGTCATGTCCCAAGTGCGTCCCCTCCCCACCCTTCGCATGGCTGTGTATGACCCATACGAGACCAGGACGCAGTCGTAATTGGCAAACTTCCATCATCTTCAGCAGCAAAGCTGCGACTGACGTCGCGCGTAATGAGGCTGAACTAAGCTTCAGGCTCACGCAACCATCACGCGTCCCTGCCAAGCGAATGGACGAACTATACCAAGGTGCTAGCGAATAGGCTTCCGGGTGCACGACGTCGTGAGCGACAGACAACGGACGAGACGTGCTGATTCAGCTGCTAGCGGCCTTTTCAAAAGTGGACTTGGAGTCCAGTGTCAGATAAGCTTTGACCGTATGTTATTCACGGTAGTGTGCTTTCACCGACTGCGGCCCTGCGAAACTGGTCGTCTGCGAAATTGTCATGATCGCTTACATGCGTAAGTGGGCATGTGAGTCTCCTCGATAGAGTGAACGCCCAGAATGAGGAACCGGGAATTCTCTTTACATTTTATGAGAGCTCATTTGCATTACTGATGTCAAACCACAGCAGTGCGCATCGCCAATGCTGGAGCCGTGAGCATTGACTAGCCACCGATTTTGATTTCACTGTGACTTTTCCAGTGCACATACATCATCTCACGCTATTGGTCGTTGCTGATACTATTTGTCTGTCGTCCAGATGGAAGAAGACAGGCACTCCAGGCCTCCTAGCAGCTGCCAGGTGACAGAGGAAACAAAATTGACAAACTGATTGTTGGCAAGAGCCTGACTGCTGCTGCAAATCAAGTGTGACGTGTGACGGCCAAAAGACCATAATAACCAGTCTGCCCAGATTGGCTATTCCAGCAGTATATAAGAGCCGTACCGTCACAGTTGTGGGACTCCGTATGCACATACGCAACTAGTCGAAAAGACATTTCTGCCTTACTAGTGTGGTTGAAGTCTCTGCCAGCATTTTGTCCTTGACAAGTGAACATGGTCGGCATGGAATACGTCTTGAATGACTACGGGCTGTTGTCCCAGGAGCTAGCCCGTCTCAGAGAAAATAACTTCCAATGCTCTTCCTTTTTGCTATTGAGATGTGTGAATCGTCTCATCTTATCTGTCACAAAGACTTGTCTAGACAACCCTGGAAGGCGCCGGAAAGCCTAGATGTTTGACAAGGAGCAGCCACAATCTTGTAATTGACTAGTTGGACAGCCTGCCCGGGCGACTTTGCCACGTTCATTGTTTTCAAAAGGAATAGAATTAAGGATGATGGTCTGGACTCCCATAATTAACTGCACATGGCTAGTGACAGGGTAGCTCTTGGTAGACGGAGTCTTGGCTCTGATCCTCCTCCTCCCCGCACGTTTCCCCGGTTCTGCTTCCCCGGGTTGAAAAGCATTGCGGGGAAAGCTTGATGGCGGAGATTTGGGGCCACTGGACATGGGTCAGGGAAGTTTGAGGGGGGGACCCTGGGGTATTGCACGATCTGATAGAGATGGAGAAACACCTCTGCACAATTTCCATCAATGGCGACCGAGAATTGAACTTGTCTCCTGCAGCTACGGGGCCGAGGCGTCGAGCCAAGACGGTTAATGGAGCTGATCCAGCTCATCTTGACAACCTTCACCTAGGGGCTTGAAAAGTGACGACTGTCCTTTGGAAACTACTGCAAAAGCAGGTTCATGAACGTCCGCTTCGAGGAGTCGATGTGGCCTGTCAACGTCTTGATAGGCGGGATCTCGCCTCGCCAAATTCCCGTCGCTAAAGTCCTGTTGGCTGACCTGTACAAGTTTTCTGTAGAGTATCCCTGACGACCTATTGGGGAAACGACGCAGTTGCTCAGATTTAGAGCCAGATGTGACATTGGCAACATGTATTTGCCCGCGATGTGACCATGTTCCTGGCTGATCTGGTTCGGGCGAGCTCCGTATGGGTATCATTCCTGTCGAGTACAAAAAGACGGCCTTCGACCCGACGATCTGGTTCACCCTCCCCATCGCCGTCCTTACTCAGGTGGCTATCTGGTGACAGTCAGGTGACAGCATCCCTCCTGAGTCTCAGACGACACTGCCGAAATGAAGTTCACCACCGTGACAGCCGTTCTCACCGCGGCCGTCGTCGCGGCAGCCAGCAACATCGCCCTGCCCGCCGGTGTCCCTCGGTCGATCCAGCAGTTCCGAGAGAAGCACCCTTACAAGCCATCTCACCCTTCGGGACAGCATGGCAAGCGGCGCGTCGTGACAATCCGGTCCAGCCGCAATGACACGGACGACGTCTCCTCGGAGTTCAAGCAGGCCCTCCAGCGCGCGAACCACGGCGGAACGCTCTTCCTACCGGCCAACGAGACCTTCATCATCGGCCAGCCGCTGGATCTCACATTCCTCGACGACGTGCACGTTCGTCTCGATGGTGAGATCAAGTTCACCGACGACACTCCTCACTGGCAGAGTGTAGCCTACACCCATCCATTCCAGAAGACGATCATGTTCTGGAAATGGGGCGGCAAGAACATCAAAATCTATGGAGAGGGGTTTTTGAACGGCAATGGTCAAAGGTGGTGGAATGAGTTTGCCGGACTGGAGATCCTGAATCCAGGTAATACGTACCTGCGGCCCGTGTTGTTCTATGCCCAGAACGCCACCGACCTCTCCATCGAGGGGATTCACATGAAGGACTCACCATGCTGGACGAACTTCGTGGTCACGTCATCAGGAGTGTCATACCGCGATGTGATCATCACCGCCGAGTCCAACAACGCCAGCTCCCTGCCGAAGAACACGGACTTCTTCGACTCGCTCAACGTCAAGCACCTGTCGGTCGAGCGGACGTGGGTGAACATCGGAGACGACTGCTTCAGCCCCAAGTCCAACGCCTCCGACGTGCACGTCGACACGATGTACTGCAACGGCACGCACGGCCAGTCGATGGGATCTATCGGACAGTACGCAGGCGAGAAGTCTATCATCGAGGACGTCGTGATTGAGAACATCTGGATGCTGAACGGGCAGTTTGGCGCGCGCCTGAAGTCCTGGGCCGGGCCTGATGTTGGTTATGGCTACATCAACAACGTCACGTTCCGCAACTTCTGGAACGCGAACAACGAGTACGCGGCATTCTTGGATTCCTGCTACTTCAACGTGAGTACTTGTCCCCTCTGCTGGCCGCCTCCCGTCCCGCCCCTATTCACACCCGCATCCGGGTTGTCGGGAGCCACATTGCTGAGAGTCAAACCCCACAACAACAGATCAACGCAACGACTTGTGCGGCGTACCCCTCACAGGTGAATGTGACCAATGTGCACTTTGAGAACTTCTCAGGCTACACGTCCGGCAAGTACGGGCGCGCGGTGGCGTCCCTAACCTGCAGCTCCAACCCGAACGCTATCTGCGAGAACATCACCTTCAAGAACTTCACAGTGACGTCGCCCTGCGGCAACGGGACGGCTAGCAATGCGGTCGTGATATGTGACAACATCAGGGGTGACGTCGGCGTGGGCTGCGTCAGCTCGAACAGCTCGGTGGCGATCGCAGCCAAGGCGGATAAGTGCAGTGTCCCATTGGCAACACTGCCGCAGGCCACCCCGTGGGTGAGGTAGCGAGTCGTTGAGCTGAGCCGAGCTGGTGATGATGGCCCTGGCAGTAATTATCGATTCTGCTGGGAGGTGTTTCTGCCCTAACCTCCGTGGTACATGCAAGCTGGAGGGGAGGTGGCGTGCGGGAGCCCTGGAGGACTGCTTGGCTTGGCTTCGCTGTACGAGCACCAGCGGCCGTGTCACCAGCCAGGACGGGTTAATAGGAAACCGCCGAAGCCGGAAATTAGAATCAATATAAAAGTGGTCGTATTTTTGTGGCTTGTTTACAGAACACAGTAAGCGCTAACATGCACATTGCATGCACTGCTCCATGCAGAGACAATCTCAAAGCCGCACGCCACGTCCAAGACTTTTGACATCATCACGTGTCGAGAAATGCTTGTTGGTATTTGCTTCGAATATGTGAAACGTTGTGATTCATTTGAATATTTGGTATCTGTAGTAACAACGCCTCCCATGCCTTCCCTTTACCCGATCATCAATCTGTAACAGTCTAGTCAAGCCATTACCATAATCGTAACAAGCCACCCAAGTGCTCCGAAGGCGCTGGGCCAAATTACAGGGCAACAGCAACGCCGAGGACACCGGCCAGGACAGCGCCGACGATGCCGACCTCCCGCATTGGGGCACCGGCAGTCTCGGCCGACGAAGAGGCAGAGCCGGAGGCGGTACCGGTGGAGTCGGACGACCCGGACTGGGTGGCGGTGCCCGTAGAGGAGCCCGTCGCGGAAGCCTCGCTGCTGCTGCCGGTCCCGGTGGCGGTGGCGTTGGACGCAGTGCCGGTGGTCGCGGCCAGGCCGGTCAGGCTGGAGGTGCAGACGGCGACCTCGGAGACGGCGCCGGCGTACTGCGGGCAGGCGGAGATGGCCGCGTAGAGCTCGGAGCTGCTCTCGGCGTACCACGAGAGCACGGCGTCGGTGTAGCTGGTGTACTCGCTGGAGAGCGAGGACGGGACCTCGGTCACGGAGCACGGGTCCGTGCCGGTCTGCTGCTGCTCCCAGTCCAGCACTGCAGCAAATGGAGTCAGCTATCAAAGAACTAAGCAAGAAGTTTCATCTGGATATGGGGAGGACCAGGCCACAGTATGGCCACGGCTTGTTTCGAAACCTGCAGCCCAAGAATACCTTTGAGGTACAGGCTACAGGTAGGGAATCGATTTTCCAGAGAGGGTAAAGATTGTATCCGGAAGCTGCTTACGGTCGCCGTCGGGGATGGGGAGCTCGGTGGCGATGGCCAGGAGCGATGCTTGGCACTCGGTGTCAGAGGGGCCGCCTGTGGCAGAAGGGGTGGCGGACTCGGTCTGGCGGGCGACCAGGAGATCACGCCTGATGGCCATGTGTGCCGGGAAGAGGTTGGCGGAGGCGGAGACGGAGGCGGCCAGGGCCGCGATGACGAGTTGGGAGTGCATCTTTGCTGCTGGGATCGTGGTAGGCAGGCTTTGGGGAGAAGTGGTGATGAGCAGTGGAGGCAAAAGAGTGAATCAGCCACTTGAGATCATGAGGGACAGAAGGGATTTAACATCCGTCCAAGGCGGCTCCATCTTAGGCCACGGCTCGTGCCTGGTCCCATGAATCCTGTTGAAGATGATCCTGCGAGGCGGTGATTGGCAGGATCGAAATCCCAGAAGAATGCGACTGCAATAGAATCTTGTGCTCTAGTTAGGCGGCAGATGTGCCTGGGCGTCCCAACTCATTTCATCCTGGCCAAATCGAGACTCGCGTCAGCATGGTTGGCAAGGCAGCTGAACGCCAGAAAAGGGGGGCAACTGTTGGCTCGACCGGCAGGATTCGAGGGCGCCACAGATACGGAAGAATAGCTGGCGCCCCCATGCTATCATGAAGCCAGCCAACAGGTCCAACGAGAGCGACCTTCGGATCGTACCTTGGGCGGATGGATGACAGACAGCACATGAGGCTCATCCTTTCACACTCAGCCTTGCTACCAACAGACGTCTGTCTCATTCGTTGGCCGTGTTGGCTGCTTGGCTGTCTTCGCCGTGGAGAATGGGGCAATCCTTTTGCTGGGGCCTGGGAGAAGATCAGTCGGCGTCAGGCCGTGCCGATCCGGCAGTCTGGCTGTTGTTAGTGTAATTGTGTTGGGAAGCCCCAGCTCGGCGTGATATTCTCATTCATGCGTGCGGCACATGGTGGACCCGTCAGAATCCTCCGAGGTACACTAAATACAGACACGGACAGGCCTAGTCTCCCAAGCGGCAAAAAACCCAAACTGCCCGGGGGCAGCTAGCTTCAGCGCGGCATGGGATGTGCGGAACTAGTCGGCAGAACGGCACGCCTGCACGTTACATTCCGCTCCCTTAAACCGCATACCTGAAGATTCAGTGCTGTCATGAGAGAGATAAGTCAATGACAGCTCGTGCCTGATTGAGGAATAGCTGACAGAGCTCAAATGTTTGTCCACCTTTTATCTATTGATTTCGATAGCCTGGCTAGCCAACGGAACCCAGTGTCAGAGCACGATCCGTGACAAGATACCGCGTATCCAGAATCAGGACCGCACAATCAACTATACGACTGAATAACTTTTCCAACAGCGAGACTGTCCCGCGCAGGCACAAAACACAAGGCGGATTGCTGTAGAGTCTGTCCCTGCCACACTAAGCACATGCAGTAGTGAGGAAAAAAGAAGCATGGTACCGAAATTACAAAACTGATTTCGGCCGGTCTCGAACCGGCGACCTTGACGGACCGCTATGAACAAGTCACAGTAGTTTTAATTCACATATGTGAACGTCACGTGATAACCACTACACCACGAAACCAATTATCCCTGTCACTGTAATTCAAGTATATACCTCCCACTTTTGCTCAGATCCGGCTCCCTGAAGGTGGCAGGGCCGCGCATGAATTTCAAACCTTCGATGTGACTGCAGTCATTGGAAAAAAGCATTGCTTTTAGTGTAAAAGAATATTCCATACTTAAATAATTACCTAGGTAGAGAGGTAATATAAGACTTGTTGCAAGGGTATATAAAACTTAGAGCAACTTGTTATATTATTATTTAATAGTTTCTTGCATAGATTTAAACCCTACATCAGGTGATCCATAGTGAACATCTATCCTACAACAGATTATCCCCACAGCATAGCACCCTATATCACCATATTCACCAAGTCTTGTTTATATGCCGACGTCTCGACTCCCTCCAAGCCACGTGCCAACACAACCACAAATAAGATCGTGGGTTCTGGGAAAGAACCTCTGCTTCGTATTCATGCCCGAATTGCTTCTGTTTCCGTTTGCCCTGCCATTCTGTCCTTCCCAGAGGCCAGAGGCTTAGAGGGGCCAGGTCTCACAACAAGTTCGAGGACAAAGGTTTTCAGTTCGTCGCGCCCACAGGCCCCGCAGGCTGCCCAAAACATGATTATGCTGTTGAAGCATGGACCGTTAAACATGCCATGCCATGCGCACCGCTTCTCACCCGGTGATGCCACCCGTCGACTTATTGCATCATATGTTGGTCAGTGACTGCGCAGCGGTGGTAGAGCTGGCGATTTTCTCTTCTCCTTTTTGTATACGGAAAGAGGACCCAGCTGAAAAAAAACCCCAATATCCATATCCCTCACAGCTTCACAAATGTGATCATGGTAGAAACGAACATGTCATCAGGAAACAGCCTCTCCTCTCGGAGGAAACCGGACAACACTTGGGTATGTTACGACCAAGAAGAGAGTAGAGCATATCTAATCCTAGCCTGCGGCCCCTTAGCCTGCGATTACGTCCAGGGCGACTCACTTGAGCGTGCTGTGAAACTTCCTCAATCGCCATCACACCCAGGAATTCTCCCCAATTTTCCCCATCGTCCAATGATTATGCCCAGAATTGTAGTTGTTCATAGGAGAAAATATGCCATCGAAATCAAAAATTTCCACTCCCCCGACACTCATGCCTCTGCCTTTTCACCTTTTGCTGGGCAGCGCCAGGTCCAGACATGATAGAACCTAAGACGGTGTTAGTGAAAGTGTGCGGTTGAGAATTGCGTGGGGTCCTTGCTTACATCGTCTCCCAAAGCGCCCTGATTGCCGAGATACCTCGCCATGTTCCGAACAAGCTCAATCTGCTCGTCCACAGTTAAGCCCGTGATGGCAGTCTCCAAGACACCACCGAGCCCGACCTTGTGTGTGGCGATGAAAGAGTGATAGTACATGAAGGTGAAGAAGCCCATGATGAACTGACAGTCCATGCGATCGGTCATACCGCCGTGCCCAGGGATAGAGTGGCCAAAGTCCTTGATCTTGAAGGTGCGCTTGAGCCCAGACGCGAAGAAGCCACCGAAAGGGGCAATCAGAGAAGCAAACGTAGCAAAGATCATGGTGTGAATCTGCATCGGCTCCATGGTGAAGCTGAACTGGGTGTTCTCCGGGAGGAAGAACAGTTGAGGGAGCTCGTACTTGTAGGGGAGGAACACAGGGTTGGGTTGGCATTGCAGACCAGTGAAGACGTTGGCGCCAAAGTCCTAGGTATTGTCAGTTTGAGACACCATGTAGAAATGGAAGGACGTCACGAAACGGGAGACAGCGTACATTGACTGGGCACGTGAAGTAGCCACTGCGCATCATCAGGTTCGTCAGGGCGTAGCCGAAGATGACCGTGAAGACCCACGCGCCAACAAAACCCTCGACGGTCTTCTTGGGAGACAGCTTGATGAGCTGGGTGCGACCAAAGGTGATTCCGCAGATGTAGGCGAAGATGTCGTTTGTGATGACCAGGGCGGCGGGCAGGAAAAACCAGACCAGGCCCTCCAAAACATTGTTCATAATGAAGTGGGCTTCGACCACGATGATCAGGAGCGCCATGTGCGTCCATGCAAACTGGGTGAACTGGAACTTAAGATGCCCGCCCTTGAGGGAGCCGACAAAGAAGACGAAGCCTGCGAGTGTGACCGTCAGCATTCGGGACCCCCCCCGTGGTACGCGATCGTGCAGCATCCCGGCTTACCAATGATGTAGAGCATGAAGCTGATGAAGCGGTGGTGCGTGGCCAGCGGCAGGAGCACCTTGTCTACAAGAACAACATGCTTGAAGTAGTAGATGACACTCTCTCCGTAGAGGAAGTACATGGTCGTGGCAAGCCAGTACCAGTTCAAGCTCTTGGTGGACCGGAGTTGGCGGGCTCGGGAGGGGACGCTCGCGATGGCGATGACCTCCTTGAAGGAGATGATCTGGATGACGGTGATGATGAGGATGACGTATATGTGGCCCATGAAGAGGGCGGCGAAGAAGCCGCCGATCATGAGCAGCGTCCATATTGTTCTCGTTATGAAGTTCTGTTTCTTCTTCTCGTAATCGTTCTGCGGTGGTGGAGCGGCGTCTTTCTGCAAGCGAGGAGGATCGTCAGCGTTTGAACAGAGGGGTGCACGCGGGGGAGGGGAAGAGGGCGACGCGACTGGGCGCCATCACGCAGCTGCCCAGCACACAGTGGCATACCTCGGCGATCTGGTCCATGTGCGGCGACGACTTTGCCTTTGGGGAGCCCTCCTGGCTGGCCTCGCTGTGCTCGCTGAAGCTGGCGCGACGGCCGTCCACACTGCCATTGCCTTTCCTGTGGGCAAACTTGACGCCCCTACGTCCGTTTCCCATTGTGAAGAAGGGACAGGCCGGAAGCCTCGAGGGTCGTCTCTGCGGCGGCCGGTGGAATTTGTGTGGGATCGGCGGGCGTGGAGGGAGTTGCGCTCGAAGGCGGCGTTGCGGAGGGGGATGGTGGAGATGGAGAGGCGTGCGACGATTGCCTAGCAAGCGACCATGTCTGGTGGGGTTCTGAATATTGCGCAGGAGCTGGCTGGACGATGCTGGCGTGCTGGTGTGTTCTCAGCGGGTTGCGGCAGCTGTCGTCGGTGACAGTGATGCGGGAGGGCAGGTTGGGCGCAATGTTGAAATCAGAGGGACGGCGATGCGGCGCAGCTGGAGTCCTCGCTCGGATGGAGTGGAGTTTTACATGCAGCAGCGCTGGGCAGCACTCATCTGGGTTGCTTGGCGGGCTGAAGTTTGCAAATTGCTCCGTCAGCTACGTCAGTACGTCAGCGTTCAAGTGTCCGGCCCTGCCGTGGCACGGCCTTAGGCGGCCTAGCACCCCCGAGGCCTCAAAGAAGCAGTGGTCCTTTTGGGGGGGGGGGGGCCTCTGTCAGCCGGTTTTGCATTGGCTCTCGGTTGAGCTGAGCTGCATGAGTGTGGCTTGACCTGTCTTGGTTTGATTTCCATCCATTCCGCCCCAAATGCATGCAGCAGGCTACCTAGCTAGATATCCTCTCTCCTCTCGTACCTCTCTCACCTGTCTGGTCTGTGGCACAGCAAAAGAGGGACCCTCAAGTTTAATAAAGGTACACGCGTGCAAGAAGTGTGCATGGTCTGACAGCTGGGCCTGGCTGGGCCTGGAGCTGGAGGGAGCTTCAGCCTCCCACACATCCATCCACTTGCATTGGCATGCTGCTACTGCTGCTGCCGGTAGCTGATTCATGGGCCTTGATCATGACCTGTCTACATTGTACCTGGCACATTTGAAGCTGTCGTGTAACAGGGCTTTCTCTTGGAGATTGGATACCTGCCTCTATTTATCTACACTGCAGAGAAGATAATCTTGGCAGCAGTCTTGCAGTGTGGCTGTCCTGGGATTGTCGGGCCGTGATCGATCAGTGGACCCTGGGTGTTCTACAAGCCTTTCCCAGGGCATTGGCATTGACATTGATGTTGGCGTTTGGCCCTGCAAGGCCTGCTCCACTTCCACAGCTATCTGTGTGAGTGATGCAATTCAGGCTCTGCTTTCTCGCATGTGAAGTGTGGCGCTAGCATTATCGCCCAGCCGCGGTGCGACCTAGGATAAGGCGATAAGACGAGCAGACCCCGGTTGCTACTTCCCCCAATTGGGACTGATTTCCTTTGCCTTGAATCTCAAGACACAAAGTCCCACCTCCGTCACTCGGATTTCAAGGACGCCTGGACAACTGTTCCTCTCCACTGATCTTGCTTGCCAGGAACAATTACACCCTGTGTCCCGTCACTGTCACTCGCCCTCACATCCACCCAGCCTTTTCAACTTCGGAACCCCACCAGGCTGCGAGCGTGCCTACCGTCTGCCGGATCCACCATCCCTCCAGTTGGCGCCGGCAGTGTTCTTCCGGAGCTGTCTTCGAGGGCAGCAACACTTTCCAGGCCTCCATGATACGACTATAGCCGCACGAGTGGCTCATACTCGTCAAGATGGCGCCAACGGGGCCCAGATCATCGACGACGCAACGGAGACCTAGCCCCGCGCCCGCTGCCGAAGAGCCTCTCCCGCCGAGGGGACCCAACCCGGGCAATTTGAATGTCTCGAACCAGTATACGTTCGAGCAGGACATACGGCGATTGCAGAAGGAGTACGGATGTGACCCCGCCAGAGAAGACAGTTATAGGATACAAGGTGTTCAGCTGATTGAGTCCGTTCGTCAGGCCTTGCGTCTGTAGGTCCCACCCACCCGTGACACCATCATACATCTGTGGCTAGCTCTGACTGAGGTGGCAGGCCCGTCAAAACCTTTACTACAGCGTGCACTTACTACCACCTGTTCCGCCTCTGCCATCGAGACGCCGAGTACAACTACCAGGACGCGTCCCTTGCTTCGCTATTCATGGCATGCAAGGTGGAAGATACTATCAAAAAGTCCCGCGAAATCTTATGCGCCGCATACAACACCAAGAACCCAACGCAACCGACAACGCAGGACGACAAGGTAGGCGATCCATGGGCCCGTAGATGTGTACTCGCAAGGTTCTGACCACGGTGGCAGATGTTTGAGAACCCGCACAAAATCATCATCGGACTGGAGCGTCATATTCTCGAAACGATAGGATTCGATTTTCGGGTGCGATATCCCCAGAAGGTTCTGGTCAAGATGGTCCGCCATATGTTCGACGCGGACGAAGCCCGCGACGTCCTTGCTATGGCTTACGACATGTCCGTGGACATGTACAAGACGTTTTCCCCTATCAAAGCTTCCACATTCACCATGGTCTTGGCCTGCATCGAGCTGACGGTAATGCTCAAGGGCATTGACCCGGCCCGGGTGCAGTGTTTGGACCTGAGAAGGTATCACACTACCAGAGAAAGTATCGTTGAGGTTATGCTAGACCTCCTGGATATGTACACGCAATTCGCCAAGCACACCAAAGTCGGCATGAGATTCGAGCTGTCGAAATTCATCGATATCAAGATTAAGCTGAACCAGGAAGTCGAGAACAGCGAGAGCTCTGTGCGGCGGTCCGCAGTGTGGTGCGACAGGTGCGAGGATGACGAGAAGGTCAAGTACCCAATCACGCCCGGGTCCGCCACCTCACCTGCGACTACGGGATCATGGCCTGGGAATAAGCGATCGAGGCCAGGCCAGGAGCCGCAAGCGATGCGCTTTGTCTACGATGCGGAAGAGGCCAGGAAGGAAAGGGAGACCAACGACGAGCATCTCAAAGATGAGTACGAGGAATACGAGATCGAGGTAGAAGAGAAGATTCCGGAACCTGAGCCTCGCCATAACCATGGGAGAGACAGGGGCCGACATCAGGGGCACCGAAACCATCATGACAATTGGGGGCCGTACCCGAGAAATCGTCACGACCGACACAAAGGTGGCCGCAAGGGAGGCTACTACTGAGTGCGCGGGGAGCCATCACAACACAGGACAGTAGTCTCGGCATCGGAGCATCTGATTCTCAGGCTTGGGCCTTGTGTTACTATTGTACGAGGCGCCCATTCTCACTGCCCTATCTCAACGGAAGCGATCGAGCCCCGAAAGAGCTCTGTTTAAATTGCAGGAATTTGCAGACGTCAGTTCAAGACAAGGTTCAAGGGAAATCGGCAGATTCTCGGCACACATTGACCCAGAGGCAGACATTGGCTGTCCACCACGCTCTTTTCCTCTCCAGGGCACAGAGCCGATGTCGCGAGCCGGCCTCTCTCTCGGGGCAGGGATCATACTTCTGTCGCCCGGACTCCACATAGCTGGTCACAAGATCCTGCAACGGGGAAGGCTCGCAACCGTGAGAACTTGACTCGAGGGTGTTTCTGTCACGTCTGCTTCTCAATATTACCACCGCAGCCACCGGAGACTAAAAGAGATGGTAGTCCGGAGTTTTGCCGTTTTCCAGACTAATAATGTCGTGCTGGGGGAACGCGCAAGGGAATTCAGACGTAATCTCCCCAGTTCATCCCATGTCGAACATGCTATTCCCCAGGTTTGCCCAGGCATTCCCCGCAGCGACCCCAGACCAACCCGGCCCCTCGGATACTAAGCAATTGCACACTACATGGATAAGTGTCATTTTTCTCTAGGGTAATTCACGACCTTTCCCCGATGCAGCAAGCACCCACATCAGGTACCATTAGCCAGCAGGTATCTCCTCACCGATGAAGCCTGATCTCGCCACCGCGATGGGACACGGCCCCTCTTCAAGACCAGAAGGGCCGATTGCCTCAAAATAAAGACTCTCCAATAATTTCCAGGCACCGGTGGAGTAGCAAGCACATAGCTCAACCCCTCTCGGGATGAATCCAGCGCGAGTTGACACGAGTCTCGATCGTCATACCGGGAATTCCGTGTGATATTGAGTGAGGAGCGGCCGGAAAGTGGACGGGAGACCTGTGATGTGAGCACCACTGATCAGCAATAAAAAGTCTGTTCCACCCGACGCGAATGATTGCTCAACGTGATGTTTCTTGCGCCGCAGGTCCACGAAACCCCTCAGTCTGAGCCCTCTTGTCACTCCAAATATGGCAGGCTCTGTGTTGTACGGCCTTGTTGGCCTCCTCGCTTGGGGACAAGTGATCAACGCCCAGGACATTATTACCGATGATACCGTCTTCTACGGCCAAAGCCCACCGGTATACCCAAGCCCGAATGGCACTGGCAGCGGCGATTGGGGCGAGGCATATACCAAGGCAAGAGCTTTTGTTGGACAGTTGACTCTCGAGGAAAAGGTACGCTTTCCATCACAATTTTGAGATCACCCGACCATCCAATGGGAAACTTGCAACATCCAAGCTGACTCTGTGCGCTCCACAGGTCAACCTGACCGGCGGAATCACCTCGTCAACTGGCTGCTCGGGCTTCATTGCCTCCATCCCGCGCCTTAATTTCCCAGGGCTGTGTCTCTCCGACGCAGGCAACGGCTTGCGGAGCGCAGACTACGTCTCCGCGTGGGCAGCTGGCTGGTCTGTCGGCGCGTCCTGGAACCGAGCATTGGCCCATGAGCGTGCTGTCGGAATGGGCCAAGAGTTCTACAAGAAAGGGTCCAATGTTATGCTAGGTCCAGTTGTCGGTCCTCTAGGTCGGATCGCGTCCAGCGGAAGGAATTGGGAAGGGTTCTCAAATGACCCATATCTGACGGGCCAACTCGCCTACGAGACTGTTGTGGGGGTGCAGTCCACCGGTGTTATTACCAGCGTAAAGGTGAGCACGATGGAACTATCTAGGGCTGGAAGGCTTCTAATGTGCAGAGAGACTGACAAGATCGACAGCACTTCATCGGCAACGAACAGGAGACATATCGCAATCCTGATGGCAATGTCTCCTCCGTGTCGTCCAACATCGACGATAAGACTATTCACGAGTTGTACCTGTGGTAGGACCTCTTGCCCTGATAAGGCTCGGATTGAAGCTGACTGTCACCTCAGGCCATTTCAAGATGCAGTAAAGGCTGGTACGGGAAATATTATGAGCTCATATAACAAAATCAACAACAGTTGGGCTTGCGATAACAGTTACACCCAGAACGGCCTCTTGAAGACGGAACTCGGGTTCCAGGGCTTTGTCGTGTCGGACTGGTTTGGCCAGCACTCTGGCGTTGCGTCGGCGCTTGCCGGTCTTGATATGGTTATGCCCAGCGGGGCCACATATTGGGGATCCTACCTGGTTGAAGCAGTGAACAACGGTTCAGTGCCCGAGGTGAGGTTGGATGACATGGCAACACGGATCATTGCGGCATGGTACCAGATGGGCCAGGACTCCAGTGATCTTCCTGAGCCAGGCTCTGGAATTCCCGAGGATTTGTCCCAGCCACACACGAGGGTGATCGGATGGAACGCCTCCTTCAAGGATACCCTCTACCGAGGTGCGCTCGAAGGTCACGTTCTCGTGAAGAACGAGGGCGCCTTGCCGCTCAAGTCTCCCGAACTCATCTCCGTTTTCGGATATTCCGCCAAGACACCAGACCAGTATAACTACGGTGTATTTGGTTTCAACGGCGGCTCATATCCACTGGCGTACGGCTTGGACTACAACGGGACAGGCAGCTTTATAAGTGGCGTCACATCTGGCATTGCACGGAACGGTACAATCATCTCGGGTGGAGGCTCTGGGGCGAGCCAACCTCCGTGGATTTCCTCTCCCTTCCAGGCGCTTACAGAGCGAGCGCAAGAAGACCTAACCGCACTGTACTGGGACTTCCACAGCACCAACCCGTATGTCGATGCCACCTCCGACGCTTGCATTGTCGACGTCAACGTTTTTGCTACAGAGGGCTCAGACAGGCCGAGTCTGAGGGACGATTGTAAGTGTACCTTTGAAGTCGTGACTCCCTAACTTCGTACGTCTCGGATCAGGTAATGGTAATTGCTAACGCCTGATACCAAACAGACACGGACAGTATCATACTGAACGTGGCCGCTAATTGCAGCAACACAATTGTCATCTTCCAAAACTCGGGCGTCCGGCTCGTGGATCAGTTTATCGACCACCCGAATGTGACCGCGCTGATCTTTGCGCACGTTCCGGGGCAGGACAGCGGCAAGGCGCTCGTGTCGCTGCTGTACGGCGACGAGAACTTCAGCGGCAAGCTCCCGTACAGCGTGCCGCGGAACGAGAGCGACTACGCGGGTCTGCAGAACGCCACGCAGCCTGACGGAATCTACGCGCTCTTCCCGCAGAGCGACTTCTCAGAAGGCGTGTACATCGACTACCGCGCTTTCGATGCCAAGAACATCACGCCCCGGTACGAGTTTGGTTTCGGTCTGAGCTACACCAGCTTCGAGTTCGGCGACTTGGCCTCTTCAAAGGCCTCAAATGTCAGCACCGACTCGTATCCCACCGGCGAGGTGGTCGAGGGCGGGCAAGTTGACCTGTGGGATGTCGTGGCCACCGTATCCGCGACGGTGACGAACACGGGCAACGTAACAGGCGCCGAGGTTGCACAGCTATATGTGGGGATTGAGGGTGGCCCCGTCAAGCAGCTGCGCGGGTTTGAGAAGCTAGTTCTGGAGCCGGGCCAGAGCTCGACGGTGGAGTTCCCGTTGACAAGACGAGACCTGAGCACGTGGGACGTCACGGCGCAAAAGTGGCTGCTGCAGAAGGGAGACTACCCGCTCTACGTAGGATCGAGCAGTCGGGACCTGCCGCTGACAGGCACTTTGACGATCTAGCCACGATTTAAATGGATCAGATGACATGGAAGGATGTTAAGCACTTAGAGATCCAAGGAATTTATTAATCTATGAAATCTGGAAGTGGTTTGTCTACGGACGCACAAGACGCAGCACTCGCTGCGAGGGAGAAGCCAGCAATGCACGCGGCGAAGACGGCGTAGCTGACCTGACGACGTCTCACGGCCTCTAATGAGAAACAGTGGATAGTCCTCCCGAGAAAGACGAAAGACTTTATGCCATTTCAGACATCCGGGGTATCTTATGTGAACAGGCAATTAGCAAGGCCTTCCTTCTCAAACCGAGATGTGGTGAAATGAAGGCGAGATGCGCGTTCTCAGACTCTAGCAAACGGTTTCATAGGGTGTTGAGCCCTCAATCCCGTCTTGAAACATATTATTGGGGTAATGCATTCATCATGTACGCTTTCAACGCCAGTGTTGATTATGTTGTGGTTGGGAAAAGGAGCTCACCTGACGGGATTGTGCGAGATGCTTGATGCACCGTCCTTGCGTTCAAGTTGGAATTGCGGCCTTGTGATTTAAACGTCGTAGCATTGCATCCTGCTCCTGTCTCAAACGGGCCATTTGAGCAGAGGGCACACCTCCTCGTGTGTCAAGGATGCTAAGTGAGGGCGAGGTTGAGGACGGAGAGCTTTGCTAAATTTCTGCTTGCGAGATGGAGCTCTGTTGACTGTGCCTGGCTCTGGATTAGGTCAGCATTTTGGGACAGCACCTGCAGTTGCCAAGGGTGTGACGTGTGGGTCACCCGCGGATCTCACGGCCCACAGCGCAGCCCAGGCAGGTGCCGCCTCGCGTGCCTGCATCTCGTGCTGGGAGGCCCCTGTTCTGTCCATGACGACCTGGGGGGGACTCCCTCGGGCGCTCGATCCAGCCTCTTCTCTTCTCCCTGTTGAACGTTGAACGTCGATCACATCCCTCACCACCGCGGCAAGTCCAGTCGAAAATCTTGCATCCCAGACTGCGTGCATAACAATGCTTTCAAAATATTTATTGACTTTCGGGTCGCTGGTCGCCCAGTCTATTGCTTTCCCCAGCTTCCAGCGACCTCTGGCCGCCGCCTCCGACGATGATGACGACGACACCCCTCTTCCTCTGATTATCTGGCACGGCCTGGGTGACTCCTACGGAAACAAGGGCCTGCAGGAAGTTGCTGCCCTCGCCGAGGAGGTCAACCCCGGGACCCTCGTCTACTTCGTGAAGCAGGGCTCCGACGCAAACGGCGACCAGCGCGCCACCTTCTTCGGCAACCTGAACGACCAGGTCGACAAGCTCTGCACCGACCTGGCCGCCGATCCCATCATCTCCACCGCGCCCGCCGTCGACGCCCTCGGCTTCTCCCAGGGCGGCCAGTTCCTGCGCGCCTACGTCGAGCGGTGCAACTTCCCGCCGGTCCGCTCCCTCGTCACCTTCGGCAGCCAGCACAACGGCATCACCGAGTTCAACGAGTGCTCGCCCACCAACTTCCTTTGCAAGGGCGCCATGGCCCTGCTCAGGGGCAACGTGTGGTCGTCCTACGTGCAGCACAACCTCGTCCCCGCCCAGTACTACCGCCCCACGGGCAGCGAGGCCGACTACGAGAGCTACCTCGACAACTCCAACTTCCTGGCCGACATCAACAACGAGGGCTCGGAGAAGAGCCTGGCATACAAGAAGAACCTGGCGAAGCTCGAGAATCTCGTCCTCTACATGTTTGAGGAGGACAAGACCGTCATCCCCAAGGAGACCAGCTGGTTCTCCGAGGTCAACGGCACCGAGGTCACCCCGCTGCGCGCCCGCCGCATCTACGAGGAGGACTGGATCGGCCTCAAGGAGCTCGACCGCAACGGCGGGCTCAAGTTCCGCGTCGCGCCTGGCGAGCACATGCAGCTCGAGGTCGAGCTGCTCAACAGCACGTTCAGCGAGTTTTATGGGCCATACAAGAAGACCTTCACTAGGGATGTCGTGGTTGAGGATGAGCTTTGAAAGCAGGAGAGGCAGTGATGTTTCTGTTATGATTGGGCGTCGGTTTTTCATGGCTTTGGGTTAGGTTTAGGATAGGCTTCGGCGTTTTCAACTTTGCATTGCTTTAGCCGCGTTTTTCTTATAATGTAATATATCAGAATCAACGAAACTTGAAGTTCACCGAAGACGAAGAATGAGGTCGACCAGCAGAGTGAAGAATTGGCGAGTCGAGTACATATTCCTTGCAATAGGACGCCCCTTGATTGGTTTGAGCGTGAAACTAGACCGACCGCCTTGAGTTAATTCCAACCTGAGCCTGCCGACCATTGTGCTGCTCAGATTCAAACCAGGCTTTCTAAAGTCCACCCACCGATCTTTCGTTTGACGACACACGCCTCCCGCCTACATTCTTAGACCTCAACTCCCGCCCTCCAGGTATAGGTTCATGAGTTTGTTCACATTCTGCTGTGTCTTGGTAACCTGAGTCAGCCTTGCGCCGCCCTGTAGAGACTGGGCAGTTTTGACAAACGTCAAAGTTTCTACGGCCCGTTTGCGATGAGGTAGCTGAGACTGAGACGGAAGAGCCGCTTGGTCGCTGTTTCATGAATATAAACAGCTTAGTCCAATTATGGTTCCGTAACGTGATGCCCTGAATCCCGCATTCACTCAGCACAACAGAGAACGATGCTGAATTTGACTTTGGAATGGCAACATCACAAGCACCACTTGGTATGTGAACACTGGCCCGTGAAATAACTGATCTATTTGATTCAAGTTGCCTGACTAACAGTCAATGGCACATTAGGGTCACAGAGCTGACACAATACATCAAGCAGGCCTGAATGAGTAAATACATCGTGATAATCGAACACTCAAATTTTCAAGATATCCCACATGATATGGAGAACCCCACCAGTCCAGAGGCAAGAAGTCCTTGTTAACACGTTACATCCATTAGTGGTCCTCCCCGGGGATAGACTTGGGTTGAGGCCGAGCTCTTTTGTTTAAACTTGCGGTTAAAGCCGGTTACACCTGTTATTAGTTCCCTACAATCTTCCCAGAAATGGACTTGGGTTAAAGCCGAGATCTTTTGTTGAAACTCGGGGATAAAGCCGGGCACACCTGTAGAATGCTTGTGCAAAGACCGTAACCCCTGACCGGTGCCTTGTTATATAACTGCCACTACCCAGCTCATCCGCCTCCTCCTCTTGTCTCATCACATGAGCGTGCATAGCAAAAGTAAAAACAAGACGTTAAGTAAGCCAAATTAGAGTCGGTGAGAGCCGTTTCCGCGTTTTCATTATCTAGGTCTTGGCTATATACCAATATAGAGGAGAACTATCGGCCAGTCTGTACAGCGGTGGCTGGCATCATGTAGGCCGCCTTGCTAGATATGGCCATATCTCAAGGCAACGACGGTGGGACGGGTTTAGGTCGTCTTAGTCTATGTCTACACTTTGATCTGACAGTCGACGTTCTAACAACTATAAGCTTTGGCTACTGTTAAGGTGGCAGATCCTACGTGTGAAACCCCTCGCGAATCTGGCTGGATGAAAATGCTTTCCAGACGTGCTGAGCGCCGAACATGCACGCACGTGTCGAAGCATCACCGTCCGGGCTCAGGTCACGGGCAGCTACGGTATAAAGGGGCGAAGTGAGCGACGAACTCTCGCCGCCGACAATGCTTGTGGAGAAACCCACCGTCCTTCAATATGTTAACCTAGTAGGGAGACTGGGTGAGAAGACTTTGCAATAGACCGGGGCCGATTGCAACCTGGGTGACGGCCGCGTGACGGGGAAATATCTGGGGCGGTGCGAGCGAGTCAACTGGTTTTCACCGAGCCTGGATCTGTGTGTTTCCAAACATTTCATATCTGGCGAGCAGTTCGTCCGCACCGCTGATTCGGGAGAGCGACCCCGGTGCGCATGAAAGAACCAACCAACTTAAACTGTTCTAGGCTATTGAAGACCTGCTTCGCATACCAAAGTTGTCTCAGTGGGAACGCAATTTCCATCATCGTTGTACTCAATTCTTCTGCTACACACTTCTCTTGGCCTACAACGCATCAAGCTTCTTCTATCTGATACGACTTGCCTCTCTTAGTAGTCAAGCTGGTTGATCATTCCTAAAAGGATTGGGTGATGGGGATCAGGGCTCGGTAAGGATGCTTGCACTTGGCGTGGGAAACGAGCTGTGATGATAAAGTGCAGCGAACCCAGGAATAGCTCTTTCGTTCCATCCAACCTCATCCTCGCACAGTAGTCAAGTCACTCATTATATATTCTCATATATCTTTCCACTGCTACCTCTCGTTACTACTTCATATTGCTACCTCATACTGCTACCTCGCCTCGAGTTGTGTCTTCTCGTCATCCCCTACACAATCAGTGCCACAATGCGTTCCTTCCTCACTGTCCTCCTCGCAGGGTTCGCCGTGGCAGCGCGACCCTTTGAGGACGCGCCGGACACAGGTATCGACGAGGCTCTCGGCAGCACGCCCAACGACACCCTGGCCCCGCTCGATAGAATGGTTGGCCTGAACGACTTTGGTTGGGCCGCGGAGAGGTATTTGAACGCTTCCAGCTGGGCCTTCTACCGTGCCGGGGCCGGTGGCGAGTGGTCATTCCGCAACAACATGGAATCCTTCGCCCGGGTGACCTGGAAGCCGCGCGTGCTCGTTGGCATCACCAAAGTGCCCAATACCATGAACACCACCCTCTTTGGCCACCAACTTCTCAGCACCGTTCTTCCTGAGCCCCTGGGACCGCGCCGGATATGCCAACGAGCCTGCCGAGCTTAACATCGTTCGCGCTGTGAAGAGAACGTGCTCTACGTCGCCTCCATGCACGCCACCAAGAGCCTTGACGAGATCGCGGCGGCCAAGGCTGAGGGCCAGGTCACGGCACACCAGTTCTACAACGAGGGCACCGACGCCGACACTCTGAAGTACTTCAACGATGTCAAGGCCGCCGGCGGCAAGGCCATCTTCTTCACTGTCCACTCTGCCGGCGACGGCAACCGCCACCGGGCCGCCCGCGACGATGTTACTTCCTCGGACTCGGGCTACTCCTTTATTTCCTGGGACTACTACAAACACCTTCAGAACATGACCAGCCTGCCTGTAATCCCAAAGGGTATCCAGACCGTCGAGGATGCGAAGCTCGCCGTGGCCAACGGCGCCCCTGCCATCTTCCTGACGTTCCCTCCCCCTTTGAAGTCGCCCTCGAGATCTACCAGGAGGCCCCTGGGATCTTCCAGCAGATCGACGTCTACGCTGATGGCGGTGTCCGGTATGGCTCCGATGTGCTCAAGCTGCTTGCCCTCGGGGTCAAGGCCGTTGGCGTCGCCCGCCCCTTCGCCTTCGCAAACATGTAGGGCCAAGAGGGTGTCCAACACGCAATCCAGCTGCTTAAGTCTGAGATCCTGAAGGACGCCTCTAATATGGGTCTTGCCGACATCCATGCCATCAGCCCTAAATTCGTGAGTGCTGCTCTGTCAACCCTTATTCTCCTTCCGCGGAAACTAATGACCTTGTTTTAGATGCGCCTAAACAACTATCCCTCGTGGAATGGCTGGTCGCAATAAGCTTAAAGCTTTCCTGCTGCTAGGACACTCATCATCACGGGCTTGTTCGTCGAGTCAAGTTTAAACCGTACATATTCACACCTCAGCAGACGGACCAATTTCTAAGCCATTGTCAGGAGCGGCTCCTGCTACTTCAAGAATTTTCCATAGCCAATGGGAGAACAACTTCATCCTGATGGCAACCGAATCTTATTCACTCACCCTACCAAGGAAGTCCCTAGGCCATTACGTGGGTCTTAGAGTGCCATTTATGAGCCTGGAAATGGATATCCGTTTCACTATTTAAGGACCTCGGGACTTATATGCAACCAAGGCAGAATCAATGTAACAAGCAGTTGCATGGTATATCATTGTCACACATTAATGCTTTTCATCAAAGGCTCTCTTGCGCACCTTGACAGGCATATCCCTTGGTGAACAACTGAATGCCTCTGTACACTTCAATTCCCAATCTTTACTGGGCAACGCAAAATCAAATCGATGGACCAGGCTTGCCAGTACCAACTTTTACTCCAAATATGTGACATTGTGCCCAATGCACCCTCTATTAACCCCACCAGCTATAGGTCTCTGGCATTCTCCGCCAGCCAGCGTTTGGGTTTAAAGGCTTCTAGATCAGAGGACACCTAGTCATTCCGGCATATTGCGTATAGTGGGCTGTAGACAGTAGTGTAGCCCGCCACCCAGTGGCCCATGATCTTCATGCCTTCTAGGAGCGCAAGTCTGTAGACACCTATAGTATTCAGAGGTGCAAGCCACGTACTTTCATTGAGGCATGCACGCAGCCAGGGCAGGTACTTGACTTAATCGTAAAAGGCTACTGCTTCTTCTGGGTTAAGAATGGAATCCAACTCGGCTCATAGCTTAGTGAAAGAAGGAGGTTTCTGAAGCAGCCAGTATAGAAAGTTCATTAATACAATTCCTATAGTGTCAGAGCCGGTACTTAGTATGATGCTAGTCTCAGCTACCATGTCGCTGAATAGATACATACTAGCATTCCTATATTTGTCTTGCAGATTGTATGTAAAGAAGTTGATCTCTTTTTTTGCCGTCATCAGATCTTGCTAAATAGCACTTAACAAGATCTACACACACTTGGGTTTAATTTGTGCCATATACCCACTATAGATGCTATCCAGGCAGTTATGAAAGCTAATTAAACCAGCGAATAAAACCTACAAGGCTCACCTAGGTGCATTGTGATCAGAACAGAGCCTCATGGTAGCTAAATCTACATTGCTTACCATTTAAATCTTTGAACACAATAGTATCATAGCTAGCCTCAAGCAAGTTCAGCTCAGCAGTGAGATAAATCTACGCTATACCATCCTGAGAGAGAAGATCATCTGGTAGCAGTGATTAGTATAGCCAATGAATAAACTGCCTTTGCACCATGGTGCACCGTGAATAGTCAGTTAGTACACAGGCATACTACAGATATGGTTGTATTATTAGACGCGAGCAGTGGTTTGATCGGCAATAATATATTTCCATCGCTCAAGGCCGGCTTGAGAGTACGCTACAGCCAAGACTCTGCACTTTTAAGCGTAGTTGTCTTGATTAGAGTCATTAGTAAGGTAACAATGTAATCTAGAAAGAACGTCATAGAATTCACCTTTGGTGACTAGGGATTTATATCTATAAATGTTCTTAAAGCTAAAAACATCATTAAAGGATATAGATGCTAGCCTTAAATAAACAATAGAGCTATATTTTTTAATGGGTGTTATAAACAGCTTTAAACTTGTTGCCCTAACATATAAAGTATACATAGGGAAGATTAATAAAGAGTGCTAAAATGTTGATGATAGGAAGGTAGTGTAAGCCTTTTGGATCTTAAAGGTAGTTATAAATATACTTGAAAACTATTATGGGTAATGAAGAAGCTACAAGGGGAAGGATAATAGTAATAAAAATCATTTTATCATACTTATATGGAAACGAGAGGTGTAAATTCCATTTTTTTGTCAGGCACTTGCCTCCGTCAGCTCAACACCAAGCATACGTACATCAGAAAGAAAATGAGAAGACAGAGCGCAAAACGACCTTGGAAGGCAAGTCCACAGACCCAAGCTCGAGCTATATTGTAAACTCCAACGCTTATAAATATCAAGGCCCCCACAGTGAAAAACAACCGGAGAAAGATAATTGAGAACGGCTGAAGATTAATCCACGATCGGCGTAGGAACCTGATACTGGATCAGTAATCCATATGTTGGCCATTGCTGCTGACAACGCCACAAGCCGCCAGACAAATCCAATCCACGCGGCTCCCATCTGGGTCACTCGATTCACTACCCATTGTGATGAATTGGATCGCTGAGCAGATATTCGGATTTCCAATTTGTGGCGAAATGATCCGCGTTGAAGTGTCTTCATTTTGCAAGCAAGATGTCATTGGCGCAGATTGTGCAACCTCGCGTGTCTACTATGCATATTCGATTCGGCATATTTCCGAGAGCCTTTGTATAGAAGACTCCTGCAAGGTCGAGAACTGATGACAGAGGCAAGAGAGCGAGCGACTCATGGACTCGTACGTGGTGCTCGGCTCATGTCGTCCAGACAGCCTTCGTCAACTGGTCTTGGACAGCAAGGTCATAACCACACGACAACGTTAACGGAGCACATGCGACCATATCCACAAGAAAATATCGGATCCCGTTCGCTCTCCTGTAATCAAGCTTGTGAGGCAGATTAGTACTAGTAGTTGGGTCGGTGACGACCAGCGAATCCCTGCTGTTGCATGTGTTCTTTTGCTTCCATTTTGCCGTGATCATGTACTGCTACTGGCCGAGTGGAGTTGGTGAGTCGTACGCTGTGGTGGGTGTGATGGCGCATTTGATGTTGTCATCCGGATCAACGATATACCATGTTGTTGCACATTGTGGAGGTGGGCAACGCAGGATGCAATTGTAGGATCGAGGGGTCGTATTTCGTGTCCCCAGCCATTTGACCCAATGGCGGTGAAGATGCATGACGTTGGGAAAGTCGTGATCCCGCAAGGACAAAGCCAGACGACGTGGACCCGGATTTACATAGCCAGTGAGCCGTCGACGGGCGGCGTGATAAGTCCGCGTCTGACGAGCGCCTGCTGTGGGGCCTTGGCGCCGCTAACGAGCGCGCCCAGGGGCTTATAAATCGGGGCGCGCGCTCCCCTAGCCTGGAAGGGTGCTGATAAACAGCCTCAACCGTCTAAGTCGAATTACCTCGTACGAGCTCCAGAGCGGCGCCTGCTTGCTAAGAAACCGCGCACGTCTTTGATGGGCAAACGCTAATGATGACTCGGACGTTTACAGGTGTTACGCAAGATGCTTCTGGGTCGGCCGTCTCGGCCAAGGAGGGCTGCCAAACGCTGTGCTGTCGAACGTTGATAAAAGGAACGCTGGCCGCCGCGGTCCAGAGTTGAGCCAGGATGCATCATCATCACATCGCTCAAGACCTCTCTCGCCCAGCTCCCTGAGACATCCAGACTCAACATATTCAACCTACCCGACATATCAGCTTTGATACCTTAACAACCACACATCATGACTACCATCAGGAAGGTCGCCATCGCTGGTGTAAGTCCCCTTGCCGACCTCAAGCGTGCTCACTCACAACAATCTCGGAACTGACACATGCACCAGGCCAACGGCGCACTTGGCACCGCACTTTTCGACCAGCTCGTGAAGGGAGGCTTCGAAGTGACCGCCCTGGTCCGCAGCGCGGGCAAGATCCCCAACCTGCCTGCATCAGCAAAGGAGGCGGTCGTCGACTTCACCTCCCAAAACTCCCTCGTCGCCGCTCTCAAGGGCCAAGACGCAACCGTCTCGGCATTGGGCTCACAGCCGGGCACAGCCCAGGCACAGAAGGCGCTCGCCCAGGCGTCCGCAGACAGCGGCGTAAAGCGCTTCATCCCCTCCGACTTCGGCAGCAACCTCGAAAACGCCGAGGTCCGCAAGCTCGCCGTCTTCAAGGACAAGCTCGAGCTCCGGGATGAGCTGGTGAGGCTGTCCAAGGAGAGCAAGCTGACCTGGACGAGCGTCAACAACAACGCCTTCCTGGACTGGGGGCTCGAGCACAAGTTCCTCCTCGACCCCGTCGAGGGCAAGGCCACCCTCTGGGATGGCGGCGACCACCTCATCTCCGTCACCAGGCTGGCCACCGTGGGGCAGGCCGTCGTCGGCGTCCTGAAGCACCCGGACGAGACTGCGAACCGCGCCGTGTATGTCCAGGACACCGCTGTATCGCTCAAGAAGCTCGTCGAGATCGCCAAGGAGTACACGCCCGGCAAGCAGTGGACGGTCGTCGAGAGCAGCACGGCTGAGGTCGTGCAAAAGTCCAACGAGGCGCTGTCAAAGGGCATCTTTGAGATCTGGGTCTTCGTCAGCCTCATCTTCCGCGCCGCATTCTCAAACGTCACAGAGGCGCACTTTGTCAAGAACGACAACGCCCTGCTTGGCATACACGAGCTTTCCGAGGCGGAGCTTAAGGCTGTGGTGAAGGAGACTCTGGCTCGCATACCCGGAGCGAACTAGGTAACTGTTGTTTGGAGCTGGCAAAATGTTATCTCGTAGGACACAGAGTTGAGAATGTAATGCTCGCCGAGGAGCTGCCATCTCGGACAAATCAAATGAACAAACATTCAAATGTCTCAATGCAATTTCCTTCCTCTACGTGCTATGCAAGCGTATTGATCAAGCGCTGCCGCGGAATTTGAGATACTGCTGGACGGAAGCTCCGAAGTTGTTGTCTTGCTTCTTAGTATTGAGCAAAACTGTCCGACAATATTTACAGGCCTAGCTGCTCGTCCAACGAGCGGCCAGCGCCCACGGTGCACCCATGAATTAGTAAGTGTCAGACTACAATAAATGATGTATCACCCTGGAATTGTAGGTAAGGCAACGATTATGGCATAGTCCAAGTTCGCTGTCAAATCAGATGAGAGTGGACATACATGCGGCTGGTACTAGTAGTGATCTGCACAATGTCTTATATCGCGTCTGTGAAGTGAGCTTTGCCAAATCAAGTCATCTAGCGTCTTTCTGGGGAACTTTAGAATGGAAATCGGTTCAAGTCGCTGAAATTGAATGCTTTGCTCTACCTAGGTATCTGGTGATGAATGCGTGGATAATTCAAATGCAGAGCTTTCCGACTCTTTCAATGAGATGTTGGAAAATGCGAACGAGTCCCTTTCATCTCCCATCATTAAAACAATACTGTCCCGCCAGGGCATCAGTACGAAAACCTATTCGATGCATTAGTCCTCCCAAACAGACGCCCCATCATGAGACCCTCAATTCCCGACCTCACAGGCGGACCTCTCAATCCCTCAAAGACCATTGACAATCCGCGGAAGCAGCTTCTCGGTGAAATCCCAAAGTATGGGAGTGTAATCGGGCGCCCAAGCAAGGCCAGTCCAGTACGTATTGCGCTGGCCCTGAAGTGCGTACAGCTGGTTGAAGAAGCCCGCCGACAGATCCTCGGGGGAGACCTTGGGCACAGTGGAGCCGTGGTCAGCAAAAGCCACGACCGCTGGCGATCCAATTTCGTATGTGCCCGCCTGGTCGATTGTGGTGAGCGACTGCGTGATGAGGGCCTCAGCGTCGTTGGCGGAGAGCCCGGCCTTCCCGATGATGCGCGTGCTGAACAGGTCGCGGTCCCCCTGGCGGTCGAAGGCGTCGCAGAAGGAGCCCTCGGGCAGGTAGAAGGCCGAGGAGTTATTGGGGGAGTTGCGGATGCCGGTGACGTCCGATGGGAGACCCGTGTTGTTGACGACGCCGACGTAGAGCGTCTCCCATGAGAACTTGTTGAAGAGGGTCGTCTCCGTCTCGTCTAGGTCCCACGGGGCGGTGTTATCCGGCGACGGGGTCGCGGCGATGAGCAACTTCTTCGCCTGCACTGTTCGCTGCCCTGATGGTGTCTGGATTGTGGCGCTGACGCCACTGTCGGTGCGTTGACTTGAAGCAACAGTAGACTGAAGCAGGACATCGTCGCCCAAGAGTGTGAGCACCCGATCGAAGAGCGTCTCCGATGAGTAGGTCTCAGGCCATTTGAAGGAGGGCCCGGTGATTCCGAGTCCAAAGGCAGCGATCTGCGGCTTTCCCACCACGGACATGACAAACCAGGTGGGAGTTGTGAGCGCGTCCGAGAGCCAGAGCAGGTTTCGAAGAATTCCCAGGGAAGCCCCAAGGTCGTGCTTCTCCAGGAACTCGCCGAATGGCAGCAGCAGATCTTCGGGGACATCACCGGTCTGGAAGTAGCCATTCTCGAACCACGGCTGGTATTCGATGGCTAGGGCGAGATACCTCAGCAGGCCAATGGGTATACCGAGCAGGTCGACTGGGCCATAGTCTACGTCAACAGGTAGACCCGTGTTGAAATCGACGTTCTTCGTCAGGAGCAAGAGTTCGATATAATCGGTGAGATCAGGGTTGATCAGGTCCACATCGAAACGCTTGAAGAAGTCCGCGGTTGTTTGACGATTCAGGTATGCTTGGACACCGTAATTTACTGGTCGACCGTTGCCCGATGAGTAGGCGTGGACGTGACCACCCTGTGGCGTTCTTGTAAGCCGCTAGATAATGGCGAATTCCGTTGGAGGGGGGGGAGGTAATATACTCACCAGCCGGTTCGCCTTCTCAACGACCAAGACTGTTTTATTGTAATCCTCCCGAAGCCGGACAGCTGCATAAGCTCCGGTTGCACCTCCACCCACAACGAGAACGTCGACCTCGTCTGCTTGCGCATAGGCGCCGGCCCCGGCCAAACACAGGAAGACACTCTTGGTCAATCTCATGATGAGTTGGAAGGAAAGAGCCTGAGCGTGGGTGGCATCATCAGGTCGAACGCCCAAGCTGCGCTCCACGGCTATATATGTACTCGCCGCCAATCTCGCTACCAGGTTTGTTGTATTCCGCAGCCGCCGCGCGCATGACGAGCACGTTGGCTGATGACACCCATTAAGCTCGTCAGCTGTAGCTGATCTACTACGTTGCGGCCATTTATTCCCTGAGCCGTGTGATCTCACCGTGCTCCCGCAACGTCCGAATGGGTTGCGTATCGGCTGTCATTTCTTTAAGGTTTTAGCCGAAAGCTACCATGTGAAAGAATGGACCCGCACAGCCCCCTGTCCAGGCAGAAAAAGCAGACTACAGGCTGCGAGTGCCGGCATGAGAAGGCTGCCTCTCGACGTCTTGGCAATACACAGCACACACTCTCATCCTTGCCAGCAAAGCCTGTCGTTGGCATTAATCCGATACGAACATGGGACGAACTGGTTGTGAGCTGAGATTTCCCGAATCAAAAGTATATGGCAGTTGTCACTTGCCGACGGTGTGCACTTTATCTTGGAGCCAAAACAGACTTTGCAGATGGGAGTCCTCGGTGTGTTGACTTGGTCACAAGAGGCCTGGCCCTGCACTGCCCGTCCGATGTCTTCAGCCAAGCATCCCCGGGTGAGCACATGTAAGTCCTAATAAAGTAAGTTAGATTCTTCCCCTTTGCGCAGCCGAGAAGTGGCTCAGGAGAGCATACAACGATGGGCATCACGGCAACACTGGTGGCATCGTGATTCTATCGCGCACAAGGAGACTTATCACCGGACCTCGTTCTGGTAAGTTCCTCTTAATGTGGGATTACTTCGGTCATTTCATCACTAAATCAAGAACCGTGATTGTTCTCGTATTATGCTACTCCCTGTGGCAATGTAACCTAGGTAAGAGATGGACTGGGGTCAAAACTCAAAACTAACAGAACGGCTATTCAAGGTGCATCAGACCAGCTCAGTTGACCAGGGCGACCTGGAAAAGATTATCCATGTCGCTACAACGCCCCACAAAGAACGTAACAATCTCCAACTAATTACAGCTTATAATTTATCCTTTGCTTAATTAAACCTATATTATTATAGCATATTTAAGATATAATGTCATAAATAAGCTATCTTTTTCTGTCTTATTTTTACCTTAAAAAGCTGATATTATTTTTATAATAAAATATAGATAAGAAAGGAGAGTCAAGGGACCCTTTGCCAACGCCACGGAAGTTACGAATTAGGCTTCTTTGTCAGGTTTCCCTGTAGATCATAATAAATCGTTCAGATAACTGCTTGAATTTGGTCTTTCACTGGCACAGGACACTGGTGAATGAACGACTGGATAGCATTGTTGAGCAAGAACTAATTTGCTGTCGTTGCTGCTAGACCGCACTTTCAGAGGCAAATTTGCATTCCGCCTTTTGAGATGCGTGTGTTGGCGAGTAAGTTATATGAATCTCACAATCTAAGAGGCCCAAGTGATATTACGATATTGTTCGCCCAGAATTGATCCTTTTATGTCCCAGGGACTTCTGCGCCAGCACAGTGACAGGACTATTTCCCTAACTGGTACATGCTGGGCTGACTGCCTCAGTACTTCCTGACTAATCATACACTCCTACATCCTCGGAACAGAAGACGACCGTCAACCCACTCTTCGACGCGCTCTCTCATCCGCGATAATCAGACGTGAAAGCTGTTTCAATCTCATGTTATAGAGCATCGAAGCGGTCCATCCCTTTCTAAGATCAGATTGGGTCCCTGCCGAAGCCGACAAATTTAGCATGTCTGCACCCAGCGAATCATCTCGCCGGGAGTGCCGTTGTCTGTCTGCCTAGATAAATTCTTCCATCTCATTTTCGAGGGCCTCGACATCTTGGAACGTGATAGAGCCGGTTTCTGTACCTTCAATGTCGATTATGACGTCCACTTCGTCCAGAGTCCTCTGCTCGACCGACGTCGGTCTTGTTGTCCCGTCGGTGCGAGACAGCCTCGCAGCCTCTCGGGTCTCACTAATCCAAGCAAGACAAAGTTTTGCGATGCTATGGCGGCGATCACTCTCTGAACGCCCGCCGACCGCTTCCGAAGTGGTGTCCTGGGCTCCGAGAAGTGCGGTGAGAGGCTCCAAGTCATGGGTGTTGAAGAGAACCTCTATTGGTCTACTATCGCCCTCGACGGTAATTGAAGTCATGAAACGGGATTCAAGTTTCCTGTTCGCAATTTCCTTGTCCAATACTTCGTGCATGTGAAGCAAACTCTTCATGCGGCGCGTCGTGTGTTCTTGCAAAGCCTCCAGAGCTGCTGTTGAGAAGATTTGTAATTCCGGATCTGAGTTGCTCCAAGGGTTGGTATCGTGGTGGCATTCGGCAGTATTTACACAGCAAGACAAAATCTTGAGAAGCTCGCTGATCGCAGGTGCGCCTGTCTCAGATTGTAGGTCTTGAGCGGGTTGAGGTGAAGTCTCCGCCATGACAGAAGTTTGGACGCAGACTGTACTTTTGTGACGACAGAAAACTACTACACCAGATCGGATGATGGCAATGAGTCGAGCAGAAGAATGGACCCGGGCAGACGAGTATGAGCACGAGACATGATTTATGTGCGATTCTCCGTTCAGAAGCTCATTCCCGGTCACTATTGTGATCGCAGGCCATAGTCTTGGTGATGACAGAGTGCAAGAATGAACAAAGACATTATTAGCCGTGCTTTGTCTCCTGTGAAAGAAAACCCTAGATCTGAATGCATTGTCTCTGCCACATGTCGCAACCCACATATCACACACCCGTATCTCCTTTCAAGTCTGGACACTCCAACGCCTACGGAGAGTTAGCAATTCTCTTCAAAGAAACGAGCAACGCCGAGGGTCCCGGTACTCACCTGTTCTGCCGTCATCCTCTTCGAGTCATATCTCACCAGCGCTGCGATCATGTCCGTCCAGCCCTCGTCCACACCGCTAAGAATCTCCTCCCATGGCTTGCCCTCAAACACTCGGTAGATATCAAAGGGAGGCGTCCTGAAACTGGCAGCCTCAGGCCAGGTCTCCCTCGTAGGCGTGCCGATGGTCTTGAAGATGCTCAGTATGAGTCCCAACTGGTTCCCATCCTCATGAACGGCGCGCGACTCGAACAGCGGCTTGGGCGGGCGCCGGACGCATTCCGCCAGCATGCAGCCCGCGGCCCACATATCCACCGGCAGGCCGTACAACTTGTCCCCGAACAGGACCTCGGGTGCGCGGTAGGGCCCGGTGCCGATGTCGAGGATCTTGGCGTCAGCGGGCTCGTTGGCGGCGGACAGATCCGGGTGCCACGCGGTGCCGAAGTCAGAGAGATAGGCCGGGCCGTCTGGCGACTCGAGGAGGATAGCCTGTGGCTTCACGTCGCGGTGGATGATTCCCTTGCTGTGGATATCCGCGAGAGCCTGGAATACGTCTCTGAAAATCGACCGCATTTGTGCATTGGTGAGAGAACCACGCTCGAGGAGGGCGGACAAGGTCAGGGGCATGTAGGGGAAGACGAGGGTGAAGCGGTCCTCGTGGTCGCGGAAGGTCTCGATGAGGGGGATACATGGTTTCTTCAGCTGGGCGAGGATCTTGGCTTCCCGGATGGGATTGTGAGGCTCAACGCCGTGGGTCTCCGTGATGACTTTGAGGGCACGGTCTTTGTACCGGTAGACCTCGGCTGTGACGCCGCTGGCTACGTATTGGCAGCTTCGGTACGGGCCTATCCTCTCCCCGGGTTGACCATCAGCATCGTCATCACCGTCTTTGGTTGCTGCGTCAGACGAGTCTGATGCTTGCTGTAGCGACTCTTGATCCTCTGAAGAGAGTGGATTGTTGCAGGCAGCGTCATATTCAGCCTGAAGACCCGTTAACGCGGCTCATCTCGAGGGAGAAGATCAAGCACTTGCTCTTGAAGACGAAGAACCGTAGGCCTCGTTTTCCAGCGTGAATGCAGTCTTGGCTACTGCAAGTCTTTGATTTGACAGTATGGCCTGACTAGTCAGTAACGGGTCAGTGACAAAGGTCCTGGCTTTCCGGGGTGCTGGCCAAGGCGATCAGGCTCACAGACATTTTCTGGATGTTGTCATATCGCTCGGAAGCTGTCAGAGAGCCTCGCCAGTCCTGAGAGTCGGGCATAATGACGCACGCTTGGCTGCCTCTCCCGTTCCGAGGTTAAGACTGGGTAGACTGTTTGGAAGAGACTCGTGCGTAAGCGGTTCCGGGGTGAGACATGGAGGGTGTGTCAGTCTCAGCCAGCCGTTGAAGCTCGGGCGAGCGAACTCGAGCTCGGGCTGCCGAAGGCGTGGGTCTGTTTGTTCCTTACTTCGGTACTCGTCTCCCCAATTCTTTACTGTGGGAGTAAGGGGCTAGCAATGACCAGACACGGGTTCGGCAATTGCGTGGTAGAAAGCTTGCTACTATAGGCCCCGACTTGACAGTGATATTCCAACCTTTTACTTCATGTGTACAATGTTCATGCTCTGGAGTTGTTGGCCCAAGACATGACTGCCTGTACCATGTGGATACTCTCACTCCTGACCCGAACCCTTGGTGACAAAGGCACCCACTCCCCAACGAAGTCTACAGCATGTACCTGGTGACATCAACACGCATCATTTCCTACCCAGGTACGTCCAGGCCAGACGCGATGGTGCAGCACTAGCCCCCCGCCCCAAAGCCATCACCCCCAGCTGTGAGTTACAGTATTCCAACTGTGCGGGCCGCGGCACATGCCCCCCGTTCTGCGGGCAGCTGAGCAAGATGAACGGCCAGCCCAAATTTACCACGAATTGATGAGCTCCGCGCCGGCATCCCGGGCTGGGGACTGAATTGGATTGAATTGAACGGAATTGCACCCATTCCTTCGCATCTCCGCCGGACACTCGGCTGCTTCTTGGTCTCTGCTCTGCCCGTATTTTGCCCTGCTCTGCTTCTGCTCTGCTTCTGCTCTGCTTCTGCTCTGCTCTACTTTCTACACCGTATCTAGACTACCTGGCAGATAGATAGTCTACCTACTCTGTTCCAGACAGGCAGGGCCCCATTTCCCAGCCCAATTACCCCCCGAGGGCAGATCATGTCACTGTAACATCGTATCAGCCAGCCAACCTACCTACCTACCTAGCCAGCCAGTCCCGGCCAGCCACTCCCAGCGAGCTAGAACATCCATCCCCATACCCATCCCCATACCAACCTAGAGCTGGACACATCACATGCGGTCCCAGTGATCTTCGTCCGCATTCCGACATCGCGAGACACACCTCCTTCTGTACATAGACGTCGCCCCTGGCCTTTGCTCTCGCCTCTTCTCTCGCACACACACACACTCTGTGCCCCTCCCGAAATCCGACACCAGCTCCTGGGCCTCCTGAAAGCCCCCGAGACAATAATCCTGCCTCCTCCCGACCTGCCGCACGAAAGGGCCCAGAGACCAATTGCTACCTGATGACTCGCCTCGTCTCTCCCATCTAGACCGCACAGTGTTTGCGCCCACCGAGCCCTCCAGATCCAACCATGGACGACCTCCAAAGATCGGAATACCCAGCAATGCTGGTAAGCCCACTCGCCAGCCTGCACCGATGCGCCGGCTCGCCCGCCCCGTGCTGGCCGGTGGCACCCGACAGCAGTACGGCAGCTGTTTGCTAACAAAACCCCGTCTGTCCGCGCAGGCAAACTTGCAACCCGGCCAGGCCGTGCAAGTCGTTAACGATAGGCTGAAGCGGATTGGCAAGGTCAATACCGAGATCGCGGACTGGCTTCAGGTATGACGACCACAACCCCGACCACGAGCACGCACCACGACACACCTTGCGAGGGACCAGCCACGCGAGCCGGCTCAGGGGGGCTGACACACAGCATCACAGGAACGCCGGCGGCTCGAAGATCAGTATGTTGCTGGGCTCAAGAAGCTGCTGCTGTTTAAGGTGCCCAACGCCTCGTCCGACCTGGGGTGAGTCCCCCCTCCCTACATGGCCACAGCCATAACATTCCGAGCGTGTCCCACGAGAGAGTGCCTAACAATGCGCCCTTATTCTGCAGCATCTTCCAACCCTCCTGGGACAAAATCCTCCACTCTACCGACGCCATCGCCGCATCGCACTACCTCTTCGCCCAACGAATCGAGAAGGATGTCGAGCAGGACCTGCGCCAGTTCCAGAATCGCAAGGAGTTTCAGAACATGACGACCATGTCGGCGAACCTGTCTGCAATCGCAAAAGAGCTAGAAGACGCCAAGGAGAAGGCCGACAAGCTGACTAGGAAAGGCGGCAAGGCCAGCGCGCTCAAGGTCGATCAGGCCACTGCGAGACTCGAATCGGCCACCGGACAGTGGGAGTCGCAGGCGCCCTTCATCCTCGAGACACTGCAGGCCCTCGACGAGCAGCGATGTAACCACCTCCGGGATGTCCTCACTCAGCTCCAGACGCACGAGGTCGACCAGGCCGACAGGCTACGCGCCACAGCCAACGATGCGCTCACTACAATTCTCGAGGCGGACACGTCGAAGGAGGTAGAAAACTTCGCAACGAGGGCAACAGGCGGCCGGTTGAAGATAGAAAGGAGGACGGGTACTGGCTCCATAGAGAGAACGCCGACTGCGACAAGGCAGTCTTCCGTTGGCACCGTGCAACCGCCCACGACTGCAGACTCTAGTCTCGCTCCGCCGCCGACTGCCGCTTCCTTCAATGACGACGATCGGAGTGATCATTCGACACCGGGCGCCGAGAAATCTGGTACGTGCCAGCCTTGTTGATTACCTGTGCATCGATGTGTGACTGACAACAAGCGCAGAAAACAAACTACGAAGCCGGATCGGTACAATGCTCGGTCGGCGAAGGCAGAGCGTCCATGGTGGCTTCGGCCAACTCTCTCCGGGCAAGAATGCTGGTCCTTTCAACCGAGCGTCCAGCAGCCATGGTCGCCTGTCGCCACACACATCTGCGAGTAACCTTGCCGCTTCGACCGGTAGGCTCGATGCGTTGACAGAAGCCCCCGATACGCCCAGGTTGCCGAAGCCTGAAGCCACCGAAGAAGCAGCAGCTACCAATGGAACCCACGCCGAAGCCTCGGACGAGTACGCGCCGCCACGGACAGCCCCGGCCGGTCTCAATGGGATGACGGCCGAGGAGATATTCGATGCGCCGCCGCCGCCAGGCCCACCTCCGTCGCACCTCAACAAGCAAGGTGAACCTGCCAAGGACGAGGACGGATTCACGATACCGCCAGCAGCGAACGATCCCATTTCCCAAGCGCAGAGGGATGCGGCAGATGAGGCAGGAGAGGAGCACGAGCAGTTATTCAAGCTCAACATACAGAACAGCCCGATCGCCGAGGAGGACCCGGACGAGTCTAAAGCAGCACAATTGAGTGTCGCGAACACTCTGAGCACGATGCAGATGCCTGCGCGCAGGTCAGGGACTGTCCGTGGCCGACGAGATGTGCGAAACACGATGTACATGCCCTCTCCTCCCGCATTGCCAGGCGCAGAGGCCGCTGCGTCCCTCTCGCCTGGCGAACCAACACAAAACTTGCCGCCATCTCCCGCATTGCAGGGCGCAGGCAGCAGCATGAGCTCGAGACCATCAGCTATACACACTCTGGCAAGTGAGGCCAGCGTCACCGGGACCAGCGATACGCAATCGGTCCGGAGTGCGACTAGCTTGGGAGGCATGGCACATGGCAAGCATCCAGAGCTGACCGCACCTGGCTTGAACTCCAGCATCGTGGAGACGGTGTCCGCGTCCTTTGAGGGGGGTGTCTTGAAGTCAGTTCGGATCAATGGGGAGATTGCGTTTGCGTACAACGGAGACGGCACAGTCTCTGAAGGTAAGCCACTTCATACCCTCGACCATAGCAGTGTACTAACAAACGCGAAACAGCCCGCGAAGCGATCCGTATCAATAATTTCCCTAGTCTGGAATCTATTGGCCCCAACCGAATCTTCGTATCCAGCACACCGTCGCCGGACGAGTTTACTCTCGACTTGTCGCATGTACCCGCGAAGACTGCCACGCCGGGATTCACTTACCGTGTTCACGCCGAAGAGCCCACTTCCTCCCACCTCGCGAGTCACTGTCCTCTGATCATCAATCCAGCCTGGAAGCCGACGGGCGACAAACTCGGTTTATTGCTACAGTACAAGCTCAACCCCGACTTCACGCCCAACGCTGAGAAACCCGTGGTGCTGAAAGGCTTCACCATCATCGCAACATACACGAATGCGCGCGCCAGCGGCGTCCAGATGAAACCCGCGGGCACACATCTCAAGGACAAGCACCTGGTGTACTGGCGGCTGGGAGACGTCACGCTCCAGCCAGGCTCGGACTGGCAGAAGATTGTCTGCCGGATCATCGGAGCGGAGAACGCGGAGCCCAAGCCCGGCAACATCGAGACCAGGTGGGAGTACATCACCTCCGGCACCGCTTGGGAGGAGGAAGAGGACGAGGGCAGCCACAGCGGCGCCATCTCGATAAGCCTCAAGAGGGAGGGTAAAGGAAAGGGCAAGGCGACCGCCGAGGACGAGAAGAGCGACAGCGAGGACGACCCCTTTGCGGACGAGAGCGCCGCTGTGAGCCCAAGGCTGAAAGACTCGAACGCCAGCTGGCAACCCGTGCCGACTGTGAGGAAGATCGTGAGCGGCAAGTACGAGGCAAAGTGAGCAGTGCCCGGTGCTGACCGGCAGGGTGGGAGGAAATGAAAAGGCAAAAGCAATGTGCCATGCTGGCTGAGCGCGTGGTATTCGACGATAATGGGTGTGGACTGCATATTGCGGGCGACGGCCGGGGAAAAGTTTCCGGGGCCGGGGGAGAAAGTGAATGCATTTGCGCGGGTTGAACGATGTTTCTGGCGTGGACGGATCTTCAAGAGACAACCGCTACTATACCACCTCTTCGCACCTTTTCTGACACGTATGTACTTGGTATACCAAATCTACTTTGTAAACTGTACATTTCGGAGTCTCGTCACAGAGTGTGCTGCATGCTGCCAACGTCTGGCTGGTACACCATGTCATCGTGCCTTGATCATTTAACTTGCAGAGAGACCTGCATAATATTATTCCCTACAGAACATACAATTAATCATCAGTCAGAAAATCATGGGCTCCTTAATAAAACAATTAGAGATGAATGCTACGTAACAGAACAGCTATGCTTGCACCTCGGATATCAAACGCCTACTTGTCGGTCCCCTCCCTGACGGCCTCGTCGTACAGCTCAAGGGTCAGGGCCGCCAGGAAACCCGGTATACAGTTCTTCTCCGTGACCCAATATTTGCGCGTGTCGGAGATCTTGAGGGCAAAGGCGCTCCGGGGCCCGCCGCCAACCTTCATGGAGCCGCGCTCGCCGTCGAAGACGATGGAGCGCTCGTGCTCGTCCGTCTCGCTCGGGTAGTAGACGCTCTCGAGGCGCATCTTGTTGCTGGGAATGAAGGTGACGTGCCACCCGAGCAGCTGGAAGACGGCCTCCTTGAACTCGGCCGACTTGTCCGTCCAGACCTCCTTGAGCCGCTGGCACTTCTTGCGCGCCGACGCCGTCTCGTCGCGCGCCGTCTGCAGGTCCCGCTGCAGGGCGATAAGCGTCGATACCGGCACGACGGGGAACTTGCTCGCTTCGCCGTCGTGAACGAGGAGACGCAGCTCTGCGTTCTCGTTGCGCAGCTCGTCGATGGTCGCTTGCTTGGTGGATTGGTAGTCGTCTGTCGGGTTCGAGCGCATCTGCAGGATGCGCACGTTGCTGGATTGCTTTGCGGCTGTGAGCTGCTCCTGAGCGACAGAGAGCTCTTTCTGAAGCAGTTTGTGCTTTGTCTCTAGCGACGAAAAATCGTCCTGGAGTTTGCGGTTCTTACGCGCAAGTTGGCCCAGTTGTTCGTGGTGTTGTTGGGACTCGGCCGCATCATCAGTAGGAAGTGGTCGTTTCATGCCCGCAGCCGCTCCTGGGCTGCTACTGGAAGATTCAGCTGATCGGAGCTCAGTTTCGAGGTTGGTCACTTCGGCCTTGTACTTGTCAACAAGGGATTCGAGCTCCTGAATTCGTTGAGCTTTCGTTTCGTCGTATGCTTCGGGCTGGAGTGTCATGTCTTCGCTGTCGTAAGATTTGAGCTGTGCCCGCAGAAACTCGACCTCTTTCTCGGCAAGGGCGCGCTGGCGATCGAATCGTTGGCGTGCCTTGTCAGATGTGATATTGACTGGATTCGTTTTGAGCTGCTCAATCTGAGTGGCTAGGCTCGCCTTCTCATCCTCAAGATCCTTGATTAAGGCGTCCCTCTCCGCAACCAGGGGCTGAACCGAGCCGAGTTTCTCCAGGAGTGAGGCAGAGTTGAAACGCTCCTGCACCAGCGCTCGAGCCATGGCTTCAGGCGAGTCGAACTCAGCCTGGCCCTCATGCTCCAGGTACGCAGCCCAGGCGAGACGCTCAGCCTCCAAACGTTCCCTCTGTCTTCGCTCCTCGCCCAGCTCTGCCCTCATGTCTTCAGCAGCATCCAATTTTCTCAAAAGCGTGGCCTTCTCCTCCTCGACGATCTCCACGGCCTTGTGAGTTTGCCGGAGGCGTTTGAGTTCGGCCAGTTGTTTTTCGTTAGTTGCCTCCAGATGGCGGATGTGCTGAACTTGCTCAGAGAGCTCCCGTCGTATGATTGCCATGGTATCGGCGTCGCCGGTGTGGGCCTTTAGCCGCAGAACCTCTGCCTCCAACTCCCCGATGGAATTATCCTTGCCCGCCAGCTGCTCTTGGACATTGCGCAGGGCCTCCTCCCTTGCTTGGCCATCCTGTTCCAGTTTTGCGATCTGATTGCTCGCTGTTTGGACCTGGGTTTGAAGATCTGCGACCTTCCGCTCTTCCAGCCGGGCCTGCTCGTCTTTGGCAGCATTGAGGTCCTCGATCTGCTCCCTCAGAAGCCTGGACTCGTCCTCGGCAGCCTTTGCGCGCTTCTCCACCTCGGCCTTCTGGCCATCCTGGGTTTCGCGAAGCTCCTGCAGTTCTTGTTGCAAACGTTCGACATGCCTCAGGGCGGCGTTCGCCTCACTCTCTGCCGCCTGCTTCTTCTTGAACTCGTCATCGGCCAGCGCCCTTGCCTTTCGCAGCTCATTCTCTTGTTGAACGCGCGCGATCTCCTGATCGGCTTCAGCGGTGGTAATTGTGTAGCGCAAGGTGCCGAGGTCAGCTTTGAGCTGCTCTATCTGTCGTCTCTGTGCTTCATACTCGTCTGCATCCGCAGGCGCGACATTTTCCTTAGAAGATTCGTGCGAGGCGGCGCGTGGAAATGTGGGGGAGGTCGTGGACTGGCGCGATCGGGACATGGACCTGGAACGCGATTGCGACTGCTGTTTGCCTTCTTGAGCGAGAAGGTTGTAGGATGGTTGGGTGCTACTGCCTCGTATGGCATTTAACTATGAGAAACCAGAGAAAAGTCAGTACGACCAGTACGAGTTGCAAGGTAGGACATAGCGGGAGCGGACACTAATTACCCTCGATTCTCGCAGGGAGGTCTGTGGCCTGGGCAGGCTGGAGGTGGTTGCTCGAAAGCTGTTGCTGTTGCTCGACACAGATCCTCGCCGTGATCCAGGGGCCGATGGTGCGCGGTCACTCCCAGGACCTTGTGGGGTGCGAGGTATCATGGCGGCATGTGGTCACCGTCTGGTTTCGAGAAACGGAGGTTGGAGGAGTCGAGTGAACCAATGTTGATGTTTGTTGATGTTCGCTAGGTCCAGACGCCAGGCACTTGCTGCCCGCTCCAGTTGGCTGGGGCACTGAGCTGACAGGGAAGCAGGCACAAGACATTGTGGGGCCCAGAGCTCCAGGCCCCAAGTGCTGTAGCTCCAGATACAGGCACATTTGTTAGGTGGGCAGCAGAAGTCTCCCTTTTATTACAGGCTCATCAGCAGACACCCTCAACCTTTAATTAGTGAACTGGCATGGCTTAAAAGAGCGATCATTCCGAGTTCCAAGAGGTGTCCCGGCACAAATGAAGATCAGTCGTCGAATAATGCCCTGGAGTGGTCCATCCAAGCTGGCTTCTATCTGCGGTCTCAAACTTGAGAGCAATGGGTGTGTGATACGCCCTCTAGGAGTAGCTGCTCCCCAGGTTATGATTCTTTAGGGGACTGCCAGTAATATATCCTGACCCATATTGATATTTCTTTTGGGAAGATCTTGCTCTGAGAACCTACATATATACCTAGGCAATGTTGGCGTTTGAACTTGGTCTACTGGATATTGACTCTCACAGGACACATCCCTAGCTCCCATGAAAATGGATATCGATGGGACAAATATGTTGGAATACTTCTCTTGTTCTTTTTCTGATTTCCGTCGTTCGACTGAGGTAATTGATCTGTGTTACAAAACAGTCTCAAATCAAAAAGAATGCTCTGCCGAGTTCACATCTGCTTAGCTTTGAAGTCTTGCTTCCGGGCTCGAGTCTCCATCTTTGTCATATATCATCCTACCCCCGAGGGTCGTCGTATACACCTTGTTGACGATCTGCAGGACTAGACCTGCACATAGAACACTTTTTCACGGGCAGACAGGCCGGGCTAGGCGGTCTTGTCCATCCGTCAAGTCTCTGGAGGTCCTGAATGCCGGCCTTTGCCCCTGCGTTGGTTCTCCTGGCCCGAGGACCCGCCTTACACCACCCGACGGACCCACGCAGTGACGAGGATCGGGGGTTCTGCCCTCTTAACTCCAGCCGTGCTACTGGGCTACTGAAAGCTTAATGGCTCACCCCGGCTTGTTCTAGAAGGAATTCTCGCAGGCTTCCCTCCACACCCTCAATTCCATCCCACCCCGAGACATGGAAAGATCCACAAGGTGACCTCTTGCGGCATTGCCTGCCATCCATTCCGACTTTCCCTCCTCAACACCACACTCCTTGGCGGGCACGCATTCCTTTCCTTGAACCCCCCCTGGCAATCCGGAAAAGGCGGCAGCAATGGCGACGCTGCGACTTCTGGTAAGCTCCACGAGCACCTGGGTGGTCCGTCGTGAGACGTCATAGCCCACCTGCGCCCTGTTTGGGTGCAATTGAACTCGAGCTGACCGCTGCTGCTCTTCCGTAGATGCGCAGCACATCGGCGCGACCGGTGCTCCCCTCAAAAGCTCAACAGCACCCCTACCGTCGACTCCAAGCCATTTCTGCCGCCCACCGTGCCTTTACTGCGAGCAGTTACCTCCGGGAGGGTCGTGACAAGAGCAAGGCTGAGGGCGAGTCCAAGTCACTCTTGGATGTCGTCGAGGAGGGCGCCAATGAGGGCACCAAGGGAGAGGACAAGAGTGCCGCCAGCACGACGTCAAGCGCTACCGCCGGCAAACCTTCCGTGACCTCCAAGATCCACAGATCCAGCGACTCGGGCCCGTCTGCCATCTCGTCGTTCAACGACACCGACGAGGACTGGGAGGCCAACCCTAACTGGAACATCAAGAACTTCAAGGAGCTTCCGCACAAGAACTTTGGCGTCAACCAGCACATCATCATCAATGCCGAGTTCAAGGAGGCCTTGCGCCAGATCCCCTGGCAGTTCCGCGCCCCCGTCCGCTACTGCTTCGCGTACGGCTCCGGCGTCTTCCCGCAGAGCAAGCCTGACGGCCATGTTGCCTCGGCCGAGGAGATCGCACGCGTCCACCCCAAGGCGCCCCCTGCGGTTCAGAAGGCCCAGGATGGCACTCCAAAGATGATCGATTTCATATTCGGCGTGACCTTCACCCAGCATTGGCACAGCTTGAACATGAACCAGCACCGCGATCACTACAGCGGGCTGGCTAGCTTGGGCTCTGGTGCCGTGTCGTATGTGCAGGACAAGATGGGCGCAGGCGTGTACTTCAACACGCACGTCGTGGTCAACGGCATCCTCATTAAGTATGGCGTGGTCAACATCGATGCCCTGTGCCATGACCTGACCGAGTGGGACACACTGTACCTGGCCGGCCGACTGCACAAGCCCGTCAAGATCCTGCGCGACGATGCCCGCGTGCGCCTCGCCAACCAGATCAACCTCCTCTCGGCGCTGCGCACCGCCCTCCTGCTGCTCCCGGATCGCTTCACGGAGCTGGAGTTGTACAACACCATCGCGGGCATCAGCTACCTCGGAGACCCGCGAATGACGCTGCCCACTGAGAACCCGCAGAAAGTCAGCAATATCGTCGGCAACAACCTGCCCAACTTCCGGCGCCTGTACACCCCTCTGATCGAGAATCTGTCCAACGTCGAGTTTGACGATCCGCGCTGTACCGAGCCCCACTGGGAGTGGGATGAGGATGCGAATCTGAAGCTCCAGCAGGACATGAACCCCATCAAGCGCGGCAACATGGTCCGTAGACTCCCCAAGTCGTTCCGCTCGCGGCTGTACTTTCAGTACCAGAAGAAGTTCGCGATCCCGCAGCTCGAGTTCGACGAGATGATGGCTGCCGACGCGTCCTCGTCGGCCAAGAAGCGGCTGGCCGGCGGTGGGTTTGAGACGAGGATCGCGCAGGACGACCCTGCGGAGCTGAGAAAGAATGTCCGGCGCGTCATCAAGCAGACGATCGGGTGGCCAAGCACTACGCAGAGCCTCAAGGGTCTACTTACAGGCGGTGTGACAAAGAGCTTTGGGTACGTGTGGGAGAAGATTGAGAAGTACCGCGCCGGCCAGAAGAAGCCAGCACCGGCGACGACTAAGGACGCGGGCGAGAAGAAGGATGCCGACGAAGCGAAGACGACCAGCTCTGATCCCAAGGCTGACAAGACGGAGAAGAAGGAGTGATTGAGTAGTGAGCCAATTGATTGACGAGCAGCAACCGTGCGGAAGCCAAGAACTTCCCAAAAATGAGCTGAAGCTCGGTATCTGGTTTCTGAGCTCCAACAATTTGATGCTGGAAGTTTGGAGGGGCAACCTTGCGACCGCTTTCCTTCCATGGTTGGGGAACCTCCTGTCCTATTCAGGAGAACGGCCAAGGTCATTCAAGCATCCATCCAGTACTTGCCATCTCGCGAATGCATCCGCAGCCTTTGGGAGCTAGCGCTGCTTCAACGGCACGGAGAGAGCAGACACTTGCCATTTCACACCGAAATGGCGCTTTCTTTTGTCTCATGGAGGATGCCATATCGGAATGGTCTTTGCATGATAGCGAGGGCATTTGATTATTTTGTACGAATGGGCGGGAATGGGTAGCAGCCCGCGAGTGGCTCCAAAAAAATCAGAAAAGAAGACCTGTGGCTCTGCATGTGGGTTGAAGCCCACGAGAGCTTTGCTCGAAGTGGAAGTATGCAGGCGGTGGTGCGCCCGGGTACCCACGAGGCCAGATCACGGTTCTCCTGGGCAAAGCCTCTATCGAGGGACATTGAAATCAATGACGGAGAAAATGTAACAAAACTTGCTGCCTTATGGCTAGCTATCACCAAATGACATTTTCACACGTTTTCGGCACCTCCAGTGACATGTTTGATCAAGCGCTTTCACTCGACAGATGCAGAGGGAAACCAGCCTCGAAGGTGGGATTAAATAAATGCCAGGTAACAAAACGCTTCGCTAAAATACATCAGGTATCTAATTGGAGCCGATGACGGTTCTCCAACAACACAAAGAAATATGGACCGTTGAACCGTGTCCTCGCCGCGCATCTCACCAGCCGGTGGTGACAATATCATCCATCCCTCGGTTTGTCATTCTCGTCTAAGGGCTGTTACGGACGGCGCGGCTGGGGTGGTCAAGAGCAACGATCAATGTGGGCGAGGGCATTACAGCGTCAGTGCCGCCCCAATTTCCCTCAACAGCATCTGTTGTGACGGTGTGCTCTCGCTAGCTGGGGCCGCAAAGTCGCTGCGCCCCTGGCTGGGTCCGGTGGGGCCATCCTCGCCAGTAAAAGGCCAGTTGTATTCGCTCTTGTCAGAAGAGGAGGAGAAGCTGCTTCCCGACGGCTGCTTGGCGCGGTGGCCAAAGTAGGAGGACTTGCTGGCCCTGCGGCGAGGGGGGTTACGGTTTGAGCCGGCCTGGCTCATCTTGGAGGTGTCGTGCTTGATGTCCGCGTTGGCGATGGTGTTGAGCTTGGAGTCACTGATGTAGGCGGTGTTGGTGGTTTTCATGGTGTAAAAGGAATCCATCTTGGGTGGGGTCTGAAGACTGAAGTTTTTTTGTCCTTGCAGATAGAGGCAGTGAGCGATGGAAGTGTCCGTGTGTTGTTGTTGAGAGGCGGCGGTGTGAGTGAGTGAGCTGTTGGCAGTTGTGGCGATGATGCAGAGGTGCTTGGGGAGTTGGCTACGCGGTCTCGACCGCTTCCTTTATATCTCGAGGAGCTTCACTTGAGGTCCCGATATCAGCCCGAGATGACTTCATGTCCACTCGAGTGCATATTCCAAATGGGCATCAAGTCCGGACACCACGTCGTACGGTTCCTCATGGCCCTGGTCTGGCCACATCATGACTCCCCTCTTCTCCGCGTTAGGGGTATGCGCGCGGCAACGCGAATGACATTGGCGAGAGCGCTTCATTTGGTATCCACATGCTTTGGACCACAGGCTGCCGGGACGACAGCGCCGGCTCCCGTTGGGGACAGCTCTGCCCCAACTCGAGGGCGTTGCCTCCAGGGATGCTGCCTTGTTCCTCCTGGCGTCAAGCCAGGTCTACGGACAAGGCGAAATCGTATCAATTCCAGCGTGGCGAGGAACGAGTCGTATTGCGAGCTGGAAGGCGGTCATTGTGGGGATGAACCGAAAGTCGAGGGGTTGAGATCAGGAACGACTTGGCCAGAATCAGGGTCGTCGGCTCACCAGGATGGGAGGACAAGCTTCATTGGCCTAGAATGACGCAGCATTGTTTCTGAGCCATTTGGCAGGGGCCTGTCATGGTGCTGGTCATGGCAGGGGGCCGTACGTAAGCTGATGGGCCAGGCATGCAGGGTCTTTATCGATATGGTTATCTAATCTCCCTCGCACAGCCTCGTTCCACGATGGCAGCTGCAGCCCATCATCACAAGAGCTTCCAAGGTTCTTTGTGGCTGGCCAACTCATCATGAAACGCGCAGCATCAACACAGTATCTCGAGGATGCCAACTGTGTACATTCGGATGTACTAGTATTGTAAACTCACTCGGATAATGAGAACCTGTCCTGCGGCATCAATCTACTGTACTGTGCTTCGGCACTTTGAGTGCATTCCTTCCAAGATGCGTCTGGAAGCCCCCCTCCACCTTCTCAACCCCTGATCATCCTCGGGTATGCAGTGCCTGGGGTATCCATCGTCTCAATCACCGCTGCCACAGCCGGGTGCAGTCCCGCAGCGACGGCCTTGGAAGCCCACTGGGCCATAGACGCCTCCCTGTACGGCTCCTTGCCCGCCCCAGCCATCGTCTTCATGTTGTCCAGCGGCAGGACCAGCTCCCCGACCTGGTGGACGTACGTCACAGGCTGCCGGGGCTCGTTCCCGACCACGTGCCGCACGATGTCGCTGACCGTGCTGTCCACGTACACGAGGTCCAACGCCCCCTTGGCATGTGTGCATTTGGGCACCGTCCGCAGCCTGTGCGAGTAGTCCACCAGCGCGTTCACCCAGTCCATCTCGGCTGCGCGGCCCACGGTGTCCTCGCCCTCGCGGATGATGGTCGACGGGCGGTGGATCCACACCTGAAGGCCGCACTGCTGGCTCACGCGCTCCAGGAAGCGCTCGTTGGTCCACTTGGAGGCGATGTAGCCGTGCGAGCCGCCTGGGGGCGGGCTCGCGTCGGTGGCCGACACGGCGGGGAAGGTGGCGCGGCCTGGCTTGAACAGCGAGACGCCCACGGACGACACGTAGTGGATCGGGGTGCGGCGCGCCAGGCACATGCGCGCCAGGTACCTTGTCGAGAGCACGTTGGCGGCCTTGATGTCGCGGTAGAACTTGAGGTGCGACGTGTCGGCCCCGTTGTGGATGACGGCGTCGACCTGGTCGGAGATGGCCACGGCGTCTGCCTCGGAGAGGCCCAGGCGAGGCTCGCGCAGGTCACCCTCGAAGTACGTGACGCGGTCGTCCTGACGGAGGTGGGGGAGACGTGCGGCGAGATCTCGCACAGCTATGCAAATGACCTTCTTCACCTGAGGCTGGTTGTCGAGCAAGTGGTTTAGCAGGTGGCGCCCAAGCAAGCCGCTGACACCCGTTAGGAGAATCGTCTCCGGCTTGGCTTTGGCCACAGACGCGCCCAAGGTCTCCCCGTGGAGGGCGAGGTGTGCAAAATCTGCTGGGAGGGTGGACTCGGCCTCGTAGTCAATCTTGCCGGTATCATCGATGTTCTGCTCCTGCAGGGAGCTCCCAGAAGTAGACTGGCCATCCGTCGTCAGGTCTCCGGACTGGCTGGATGGCGAGACGTCACTGCCCGACGTCTCTTCCTCGGGAGTCAGACTGCCGCTCAACTGGGGCACGATCTCCGGTGGTACGTTCTCCGCGACGTGCTCAGCAATATTGACCATGGTGTCGTTCCCCATGATTTTCAGCACGGGCACGCTGACATGGTAGTGTTTCAAGAACCAGGCACGCACGTCGACGGAAATCAGAGAGTCCGGGCCGATCTCGCTGCTTCGCATCGCCATGAGGTTCTCATCGGGCGTACTCATCTGGAGCACGTTTCGCAATTGTGCCGCAAACGTGTCTGGTGATTATCTTGTGTTAGCAAACACATCATGTTGTCATCTCGCCCGGCAGGGTACCACAAACCTTTGATGATCTTCAGGAGTTCGGCCTCAGTCTTGCAGCCTTTCAGCATATCTGCTATCGTTACGTTGGTGGCCTGCCCAGCACTGTCTCCGCCGGATCTTGTGCGGTGGTTGACAAAGAACGAGAATTTGGGGTCTTTGCACCACCTTGGCCTCTCTTCGGCCGCTGCGTCGATGTCCAATAGCCCTGTGGAGACCTCCGGTCCATGTTCAGCATTGGGCAGACCTGCTTCGATGCCCTCTGCGAACAGCTGGTGGAGGTCCTCTTCTGAAAGGTGCATTAAGGCCGTCTTGGAGACGGTGAGATCGAGCGCCTTTCTGGACTCTCTCTCCATGTACCCAGCACCTGTGATGGTGTCAACGTTCAGAGCCTGTTCAGGTTGTCACACGTTAGCCTAGTTGCTGCAGGAGCAGTACTTCTCCCATCACGTTCATATTCTGTACATATGAGAGGCTTGAAACCCCCAACGGGAAATTCACTTACCGAGCCAGTCAGACCACGCTTCCTCCGATTCGCCGCCATGGCACATATGAACATGTTTGCGGCGGCATAGTTTGCTTGCCCAAGATTGCCCACGACACAGTTGATCGACGAGAAGAAAATGAAAAAGTCCAGGGGCTGATGGTCGAATATACGGTCCAGGAAGATACTTCCGAGCACGCCGGACAAGCCCACCATCCAGTAGGTCTTGTCACCCTTGAACATCTGTGTCGAGTCCAGCCTGGAGATCTCGGCCGACTGCGTGGGGGACGTTGTCCAATCCACGATCGTCGAGAGGCCAAAGTTACCAACGAACTGTCCGTTGACGTCTTCCAAGGGCGCAGGGGTGATTTGGCTGTGACTGGCCTCTTCCGAGTGAACTTGAGCGTATCTCCAAGCCTTCTGTGCCAGCTGGCCCAGAGTGTCGTCTGGCCTGCCCGTGGACGGGTTTCCATCAATAGCGTACAGCGTGTGAGCAGTCTCCTTGCGGATATGCGGGGGAACGAGACCCATCATCGTCGTCTCGTTCTCGGATGCGCGTTCAGTGAGCCCGACGAAGGCCCTGGCGCCTGCGGGAATCAACGGGCTGGCCTGTGCCCTGCTGAGGTAGGCAGGGATCGAGGAGTCTGAGGTGTACGAGACGCTTACTCCCTTCTCAACCGACCGGGCATCTATGGCCTTGGAGATGTGACTCGGTGCGTTGTGCACAGCGAGCGTCTCACCAGCGAACATGGGAGCACAAATCGCCTCCGCGGTCACATAGGCAGCCGCCGACGAGAGGACAGTGGCTGGCGACCGACCGGCTAGGTCGATAGGGATTGCGTCCTTGACGGGGATGCTGAGAATAGGCGTCAAAGATGTGACAAGGGCCATGTACGTCTTCTGTCTAGCCTTCTCTTCGCCAATGATGATGTATTTGAATCTCAGGGACGTCCTGCTGGCATAGGGGAGCGAGTGCGTGATCCGAAGTTGGATTGTTGGCTCCGAGCCCTCCAACGAGGAGCCGTAGTGGGACAACTTCTTTAGGACGAAGTCTCTTGCCGGACTGTACCGCAGCTGGACCGCAGCCGAGTCGAGTTCAACTTCATGCTGGATCGGGCGGAAGACAGAGTTGTACCTGTCGTTCGGCTCGGAAATATCACGAAGCCGTGCGACATTGGAACGGCCCGAGGCGTCCAGGAGGACCTCTGACTCCACGGTCCACAGTATATCGGTTCTGTCTTCGGCAACCTCAACCTGGAGCCTGAGCAGGGTCTCCGCGACTTGTCGCGCGTCGACCTTAGTCGCATCCGGCACGTCCAAGAATTGGAGACGCAGGCCTGGCGTCTCGAGCATTGCCGTGCGTCCGAAGCCAACCATCATGTTCGCATAGGGCTCGTCAGCTTCTCGGCCACTAGTGAGCCACAGGAGTGTCTTTCCGACCTCGAACATTTGTTTGAGGTCCTGCCAAGTGTCCGGCTGGATGTCGTCGAGGACTGCGCCGTCGAGGTCAGCGAGACTGACGACCGTGGACGTCGCGTCAATCAGGTTGTAGTCCACATCAGCCAGGGTCTTGAACACGAGGGTATCGGCAGCATGAGCTCCCAACAGCGACTACAAGCCGTGGACGATGGGCTCAGTCTCGGGCGTCTTGCCACCCACGATGACGAGCTTTTCGATCCGATTAGCATCGGGCGACGAAGACAGGGGCTCGCGCAGGAACTGGACCTGCTGGTCGACGGCCTGGGTGACCCAGACGTTGACACCGTAGACATCCTCCTGCGTCTGCCGTGTGATGGTGTCGATCCCCGAGAAACCAGTCTTCTTCAGTATGTGGGTCCACTCCTCGCCGCTGACGAAGGGGGTCAGCGTCCGGCCCTCATCACTACCGAGCCACCAGCCGTCCAGAGGCCCGAAGATGAAACCGCCGGTTGTGCAGTTGTGACTTCCTTCGCCAATGACCAAGAAACCACCTGGCTTCAGAATCTTCCGGATCCGGAGCAATGTCTTCTCCAGCTCAGCCGTGACGTGCACGACGAGGGAGCCGACAATGACGTTGTAGGAGTTGGGCGCGTAACCCTGCCCAAGCGGATCTTTCTCTAGATCGAACACCTTATAACGCATTTGGTCGCCATAGTCTGCAAAAATGGTGGCGGCGTTCTCAAAGAAGCCGGCGGACACGTCGGTAAAGGTGTAGGTGAGGAAGTTGTTCCCTAGCGCGGGCAACATAATACTCTTCGTAGCACCGCCAGTATCAGGGTGAGATTTGGCAGGTATGAACAGGCCATTCGGGCTACAGCACTGTAGATATACCATGTTCTCACTCTGAATTGCAAGATACTTGCTTACCTACCCGATGTTCGCGGCACCTAGAATACCGAACTTCAAGGCGTCTGCTTTCTTCTCTGCAATGGGCGGGTTGTTCATCTGCCGCAGTCTCTGCACAAGTCCCAGAAATGAAGCCATCGCTACACTCGACGTTGGTTCGATACCAGGAGGCTCGGCTTGGCCGTCATTCAATCATGATAGGGAATGCAATTCAAACAAGTTAATGCGTGCCACCGCCATGCCATGAAATGAGAACCTGCCCGCGGGCGACGTCCTTCCACGACGAACCCCCCCCCCCCCGGGGGGCCGGAGGTGCTTCTATTCCTGCATTAGCACATATGCATGAAAGACGGTGTTGCATCTATAAGATGGTCGGTTGATTGCCCAGGTATGCACGTCATTCCTGGGCCGCAGTAGTTGCGGGCTACGGCTGCACGTTCGGAGTTGGCGTCAGCCTTGTCTTACCGAAGTACCTCTTTTGGTTTTGGAGGGTACCGTGATTCGGCCTCGGATGCCTTTAGAAATGCGGCCAGCTTTATGTCCGCAATGTCCGAGCCCGAGGGGGGTGCCACTCGCAGACGGGATTAACCTTCAATGTTTGAGATGCACAGGGTTTTGCAAAGTACCAGAATTAGGTATCTAGATGACAACGCGAGTGGCATACGGTGTCACTCTCTAGAATTCCATAGACGAACTATGGCCACACATGGCCTATAGGCTCTTCAACACACGCTACGCCTATCAACCAGAAATCTCAGCGATAGGATGTTGATTCGGCTCCAGTCTACTGTCTTCAGAACTTCCTCGCCGTGACTCGCATCCACTGATTGCTGATGTAAAGGATGGTGTAAAACTCGACGACCCACGGTTTTGTCACGTTGATCAGCTGGAAGTCGAATTCTCGCAAGAGCTGTTAGGAAAAGGCATATGTCAGCATGAATAAAAGCAAGCTTATACCAAAGGCCCGGGGACGACGGGTATGACAGGTCCAAACTCGAAACATGGAATACGGGCCTCGACGTAGACTTTGTTGAGCTCCATCACGGCCAGCGGCTTGCCAGAGCATATGTACCGACCATGTCCGAAGGACAGGTCCACTACCGAGGTCATCCTGTCGCGCTGGGCTGGTGAAACCCCCAGCCAACGCTCCGGGCGGAAGACGTCCGGGTCGGCGCCGAATAATTCCTGCACATAACGAGAATTAGCTCAATCTTCTGAAGACATGCGCTCCGGTCGAACCTGCGATGGAACTGACCTTGTTGCGCAACAGACCGCGCTGGTTGACGGCAATCTTGGTGCCCCCGGGGACGAATTGTCCAGCGAGCGTGTCGCCATTGGGAGGGACCACTCTGGGGAACGTGCCGATATTGATTGGGTGGTACCGCCGCGTCTCGTGGATGACGGCCTGCAGATAGGGCAGTGCCTTGGCCTCGGCGTTGGTGATGGGGGACGAGATTTTGCCCTCCGCAATGCCTTGGTTAATGTCCTCCTGCAGACGATGATAGGCGTGTGGGGTCGTGGTGAGGAAGAGCATTGTGCAGCGGATCGAGATGGCGGTGGAGTCAGATCCGGCGATAATTTGTAGGAGGGCTTCCTGCTCTACTTGAGGTTGGGTCAAGCCACTCCGAACGAAGGAACCCTAAGTAAATACTATACGTCAGTCCTTGTAGGAATCAAGTATTGAGTGCAAAGCTTGAGGATTTGCAAGCATGTCTGCCTGGTCCTTGGCATCTGAGTTGAATCTCTTGGACACGGCCTCTTTGGACAGCCTGCATAAAGAATACACGGGTCAGCTTCCATCTCAGTCCTTTTCAAGACACACCATCTATATCACTCACCGCATCAAAGGCCCAATACCCCTGGTATCCGTAGTCTTGGGCCCGATGAGCGCCAGAACAAACTTTGAAGTAAGGATAGCCCTCAAGATAGGGACTTTGGCGCATAGCGACATGAACTTCATGCCGGCTTTGGAGGACTCCACAAAGTCGTGAACATCTCGATTCGCCTCGATACACTCAAAGCTTTTGCCATAAGACACTCTCTAGAGCGTGTCCAGAGTGAAATACTCGGCCACGTTGCCCCAATCCATGGGGCGCGTGTCCTTATCTGTAGAGGGATAGGTGGACCGCAGCAAGGCCTTCAGCTCGGCGAGGGTATCGTTGATGGAGCTCTCAATGGCCGGGATCTCCCGGAGGGAGTAGCCGCCGTTGGTGCTCGACTTGACGAACGTGTGAAATGCATCGTCGGTGGTGCTGATCATGTTCTCCTCGTACGGATTGACGCGGAAGCTATGATACCAACTCGATCTTCGGTAGCCCGCACGTACGCTGTTGATCTGCCGCACGACGCCGGCGTCGTCCGTCACGAGCATATCAGGGGCGACGCGAACCAACGGACCGCCATACCGTTCCTGTGTTTCCTCATACTGGATGTCTGCTCGGTCCGACATGACAGTGCGGACCATCCAGAGGCGCGAGATTGATGCCCAAAAGGGACCTCGAAATTTGCGTAGTCGGTACCATGTCAGGAATGTGGATGCCACATAATATAGGATGCAGAGCCCCCCAAGAGTAGGAGCTAAGACCCCTGAGCTTAGGGGTTGGAGCGCCGACAGTGCCATTTGGAGTATCAGCTTTGTCAAAATGTTCTCACTCCAAGGCATATGCCGACAGTGAAGAACAATAATGGATACGGAGATTGTGTGAACTGGACGACTTGATAAGCTCAGTATGGCCATGCTGCATGTCAGTGTGGGGTTACCAACCTAAGGAGAACTTTGGAAGTTTGCGGGTTGTAAGAGCTCCCTCAAAGTAGTGGTACGACTATTGTCAGCCCGGTTGGTGTGCTGATCTTGTAAGACTCAAATGCCCTGGAAGATGGACATCGGCTTCTTAGCTGCATCGGAGCGGGCTTCCTTTCACTGGCAGGCGGATGTCTCATGCATTAGGTTGAGGGGATCTGCACGTCAGATAGGACACCAATGCAGACTTAACCAATACGAATAGCCCGTCATACGGACAAATTCATTTCTCTGGCGTTTTCTCGTAGTGCGATTCTTCCGGAGCTGTGCCGAGGAATTGAACTTGAAATGTGGTATGATGAAACTGAGCCCCCCTTGCATAAGTATGGGTGTGAGCTCCTTTAAAGTCGAGAGGCGATCCACGGCCAGAATGTCTTGAAGTCCAGCTTGTGTTACCATTATGTACTTAACTCTTCTACGACTAGTTCTGCGTTGACACAAAAGGAAAGCTGCCCAATTTTGCTAATACACAAGATCGGAAATCCTGACTGCACGTAATTGTAGGTACGGACGGACCTGTTCCTCAGTCCATTCCCAGAACTTCGCCGTTCCCCCAGTGCCACCCTCCGACTCTGGCTTCGTTGCTAAGTTCAGGTCCTGCCTGACAGGATATGTACGACCGAATGGGACGACTGGCAGAAGAGAATTAGCCACGATCTACGGTGTCGATTCAAACATAGGCGAGGAGGGGAAAAAGGCTTACCCCAGCACCCAGTCTTGCTGAGGGTGATATCCCGCGAGAGGCCACCGAACAGTTCCGTGTACGCTCCGTTGACCGGTGGGTACATCAAGATCTTGACAAAGATCTTCATGAGGAAGCCTTGGTCACGGTACAGTTCGGACTGAAGATTGCCTGGATTCAGGGGCACGCTTATGACGCCGTTGGCCTGCGGTCGCAAGGCATACTCTACGCCGTGGGCCCAGTTTCCCACTTTGCTGTACCAGTACCGCTCGCTGCCAGACTTCTTGGCCATGGTTCCGGTCTTCATTTCTGGCGTGGCACCGATGTTCTTCTCAGCGAACATTTCTCCCGCTACCGAGGATACCCACACAACGCGTACTGTGTTCGGTGGCGCCCTATTCTCACGAGGATCAGTCGGTACTCAGGTAATAACGTTGAATAAAACAAGGTGGAATGCGCTGCTATGGGGAGTGAGGGCGACAAGTCTTACGATTGGGCAGTCGATACTAGCACGGGCGTGAGCAGCTTCGCCGGCAAGAAGCCACCTAGCACGTTGACGCCGACGTGCTGCTCATAGCCCTGGGGCGTAGTGGTTCCAAAGCACATGTAGCTTGCTCTCCTGGGCGAGGAACTGCTCCACTGTGCGCTTGATGGAGGCGAGGTCCGCGAGGTCCAGACGCAGGTATTTCAAGGCGCCGGTGGAAGATGGCACGACTTTCTTGATGGCTTCGATGGCCTGTTTAGTCTTGTCGGCCGATCGAGCCAGCATGTAAACAGAGGCATTTCTTGGAGTAGAGTATGCGTGAGAATTCCTTGCCTGGTGAGAATGATTAATCAGTGGGGGACATGATGCTTGTAGAAGTGACTATAACCCACCAGCACCGGCATTTGCACCGGTTACGATGTAGACCCTACCAGACAGGTCACACAAATCTTTCTCCGTGAAGCTGGGCTTCGGCGGGAACGACTGTGTCAAGTTGCTCTTGATCGGCATGGTGATAATTATTCGTAGATAAGCAGCGGAGATGGGAGCAGAGTTGGAGTGAAAAGCTTGGAACTTGCAACGCGGAACCCTTCGAATCGAGTCGAGTCGCCTTTGCTCCCAACATACCAGGACGCAGATGGCGTGAGGAGGGGCAGGCAGGCCCCTCATAATTTGGAGACTTCTGCGTACGGAAACTTTTGTGACACGTTGGGTGGTGCCTGGCATGCAGTTCGAGTTACACAAGGCTGGCTTGGAATTCGAGTTACACGAGGCTGGCACCGGTGGGCTAAACTGAGTTGGGATCCTGGCCCCTGTCCGGAATGCCTTCCGATGCCTTATGCAGTCAAACGGATCGTAAGCTGCACGTTCGGAGGTCACATACAGGGGTTCATCATGAGGGGGCCCCAGTAGTTACAGGCAACGGAAAGTACTCCGCAGACGCTTCGTGCGTCTATTGAATACACGCAAAAGTTCAAAGCTGCACGTCCGGGTATTCCGTATAGACCGAAGGGCCGCTTCCATTTACAGCACATAGACCATACGTATCCAGATATTTCTTTTTAATGGCCACCCCTGCTTTGTCATTAATGAGCTTACCAGGAGGCACTCCAATGCATCGGGCACCGAAACCAGCAGGATTATAGTACTTTTACGTAGCGGTTCGCCACGTGCAGGGAGGTGCAGACGGGGCTTTGGAATGACAGCAAGCCAGGGATAAATGTCATATGCTTGTTTATTGTCTGCGTTCGGCACCTTATCTTGGCTTTATAGAACTAAAAGGTACCTGCAATGCCAGCAGCATGAGATAACCTTAGGACTGTATACTGGCTCCCTAACATTCAACAGTAGAGGGATTCCGGGTCCCCAGATGCTGCCTACGTAACCAGATGCTTGAGCATGTACTTGAGCACATATGAGTGGCAAGTAGATCCCGTCCGACTGCATCAGAGACACGGCCAATCAATGTTCTTGAATCCCGAGGGACTAGACCCAGCACCTGCCAGTGTAAAACAACACCAACTGCTTGTCTGGAGTATAATGTACTGTACCGTAGTGCCATGTGCAGACCCTAAGGATTCATCTGCATTGTACATGGTTCGCTTATTTGCATGATACGCAGCAGTATTATGCAACAAGATTAGTTTCATGCGTATGTAGACAACATGTAATTACAAAGTGTTGGTCATGGCCTGGGAATGAGCAAGCTGGCAGTGTGCATAGCCTTTACAACCAACGGACAACCAAAATTAGATGACCTTGCGTAGTTTTCCTAGAGAATCTCATGTGATCATCCTATTCCTAAACACAGCCAGCGGAGGCATGGTTCCGCTGTTCCCGGCGGCTGCCTATTCGAACGAGTTTCAACTCTACAAACTGCTGAAAAATCCTTGCGCTATTGGAGACTTCCAGCCGCCAGCCATACGAATGAAGGACAAGACTGCTACTTAGTAGGAAGGACGCAGGAGTCGGAGCATGTCCATAGTGGGGCTTGACAAATTGGCGGCAGCAAATCACCCAGCAAAACGGCGAGTGGGCAGGCCGCAGTTTTAGGCCCAGACGCGCCAGCGAATCGTGAAGAAAACAAAGTCACCGCAACACAGTGCGTCTGGTCAGATAGACAGGTATTTTTGAAGAAAGGGGGCCATCTGGGCCTATTTATGTCTGACCCTCTCGGCCCGAAGCGAAGTGGGTGGGTGCCAGGCGCCACAGCCGCTGCCTCACCAGGCATAAGTCAGGATTCAAGTAAAAGCCAAGAGCAGTAAGTCTCATTTAGAACATTGCGAGTGTATGTGGCACTGCATGGAGAAATGAAGTCTATCTAGTACAAAGAAACTTAAATAACCGGTACCCAACCGCATTTACACAGAGAATGGTCCGATCGTCTCCCCTCGGAGCTTTCCCTCTTTCTCCAAGGCACTGTTGATGTTTTGCATGAGCGACTGATGGATCATACGGAAGTCTGTGGTGTACGTTAGCAATATGACTTGGAAGCGGCATCAAGGAGTTTTTCATACCCCAAGCCGAAGACATGCAAGCGTAGATGCCCCAAACCCAGAGTGTTTTGCCATCGCTGATCTTGCGGACATCTATGGTATCCCACGCACCACCAACGATTCCGGGCCCGCTCTCCCCAGTATAATGGATCGGTACGTCGATTAACTCAAACCGCTCGAAGAAACCCTTCCTCAGTCGTTTGTGCGAGAGGTACTCCCCGCCCGAGTAGTCAACAAACTCAGTCAACAGCTCGGTGGTGGCGATCGGAGCCCCATTCTTGAAAGGATTAATGCCGTTTTCAGGATTTATATGGCCGTTTGCATATAAATCAAGAAATAGGTATTTCCTTTATTAATTGCACGCAAACGGCAGAGTGCTTGGAAATAACTATACCCAGAGATGGAAAGTCTGCAAATAAATAGTATGGGGATTCCCCCTCTTCTGGTAGCAAAATATCATCTCTCTATCGCCACTAAATCTAAGACCCATCGACCTCGCCCTGGAGTATTCGAGTCGGGTTGGTAGCATTGCCGCCGACTCGGGCCGGACTGGCACCCTGCCAGGCTGTATCGGTGACTACGATTTGCCGTTAGCTAGGTGTCCCAGGGTAGGGGACGGAAGGCGAAGTAGTGAAGGGGAAAAACCACTGACAGTTAGAGATGAGCTCCGTCAGATCCCCGGTATCAGCGAGAAAGACGGCATAAGTTGTTGAGATTTGGTAGAAGGTACCGTCCGGGCAGACACACGCCTCGGGTGTCGAGCTGCATGCAGGCAGCGAGGTGTTTGAACTCCGCCGGAAATTCGTGGAGCTCGGAAACGCAGCGCCGATCGCTCAAAGCGCGGACAAGACAAACAGTGCGGAAATCATGCTGGCTGTCAAGAAAACGAAAGACAAACAAAGCCTACTATAGTTGACAGACTCGAGAGATCATGAAAACACTGCACGGAATTCTCGCATTCTCACACTTGAAATATATACATGCACATATCGACATTGATATATATGAACGTGTATAGCCCCCATGAACTTAAGGCATAATTACTTTTGGTTATTGAAGGAGTTGATTATTCATTGAAGGACTGAATTATTTCAGCCCCGTTGCGCCACTCATGTCCTGTATTGGAGGATTGAGGCGCTGCCGCCTCCCAAGGAAGACCTTGTGTAACTGCTGAACGAGGCATTACTCTGGATCAAATGATGTTCATTTTTGGGTATTGCTGCAGTCAGCCGGACGGATTCCCGATCACTTCGGAGGTTGTTGGTGACAAAAGCCTGTCAGCCCAGTAAGATTACTTGAGTATTTGAACCGCTCAAGCCACATATATTTTTAATCATGATCTACTCGAGGGATCCCGTAGGCTGTTATCTGTGCTGTGAACTGAGTCCGCATTTCATAGCCCCCTGGATGCTCATTCAGCCTGCTCAGCTCCGCGAGAACGTCAACGTTGGCCGAATCCTTCTTCGGCAGGGGATGGTAGGGGTGTTTACTGGACCAGACGATGCATGCAACCTCCTGAGGTCAAAACCCCGTTGTGTGCTGTGTGCGTCTATGATCTTGGAGATATCTCATTAAACCCTACTGGTAATGGAGCTTCCTTCATTTGTTGCTCGTTGCTGCTTCAGCATCTGACTGGTTTGTCTTCTGGGTGGCTCTTGGAGTGAATGTGTAGCAGACCCTCAAATTACCAGAAATCAGGGCTTGTTTTGTCTCTGTGCTGTCAATGAGCAAAGGCTAGGTCCAATCAATTACCAAGGTTCAAGACTTGTCTTTTCGCCGCTCCTCTTTCTGATTCCAAAACTCACTGGCAGAACACCTGGAGAAATTGCCCCTGGACTACGACACCACTAGTCAAGCAAATAACCATTGAGAGCAAGCTTTAACGAAAATGCTATCTTTTCAGGGTAAGCTGAACTACCTTCAAGTAATCTAGGCTCAACAGTTAGGAGGCACTGCTTCTATATCAAGTAACAAACGCAGTACATTCTGAGCCGGTGCTTGGGTCTCTATCCAAAAAAAAAAAAAAAAAAAAAAAAAGCCTCCTCTTCCGAGGACCGCGAGAGGGTGCAGTTCTAATGCCACTCGGCGTGTATATTTCCCCTATTTATTAGACTCAAATTCATGGATGATATCTTTCACCTTGTCCAGCAACTCATTTTTGTATCCTTTTCAACCTCGGTCGTCGCGTCCAACCTATTTCACGACTTCTAGATGTCCTTTTGACTATCATTCATTATTCCTCCCACCCTCTTCATCAGCAAAAAGTCATCGACAGCGTTGTCCACTATATGGGATGTCCGAATAGTGCTTTTTCTCCCTCCATTCCCAGTCTTGAGGTCCCAAACCGCTTGCTCGCTAGGGGCGCATTGGCGAAAATGAGGATAGCTGCTTGTTTCTGCCTACTGAGTAGTATCCCAATTAACAGAACCTTACGGATTTTGGCACCAAGAACGTGGGGTTTGACTCTCTCCTTGTGAAGATAACATCGTTTGGCTCCTTGATGTGATCCGTGGAGCAGTTGGCTTTGGCCTGCAGCTAATTGTAGAGATTTAGGATTTGATGCTTTAGCCGAGCAACATTCGCAAGGTGGCCCTTTTGGGCAGCTTTTCCGGATGCAGCTTGGGCGACGCAAATGAAGAGTTGATCTTTCGGCGACAAGCTCCCCGTCTAAGAAGAAAGCGATGCAGTTTTCAAAACCACTTGAGAGCTTCCGGGCGGCTGGGACGACCACCGGATATTCCCAGCGTTGGAGTCCACCGCAGCGTAGCAATGGCTGCACCCTGTCGCTTGTGGGGACAACGTTCTACACCGCATGGGCACACAGCAGCCAATGGCGGCAGGCCTGTTGCGGCCCCTGACATGCAGCTCGGCGTCTACAGCACCTGCAGGAGAGGCTGGCATGCGGTGTCAGTAGACTCACAACAGAGCATGTACTTATCCGACGTCGGCAGCAGGACCGACAGACATTCGACAACCTCTTGGTCGGCATAGCCTCAACAAATTGCGTCTGCTTGACACCGACGCTTTCTTGTTTCGACTCTGGGCTCTGTTCTCGGTTCCTGGAGTTGTGAGCAAGTCCTGGGTGAACGTCTCCTTTGCTGTGGGGTGTCATGCTTAATCCACAAATAAGACTTTGATGAGACGAGGCGATAAGTGCTTGCCCGCCTGACGGCGCTCAACATCATCGGCAAGCTGACAGCAATATCTTCCAACTCTGTGGGGCGAGGCGACACGACAAGTGGCGGGGTTGTTCTAAGGTGCGCAACGAATCCGCCTACACGAGGAGCTTTAGTGTTCGACCCTTACCTGGTCATGCGAGCCTCGATTATGGGTGCACAGCAATGTTGTTTGGGCGTCATCCGGGTACCATTCGCCAGCATCTCGGGCCCCACGAGACCAGCCGCCGAGCAGGGAACGGGGGGAAAGCATTACGAAACTTGATGTTGGCCGTGGCTTATTGTTCTCTGAAACCAACAGTTGCCAATCCGTTCATTCCATGGACCTACCGCCCACTGTCCCGGACATCATCTCCCTCTAAGCGAGACAATGGTTACACGTCGTGTTCGGCAGCCCCGCCCGTGCTGCTCTCATAAGCCTGCAGAGCCTGTGCTTTGAGAAGGAAATCTCGGATCGATGGGCACTGATGTGGATTGTCTGCACAACACGATGCTGTGTGAGACTGCAGGTCACGAGCTTTCGCAGGGCGCCGCTGCTAAACACGCTTTGCAGATCATTGCAGCTATTGCTTGGAACCTCGACGCAATTGGAAGCAAGTGTGAGAGGACCCAGAACGCCCCCATATTTGCAATTGATGGTTGAGAACATCCCCAGCAAGCAGTGGGACAATGTGACGGAATCTGCAGCGGATGAGGATGATGGGCACGCGGCGGGCAGCCGCCTCGCAGACAAGCAGACAGCCGCTCAAGGGGAAGTTGCTGACATGGACGATGTCTTACCGCGCTTAAGGACATTTTCTCCGGCGGACCAGCCCTCTGGCGATAGCTAATGCTCCGCTCTTCAGACAACGGAAACGTGAGATGCAAGCCACGATCGATACTGTCCCTGCCCGCAGAGATCGTCTGCACGAGATCGAAGACCGTCCGCCGCGATACCAACTTAATCCCTACCACTGGCGGCCGGGGAGGGGATCCGATGGTGCAACGAGGAATCTGGGAAAACCGGAGGACGGCGATCAAAGCCGAGCATTGACTGGCCACGGTTGACGAGTACACACGCGCTGAGATTTGTGGCGTGCCTGTTTCGTGAGCCTGTGTATCGTCGGAGCCGTTCTGTGGACATCCTGGGCACCTTCACGATCAAATGTCAGTGGCAGAGTGGTGGACGGCCTTTGCCGTGCTCCGGCGGAATGTCCCTCTCCTCCCAAATTCGGGGCAACATTGGGAGAGCTCTGGCAAGCTTTGACGGACACCCGAACGGAAGCAAGTCCTTTGCCGAGATTTGCATTGACAATACTATCTATGGAGGGATTTGATATTTCGAGGACAAGAGGCAAGGACGAACTCGAAGTCGAGGGTAGCCTCCACATACACGCTTCTGGCTGGCTCTTGCATCGCTGGCGTCCTCGGAACTGGCTGAGAAAGACGTCGAACTCTCGGCGCCTTCCGACCATGTATGCGCTGTGAAAGGGCAACGAGAGACGAGCATCCTGGCAACTGCTACCAAGCATCAAGTGACGCCTGGTCGGGTCTCGCATTGCGGTTTTGGCCACGGTGCTTTGCTAACATGTCTAGCCTGGCCCAAGCAGGCTCTTTTTCGTCTCAGTCGTTAGTGTCAGATCTAAGCCTGTGCTTGTGAAGCGTGTGCAGGTGTCCCCTTGGTCTCAACGAATCGTCTCGGGCTGTGATCCGACAATGTGCTGTCAGCCTGTCTCGCAATGCTCGCACCATCACACCCACACCCACGTGCACAATTCGGTGTACTTGCACTTATGTGATCGTGCTCAGATGCCCAGGCGCGCATTACGGAGAAGTCATCATCATGTGGAAGAGGAGATGTGCGCTGTGGAGGACAGGAAGTCGCCGTCTGCGGGCTGCAGGCACAGCTCCTCTCCTCTCCCGTGGTTGATTCGTGGGATTGCTGTTTCGTTCCTGCCTCGTCGGGACCTGCTCTTGCTCCTGCATTTGCTAGTTGCGTCGGATCACTGTCGTGCCTCCCCTCCATCTGCCTCCTCGCATGGTGGCTGTCTGTGGTCCACTCGCGCCTTCCTCCCAGAGCATCATCTGCCCAACATAACACTGGACGGCCCAAGGCAAAACCCACGCTCCTTTCTGGCCGTGCCTTTTCATCCCTGGTGGTCTCTTCTTTTCTCTCATCTCCATCCTCTCCAGGAGTCAACAACCAGCAGTCTCTGTCCTCTGATATCTGACCTCTTTGTCTCGTGTGCCCGGCACCCTGAGCATCTCAACCAACTCCCAAAGCCACCCCTCAGCATCAGCCACTGTACCGCGACCGCCTCTATCCCCATCCTCACGATTGAAGCACCAACATCCAATTCAGCTCACAACTCTTCCCAGCCAACCAGCCACAATGCCTCCTCGTCCTTGGCAGAGGGGATCCGGGAATGGCCCCGACTCTAATGGAGAGGCTCTGATCTCGCAACCTCTGGGTCAGCGTTTTCCAGCCCCGGTCAAGGCTCACATCGCCGCAGCCACCAGCGAGTTCGTTGGAACCTTTCTCTTCCTTCTGGTCAGACTTTCTGTGTCCTTCTTCACATGGCTTGCTATGTTCAAAACTGGGCTGAGAACTGACTCTATCCAGTTCGCGCTGGGTGCCACCCACGCTGTCAACACGTCTCCTTCCGCCTTGGGAGGAGTAGTCGATATCGCCAGACTGCTCTACATTTCCTTGGCTTTCGGTATTTCCCTGGCTGTCAATGTCTGGTAAGAAGTCTCACTCCTCACTGCTCCCAGTCAAAGGCACCACGATCTGTCAACTGGAAGTTGGGCCAAGGAATCCTGCCTTCGGAGTGTCGCACCTCGGCTGAACAGCCGGTATGGCGCATCGCCGACTCAGTCCCCAGACTGATTTCCTGTCACAGGGCATTCTTCCGCATTGAGGGCGGCATGTTCAACCCTGCCGTTGCCATTGCCATGTTCGTCACTGGTGGTATCGGCCTGCTGCGTCTGGGCTTGGTCATCGTCGCCCAGCTTCTCGGTAGCATTGCTGCCTCGGCCCTTGTCGTTGGTCTCCTGCCTGGTGACGGCATCGCTGCTACGACTGGTCTCGCTAACGACACCTCTGTTGTTCGTGGCCTCTTCATCGAGGCATTTCTGACGGCGGAACTGGTCTTTGTCATCTTCATGCTGGCAACTGAGAAGCATCGAGCGACCGCTGTGGCTCCTGTCGCCGTTGGACTGGCTCTGTTTATTGCCGAACTGACGTGAGTAAATCAACCCGTTGTTGCCACCATCCAGCTGACGTGTATCACAGGGGCGTCCGGTACACCGGTGGCAGTCTGAACCCTGCGCGATCCTTCGGTCCTGCAGTCGTGACCCAGGGGGGTTTTCCCGGCTACCACTGGATCTACTGGCTCGGTCCGATCCTGGGCGCCTTACTTGCAGCCGGGTTCTACAAGTTCGTCAAGGCGATGGAGTTTGATCAGATATCCCCCAACATTGATGAACCAGCTCCCAAGAAATCCGGCCCACCAGCCGGGAGCAATGGAATCCGCCATGAGGAGGGTGAAGCAGCTTAAGTGCTGGAGTTTGATCTTCATTTTTCTGTGATGCTCTGCAGGACACGCTCAAAGCCTTGGTCTCTTCTATTCTTGTGGTATCTTGCCAGTGTGGCAGGACTGACCTTTACGTCACATTATCTCACGACTAGACGACACGTCATGGACGGTGGTGTTCGGACTGTGGTTGGGGTTGCGTTCCACCCACCGGATCGACGGACGGGTTCGACATTTTTACTATCGTTGGTTTTCTTCATTGCTTTCTGGCTGTTATACCCCATGCTTTCACCACATTGAACATACGGATACCGACAAATCAACTGCCTTGCTATTCTCAATACAAGTCTTTCACCTTCTCAGCGTCCTTTGCGTGTTCCGTGCCGTCAACGCCAATACTCAACGCTCTAGTCTCTGCAAACTCCTCCACTGTGCTCTCGGCCTTTGACCTTAGCACCTGCCAAGCGACTGCGCCCAGAGGAAACCTCAGTGGAACTGGCTTGCCGCGCGACGCCATTTCATAAATGGCCTTGGACATGGCCTCGGGCCGCGACCAAGATTTGCGAGCTTCAGGGTTGTCCACATAGGCCGCGAGAATTCGCGCCGGGCTATCTGCGGCGTCATAGGCAGGGTGTTTGGCCAGAGTCGACATGCTAGATGTCGCGTAATTAGTGTCGATACCGCCAGGCTCGGCAATGGTGAAGTGAACTGTCTCCATATTAGCGGACTGCTTCGTTCGATCCATAGTCTGTGATAGACAGGAGATGTCAGGTACTTACTATTCCAATGAGGCCGCACCTCGCGCCTGACACTCTCCGTAAAGCCCTCGACCCCGAATTTGGCAGCATGATAGTAGGCATTGCCAGGGAAGGCCATGAACCCACCCATGGAGGAAATCTGTATTACAAGACCCCCCTGCTTACCACCATTCCTAGCATTGTCCTCACGCATAATGCGCATCGCATGGAGGGTCATGGTAGCGGTGCCCCAGAAGTCGGTGTCCACTACGGCGCGGGCCTTGGAGTGCTCCTCGTCTGAGGAGTTTGGCACCGCAGGGGAGTAGGGCAGGGAAGACTCTGTGTCGCCCATCAATCCGTGGCCGGCGTTGTTCACTAATATCTTGATTAGACTCGGGTTGTTTGGGAAGGATGCTCAAGTAGCGAGATGGTGGGGGACTGGGGAGGACGCTCTCGTGGACGTACCGAGGACATCGACGCGTCCGAAATCAGGGTGCTCGAGGACCGTCCCAAGGGCTGAAGTGATGGAGCTCGGTGAGGTCACGTCCAGCGCAACGACCAGCACGCGGGAACTGGAAGGAAGGAGGCCCTTGATCTTGGCTGGGTTGCGGGCAGTGGCCACGACACGGTGCGCTGGGTGGGCGGCTATGAGCTGGGCCAGGGACAGGCCAAGGCCGGAGGAGCAACCGGTGATGAGCCAGACCGCATCGTCAGGGAGGGTGTAGCCGGCATTGTTGGGGCCTGTGAGTGCGATGTTGGAGAGACTTCCAGATGGTGGAGTCATGATTGGTGATATCAAATGGAGATGGGCTTAGCGTTGCGGTTATTTGGCCCGAGGGTGTGCTTGGTCTTTGTGGGAACATCATGAGGGCTGCTGTTTGTTCTTATACCATTTCGACCAAGGCGATGTGCAATAATTGACCCTGGCGGAATGCAGCTCCCACTGGCGACGATACTGGTACCAGCCAACAGACGCGGCCGATCCGCAGGGTGGACCGCGGAGAGGGTCCCGCTTAGATGGAGCTCTAACAAATTGGCTATCGTTTTCAGTTGGTGCAAGATAGCATGCTATTTGAAGACAACGCGCGAGTCTCCCCAGAGACGGCCGCCGGCCGCTGCGGGCAGGGCCGAACCTAGCGGACCCGACTGCGGTATCGCCGTGCGGCCGCATCTGCCGCCTCGGAGTTTCGCGATGACTGCTCCACAGATATTAGCCCTTCGTGACAAAGCGCCACAAACTAGTATGAGGTGGGTAAGCGCTCTGGTCGCTCGGCCGTCGTAACGTAAATTGGCCGAAAATATGATCGAGAGGGCCAATCATCTCCGAGATCAATTGGCTTCTGCTCCTTTGTCAAGCGTACCAGAAGGCCGGCGGTCCCAAGCCCCGAATAGGTCTTTTCACCTGGACCGATTGCCTCCTGCGCTGGCAAACTCGCCCGAAAAATATTTTCAGGTCGGTTGAATTTGGACAATTGAAAGATTCATGAATTAATGGCCACGGAGTGGTCATACAGGCAGGCACATGGTCAGCAGCTGGGCTCATGTAGTCCGGATAAAGGTCTTGGATTGCTCTCAATCTACTGGTCGGCAGTCTCTATGCGTGTGTCCCCGATCCAACACAGTACGGGACCGGGTAGGCTGTGCTATTGCAAAGTCGAATGGGTCCAGTGACCCATTGCATCCCAGTGTACTCCTGTGTCGAGTACGTGGTCGTCTGCCACGGCTCGTAGCTCGGGGAGTCCACGCATCCCGAGATATAGTTTCCCGTGACGCGACGAATGTACGGGTTGCTGACGACAAGCCCGTACTGCCCCTGGGGGACCTGGAACGTAAACGTCTGGTCATCACTCGTTGTCCAAGTCCAAGTCCCTTTGCCTGGCATGTCGACGCCAAGTAAAGTCTCCAGGAAGGACCGCGAGATCACGTTATTTCCCTATTGATTCTTGTCAGCCATGCTTGCCGAGCAACTTAATAATCCTGAGAGGTGAGCCTGGATCACGTACGTAGGCACTGTTGGCAACTGAATATCCTTTGGTTACGGCCACTGAAGCGCCAGTCGAGCCGATGTTTCCCACGACTGGCGACATTGCAACATCCCAGTCATTGAAGTTCGTGTCCTGTGATAAATGAGATCAGCCAGCGCCGTGGAAGTGTATGGAGAAATGTAGAGTAGACATGACTCGACGACTTGTCGACCGACCAATACATCTGACGGCTGACTAGGGCAGTTCGCGGAGTCATAATTGAATCGAGATTCCTACTCACCGACAGCACTTGATACTCTACACTCTCGTCACATCGACGTTGGTTTGCGTGGCTCTCTTGTCTGGTTGCAACGCGGACGGGGTCGACCATTCTGCCTTGCAGAGTCTCGCGTGCCTCTTTGAGCTCATATTCGTAGTCCTTCATTACAACAACCGAGCCATCACTACCAGCAACAATAACATCGTCATGCTGCAGCACTCTGGTTGTAGGCTTGGCACGACCAAGACCGAGCAAGGCCACGATAGCCACGCATGTCTGAGCCAGCATGTTGTCGCGAAATATATCGTTTTCGGGTGGATCGGTAAGGGCTCTCTTTGCCTGGAAGGCGAGGAGGTGCAGCGGCAATTCAAGACGGTGTAGGGGGATCGTGAGCCCTCGGGAGACGTGTCCAGAGCATGTAGATGTGACAGCCCTAAACGGAAATCAACTTCCGAAGTCTGCGATATTTGACTTAAAGAGCGGCTGAGGTCAGTTTAAAGGAGTGGATTGAGAGGATGCTCTCAAAGACCAACGAGGTTGGCCAGCGTCTACTTAATTATTAAGTGAGCGCAAGATTTAGACAAACATTTCGAAATGGAAACGGATTCTGCGGAAGCCGAACGTCTCTGGGGAAGGAATCAAGACGCGAGGGCGGGCGCATCCACTACTTTACGAGGTGCCCCGGGCGCTGCCTTCATCATCTTTGCACTGGGCTGAAGCATGGCTGGCAACACCAGCGAACCAGGTTTTGGCATGAACGGGTCCAAAGCCACGCTTCTACACCCGACGGGCCACGAACACGCAGAAACGAAATTCAGGGGGATAGGAGCGGAACAAGTGTTGGCTAACAGCCCCATCGGTGCCTGCGCCTGCAATGGAACATGATACCGATTTTGAACTAGGTTGTGGAGCTCTAACGGATGCCCAGTCCGGTGGAGCTCCTCCTTTGCTGAGAGGTATTCATCGTGAGCGGAAGAGGTCTTCCCGGTCGCTCAGATAGCAGCCTTGCACATCATTTAAGCTCACGTGCTGAATTGGACTCGACGTAAGTGCAAAGGCTTATTCTCAATACACTCGATGGTGTGATTCTTTTTCGCCGATCGGCTCGGGCTAGCCCTCCGTCGAGCTCTCGGATAGTGCCGATCCTCCGAGGTGGGTAACGACAGACGTCGTGAGAGTCATGATGCTGGTCGGTTCATTCGATTTACCTTCGCCGCACGTGCGGGTTTTCCGCATGGGGAAGTCCCTTTACCTAATTTGCGCCTCTGGTGTTTGGGGCTGGAATTCTGTCAGGCTCTTGGCGAACTGCGCAGAACGAAATACATTGCCCCCGGCCGACCCGTCACAGGGAATACCTCTGTATGATGATGTTCTGGACTCGAAGGGCTTGTCACGGACTCCGAGAAAAACGGCATCACGGCACGCATAAATGCCAGAGCTCTGACTAATGAGCACAAAAACATCCCATTGAGTTTATATTTAGGGAGGCCGGCTCGTTATTGCAGGCATACATGCAACAAGTAAATAGCAGGTAATGGCTAATATCACGCCTGAAGGGAGGGAAAGGGTGGAACGAGCGGAGGGATTATGTAGGCTGTAGTTTGACTCAATCACGAGAAAAAGCAATTGCGAGTCGCGAGACATATACATTTGCTGAAGCTATAATCGGCGCTGGAACTCCATGGCACCTGTTAACGTCCTGAGAAACAAACTCTGCACAAACGCTCGGGCCATACGTCTGTGGCGGCAAGGTGAGATATGGTGACTCTTAGCTTGCTATCATCAAGAGCCTGCAATGTTTACCATGTACGTATGTATCATTTACAGATCATGGCTTGCCCCTGTTTGAGAGTCGATCCTGCACACAAATGAGCATAGTCATGCCTCCTTTTTCGTACATGGCTTTTTCATGGCCCAACAGGTGATACAGCACACCCATATTGTGAGATGACCTGTAATTATTGATAGACAGGCTCCTCACAACGGCTCATATATCACGAAAAAGTCGATTACTTGCCTCAATGTCACTTCATTTTAGTAGTTATTGGCTACAAAGGCCAGGTAAAATGATGAACATGTGAGCTCCGTAATTTCTACTGCAGCCCGAAAAGCTAGATCCCAGTCCACGCCCACAATGGGACAACCATACTGCATCTTTGGTAACTTAGATCTGTCGTTAACAGAACACTCACCTTGGTATTGACACCAATCTTGTGGAGGCTTCCCTGGTTCCTGCAGTGTCTGTGAAAGTTATGCCTATGCCAGAGAAAGACTTCTAGGCACCCTCCATGGATGCTGTTAGTTTTATTCTCGAAGCCAATTCATATTGTTCTCCCTCAGCAACCCTGATGCACTACTGGAGGAACACTGATGATAATCTGTTTATGTTCCACGTTTGACTTTCGTTACAGTGTTGTTGATGATTTAACATGAAATCATCCCAGACCTACATATCGCCCTTAGAGCGATCACTATTAAGTCGTTGGATGTCCTGAGTCCATGTGGTTGGTATTCATATGCGAGATGGCAAAAGAATTTCAAGTATATGTCTTAACCCGGCCTCATGGCATTCAGAGGGTGGTGACATCGAGGACTACATCACTGATTACGATACTGGACCTATGAATCACATATCGTTGACCTTGAATTCAACTCCAACATACATGCATGCTGCAAAAACGCCATTCGCCTTCCAACCGCAAAATTGAAGTCTGTCACCAGGGGCCGGGAGCGTGGGCATAGCCACGCTCGATGAAAAGCTTCAACCAGGGTGTTCAACAGAACGCATATTCGACCATATCTTAGAATATGGGTGCTGCCGATAGATAACCTTGGCATATCACCCACCCTTCATGTGCATGTGGCTGCAACGGATCACAGGAATGGGAATCCGGAAGCTCGTCGTCCCGAGCCCATGCTGTACTACTAGTTGCGTCCGCCTGTCAGTACGAAGAACGCCCAAACAGCTAAGAGGGCAATCATTGTTCCAAGATTCACCGTACATGTGGTCCACGTGATTAGATCAGAAGCAATCCTGCCGTTCTCTGTCTCTACAATGTGCACTTTTGAAGGAAGTCTCTCTCGAGCCTATCTCCACAGACTTTTTAGTTTGGCCGAAACTTTCCACACCCAGATGTGACTGTACGGTAGGTGAGTTGGATGGATGGTTCTCAATTTTCTCGTTCAGGTGTCGAAACAAAACGGGGCCACATGACGTCCCGACACATCTGTTTCAGAAGCTTCTTCGAAGTCGTCGCCGAACCCCCACCAAGCCTTCCCGTGCTGTTCAAGCTTAAGCTCCGAGTATCAGTGAGCCGCATTTGAACATAAACCCACAAGCCGACCAACAAGCATAAATTACACGCCGGGGTAGAGCTGGATATTTGATGTGGTGGCATACACCACGCCATTCTGGAGGGGCACACCTCCATAAAAACGTCCTAGTATAGCCAAGATCCCTCGAGTTCAGCCGATCATCCAGCAAGTCAACTAGCTTGATGGGGATGTTCCATTGATGTCTCATCTCGAAATCACAGATAACAATACCGAACCCTATTGCTTGAAGATTAAATCTAAAGCCTGGCACTCATGCGTGCTACTGATTATTATCACAGCCAATGGTGCCTAATTTGTAGGCTGTGGCGGCAATGCATTCCTGTATGAAGCAAGAGGAACTGTCCAAGGAGGATATTCATGGACGGCGTGATGACAGTCCATCTTTCGCTCAGACATAACAAGCAGGCCTTGGACTGACTCCCCGATGCAGCCCTAATTTTGCCGTTGTTTCTCTGCTCCATTGATTCTTCTTTTCCTTGAATATCGATATTTGCCAGGACAACATGGCGCGGGATCGCTTGTCCTCTCCTAGCGAGACGCAGTCGGCAGTAGTAATTGAAGAAAACGGGATGGACGAGCTAAGGAAGGACTACAGTTATACCTCTTCGACAGAGATCACTCGAGAGAAGTCCCTCACTTCCATTCGCAGCGATGTTGAACGCGTGGGACCGGAGCCTCTGGTGGCCAACATGGAGGAAATGGCACTCAAAGCACTCCATGTTGATGACGACCCTACACTGAACCCCTGGACGTTCAGAGTTTTCTTTCTCGGTCTGCACCCTCCCTTCGCAATGTGGCTGCTGCCCATCTAATTGTGGTTACAGGTATTGGGCTGTCTGCCTTTGGTTCAGCGCTAGGGACCATCTTTTTATTCAAGCCCCAGAGTGTGTCTGTGTCGATAATTTTCCTCACGGTCATATCCTATGTTGGAGGAGTTGCTCTCGAGGCCATCGTTCCCCAGAAGGGGTTCATTGGCAGATGGTTTAACCCCCATGCGTAAGTCAGCGGCAATCCCCAACAGTACCATCCTGACCGGCCGCTAATATGCACGGCGCAAAGGTTCAACTCTAAGGAGCACCTTGCCATTGTAATCATGTCGAGCAGTGCAAGTGGGGCGGCCTATGCGACAGAAGTTCTGGCAGCGCAAAAGCTTTATTGTAAGTTGATCTGGACCCCTCTAGATGTTTACGAGCCACGGTAGATGACCGTCAGCTTGTGTTTCGCACGACTGTATCCCAAAACCGGAACAAAAAGACAATCACTAACCTCTCCGTCAAAAGACAATGTCGTCCCCGAACCAGTTGTTGCGATACTCCTGCTTTTCATCACAGCTACTTGGTTACGGCATGGCCGGTGTACTCCGCAAAAGCTTGGTTTATCCGACGAGAATGCTTTGGCCCTCGATCCTGCCTCTAAGCTCGTTAATCGAAACACTCCACCGAGAAAGAGCAGAGATGAAGAAAAAGTTCAACTTCTTCTGGGTTATTTTTGGTATTGTGGCTATCTGGGAGCTGTTCCCTCAATATATCATGCCAATCCTGGTTGGAGTTTCGGTCATCTGCCTCACGCAGCGAAACAGCCTTCTCGTTGCTAATGTGTTCGGCGGGTCCGCAGGCAACGAGGGGCTTGGGCTCCTGGTATGGGATTCTTCAACATCTCTTCTCTTGACTCAAGGATAAGTACTGATCGAGCGTCTAATTTTTTAGTCACTATGTTTCGACTGGCAGTACGTTGGCACATCATGCTTCTACCTGCCACTCCAGACTCTCACCAACGGCTTCATTGGGTACATAGGCTGCATCGGCCTATTCCTCGGGATGTACTATGGCAATGTCTGGAGCGCAATCAAGTTCCCTTTTCTATCCCAACAGCTTTTTTCGACCAACTCGACCTCGACCCTTTTTGAGATATACAACCAGTCCGCGATCCTGGACTCAAATTTCGAGCTGGATAGGAACGCATTGGAAGCACAGGGCTTACCGTTCTTCTCCGCTACGAATGGGGCTTATCTGCTGACCACAAACCTGGGCATCACCGCAACTATAACTCATATCATATTATGGAACCGTGATGCGGTCCGCAGCGCCTTTGATTTCGATTTCAAGTCCACTTTGACTTACATCAAACGCCCAAGCCTCCTATGGCAAAGGAAATCCGCACCGGTTTCTGAAACAGGACTTGATCCTCACTACCGCTTGATGCTTGTGTACAAAGAAGTACCTGCTTGGTGGTATATCCTCATCCTCCTCGTGTCCACGACTACAGGCATTGCCTGTATCTACGTTCTCGGATCGACGCTCCGTAAGTACCATCATTTTCCTTTCACGGTTCCCCGCCCGTCATGTTTTGGATTGTTCCAGAATGCATCACTTCAGGCTCCGCGGCAGGTGATTAACACGTACTCAGCATGGTGGGGTTTTATCATTGCCGTAACTCTTTCGTTCCTCGGCACACTGTTCTTTGGCGCAATGTCAGGTCTTCTCGGATTCCAGGTGCCGATCACATCGCTTATTCAACTCATCGGGGGATATCTGCACCCTGGAAAGCCCGTGGCCAATATGTTCTTCGTGTTATTTGGGGCAAATGCCCAGGCTCAGGCTTTGGGGCTGGTTGGAAGCCTCAAGCTTGGACAGTACGGAAAGTTGAGCCCGAGGTGCACTTTCACGTAAGTCAGCACCGAAGTGACACCCAACAGCATTGCAGCGAACTAACTCGGACGGATAAAGTATGCAAATCATCGGCACATTGTTTGGTGCTGTGATCAATTATATCCTTATGACCATCATTACAGAGAACCAACGAGAAATCCTTCTGTCCATACAAGGGACAAACATCTGGTCAGGCCAGGTGATACAATCTTTCAACTCCAACGTTAGTAATTCTCCTGGGCCTTCAGTCTACCTAATTCATCAGGTTGACCTTAATGTCAGGCAATTGCATTTGGAGCTCTTTCTGAGTTCATGTTCTCCATCGGGGTCAGTATAAGTCCTCCCCTGACAGAGTTCCCCGTCTGCTCTGTCTTGGAATGCCTCAGAATGCATGAATTTAGGGTCCGTGGCTAACATAGTACGGTAGCGTACCTACACGTGGATTGTCCTCGCACTGCCTCTTGGCTTCGTTTTCCCATTGCCTTTCTATTTCCTGCATCGTCGTTTCCCGACATTTGGCTTTGACTATTTCGTCACGCCGGTGCTATTGTGGTATCTCGGTTACCTTTCCGTGGGCATAAACTCGTCCGTTGGCATCTATTTTGCCATTGGCTTCTTTGTTCAGTTCTGGCTCCGGAAGAAGCATCCCGAGTGGTTCATCAAATACAACTACTTGCTGGCTGCAGCAATCAGCGGCGGCACCGAAATGCTGGTATTCATCTCTACTTTCGCCTTGCAGGGTGGCAGTGGAAAGGCTGTTCAGTTCCCTGCCTACTGGGGAAACAATTTCCAGTCAGGCAACCCTGACTATTGTGCTCTGAACCCGGCCTTAGGCGGATGATAAATCAACGGCGACTGCTCCTGGGGAGCGTATGTATTTCTGAACACTGAGGATGAATTAGGGAGGCACACATAGCTAGAGTATCTGATATATCAATCCCATTTATCTTGTTGTTTTAGAACTAGTCTCCACAGCGACTCAGCGCCAGCTAGAGTACATTCTGATTTCGTAGGTGCTCGATGGGCTAGAACATTGCCCAGAGACTCTCTTGAGTATGTCGATCGCCATGAGCAATGCACAGCCCCAGGCAGCAGGCTGGAATGTTGGTCTCATTCAGTCTAGTCGTGCGAAGTCCCACAGGGGCGGTTGAAATATCCTTGTTCAGAGCCCTACATTGAGACTCTTGAGGCTGACGCTGGTAGCAAACAAAGGAGAATTTGTCACAGGTTGCATATTACCTGTCATTCATCATATCCAGTAGTGTCTGAAACAAGACTTATTCTTGATTCCTTCACAAAATTTGTCAGGTCACCAAAGAAGCAAATTGAAAGACACCGCAGAAAACTGAATTTGAGGGTTGTTCCACGGCATGTAATAATACATATTCCCCGAAGCTGGAATTCCCTCCTAAAATTGAACTTTACTCAGTTTCGATATTTCAATCAACCAAGTTTCACGTGGAGAGAACAGTAAAGAGGCTAGTAATTTGCACCCAGTCCGAAGAACTCGAATCACCTGTCTGACAAGCGGCGAAGACGGCAAACCTCAACCCCGAAGCGGAAATCCCTACGATGGCCGGTGATGACTACCAGAGGAGACTACTGCTCTGGATCTCTGCATGTTCTTTTTTCGTCGTTTTCGTAACTTCCATCTGGTATTGGTTCTATCTCCATTATTACCAAAAGGAGAGCTCAAGCAGCTTACTTCCACGAGCGACTGAATACCACGATCAACAGACCCAATACGGAGATGCCCAACAACAAGGTTATCAGCGCCCTCAATTTCAAGGTGGATACGAAAGTCACGAGCTCGAAACAGTCCATGAAAATACCCGGTGGAAGGCTGGTGGTGAGATGGGCGCAGTTGTGCCCGTCGCTGTGCCACCCCGGTCGGCCGCTCGCAACTCTTGGGGCGGCTGCCAACGCGACCGATTCCACATGAACATTATCTCTCCCCTCGGCAAAGGAGGCGTCGACAAGTCTCGACATCATGCTAAAGACCAACACGCTATCGAGCTGGCTACTGCCAGTGATGGGCGTCGACACTACTCAGTCACCTGCCCGGACTCAAGCGGGACCCCTCAGCTGACGCCAGAGACGGGGTCCAGCGCAGCGCAGACACCAGAAGGGCAGCGAACACCTCTTCCCAGATACACATTGGAGCCCTGTGGTAAAGATCCTCCAATCTACGCCGAGTCTGAGCCCAGCGGTCATGCGGCTCGGGGCCTGCCGAGGCGTCCGACCTCCTGATCAGACCGGCGTTCTGTGATGATGTCCATGGTTTTTTTGGTTCTTCGGTCGAGGGCGTCGGAAGTGTCAATCTTCGAACAACAGGACGGGCTTGACGTGCGTGGGTCCTCGGGCGGCATAGCGGTCAGACAGTGTGTCCGTCATGGGTAATTTTGATACCGTGCTCACGGCTTAACTTGGCAGGAGGATGTAGCACGGTAAAGCATTGGGGACAGATTGTTAGAAAAGAGCCTTTGCATATATTATGGGTATCGGTGACAGTATTTTACAGGATCTCATGTACATCGTGGACCGCCTCTTTGGAAGAATTCCAACGTAGCCAGAGGTGATGAAGACAACTTCTTAGGTCCGTCGCAAAACCCAATCCGGGTTCAATAGCCGGTATATCACGACAAATTCGTGCATAGAGAGCATCTTCGTCTTGTGGTCTTTGATCACTAGGTGCCTGGCAATCTGCTCTGCCTGCGGGTCGGCAACCTTTAGGCACGCCTCCAGGGCATCTTTGACCTCCATGACAGGCCCGACAGGCGGGTCTTCGTTCAGCATCTCGTGAAAACACCATCGAATGGCTTCTTGACACCGTTTCTGGTGGTTCGTCGAGGCCATGGTCGTCCATAAGTGTAGATAAAGCTGCCTTGAGCGTGGTTCTTGGAACCTGGGCGGCATGCGCCAGATTTCCCAGAATCGTGTCCAATTGTCCTGCGCGGCATATGCATTCATCAACCGCATGACGGCATCCTCGCCCATGTACGGCAGGTCAGCCTGGAGTAGGAACTTTTCCAGGATCGTTTGAAGCTCGGTGGTCTGCTTGCCCTGAGACTCTGTCCGAGCTAGCGACTCAAGGAGCGACACGATAGCATCTGTAGCTATGATCGGCTCGCCACGCTCATACATGACGTTCAGTATCTCAAGAGCGACTTTCGACTGCTCTGACAACGGCACGGTGCTGTCAGTGGGTTCAAGGTAGACCGCTTGGAGCATTTCAATGTAGTGGCCGCGATGGCAGATGATGCCCAGAAGCTCCATCTCATGCACGAGTTCTCGCAGATGGGCCAGGTCAAAACGTCGCACCCCTAATTGGCGACCCGCCACGCACAACCACAGTCGGAATTGCCAGCTATGTTCGGGGCGCAGGCGCTGAATTGCTTGGTTCCAGGCGTTTGTGTATGCCGAAGGCTGTCCAGTTCTAGAGTTGTCTAGTGCCTCGAGTGCGTCCTCGTAGGAAAAGCCTGCAAATTGTGCCTGCAGTCGCTCCAGTTCTGCCACCTTGGTGGCTATGAAAGCTGCAGGGTCTAAGGTTGGGTTAACATGGTTGGTTATTGAGTCGCTGGTTGGCGGGTCAGTTACCTGGTCAGGCCGCCTGGAAGAAGTCGAGAGGAAGCGGCGCTGGGAAGGCGTTGCAAAGACCTTGGGCGAGCCTCCTTCGGTGAACAGAGATAATTCGTTGGGGTGAGTGTCGGCCTCGGTGTATTCCAGGTCGTCTGGGATGAGGCTGTCGTCGCCCCTGCGAGCCAGAATGCGGGACCAGAGGAGCTCAAGGTCCAGCTCTTTCCGCTTGGATTCGGTGAATGCCTGTACCACGATCGTCGTACCATTCTGCCTGGTGCCGAAGCCGGTCGCGGTTTCATACTCGACTGATTCCTGGGAGCCAGAGGAAAGTGTACCGAGATTTGTGCAGATCCAGCGCGTAGTGACGCCATCGTCGCGTCCCATGGGGGTGGCTGCAGTGCCGAGGAGTTTCGCCTTCCTTTGCTTGCGTCGCATCTTGATCTTGAATTCATTAGGGCCCAGAACGCCGTCGGCATGGGCATTTATGCCCTTCCTGCGCAGCCACGACACCAGATGGCGACCAGAGACATGCAGGTGACGCTCACTGCGGGCAGTGCCGAAGAGCATGATGAGGTTAGGCCCAAGAGCAGCTGGGGGATCCAAGGTCCGCAGGTCCAGTAGCTTCAGCTCGTCCAAGCCCATGTCCTCAGCGGCATACTTGACAAGGTCGTATAGGATCAGAGGGACATTGTCCGGTACCTCTGGAAGGGATTGACTTTGCTGGACCAGGGAGGGATGCCTGGGAGGCTCCTCCTGGAGATACCAGGGCTCTTCTTCTCGGCCGCCGCCTTCCTCTGCCTGTGAGGTTTGACTTCCGTCCTCGGTGGCCGCTGCAGTGGGCTTGCTGCTGGGCTCTGATTCAGCCTTGACCTCGGCCTCAGTCTGATCTACAGCTTTCTGAGAGGAGAAAAACCGTGCTCGGGTGGCGAGAGCAGCGGGAATAGCTTGATGTCGCAGGGCCGGCGACGCATGGGATGGCCATTGAGCCCCGGCGCCGACAGCAGGGCTGCAGGTTGGGGAGTAGTGGCCAAGGATGGATGCTCTACATGCTGAGCAGCCTGCTGCCGATGCCCGTAGTATTGGTCGCAGAGACATTGCTGCCACTCAGACACAACACGAACGGACGGACTGAGGGACAGTTTAACAGCAAGAACGCAATATGTTGAGAACTTGGAAGCCTGAGGGAGTCGAGCCAGATTTCTGTGCGTGATGAGCTGCTGAGACTTGGGAACTGTTTTGGTTGGGAAGTTGATGATATGAGACTGGACTGTTCTTGCTCATCAGCAGACTCGACGCTCTCCTCTCATTCTCTATTGCTACTGGAGCAGTTTGCGTCCTCGGTGGTAGTCCGGGTGGGTGGTGTGGGTCCTTGCCTGCCAGGCACAGCCAATCGATGACGGTACTGATAAGAGGGCCTATCTCCCATCCACGTCTGGTCGGCGCGCCATGAGCCATGACAAAAACTTTCTTTCCGAATTCTGCTGCACCAGCCACGCTTCTCCCATACATCACTTTACCTCTCCTTTTGATTCACTTAACTCCCTAGACCATTGCCATAGACTGTATTTCAGACTGCAGCTCATTATCTCCTTCAAATGAAGAATTAACCTTGCCTCTGCTCAGGCGGGCCTTCCATTGGCGCCCTGTTTGTTACAGTACACACACACACATAATCCCCATCGTCGCATCGCACACGACACACCGACCCTCCTCTCGTACACTGCCCACTGCCCAGTGCAGTGCGCGTTGTTACACCTCTGAAAAATGCTCGTCCGAACAACCTTCTCGAGGCAGAACTGCCGACTCGGCCGTTCTATATCTCGACTGTCCAACCTATCCGAGCCGCGATGCCGCATGCCCGCCACCCAAGCGACGGCTCTGCCTGCGAGCAAGCGTCTCGTCGCCACTTGCTCTCCATCACCGTCATGGCGAAGATCTCCAGCCAGTCCGCAGGCCTACGCCCCTGAGCGTGGGCTGGCCACAGTAGTGGGCGATGCCATGAGTGCCAAAGGCGCGACTGCCAGATCCATTTACGAACTCAGGGATTTCGATCCGGCCATGACCACGATCCTCCCAGAGCCCTTGCGTCCGCCCCCTGTGCAGAAAACGAATAAGCAGGGCATTCCGGGCGACTTTGAAACCGCCCTTCCGGTCTTCGACGCCTGTCTGCATGTCGGAAAGCTGGATAGGGCCGCAGCAGTCCTGGCGCGTGTCGAAACCCTGGGACAGGCTACCCCAGAGGTCTTGATGGACATGAACAACAGGTATCTCGAGGCGTGTCTGAGTGAGCTCAAGGCCAACCCAGGGCTAGGCAAGGCTGAGGACTTGCATGCCTGGTATGAACTGCACATCCACGGTGCTAAATTGCCACAAACACCCGACACAGTCGCCTACATGCTGAAAGCCTCTCTGTTGACCACCCCCACAACCGAAAATTCGCAAGGCCCATCGAGATTGGAGAGACTAGTGAAGCGATACATGGAAATGGTGACTCTAGAACAAGGTCTTAATGTCCTTTACTGCAACGAGATCTTGAATGACGCCGACGTTGCCACCATTACCAGATTCTATCCCGAGTACAACATCAAATTACAATACAAGGCGGAAGAGTCCTCCGATTTTGAAGAAGCCTTGCCCAACGCCACACTTGACTTTGGGGACTCAGTCGAAACCTCCGGGGACACAGGCTCCTTGCCCGAGGTACTCCCAACTCCCCAGAAAGGCATGGGTCTCCAATCGATCATGGCTACGCTTGATATCTTCCAGAAAATGAAAGATGGCTACGACATTTCGACTCTTCCCTTACACGAGAGACGGGAGTTTCAATCACGTCTGGAGCGCGACTGCATAGATGTGGCCGTGGTACGATGGCGGGAAGAGCACGAAGCGCTGCGCCAGAGGGGTCTTGCCACGTCCATGACGGCGCCAGGTCTGAATCCTCATATTTGGTCATGGCATCAGAGCCTGAAAGCTCTCGTTCAGAAAGAGTTCGATGCAATCGCGGAGACAGAGAAGCTGGCCAAGAAGGGGTTACAGGAGTTGGACCGCTGCATGTACGGTCCTGTCTTGTTGCAGACTACGCCCGACCGACTAGCTGCAGTCACCATCATGACCACGATGAGCTCTCTCGCCTTCACAGGCGCCGACAGGGGTATTTTGACAAGCAGCCTGCTGAACCACATTGCGAAGATGGTCGAAGAGGACATCCAGTCCAAGTTGCGTACGGATCAACAGCAAAAGGAGGCCCGGAAGGCTAAGGCACATCGACTGCTGATGAAGCAACTCCAGTCTATGGGAGGCGCGGACGCCAACCAAGGTCCTAAGCCTGAATTGACGCAGTTTGAAAAGTCAGCGGCGCCAACTCCCGAGAAGCCCCTTTCTGACACTGCTCCACCTATTATTGCCCCATGGTCAGTGTCTATGAGGGTGAAGATCGGTGCAATGTTGCTTTCGGCGCTTTCCGAAGTGCTCAAAATACCAGTCAGCTGTGAGCATCCCGAGACCAAGCAGAGGATCACCGCACTACAGCCCGGACTGGTGCGCACTACTCAGTTCAGACGGGGCAGACGGCTAGGTACAATCATGCCACATCCCCGATTGACTGAGATGCTGCGCGAGGAACCTCGAGGCGATTTCCTGGCAAGGCATCTGCCAATGGTTGTTGAGCCGTTGCCCTGGACTGGTTTCGAAAAAGGTGCCTACCAGGAATCCCCAGTACCTCTGGTCAGACTTAAGTCCGGCGAGAAAGACCAACGACTATACGCAGAAGCTGCCATCGCGCGTGGTGACATGGAACAGGTTGCCAAAGGCTTGGATGTTTTGGGAAGGACAGCATGGCGGATCAATCGGCCTGTATTGGCTGTGTTCCTTGAAGTGTGGAACTCGGGTGAAGCTGTCGCCGACATTCCACCGTTGCACCCGCAGATCGCTGTCCCTAAGGAGCCCGAGCCTTCCAGCGACTCACTCGTGCGGCGCAATTGGATCAAGGAAATCAAGACTGGTCAAAATCTCAAGCAGGCATATCACTCGGTTCGTTGTTTCATGAACTTCCAGCTGGAAATTGCAAGGGCATACCGGGACCAAGAGTTTTTCTTCCCCCACAATGTTGATTTCCGGGGGAGGGCATACCCTGTCCCGCCGTACTTGAACCACATGGGTGCGGATCATGTCCGCGGCCTTCTTCGCTTTTCCAAAGGCAAAGAGCTCGGTGAACGAGGCCTGATGTGGCTTAAAGTGCATCTATCAAACGTTTACGGTTACGACAAAGCCAGTCTGAAGGACAGGGAGTCTTTTGCCATGGAGAACCTCAACAACATCTTCGACTCTGCCCACAATCCACTGAAGGGCAAGAGATGGTGGCTTGAAGCGGAAGACCCTTGGCAGTGTCTCGCAGCTTGCATGGAGCTCACTGCGGCGCTGGAGTCTCCAGACCCAACCAAGTTCATTTCGCACCTTCCTGTTCATCAGGATGGAACCTGCAACGGCCTGCAGCATTACGCTGCCCTTGGTGGTGACTCATGGGGTGCTCGTCAAGTCAACTTGGTGCCAGGCGATAAACCAGCTGACGTGTATAGCGCCGTGGCCGACCTGGTCATCAAGGAGCTCGACGAGGACATGGCGCGCGGCAATGAGATGGCGGAGGCCTTGCATGGGAAGATCAAGCGCAAGGTTGTCAAACAGACCGTCATGACCAACGTCTACGGTGTGACCTTCTCGGGAGCAAAGAAGCAGGTTTTGAAGCAGCTCGATGCCCTCTACCCCGAGCTGAGCAAAGAATCAGGCATCGATGCTGGGCTCCTTTCCAGTTACGTGACCACAAAGATTTTCAAGGCGCTGTCCACGATGTTCCGAGGGGCTCACGACATCCAGTATTGGCTGGGAGAAATCGGGGGCCGGGTATGCCGTGCTCTAACGGCTGAGCAGCTCAAAATGATCGAAGAACAAGGGATCGAGCAGCCAACGACAGGTCATGCCAAGAGCACGTCCGACACTATCCTCTCAATGATGCGGTCAACAATCATCTGGACGACACCTCTTCGAATGCCGATTGTCCAGCCATATCGGAAAACCAGCAGCACGGTCATCTCAACTTGCATGCAAAGCCTTGTGCTCAACAAGCCGGATCGATTCGACCCTGTAAACCGTCGCAAGCAACTCCAAGCGTTCCCACCCAACTTTATCCACTCCCTCGATGCTAGTCACATGATCTTGTCTGCGCTGGAGTGTGATGAACTAGGGCTCACATTTGCGGCGGTGCACGACTCTTTCTGGACCCATGCTGCCGACGTTGACACAATGAATCGCGTCCTTCGCGACGCATTCATCCGTATCCATAGTGAGGACGTGATCAAGCGTTTAGCCTCGGAGTTTGAGGTCCGCTACCGGGGTGGCCTGTACATGGCACAAGTCGATGTGACGTCGGATGTGGGCAAGGCCATTCTAAAATGGCGCAGAGACAACAAGGATGTGTCATCTACGCTGAGAAGCGAGCTACTCATGGAGAAGAAAAGGCTCGACCTGCTGAATTCCCCTCGCAAAGCGGATAGGAAGAAGGGCAAGAAAATGGTCACCCCGGGCCAAATCTTCTCGAAATTCGCCTCTGAGAAGGAGGTTGCCAGGGAGGATATGGGTGGCACAACGCTAGGAAACCTGTCCGCTAGTAACACCAAAGCGAAAGGCGCCACCATGGGAAATACCGATGAAGGGGTTGAGGAGGCGGATCTGGATGGGGTGGATGGTGAGACGGTGCCGGAGGCAGGGGCTGACGCAACTTCTGAGCCTGACTTCAAGAAGTTCTACACCACTGTGTCACACTTTGAGGAGAAGTTGACAGGGTCAAAGCCCCTAAAGCAGCAGGTGAAAAAGCTCACGCCAGTTTGGAGCCCGCTCTCATTCCCCGACATCCCCGCGAAGGGCGACTTTGATGTCAAGAGCTTGAGAGACAGCGAGTACTTCTTTTCATGATGAGGTCAGAGCAGTGGGCAAAGGTGCTGCGGGAGTGTCATACCACACCCTGTCAAAACAGGCATTCGGCGGCGTTCTAAGCTAGACTTTTTGGGGGGCAGCATGGGTTAGGCGTTGATGGTTCAAGCAAGTGGGCAGCTGGAGGGATTGAGGCAGCATTGCATGTACATTGTCACGTATGTGTCACATGTACAATGCACACAAAATATACCCTGTCGTTCAAGGGAAATGACACATTATTTGACCAACTAGCACCAAATTGCTGATGAATCTCGACCTGTTGCGTCGAGTGGCTGAACCGTCCATTGAATGTTCACTTCAAAAATGGATGTTTTGAACGTTGGACTGCACTGCAATCACGACCAATGTGAATTCGAACCTCTAGCAGTTACAAGTCTCTCAAGAATCAACGCAATCTCAAAGAGATTCAGCGGTAGGTCCGTCATGTTTTGTGCAAGTTGACTGATTGCTCAATTCTGTCATAACTTTGGCCGGGTTCTATCTAAATCTCTACGCTTATCTGCGTTGACTCTAGCCCGAAGTCCTGGCCAGTTGTCACATATCCCACACAGAACAGTTTATCGGACAGTCGCGCTCTGCAGACTCTTGACTGTACACACGCCGCCAGCCTCTGTAAGCAGCTTACCAAGACCGGTCTTGCCCTCGAGCTGGTCGACAACGCCAGCGTCAAACGCGACCTCGAGGGCGTCGGTCGTGGTGAAGCCGGGCTGGAACGTCTCCCAGACCTTCTTCTTGGGGTTGAGCTGCTTCTCGGGCTCGCCCTTCCAGCCGTCGAAGTAGACGCGCTCGCCGGCCTTGGCCTCCGCGGGCGGGTTGACCAGCTCGACGGGGCCCTTGTGGTCGTCGGCCTCGCCCTCCTTGACCTTGGGGCTGGCGGCGAGCACCATGGCGGATGACTTGATGCCGCGCATCTTGACGGGCTTCAGGTTGCACACCACGACGACCTTGCGGCCCTGCATCTCCTCGAGGGGCACCAGGCCGTTCAGGCCCGAGCACACGGTCCGCACGACCTGGCCCTCGTACTCGTCCGTGTCGGGCGTGCCGGCGGGGTCGCCCATGGCGATGGTCGAGACATATAGTGAGTCGGCCTCCGGGTGCTTGATGGCCTTGAGGATGTGGCCGACGCGCAGGTCGATCAGCGCGGGGGACAGGGGCGCGGCGGGCGCGGGCGGGGGCTTCTGCTGCTTGGGCTGCTTCTCCTTCTTCTCCTTCTTCTTGCCGCCCTCGCCCGCGACGGCGCTGACCACGGCGTCCTTGACCTCGGCGGCCTTCTCCTTGGTGCGGTCCACGAGGGTCTTCTGCTCCCCGCCCGCCTCGGCGGCAGCCTTGGCGGCCTTCTCCTTCTTGAGGCGCTCCTTCTCCGCCTTGACGTCGACGGGCGGCTTCACGTAGAGGATCTCCTCGGCGTCGACCTTGACCTTGTCGGCCTCGGAGACGTTCAGGCCAAACAGGGCCGAGTTCTGCACAAAGTCGACGTGGCGCACGATGTTGGGGTGTCCCTTCTCACCGGTGCGCTGCTCGGGTGTCCAGCCCTTGACGATGGGGGCGAGGACGTTGTAGATCTCAAGGTCGGCCTTGGAGGGCTTCGTGCCGAGCAGGGTGGTGCGCGAGGCGAGATGGGTGTTGAGGGCCTCGAGGATGGAGGAGGACTCTGCGCTTGGGGACTTGAGCCGTTCCGAGGTGGTGAGCCATTGCTGGATCTCGGCCTCCTCGGTGGGAGTGTAGGACTGGGATGCGATGGCGGCCATGATCCTGTTTGCGAACGAGGTGCTTGCTGAGAACTGGCGGGGGATCGACACGCTTCGAAGCGCTGGACAAGCGAACCGGAGGGAGCACAGTTCGGCTGGGTGAGCTGAGGACGAGACCTCGAGCTTCTGGAAGTTCAATTGCTTGGTGAGTTGGTGGTAGTGGTGGCGGTGACTGTGGTAGCGGGGTTGCAGCAAAACTGGTATGAGTCGAATTTGTGAGCTCTGGATTTTCAGACACAGCAGCTGCCCCTCCTCATCCTCCACTGAGTCCCTCTCTGTCCCAGCTACCCCTCCCCCCGTCCACTGACTAAGTCCACCGCCCGCTTCAATTAAAGAATCATGCCCCGACGCGTTGAGGTCGCGTCGTGAACAGTGTACTGCTTTTTTGCTGCTGCCGCGTGCAGGGACTCCATTATGTCATTCATTTTGATTCCTTTCTTTGCCGTGTCTTGCCTCAATCACCACTTCGCACCTCCCCGCCACAGCCATGAATTCAATTAGCTGAACCCATTCTTTCTTTTGCACTATATATGGGATCGCGGTGTTCTGTTGCGTTTTGAAATCGTCTTTTAGCTGAACCGCAACCTTTACAGCACATTTTACACTTTGCATTTTGCGTTTGCGCCTCGCCTTCCGAACGCGACCGGGCAAAGTCAACCGCGCCAGTGGCAAACCTGCCCGTTTCCGTCACCACCGCCCCTGAACTTTGACTGCGTCAACTCTCCGACACTCTCGACATCACAATTGAACTGCTTGTCCCAATCGTTCGCAATGGCTGTAGACACGTCTTCGTCCGTCGATGGCGCGTCTCCCGCCGGCCAGGTCGACAACACTCCCCCGTCATCTCCACCAACTGATTCGTCCAAGGACGAACTTGCCCCCGATGGCAACTTCGAACGCGAAGAGGCAAAAGCACTGGAGCGAAACCTGGAGGCCGAGAGAAAACGCAAGGCGTCCTTGAAGCGAAAAAAGAAAGCCGTCACTCACGCCGAGCGGGAGGCAAAGGCGAAAGAACTTGACAAGCTTCTGAAGCAGAGTGCGGCCTTTGCCGACATCCTGCGTGGCAAGACCAATGTCCTGGGTCGAGTTGGCACCGCTCTTGATGGCAAGACCCTTGGTGATCACGACCTCCAAATGGCCACACAGCCCAAGTGCCTGGTGGGCGGTACAATGCGCGACTACCAGTTAGAAGGGGTTACTTGGATGTACGAGGTGTGCTTACAGGGCATGAGCGGTATCCTGGCCGACGAGATGGGCTTGGGTAAGCTTTCCTGCAACACGATGCCAAGCGAAAACTGACCCAGACAGGAAAAACCATCCAGACCATCGGCATCATTGGCCTGCTTCGCGAACAGGAAAATTACCTTGGACCTCACCTCATCATCGCACCCCTCAGTACCTTGTCGAATTGGATTGCTGAGTTTCAAAAATGGGCTCCTTCTATTCCAGTCCTCATGTACCATGGTACTCCGAAGGATCGGGAAAACCTTCGCAAGACGAAACTCTTTCCCAATCTAGACAAGATGGGCAAACCGACCAATCGATTTCCTGTGGTGTGTACAAGTTACGAAATGGTCATAAAAGACAGTTCTTCCTTGTCTAGGATTCAATGGGAATTCATCATTGTCGTAAGTCACGCTCCTTCCTGCTACCTTCCTGTGCTACCTTCCTGCTACTGAACCAATTGCTGATCTTGGTGTAGGATGAGGGTCACCGTCTAAAGAACGCCGAGGCTCGTCTGTTCCAGGAGATCTGCAAGTTTCGCAGTGCGACTCGTTTTCTCATCACTGGCACTCCTCTGCAGAACAACCTGAAGGAACTATGGTCGCTGCTCCACTTTCTAATGCCCAGGATCTTCACGGATTGGGAGGCATTTGAGACGTGGTTCGACTTCAGCGATCTCCAAGATGAGGAAGGTACAGAGCAATTTATTGAGGACAAGACCAAGCAGGACCTGGTGAAGAAGATTCACACGGTGCTCCAGCCGTTGCTTCTGCGTCGTGTCAAAGCCGATGTCGCAAACTACCTCCCAAAGAAACGCGAGTACGTCCTGTATGCTCCAATGACGAAGGAGCAGACAGATCTCTACAATGTCATCACAAACAAAAAGGAAGATACCAGAGCGTACCTCGAGCAAAAGGTTGTGGAGAGGTTGACGGGTACGACGAATACACCGGCTACGTCTAGGAAAGCCACCCCGAGCTCGTCAAGATCCGTGAGTGTCGTTAAGACGGAGAAAGAAGCCGATGATGATTCTACTAGAAAGTGTACCTTCTCTGGCAAGAATGCGTTTTCACTGTTGATGGGTCAGCCGAAAAAGCGAGGCAGGCCGGCTAAGAACGCGGCCAAGTCAAATAACAACGCCACAAAGCGAAAGGAGCCACCCACATCGGAGGTCTCGACCCCAAAATCTGCGCGAATCACGACAAACTCCACTCCAGCTCAATCCGCTAGAGGTAGGAGGCGCAAAGTCACCAGACGCTCGCTGAGACTGAATGAGTCCGATGATGACGACCTCTCTGATGACGAATTCGAGGCGAAACTTGCAGAGGAATTTGCTGAAGACGACGAAGCCGAGACCATAGGCACTCCGGAATCTACCGAGGAGATAGAGCGGGCAGCGACGCTCGAGCTTGCTAAGAAGGAAATTTCACGCAAAAAGCTCGGCAACGACCTAGTGCAGTTGCGGCTGACTTGCAATTCGCCTCATAACTTCTACCACCCGTGGGATAATGCGGAGGATATTGATGAGAGCATTGTCACCTCGTCGGGCAAGATGCTACTGCTAGATCGCCTCCTTCCTGCGCTTTTCGAGAGAGGAAGCAAGGTCCTGATCTTCTCTCAGTTCTCGACACAGCTCGACATACTCTGGGACTATTGTGCCGAGCTTCGAGGCTGGAAAACCTGTCGCATAAGTGGCAACGTCTCACAAGCGGAACGTCAAGCTCAGATTGAGGAATTCAACACGAACCCAGAGTGCAAAGTATTCATCCTGACCACACGTGCAGGAGGGCAAGGCATCAATCTCGCTAGCGCGGACACAGTCATTCTGTTTGATTCTGATTGGAACCCCCAACAGGATCTGCAGGCCCAGGATCGTGCCCATCGGATTGGCCAAAAGCGACCGGTCATCGTGTATCGACTGGCGACAAAAGGCACGGTGGAGGAGGAGCTTCTCATGAGCGCTGATGCCAAACGTCGTCTTGAGAAGCTCGTGATTCAGAAGGGCAGCTTCAAAAACATGGGACAGAAGAAGGACCTCAACGAGTATATGGACAAGGAGACGCTTCGATCCCTCCTCCTCAAGGATGGAGAGGTGTTCAAGTTCTCCGGTGATAAGACCATCATCAGCGATACGGACTTGGAAATACTATGCGACAGGTATGTTGGAGTCACTCTCAATACTTTCTCAATTGTTGTTGGCGTGGGGTACTAACGCATCGTTCAGGAGTGATGCTGCATACGATCGTGCTGCAGCAGGTGCTGGCAACGCGGCCGGATTCAAAGTCGTCGAAACTGGTGCCAACGGCCTCGTCACCAAAGGCTGAAAAAAGGCATTGGCCACACTCAGTTGTTTCATTACATCTTCAGGATCATCTGTGCTACGAAAAGTGGCTGTCTTCGGCTATTTGGCCTGATCTGATGTGCTCCCCCCCCCCTACCTTGTCCATCGATTGTAATCGACGACGAACAGTCTTTGTGCGGCGAGATGCCAGGAACGAACCATTCATCACAACACTTGATCAGAGAATCTTCTTGTGGTATTAGACCAGAGAAGGTGCAACTCAAGAGATCTGGGACGATATCACCTCCGTTGTCAATGCATTTTGGCTGTCAGCTTCGAGACGCACGCCACGTCGTCAGGGCTGTGCGAGTGAGATTGGTTGCTGCTATGTCTACAGCCTGTCATCAGCTTTACAACGAATCTGGCAGAGGCCCCTGTGCCCTCCAAATCGTTCATCTTGATCCCGTCAGCAATACCAGGCTGGTGTCTCATTGGAGTGGCACTGGTTTGGTAATTTTGAGCTTCAGCACGTCCAGTATTTAGATCGGACTGATCTTGTGTGTCTTGGTCTTGAAAAGTGCTTTTTGCGTGTGCTATAGCCGATTATCAAGCGCCGAGTTTCTGGCTGCTTTGAAAAGACATCCATGCTGTCAGGAGACGACACCACAAGTTGGCCAAAAGGGATATTTCACCTTGTTGCATAGCTTCTCATGAGGTATCAATAGACGTAGGAAAAGGAAACGTTACGGATTGCTTGCAGATGAATGTAAACATGCAATCTTGTTTGCGTGCGGAAGTGATTTGTGCTTAGCACGCCCTGTAGTCTAAGATTCTCGTCAATTGATGGCTTCCAAATCCGTTTAGCATCAGTGATCTCCTTTCATCCGTAAAACTTCTCTATTAGTTCACAGTTCGCTGAAAGTTCACGCTTCGCCTTGTGATTTCACTCCCTGCCACATTCCTCAATGCGACATACTGTCAGCCTCCCAGTAATTGTTACCCAAAATAGAGGATGAAGCTTTCTCTCTTCGTCATATTAGCTTGATCGGAATTTCGAGTTCCCTGGGGACAGTGCGGCTACTGGGTGCTGTCTGCCGAGGTATGTAGTTATGCAGCACGTTGGCTACGCACCAAGGCATACACATGCAGCCCAACGCCATGCAATCCACTGGCCTACCAGGGGGAGGGGGGGGTTTTCGTTTTGGTGCTGCAAGCAAGCCAATGGGATAGTGACATGATAGTGACATGCTATTAAGGTTTTGACAGTATGTTTTTTTGTGTGCCTTGCATTATTTACACATTACTAATATATACTCATTCCTAATATAGTTTTATTCTTGACATGCTGTGATATAATGTTAACCCTTAATATAGGGGGAAAAAAAAACTTTTTTTTTTCGTCCTTAACTTAACTACTTATTTCTTCTTTATTAGCTTAATTATTTATTATGAAAGGATTTATGGAATTATGGAAATATTTAAAAATAAAAATAGGTTTGGAGTTAATAAGGTTTAAATTAAAGCTTTTAATATAAAATTATAATAATATTAGCTAATATATAGTTAATACTAATATAAAGTTAATATTAATATAATTTAAAGCTTTAATATAATTTACTTTTAATAGTATTTTAATAGCCTTTTATTAGCATTTTGCTATAATGATAAAATTTTAATTAAATATCAAAACATGAGTGCATTGCGTAACCCAGTCGAAAACCCCCCCTCCCCCTGGTAGGCACAAGTCACCTTGCACTTGAAGAATCTTAACAACTGATTTCAAGGTTCTGTGGTGTAGCGGTCATTCTCTTGGGTTGGGACCCTGACTGTGAACCCTGCGCAGTCATCTTTCAATTCCCGCCTTGGTCACCCGGGCATCATTTCTGGGAAGATTTGCGCACGATCGTTGGCGATGAGGATCATTTTGCCCCTCGAGGAGATACCATCATCATTTATTTTCCATGGCCCCTCCTTTCTGGTCACATGAGATCAATCATCTGTAGACCATTCCCTCCCATCGCCGTCCATGCGTATGCCCCTCCCCCAAAACACTGATATGCATTGCTCACGCAGACTCAATGGCCAGACGCAAGGGCATCGTGTCAGCACTCATGCATATACATGGACACATAGAGCGTACATTCACCTAACTTGCATGGGGTGAACTTGGTGAATTGGCCATGACATCAGGACGGTGCAAGGGTGCAGCTAAATCTAGAGGCTGCCAACATTTGCGATGAGATGATTACAAGCAGGTGAGCAACATCATGCAAGCCACAAGTCGCCTTACACTGGGATGAAGCCAAACCACTATAACCAAGGTTCTGTGGTGTGGCGGTTATGGACTCTATTGCGCCATCCCATGCGAGATCATTTCCGTGAACCCTGTGTAGTCACCCGTTCAACTCCCGCCCTGGTGTCAGCTGGGCAGCATTTCTTCGACAATCTCTGGGGAGAGTGGGTGATTTGCGTACGATCTCTGACGATGCAGAACGTGGGAACCTTGGGACGGTGCCTGCCTTTTTTGCTCCTGGTCATCAATTATTTCGCCTATGTGGAACACTCCCCTCCACACCCCCCAAAGGGAGTCCATAAGCTACATTGTCTGCCCCAAGACGCAACTGGCGAACAAGTGAGATGCTTGAGGGAGACTTTTGACTTAAACATGTTCCTGTATGTCCCAGATGATTTCACATTGTGACTTTTCATTTGATACCACATCTTGATCCCAGACTACTCAGCTGCTATCCACCTAGGTAGGTATCTGGATCAGAGGATCGTCTGGCCCCGGCGCTGTGTTGATTTTCGTAAGATACTGATAGAAATTTGAGGACTACAAGACCTCGGTAGCAACGACAAAAGCAGTATGGAAAACCGCAGACACGATGACAGTGCTTAATCAACATGATCGATGCTGATGATGGCAGGGTGGAATTCAAAGATGGGTGGGTCTACCAGTGGTCAAGCAAATATATCCTCAATCCAGGTGGAGTCCATGGCTCCATCAGGGGCTCGAAACCCATACTCTGGAACAATGATATTGTTCCAGTTCTCGGTCGTGATATGAACTCCCTTGACTTGGTCAAGACGCCCGTCGACTTCGTAGCGAACCGGTCTGCCAACGTCGTCGGCGAAGTGCCGAGCCAACTGGTACTCAGGACGTCGCTTGCCGTCGTCATCACGAGGCAGACGTAGTGATGAGATCCGGGTGGGATCCTCCCAGTATACCCAGCCGAGCTCCTGCAGCTTTATTGCGCCACGGTCCAAGCTCTCGTCGCTGTTGTCCTCACACAGTGTGCCTCTCTGATTTTGCGCGGCAAGAAAGACAGAGTTGGCGCCTTTGAGTGGCATCGTCGCCCGCCCACGCCGTCGGCTCTCAGGATAGATCCAATCAGAATAACTGATGAACTCGTGGGGGTTGAGCCAGCATCTGTGGGGTCGGGAATCCGCCCAATTCACCACAGCGCCATGCAACTCGGGTCTGCCTCCAGCGTCCGACCGTAAGATATTCTGAAGGACTACCAAGCCAAGGCGGCTCATACCATCAACCCAATGTACTGATGGTCCCATGATAGTGCCCAAGCCACTCCACGAGATATGGGTAGGACACTGCGGCTCCTCACTCGTGGGGACTGGGAGCTGCTTGTACGCGGCATCATTCACGACCTCTGGAGCCGAGCCGCGCGATCCCCTGCCCAATCTATGGACGTCGACTAGGAACTCGCTCTGGACGTTCAGGTGTAGGAGTTCGTACTTCTTTTTATTGAACGTATGCGCGTACCGCAACAATCTCTTGCAATTCCCATGACGGCATGAGCTCCTTGACGATCCAGTGAGGGTCATCATCAGAGTATCCTCCAACGTTGAAAGCAGTGCAGTTTCTCAACATGAAGGGAGTGCCGAGCAGCCGGCAGCATAATTCGTATCTTGAGAGACCTCGATGTAGTCTAATTTGCTCGCTGGCAGAAAGAGATGGCCATCGCGTTGGGTCATCTGGAGGGTTCGAGAAGTCGAGCTTCTGGAGGCTCTCCTGCTGGCCCTGTGCGGTGTTGAATGAAAAGGCCCGTATGTCTTTCACGAATCGCTCGACTGTGCCATACATGACGGCGAGAGACTGAACGCGCTGCTTGAAAACCTCGGTCTCCTTCTCTGTAGGGACTCGGCTTGTCCCGGGTGTGAACCAGCGGTGCTCTTCACCCATAGGGCCGCCTGGTCGAGCACGGTTGGCAATGTCGATTTCGTGTTTGTAGAATCCGACTGCCAAACAGCGCCATTCCTCCCACCGAAGCTCCTCACAATCGTTGACGTCGTAGGGATCGTTGGCGTCGTATCCCCGGTCCGGCGCGCTGTTTCGATATTGCCCGCTCGAGGTGGATTAGTGAAACGAGAGAGGCTGACATACAAAGGGGCCACGAAATTGAAGTCGGCGTAGTTCGGGGCAGTCAATACTGCCACTTAATGGCAGAAGATTTCCGGTGAGATATGGCGCTCGAGAACGGAAGCAAGAATGGTCTCGCGGCTGCTCAGGAATGCGCCTAGGGCGATCGGGCCAGCACGCAGGGCCGCATAGAGGTCTTGAGGAGAGGCCATCTGCTGCAGAATCATGATGTGTATCTCGATTGGCAGCTCCTCGAACGAAGAGGCAGGCTGCGAGATTGGAAGGGCGGGCCTCGTGGAGGATGAGTCCTCCCCTGTGGAGGCTGCCTCCAATGCGTTTGACATAATCGGCGGCGACAGCGCAAGAGGACGTGGGAAGAGGAGTTGCACTGGTGATGATGACAGCAGCTGTGGTGATCTGCGAAATGAGGAAAAATGTGGCTGGCTGTGTTGCAAGTACCGAAGAGGAAAGGAAAGGAATAGATCGAATGGGTTGTCCTGTGGGCTATAAATAGTGGTTAGAGTGGTCTGTGACTGGAGGGTTGAGTGAATGTAACTATTCACCGTATCACGGCGGCGGCGGCGGCGCCCGAAGGACGCAGAATCTTGTACAATAAATGTGAGTTATTCACTCATGAAACGACACACAGAGAATTGATGGATTTGTGCTGAATCCCCAAGTGCTTGGGCAGTGAAGCTGCCCTGGTTTTACTTACCAGGACGAGTTGGTCGGAAGTGTAACAGTATCAAACGCAGGCTTTGTTTGCATTTCACACAAACCTGAGAGCAGCTGGTTTCATTGCAAACGAAATATAGTCGCTGACTGAATGAGGCAATTGGCAGTATGTCGCCTGTATCTATGGCAACTTGTCAGAGACAGCTTGACAGAGGACAACTCTTAGACGTTGGTCAACTCATCCACCCTGTCCTCTTGAAAAAGAGAGCACTCCGTGATGATAAACCTCAGAGTATTAAGATGAGCCACGACCACGTACGGTGTGTCGATTGCCAGTATTATGGTATTAAAAGGCCTGGTTGTGTTTTACTGTATTCCAGCGCAGAGGTTTCCAATGGCCTAGACGAGGGCTGCTCGCGGACAGGCAACATTGATCACCTTGGCGATATTTCGAGGGCTAAGATACTTTGTAAATACGTGAGTAGTGGTGAACCTAAAAGAAAGCATAAATATACCCACCGTTGAATTTGAAGCATGAGAATTCGTAGTCAGAGTGGTTCTACCTCCGTCCCTGATGCCCTTATCATTTGCAATCTGAGGCAGGTCTTCCTCCCATCTCCTTTAGACGAGCAGAGCTTGAATGTTTCTAACTTGCCTGTTTGGACCTGATCCGAAAAGCTGCCCTCCCAGCCACCCGAAAACTTTGGACCACCTCGACTGATGTGCAACTTTACCAGCAACAACTTCTCAAAAAGTAACGAATTAGACCATTCAAGCTCGACGACGATTACAATCTGACTTAATTCTTCTCTTGACCAGCTACGACTATCTGGCACTGGCTGCCATAATTCAACCCTTGATCGACTCGTAATACCCAACAGCCCTCTTCATTCATTCTCATCTCTTCGAATTCCCCTCCCCTCTTCACTCCGACAGAAACACTCACCATGGCCTTCAACCTCACCAACGAAGAGCTCCAGAGACTCCAACATCTCCAAAGACTCCACCTTGCCCAGCAGCTCCAGCAAGCGGCAGCGTCTCACCAATCCCAAACCAATAACCACGCCGCCCAACACGCCGCCCGAGATACCCAGGGACGGCGCCGACGCAGACAGGCGGCCGGCGACACCGCCACCGAACGAATGATCAGCGAGGTCGGCCTCCTCAACCGCCGAAACCGCCACGCCTTCAAGGCCTGGTACCGCCGCCACAAACAGGCCCTGCGGGGCGAGCTGGCGCAGAGCTGGGCCAGGATGTCGGCGGACGCGGGGCGCTACGGCGTGTCCCGCCCGGAGTGGTTCATCATGGTGTCGAGCGGCGACGAGCTGAGAGACTTCCTCCAGGGCCTCGCCGGCGGGCAGAAGCTGGCCCTGTTCGACCTGGCGATGGTGCGTCAGGCGGAGAAGGGCGATATCACCCACGACAAGGTCGCCGTCTTCAACACTGTCAATGGAAGGCCGGGAGACCTGCCCCTGGGCACGGCCTAAGGGATGCGGGACATGTTCGCTGGGACAGACCGTGAAGAGGAGTTGGGGGATACCACTGGGAGTCTGGGTTTCGTGAGGGCTTTGGCAGAGGGGTATTACATGATACTTTGACGTGGAGGAGGTACCGTACTGCGAGGACTCTAAGTACAGAGAGCAGAATTCGACGGCATAGCTCAGTGCGAATGACAAATAATACACAACTTCGAAGTCCCCTACGCTCTTTTGGTTTTGCGCACCACCTAATATACACTTTTCCGTCCAATCTCGTGTCCCTTAGCTTCATCCTAGAGTCCAGCCCGAAGCTGGATTCAGACAGCCGCGCGCGGATGAAACCTGACGTTCAGATCCGGCTTCTTCCACAGGATGTGATTCTTGCAAGCACTATTCCAATCCTGAACGTCCGAAGCGGACTCGAGATCAAAAGCCCACAGCAACTTCGCCACCGAGACTCGCATCTCCAGATACGCAAGGTTAATGCCTAAACATCCCCTTGGCCCGCTTGAGAAGGGCTGGAACGCGCGCTTATCGTCCCCGGCGAAGCCCTCGCCGATCCAGCGCTCCGGCCTGAACGATGTGGGATCAACCCAGTATCTCGGGTCGAATGTCATAGCGTAGTTCTCGTTGGCCACAATTGTTCCCTCGGGAATGAAGTGGCCGTCAATGACCGCGCCGGGGCAGTCGCGTGGCAGGCCGAACGCCAGGGGTGGGAATACTCGAAGCCCCTCCTCTATACAGCCGTGGAGGTATGGTAGTGCGGCGGTGGCGTCACCAGTGATTTCGTCGGGGGAGTTGAATGCTCCGCGAATCTCATCGGTGAGTTGTCTGAGACAAGACGGGTTGTTGAGCAGGTACCAAGTGAGGCCCGACAGGGCTGTAGCAGTGGTCTCTGAGCCGGCGATGATCAGTGTGTCTGCGTTGCCCATTAAAGCGTCCTCCGTCAGGGTTCCATTCTTGATGAGGTGGTCGAAGAAGTCGTACCGGCCCAGGCTGCCGCGGTCCATGCGCCTCTTTGCTTTGTCCTTGCTTATTCTTATGTGCTCGTCATGGTTCTCGATCATGCGTTTCGAGAAGCACCAGCGGAGGAAGAGACCACCCAATACAGGACCTAGGTTGCGAGCTGCTCTTCGCCCTGCAGAGTACATGAGGTAGTCGAAGTTGACGCTGACTTCGTGGCTTGAGCCCCCAGAGAGGCAGCCAAAGGGCTCGCCGAACGCCAAGTCTCCTGCGCGACAGGTCAGAAATTGGGGTCTGGTGAGAAAAGCAGTGTCAGTCACGGGGGAGTCTTACCGATGACATCGAAAGTAAGCCAATTCCAGACCTCTGTGGCGTTCACAGCTATCTTGCCACCGGCCCCAAGCGAATTGAGCTGCTTCAGAAGGAGATCCACGTAATGGTGGACAACGTCCTCCTGGTCCCGAAGGGCATGGGCGCTGAAGGCGTGCGAGAGGGTCCTCCTCTGCTCGGCGTGTACCACCGGATCACGGACCCTAACAATGCGCGGCTCGTCGGCCTCGTACCATTTGTTCTTGAGAAACCTCTTCTTACCGTGTGTCACGTGGCCATATATATCACGGTACGATTGTGGCGTTGAGAAGGACAGGGAGTTGGGGCCCACGCGTACCACATCGCCTGAGGAGACAGGTCAGTCCGCGGCAGCGCCAGGTGGAGGGGAGGCCAACACACCATACTTTCGATGGAGATCCGTCATGACGAAGCACTGTCGACCGGTGAAGGAAAGCCATATTTGCCAGAGCTGTGTAACAGCGGCAAGTTTTGGACCGGGATACTTGGCGAGGGGGTGGAAGAAGAGCAGATGTGCACATTTCGCCAGGACATATATCGTAACCTGCCCGGATTGTCAACTGCGGCCCGCGACAGCAGGGGTTGATGGGAGGCACTCACGGTGGCCAATCCAAGGAGACAGATGCTGCTTGGAGACAGGGTCCTGAGCTGGAGGATTGGGGACATTCTGCCTGTGGTAGGAGGAGCCGGGGCACAGGGGAGGGGGATAAATGACGGCCAGGTGTCGCGAGTCAACGGGCGCGAGGGAGTAGCATCGCTCTTATATAGTCGGGCTGATGCCCCTCCCCGTCACCCTGCTACTCATTCACCACGGTGACACGGGGAGGCAGTCGGTGGAGACAGTCCACGTCGCAGCTGTCAGCTCCAAAGCAGCAGGGCCGAGGACTGCATGGGCTATCTCACGCCACTGGGCTTAGGAGGCTGCAGGCCGGTGGCCATGATGGCGACGACCCAACCAGCTGGTCCGCGATTATGGCAGATGCCGGGCTCTCTCTCGCACCCGTGCTGCAGGATGCAAAGGGGGGAGATTTGTCTGGGTCGCATGCGTTAGTGACCGGAACCGACGCGGAGCCGGCCAACTGTTGTGGACGGGGAAGGACTGTGCCTGCATCAAAGGATCAACATTCAAGCTGGAGCCTATGCCCTCATTTCCCGTCCACCCTTCTTCTTTCTTCTGACAGCATCTTGCATGGCCAGATCTGGCGGGTTGTTCCACCAAGGACCTTCCTGTTGGGACCTGTCGCCGATTGACGCATGCGCAGCTGCGCCGTCAAGGAAGCTCGCCACGGTGAGCAGGTCGCAGTATGCACAGGTGAAATCAAGCAGTAACACACACATGCACAGGAAAGAAGCGCATGGAACGGCGTTGAATGGCATGCCAAAGGCCGCACGCACATGTCTCTCAGCTTGCACCCGACGGTGCCGGGGTGAGCACACCTCGCAGGGGTTACGGGGATACAGACAGACACTCGATATTCCATATGAGCAGACAGGCAAAAGTATTTAGCCCATAATGCCCTGCACGTCATCATCTTCCAAGACACTGCACAGGAGATTGTATCATGGCAAGACATACAGTGCTCTTCGGGTCAGATGTCCCCCATGTCGTCCTCCGCTAGTCTTGTTGCAACATAAGATTGCGCTCCCGCCCTGCTTTCGATGGATGATCGGTCAGTGGTCTGTCAGTGGCAGCCGGTGAGAGTCCATGTCCGACCACAAGGGCCAACAAAATGTTGTTTTCCAGCAAAGACTGGGCGGCCGCAATTGCAGTAGCCCCCGGGCTCCTGTGGCGCTTGCGTGCCGAGCAGCTGGGCGACGTTGTGTTAGACTAGACCGTTGGAAGTCGACAGGAGAATGCGAGCGAGCAGCACGCAGCTCGGCAGCCAGATGTGCGCGGCTGAGTACCTGCGCCAACGGGAGGGCGCATCAAGCATATAGAGCACTAACTCGTCCCCGGCAAGGCGTCACCCGGCGTCGGTAAGGTGCTAAGCGATGCGCCTTGCCGAAAGCTTCGACGGCGTGTTCCAGGGACAAACCGCGACTCCGATTTTTTTCTGGGTGGCACCTCCGAAATCCAACGTCGGTCAACCGAGTGGTGCTACTACTGCCGCTGGTGCGACTGCTGCTACTGCAGCTATGCGCCCGGGACGCTTTCTTCACCTGTGATCCTCGACGCGGCCTGCGCCCCAGAGCTCTTGCTCCTGCTCCCATCTGACTTGAGAATGGCCAGGAAGAAGAACAAGCAGAGGAAGGACCCCCCAGATGGGGGCAATGGCGACCCCAGCGGCGGCATTGTCGCGCCCCTTGGCCCGGGGCTGGACGGGCCCGGCCCTGCCTCCAAGAAAGACGTTGTCACAACCACCGCCACCAACACCAACACCAACACCAACAACACCAGCGCCAGCACCGGATCCAATTCAAGGCCTAGGGCCGCTGCGCCCGCAGTGCCCCAGCCGCCAGCTTCTCCTGCCCTCATCATATGTCGGAACAAGTCAGTCGTGCCTTCCTATTGCTCATTGTCGCATCATTTGCAGGTGGCGCTCGACTCATCGCATCGTGCGCGGGGCGTTCGCGATGGGACAAAGCTACCTTCTCTTTGCGCGGCGCTCCCTTGACAACCCCACCACTCGCGATGCGCCAGGCCCAATTGCTGATCAATTGAAACCACAGACACTGGCGTTACATCTCTTCCTTTCACGGGCCATGGCTGCAGCTTCCCCACGAGATCCTCGAGACCCTCGTTAACATCAACTACAACACGCCCCGCCCCCGCCCAATCGACCCCGCCGTCTTCTACGACCTGGTCAAGATCCGCCGACTCGTCGACGATGCGACCGACCTCGCTGTCCGCGCCGCAAGTGGCGTCGTATCCCTCAATAGCCTGAATAACTCCCACCCTGCTGCCGCCCTGGGGCTGGGCTTTGGCGGGGGGAACCAGCCAAAGCTAAGCCCCGAGCGCAAGCACAAATTACGGGAGCAGGCGACCCAGAAACTGGCCAGGGCATATCGACTCGACGAAATAGCATGTAGTGTGGCCACAATGCAGAGCGCATCGGCCCTTGAGGACGTCGCGAGTTTGGTGTTGAAGAGGGACCCCAACAATCTGGATGCTAAGTACGTGCACTTTTTCCATGAAAAGATCCCCAGCCGCCAGCTGGCCGAATCGACAAGCTTGGACACCTTAGACGACGTGATATCAGGACAACAGTCCGAAGGCGAACCCCTAAGGACACGGGCGACCGTGCGCGTCTTCAAGGAGGACTATGATGGTGCCGCCAGGGACTTGACGGAGGCCCTGCAGGTGTTCCGGGCACACAAGGCCCACAGCATGGCCGGTAAGTCGAGGCAACTCCAAGTAGTCGAGCCTGGCGGGCGGCGGCTGGACGTCAAACTAGACGAGGATCAGCAGCCAAGCAGCCTGGAGATACAACTCCTATTTGCACGCGCCGGTGTCTATCTCAGCATAGCTTGTTTACATGTGAATGAGGCCCTACTACCCATACCGACGGCCGCTAAGTCAAAAGACCCGGAGAGCGAGAACATCGCACAGCCGACAGACGGTCTTGGAGACCAAGCAGACGTGGGAGATGGGGCTGGGTCAGGAACCTCAACGCCCGCAACGGATGCGCTACCCCCCGAGCTCACTTCGGCAGAGAAAGAGTCGCAGAGGCGCGTGCTTGAGGCCAGAAAGTTCGTCAAGTCCAATGCCAAGAAGGCGCTTCGGGACTACATGGCCTACCTGTCCAACTTTGACTACTCACCAAATCTGCCCACAGATATCGCCGAGGACTTCACGAGGAAGGTGAAGGCCGGAAAGAACAAAGGCAGGCGGCCAGCTTCTCACATACGCAGTGATTCTCCTAGTGGTGGAATCGCCCACACCGTTTATACACTGAATGAGCTCTTCGCCGCGACGCCTCCAGCGGACCTACCACCTTACCCTCCTACGGACGTCACGTTGGCGGGACCGGAACCAGGCATTGAGGCGACATATGTTGGGACGACCATGGAGCTGGTGACATACCACCCACTCATGACAGACGCGCTGCATGCTCTGCTCCTGTGTCACGTTCTCGTGCAGACCTCAACAAAGGAACTGCAACGTCACGCGTACATGGTTGCGCGCCTCGCCCGGCTCGCAGACGGCTACCCGATGTTCCAGGCGAGTCGGAGCCCAGCACGCGCAGATTGGATCGAGGTCCTCCGTAGAGGCGAGAACTGGATCGGCCTGGCGGTGCCGTGGGAAAGCCTGTGCGCAGCTGCGCCGCTGTACCCCGGGCAGAGCTCCCAGAACAACGGCCCCAATCCCAGTTCTAAGCAAGGCCAGAAGGCCCTGCCCGCGCCTGAGGCGGTGAGAGAAGTCAAGAAGGACATCGACGACGAGGACCGTGAAAGGATCAACCAGCAGGCCTTGATGCGAGCCATCGAAGACGACCGCGTCGGCGACGAGGCGACGCTTCGCGCGGCAATCAGCGCGCACCGGAAGCGGGCCGAGGATGACCTGAGGGCGGAGCGAATGGACGGCAGCGGCGAAGCCAACGGCGCCATCGTCCCAGTCGCCAACGGCGGGTCCAAGCCCGCCTCGCCGGCCCCACATGAACCGGGCAGCGACAAGGCCCCGTCCTCGTCGTCCTCCAGCGGCCGCGCCCCCTCGCCCGGAACGGCGCACCGCCGCTGGGCCATGGACGAGGGCCGCGAGTACCCCATCCTGACAGAGCGCGCCTCGGCTGTGGCGCGCTGGCTCCGCGAGGCCCCTCCCGGGGCCGGGTGGTCGTGGTGGTCACTCCAAGAAGAAGAAGAAAGCTGCCGCCCCTGCTGCTTGAAGCGGCTGTATACAGATAATGGGCGTAGAATTCTAAAAAGCATTGCTGAAGATGACTGAGTCCTCCATGACCCTATAACCACATTTGTAACACCTCGGACTGGGATCGGAAGCCGCCTTGTAAATTAATGTCTGCCGTCTTTGCCTGTCGCCCGGGATTACTCTTTACCCACACCAGACTTGGCTGATAGATCAGCTCTAACGTCGCAGGTCCCAGTCTCCTCCCAACATTCTTGTCTCCCCTACGTATCAAAGGCACAAGCACCACTGTACTGGCGCAGTTACAGCGCCACATATACAGGAGGTATAGGTGTCTAGCGCAAGACTGTTCACTGGGCAGATACTGAGTAGACGTGTCAGGTCTGTCCAGGCATAGGTTATCCAGCGCAGGTCCCGTAAGTATGAGCATGATAATTTTCCTACCATCAAACTCAATGTGAACGAGAGGTGTCACAAGCTAGGCAGATTTCGGTTCTCCTCAGGTACACTGTTCCTCCAGCGGACGAAGACCATAACACCCAGAGATGAGCGCGCATTCTCCCCCTTGGCGTCCTGCCGCATAAATGCACAGGTGTCGACACATGAGATTGCATATACTGGCACATGACTCCTGCCCAAAACAACGTTCAAAATTGCAACCTAAGCTATGCTCCTTGTTCTCATCTCAGTTCCACCTGATATTCCCGTCCGGTCCGGGTGCGCCCCCAAGACCACTCAAGTCCATCCCCAGGAAGTTGTTGATCTCGCCTACGCCGTCCGTCTCGAGGATGTTCATCAGTTCCATCTGCTGGTCGGCACTCAAGCTTCCGTGTCGCTGCGCCGCAAAGCCGAATCCTTGCGGCATGCCGTGGCCTCCGCCGCCACCGCCGCCAAACCCTCCCGGAACGCTGGTCGGACTCGTACTTTCATAGCTACCACCACCCATGATTCCTGAGAAGGCGGCGTTGGATGCGGCGGAATCATTCCAGACCCCGTGCGGCGAGTTCATCCCGTTGAATGCGTACGGTGAGATGAATGGCGGTGGAGGGGAGAACCAGTCGCCGAGTGTCGCTTGTTGTGGCAAGGGCCTTTGCTGCTGCTGCTGGGGGTGTTGCTGGTGCTGCTGCTGCTGATTTTGCCGTTGGCCATTGATAACGTGAAGAGGCAATGGAGGGACTGTGAATGTCGGCGTGCGATGGGTCGGTTGCTGCGGCGTTTGTTGCGGTGTCGGCTGGGCGTTGGGAGTCGACGGTGGGTCGAATCCCATGTCATCTGGAGCCGGCTCGTATTTGATGTGTGCTGGAGGTACAGATTGCTGCTGATTTGCGCCGACAGGCATGGGGCTGCTGTATGTCATCTTCGGTGTAGGGCTGCCAGTCGCGTCCGAGTACGAAGTTGGCGGTGGCGAGAAAGTGTTCGGGGCCGTGTTCATTGATTCCGGCGGTGTCGGAAGCTGATTCTGCGTCACGCCGACTGGCGATGATTGAGCAGGCGGATGAGCTGCGCCGCTTGGATTTAAGGGGTCGCCCACGTGGGGAGGTTCGCCCGGTGACGGCTGCTTGAAATCAGGCGGGAAGTATCCGAATGAAGGGCGGCGACCCTCAGTTGGCTCGCTGGAAGGATTTTTGAAGATCGAATTGGAGCGGAATGTGGGCTGCCGGAAGGGGTTTGAGTCAAAATTGAAAACATTCATGTCTTCTGCTGATTCCACAGTGTAACCAAACACAGGCTGCGTGAACACAGGTCGTTGCTGATTCTGTGCATAGGCTGATCCGTTTGATACGGTGGTGGGTACAGAGTTCTCCGATGCGGCTGGCGAATCATTGTCCACCAGTAACGGAGACGTGTAGGCGCTCGTAATGGAAGAGTCCGATGGGTCGTCATTGGTGTCGTAACTTTGCAGGCAGGCACGGCCGAAAACAGAGTAGAGTTGCGACGCATTCTTGGTCCCAGGCCACCGTTCAGAACATTGATCGATGACGTCCAGCGCAACATTGACGATGTTTTCCACGTCATCTTTGGAGTGGACTTCGCGGACCTCGCGGTACGAGATGGCCCACAAGAGAACATTCAGCGACATGTTCAGGGTAAGAACGAAGACCCACGTGATGTCGACCGCCGACTTCTTCACCTGTTGATTAGAGAGGTTGATTATATAGACCGCGGAGTCATAGCAAATTGCAGCTGAGCGACTCGACGGCCTTGGAATCTGAGGGGACGGCCGATGCAAACTTATAACCATGGTGTGGTACCGCCCGGTGAACCTTCACTTTTGTCAGTACCTATGAATTCTACCTTGGCATCATGAGGGAAGACGTCCTTACCATGGTTTGCACCATACTGGCTCTTTCGGGGCCGTATCGATCCAGTCCTTGATTTTCCGTTCCATTTCGATGAAAATGGGACTTTCAGCGTCCTTGGGCTCCGGTCGCTTTTTCTCGTACAGACACCTTCGAATCTCGGCCTGGCGTACACGCATCTTGCAGAAATGGATCGCGACCAACTTTTTCTCGCTTGCTGGGCCAGGGAGGATACCGTCCGGCGTGATATTCTCGTCATCAACAGTCTCGAAGAATTGGACATCCACGAAGTCGTCTCCTTTTGCAAAACCATTGGGTCGACCCATAGAATGCGCCAGTCCGAGTTCATTGCCAGTGACGATCCAACTCATCCGGCGACGCAGGTCCATCTGAAGAGGGTCAATCAACCCCATTGAGTACCCGGCGGATATTGTTTTCTCGTCAGCCAGGCCGAGTTGTTGACAGATCTTGGTCGCCAAGCCGATAATGTGGTACACAACGGTCCGGGTCGGGGTCAGAAGCGAATATGTACCGATAAGGACCAAGCACTGAAGCGTTTTGAGGTCCTTGGGACGGATGACATCTTCAAAGTACGCCATGGCAGCTACGTAATAGCTATCGGCGAGGCCGGCGTATTGAATATCGAGCTTCTGTAAGCTTATTGCAAGGACCATGCGAACCACGAAGTTTTTGTACGGGTCAGCATTGCCATTGTAGACATCTTGAAGGTCTGTGTCAAACTGCTTTTCATGCAGTGTCGGCGTGAAATACTGGGCTGCCACAATGTTAGTGAGCCGAGACTTGCGCGCAATGTGGCATGTGCCTGGGTGCAATGTTTACCTCGGGAGTTGAACACTTCGACGAGCTTGTCTGCCACCTGTCGTGCCGGTAGTGTCTGGGCCGGAATCTCGCTGACCATCGGGAAATTCTTCTTCCTGGCAGCCATTCCAGACGGACCACTGACACTTGCGCCCATGTGGACAATGCTTTGCATCCTGTCGAGACGATCCATTCTTCTCGCACGAACATCGGGGAACAGCTCTGATATGCGCTGGGAGTCTGTATATCGCTTGGCCTGGTCCATGAGCAATCTTGTCATGGCTATGCCAGAGCTAGGGCCCAGATAGCGCGGCGTCTCATCTGACTCGCTGAGTTTGACAAGACCGCCTGGACGCACGATGTCCTCTGCGCTTTCGGGGTGATCATTATCGTCGTCGGTGTACTGAGACAGCTCCGCCTCCAACTGACGTACCTTTTGTTGAAGGTGGACGACATAGTTGCGGTTTATCTTCTTGTTCCTCGTGGTATCAAAGTATTCGCAGACTGAGCCGGATCGTTCGCAAGGCAGACATCTGGGGAGCGTTGGGTCGCACCTCGTTTTGCGCTGTAGCGAGGAGATTCTGTCAGCCTCGTCACCACTCTCAAAAGTTCCCAAAGCCCAATAGAAGGAGGTCAAAGACCAGGAAATCAGTCCGGGATCAGCGAGTCCTCGGCGTCAGCGACCGCGTGTATGCAACAGCGGCTGGGAACAGAGACAGAACATGGATCCGCGAGCAAGGGAAAAACAAGGTACTTGCCTGTCTGCAGCGACAACATGCGGTCAGGGTGTGCGCGATGCGGTGTGAGTTGACGTCGCTCTCGTCATCCCGCTGTTGGGTGGGCGGCCTGCGCAACGACGGAGCAGACTGGGGCGGTTGGGAAGTGCGAGGAGGACCGGGAGGGTTGTAGAAGTACTGGGGAGGCCGAGGAATCGCGGAACCGAGCCCTTGCCGGAAGACGTCTGCGGCATCCATATGCGAGGGTTGCAACTCCTAAGAGGCCGAAAGAGGATCGATCGACTTGGTCCGCCGCGGCGCGTGTTATGGTTTGCAGGCTGGCAGGCTGAGCAGCCGGGGGTTTAGCAGTTGGATGCTGTGTGCTGTGTCTAAGGCGCGAGAGAGGATGGTGGAGGGCGTGGTTCTGAAGGCATGAGGCTGTACGAATGTTCGGAGACGGGTGGGGTCCACTGTCGGTTGTCGAAGGTTTGGGAGCTCTCGCGTGTGCTCTGCTATACAAATGGGTTACGTGATAGCAGAAGAGCAAGAGCCGAGCCGATAAAGTCAAAGATGGTCGATCGGAAAGGAGGAAAGGCGGTGGCGATGGCGTGCGGCCAGGAGGTGTGGGCTTGTGCGCTGCTCTGTCGTTGGTGGTGGTGGTGGTGGTGATGGTGGTGGTGGTGGCTACGGTTCGGGATGAGGACGAGGTTGTGGTTGAGGTTGTGTAGAGTGGTGGTGTGCCTCGATGTGCCTCGCCTGGCCTTGCGCTGGCCTGCTCTGCTCGGATCTGCGTTGCTCGTCAAGGCTGCTTGCTGCACACGATGCAGACGGGACGAGGTACAGTAGAATACGGGACTAGACTGGATATGTGCATGTTCCCCCAGTCAGCCAGTCCACAGTTCTTTTCTCAGCGGAGCAAGCACGGGATACGGCAGCAACTGCCAGGACGTCAGGTCGACTCAAAGGTGCAGGAACGTGGGGAGCAGGAGCACAGGTGGAGCCTCGCCCCACATTGCACGAGGGAGAAGCCAGGAAGGTCCTGTTCAACTCCCGAACAGGCTAGCACACTCAAGCCCGGCGGGGTTCCCCTTCTGCCCTGGCCTTCCTGGCACCTCTGCACCTCTGCTGGGCAGGCGCCATCTTGTTTTAGGAGCTCCCAATGCCTGTCACCAAACATCTTCTAGAAGGGTCAGGGTATATTCGCTCAAATATCAAGTCGGGCACTCCGTACTCTGACTAGACCGTATGGTCTTGTCTTGCTGGTCAGGACGAGGAAGAGAGAGACACAGGCAGGGCATGGCAGGGCATGGCAGGGCATGGCAGGGCAGGGCAGGGCAGGGCAGGGCAGGTCCCTCAGCGAGACGTGCAGTCTCCCACATCTTCTCTCGCCGCTGTGTGTGTTCCTTTTTGTCTCCGCCATATGGGGGCGATGACTTGAACCGGCAAACTCTCTGCCCGCTAGCCTTCCCTGTTCGAGATGTCAATCGTGAACTAAATCGTCTCGGTCGCTTGGCAGCGCCTGTCAAAATGCTTCAAGAAACACTCGCGAGCTGACGGGCGGGCGGACGGACGTGATGAACCGTCTCGCATTCGGTTTCCTGAGCGTTGGGGGCCGGGCCTGTGAGCCTGTGAACCTGTGACCCTTCCCGCCCCTTCGTCCACGGAAGAGACGAGTCCCTTCAACAACCCGAAACCAGCAGGCTGCAGGCTGCAGTGCACAGTTCGACCTGGCCTGGGCATCTCATCCGCCATCAGTTTCGCACCGTGGCCTGCCGCTCCTCGTGCTGGACATGACGCGCAGCGCAGCGCACGGCACAGACAGGACGTGGGCAGAGGGCCGACAGATACATCCCCCCCAAGAGCTTCATCTCGTCCTCCGAGCCAGCACAGCCTGCTGCTCGGGTTGAGTCGCGCAGGGTCTGGGATCGCCAAACCCACCGACCAACGAAACCGGCACGCGACTCTGAGATACTCCGCTACACAACCCGTCTCCCGACTCCCTCCACTGGAGCCTCATCATTTCGGAGCCCGGGCGTTGGACGTGCTACCTCCATTGCGTCACATGCCCGAAGCCGCCCATTGCAAACAGAGTTCAGCCTGCATCCTGCTCATTGTCAAGGCCGGCATGTCGCTGCGTGCTAAGCATCCATACAGGAACCTTGGAAGTCAGTGACGGTGCTCAGGCCTTGCGGCGTGGATGCTCGTTCCCTGGAGTGGGCAACCATCGACCCGATGTTCTGCCGTGGTGCAACATCTGGAGACGGCACATGGCGCGGTGGCGATGGCTTCCCTGCCGCGAGATCTCATATTAGATCCAATGCTCAACGGCCCAAGATCTTGGTGTCGCATTTGAAGCGCGCGACCATTACGAGCATCCGTGGACGACAGGTACAAGCATCCCTGGGAGGGGCCCGAGTACTTTGTGCTGGGGGCTTTGCACGTGCTAAGCCTGCCACAGCCTGACTGTTGGTGAACACATACGCGCACATGTGCAATACATAGTACCGATTCGTTACTGAGGAGGGTTTCGTCCTAATCTGGTGTCTTGCCTACCACACAGCGCCCGCTCACGTTCCAGCCGGCAAGCATGGGATGTTTATATGACTGCCGTTGGATGTATTCCGTCTGATTTCAGAAGACGAGTCGCCAACAACAAACTTCCCCGACATTCCGGGATACCTTGTTTGCCGCACGACCAAGGCTGTCATGTATTTGCTGTTCGGGTTCACCACACAGTATATAGCATTTCACATGCCTGTTAGACTACACCTCGTCTAGTCTATTATTAGACAGAACAGAGATGAGAGACAAAGCATCGGCATTAGAACCCGCATTCAAATAACCCTGGACAGCGGAAGACCTAGGCCCAGAGGGGCGATGGTCAGCAGCTTGTACCTTGGTGCCGCGGTACCCAAGTACCGTATGCCCTGCAGAAATACCACCGTGGTGGGGTCGTGTCTTCTGTCACCACTTGCCCAGGACGAACCTAGGGCGGCTTGCCCCCCAACCCCACCCTGCCCATTCGGTCTGGGAGGCTCGTTAGGCAAATCACCGCGCCGTCGGGTTCTCTCTCGTCGCACTGGCCGCTGCTATCCCAAGGCTGTCTCCTCGTCGCCGTCGCCTGTCGCAAACGAAGCTTCCTCGCCCATCCCGAATCAACACAGCCTTCATTGCTTCGCTATCAATCGCACCCTGCCTCTGACTCAGGTCGCCCGCCTTGTGTCTGTTTTCGACCCGTATTCCACTTGACCTTGAACGTGCCCGGCCCCAGGATCCCGCCCACCCCCTGGCAAACGCGAGCAAGGCCAACAAACGGCCAAGCTCTGTACCGTGGCGAGCCATCTTGCGCCAGACACTATTCACATCCTGCACTCTCATACAGTACCTGTGAAGCCAGTATTCGGACCCCTCTCCCTTTTCCATAGAACGAGGCTGTCCTTGCCGACGCCCACCTCAAAGGGTCTCTCGCAGTGCTGAGCTGGACTGGACTAGACTGGACACAGTCGCCCTCAACCCAGTGAATCAGATCCAAAGGAGCAGCGCCCCTATCTTCAAATATAGCAGCAAGACGAATGCCTAGGTCAAGCTTCTCGGATAACCCATTGTTACGGGTCTCGAGACCTGTATCCGCGTGCTCGAGATGTGAGACGGCGCCTCCCCCGCCTTTACCCTTGGTCCCTTTGTTCCGTCACTGACTCTTGCCCACTCAGGTCGAGCTGCGAAAGTGAAGGTGATTGGTCATTTCTCTCCCACCCGAGGTTCTTATGCTGAAACCATGTAGTGTGATGGCAAGCTCCCAGCTTGCACGGCCTGCGAGAAGGCCGGTCGCGAGAATGAGTGCTCTGCCGCAAACGACCAGTTCGCTCGTGGCAAGGAACGGAGGTACGATGATGTGGTGCTGCTCAGTGCCGGTTTCTGTCTGCTCCTCTCAAGACACGACTGACTGACACGCGCCCAGCTATGTGGCCGCACTCGAGCTGCGCATCGAAAAGCTTGAGCGGCGACTGAATTATGCTCGCTCGCGGAAGGCCTCGGTGGCTAATCACGAGCAGGACGGCCCGCTGTCCAGGGCACAGCCGCAGGACCGTAAAGACTCGCTCGCGAACATCCGGGCAGCCATACACCGAAAGGCTGAACGGAAACGAGAAAACTCGGATGTCAACTCCTTGATATCCGACTTTGGCTACATGTAGGTGCCGACCCCGTTGCAATGGCCTTATTTCTGGACTGACCCGGATCAAGGTCCATCAATGCCACTACCCGCGACTTTGAGCCCACCCTCAGCAACATGACCTTTGCTCGTCTTATTCTTGCGGCCGTGATCAATGATCCCTTGCCTGAGCCACAGTCCCAAAGCTTGCCAGAGAAGCAGGCCGCTCATTCTATCGTCCAGTACTACATGGCCAACATTTATCCTCTGTTTCCACTATTTCCTGGAACAGTGCTGCTGTCGGCACTTGAGGACATGTACCAGCAAGAGCGCCACGTCAATAGCGCAAGCAAGTGGCTTGTATACATGGTACTGGCGACAGGTTCCATGGCTCAGTCGCGGAGCACCCAAGATGACTTCTACAAGAACGGCGTAGACTTCGCGTCTCACGCCCTCCAACTAGCCGATCGTGCTCTGCAGCCTGGCCATGCCACTCAAATACAATCTCTCGCTGTCTTCACTCAGTACGCCATGCTGGACCCAGCGCATTTCGACAGCTGGCACTTGATTGGATTCACGTGCCGCGCCGTTGTCGATCTGGGCTTCCACCAGGACCCGCCAAATCAGAGCCAAGCCGACAGGGCGGCGCTCGATATGAGGCGCAGGACCTTTTATTGCGTATACGCGCTGGACAGGTTCGTTCATTCGAGGCTTGCTCCATTCCCCCGGCGTCAGGCACTGACAAAATTGGTTTCGCAGGGCAATCAGCATGGTGCACGCCCGCGCATTCTCTTTCAGCGACGATGCCATCAGGGTCGATTTGCCGGCCATGTCTGGCATAGGTCGCATAGCCTCCGTCGCCGGTACAATAACAGGCCCGCAGTCGCATGATCCTGCCATTCTGCTATTCCAACTCCGCCGCATCCAATCGCAATGGTACCAGACCTTGATTCAGTCCGACCCCAGCCAGCCTATCGAAGGTCACGACGGAGATGTCACATCTTTCATCTGGCAGATGTGCCAGGATATGCGCGAGTGGGATGAGTCCCTTCCAGATACGCTGCCCATCGGCATTCGGGAACTCTTTGATCTGGAGTTGAAGTACAGCTATGTCTACTGCTTGGCCCCGAGTGCTCGTGCGCCAGTTATGACGGCTTACGGGCGAATGTTGATCTTTGAGTATGCCATTGCTTACCTTGATCACATCTATGGCATTGCGCATGGAAGCCCAGACCCCAATCCATCTCTCTACACCTACCATGATGCGTTGAGGGTCTTCTTTATGGGCAGTCAGTTCATGGCAGTCCTACGAGACGCCGGTGACTCCATTCTTGCAGGGGCATCCGTCCCTATGCCACTGGCTTTACCGGGAAGGGCGCCGCCACCACCCTTTCCCACACGGACCAGTAACGATGACAACCTGACGAGAAGCATTCGCTGCCTTGAACGAGTCAAGTTGACCCTACAGAAGTACGGCGAGAGGTGGACCAATGCACAAAGCTTGATGCAGAGTTTCAACACAATCAGTGAAGATCTCCTCGAGAGTCTCAAGACGAAACAGCAGCAGGGTTTCCAATACGCTGTCGCTGCGCAAGCTCAGGCACAGGCTCAGGCACAGGCACAGGCTCAGGCTCAGGCACAGGCACAGGCACAGGCACAGGCACAGGCACAAGCCCAAGCCCAAGCCCAAGCCCAGGCCCAAGCCCAGGCCCAGGCACAAGCCCAGGCACAAGCCCAGATGCACCACCAGCATCAATATCATCACTCTCCGCCTCCACGACAATACCAACAGATTCCAGGCACGATGGCGGGAGCCATGTCCGGTCAGATGCCCCTGCCAGGGACAGGTCAAATCCACCCTCAGATGCATCATGGGCAGTACACCATGTCAATGCAACAGCAGCCGATGTATGTAACAACGAGCCCGCCGATGCACCAAATGCAGATGCCTCCCCCTCCCCAAGGGCCGCCGATGCATCACATCCCCCAGCGGGGGTCGCCTAATCAGGACGTCAAGTGGGAAAACGTCGACATCTCGCAGATGATGGGAGGAGGCGGCATGTGAAGGCAGAGCACTCGGTCTTTTGATTTCTTACATTGTTAAAGAGGGTCTGCTACGGCGTTGGTGAGCGAAGCACCTTCTATGGGATCTGGCGGCAAGAACGGGAGAGACAGGGTTACGACAATGTCTTTGCTGTTTATTGGATACTTCATGATAATAACGAATGCATCAATCGGAGTTGCATTCTGTCTGGGCTCGATTCTACTGGCCGAGTCCGTAATTTTCAAGTGGAGTTTGCATGGAGTATCTTGACATGCGAGCTCCCGTACTGCTGGCAAGATGACAAACAGATGTGCAGACAATAGAAGACCGACAATGCGACTGCGGACTAAGTTTTACGTGCCTGATATTCTCCGTCCAGTTTTCTTCCGCTTTGTTCCGCACATACCTAGGCGTCAATGCATCCTATGTCACCTCTTCCACGACCGCTCAGGAACGCCACCGCCACGTCTTTGCGCCGCCGGTTGGCGGTGCTACCCAAATATGCTTAGGCAGTTCCCGCATTTGGGCCTGTCCAGGGCCTCTTTGTACATGGAGCTCCGTCGTGTATCGTCCTCCGCGTAGGAACTCTCAAATTGAGCCATCGTGGCGCCCTTTTCAGATTATTAAAGTCCGGACACGGGGTCTCACGAGGCAAATGGCACGGGTCTAAATACAAAACCTAGCATTTAATAGCGATGAGAGCTCCAAAGCAGTTGTTCGCCCGTCAGCAGCTTGAGCAGATGCCATCATGGTGGCCACGGCGCGCCAGGGGCAGGATTCCTAGCAGAGAATCGCTGTGGACGAAGGGCTGCCAACTAAGAATGGAACAGGATATGAGCTAGCTCTTGGGTATCACGGGCCTGTCAAAGAGTCTATCCAGCGAGACAAGGATGGTCCTTAACTCGACTAAGCCTTAGGCCTAGGTGTTCGCCGGCCCGGCACGGTGGGGTGGATAAAAGAACTAGTAAACCAATATTGGTGGACAATGGACATTCGCGAACAAGTTGCAACACAATGGCCTCGTTATAGGGACCAAAGGACTTATTGTATGGCTGGGCCGCTCTTGTAAAAAGGTGCGCTTGATTATTTATATGCGTTGGTAGGATTCAGATGTCGATCAAAGATTCCGGTCAAGAGCAGGTAACTGCTGGAGCCTCGGTTTGAATCTACTAGTGAGAAGAAGGCATTCTAGTCATACAATCTAGAGGCTTCACAATGTCTAATCCCACTTTGCCATTCATGTTGCACCCAAAGTACTCTAGTTGGCAGCCAGGCCAAGCCGGCAAAACAGCCGGGTCTCAGCAGTATTCATACTCCGAGACGGAGACTATGAGCACGGATGGGGACAGAGCCGAATTTCTGCAGTACAGAAAGTACAAGTACGGTCAGTCACATCAGTCCAGTATGAATCTACTGGAGGAGATGAGTAAGGCCCAGGTGAACGACAAGCCCTGGCCGGAGAGTACTTGGGTTCTTGGAGGCGAAGTTCGTCAGGTATCTAGACAGCAACAACAAGTGGAAGAAGTTCGGGGCCTGCGTGCCTTTTCTGATGGGTACCCGAAAGGAACTCGTAGTAAAGTCAACAATCCCAAGAATACAACTACCGTTCCAACAACTGCTCCAACTTCTTCAACGCGCACCACTCACCAGCCACAACAACAGGTTGGTAGGATGCTCGGTCTCGGCGGCACCACACACTTGGGGCCTACCCGGGCTCGGTCCCAGAACCAGGCAGGAAATTCCACGCTGACAATCCGGACAACGAGAGCTCAAGAACTGAGGGCTCAGGCTGTGCGAAATGGGGTGACGACCAACACCCCTCGCGGCCGAGCAACGAATACCTCTCGTGCCCAACCGTCAGATCCTCAAAGCCCGTCTTCGAGGAGAGGTACGAAGGATGCAAATCGACCTAGTTCTTCTGTACGCAATCAACCCGACGGCGCTTCCACCAGAGGCACACCCTCTTCCCCGCCAGGTAGTTCCAACGGGGGAAGATCTGGTCTATTCGAAGGTTCGCAAGGCCAAAATCTTGGAGGGCTCGACTCGCGGCCAAGTAGCGCCAACTCGGTGAGTGTACCCAGCAATGTCCCAGACAAGTCGAGAAATACTAACTCAGGACTCCAAGACACTCCGGATGCGAGCGTCCAAGTGGGTGTTGAAATTGAGTTTCTCGTCGCACTCGAAATGAAACACAACGTTGGACCACCTCAGGAAAGGCCAGTTGATGAGCGGTACTTCATCCCCTTGGAGCAGCAAAAAGCGACGACGATAGTGGACGGCATCCCGGCTCGGCAATATATCTCACAGCTCCTCAGGAACTCAGGCATCCCAGCCGTGTCTGACCACGATCAGCGCGACGAAGTCCGTCAGGCCGCGGCCTGTTTCGAAGGCCCGCTAAACGAGGAGGATGAGTACGCGTTCTGGTCAGTTAAGTGCGAACCGGCTGGCATGGTCATGGGACTTGATGCAGATATATTCGACTATGTAGGGCTCGAGTTTGCATCGCGAAAACTCCGGGCCAACGCGGAGGGCTTCAAGGAGATTCAAAGCGTTATCCGTATCTTGCGGCGTCACGTCCTCGTCGCCACGAGCACGTCTTGTGGTGTACACGTCCACGTCGATGCTGCCACGCTCAATCTCCAAGAACGTAAGCACTTTGTTTGTCTCTATCTCTTGGCCGAGAAGGAGCTGTTCTCGCTGACCGCGCCGCACAGGAGAGGGAACAACACGTGGTGTGGACCCGTCGTTGAGAAGACAAAGTTGGCTGAGGACGCAGAAGATATCCTGGAGGAGGCGGGCGCTGATGACGGCGAGGATGGCCAGCCCCCAAGCGCTCGGAAAATGCTCACCATGAAAGCACTCATTCAGGAGTGTGCGAGCACAGAGGACCTACAGAGTGCCCTGTCCAGGAACAAACTCCCACCTTTTCACCGCGCAGCTCTTAATCTGAAGGAAGTTGGAGAACGGAGCTACACGTTCGAGTTCAGGCACTTCCAGGCGTCTTTGGACCCCGAAGTGATAGAGCAATTTGTCCGCCTTTGCGTGGCATTGGTCATGTCTGCGAAGGGCCTCGGTGGCCCCGAGCGGCCCTCTTTTGACGAAGTATATGAGGCATTTGGCCAGATCAAGGAGTGGAGGGACCTGCTGACAACCATAGGCCTGCAAGGTGCAATTAGCCATTGGGAAAAATTGCTCCAAGCATACCCTGCCGCAATGGAGGACAGTCCCTCCGACTCGTCTCGCATGGAAGAAGATGGTAGGCCATCGTCATTTTTCCCTCCATTAGATTAATTCCGGGTGTCGTTCGACTGCAAGATTTGGCTACGCAGATAATGAGTTGACTAGGCAGCGCGTTAACGATTTTCGGGATTTACTTTTGTAGTCTATTATTTCATCAGTTTTAGCATCTAGCAAAACTAATCACGCTTTGTTTACAGATCCATTCTAATTGATTATGGATAGTATTAAATGTGCTCGACTACGTGTCATTCTTCCGATGTGACTAGACGTAAGCGTAACTTGAAATTGCCACTTTTTGTTATTCGCTTCATTTCTTGATGTAGTGGTTGTAAGTTTTGAAATCGGGTTCCCTTTGATGTTTCTCCTTTTGAGATGGTCTAACTGTATTGTGCGAACTTGCCGTTGGACTTCTTCCTTAGTCTCCGTTCTTCGGTCGTGTGTTCGTGCTATGGCTTCAGCTTCTTAAGAGCTGTCAATGCCTGATCATGAAGATTGAATTTGTCGAACTAGCTGGCTTATACAATTCGGGGAGCAAGATTGGAAAATGTTTGGCTCGTAAGGTCATCTCCATGATTTTGAACTTCAATCGAGGCCAGACTCGTCTCGGAATTCTCTTGTCTCATTGGAAACAGTATCACTGGCTACGACGGAAGGTGTTTCAGTATGGAAGTTTTAGCATGCTGGTTTCTCTGCAGATATCACGCTCGCCCTATTTAGGTACCCGGCTGTCATTTCCAAGGTGGTCATCTCACTAGCATTCCTCATGAGCCTCGGTCTCCCCTGGTTCGGATCCAGAAGTTGTCCAACAGTCGCTCCCTCGGCCACACTTGCCTTTCGATTAACCACATCACCAGCGTCGAACGAGGGCGGCATTGACCTCAATTGAAAGATCTCACCGGGTGCCGGCTCCGAGATGGGGCTCTGATCCACTGACTGATCACCGCTATTTGCCACTGCGGTTAAATCGGAATTACCAGAACTTCCCGCGGTCGGTCGAGGCGGTGCTGGAAATGACGTCGCATAATGATTTTCGTGGGAGCCAGACGTGCTCTTGACAATTTTGGTGATGAGTTCGGCCATGTTCACTAATTCATGCTAATTAGTTTCCACTTTCTTTCCGGGTAGATGGGATATTGAATAGGGGCCAGTCTTGAATACTAACTCTCAATCGCTAATTTGATCAGGTACATTAGTGGATGAAATTGGATGTAGCTGTAGACTCTGTAGGAAAAATGCACAGTTAGAAAAGTGAGACGGATGCGCTGCTGCGTATATTTGCACGAGCTGGGAGGTTGATTCTCTACAAAGGCTAGTAAAGCTTGCTTACACGAAACTGTCGGGTAAAGACATGATGCCAATGAGTATAACCTGAACACTCGTCAGCTCATTTCTGACATTTTACCACAAGCAGCGTTTGGTCAAGCTCACATCTAACGACAAGGAACAAAAAATCATCACAAGATTGAATTTGTACAATGTTTCGTACTTGGTCAACCCATGAGCGACAAGCTCTGATCGAACCAAATATATGAAATATAGGTTGAGGCCGAGGTCCATCATTGCGAAGATGCCCTTCTCAACCCGATCCCATATCTCATTGAAATGGATCCAGGCCGGGCTGACCTGCAGGCGTGCAGGCATCCAAACAATGAAGACGCTGACGTTGACCAACCCGAGCAGTAGGGCGACTGCCCACTTCAGTCGGTTCACTCTACGCCCATCGTAAATGATGAGTGCGATACGGTTGATGATGATGTGCATAAGACATTGGGTCTGGCGTCACTGTGTCAGAACTGATGTTCCAGGTTTCAATAGCCGTGGCACGAGACTGACCTGTATTGTCCAAAGGCAGACTAGAAGAGAGGATACTGGGATTCAGCATAGATTTTGAGCCGTGTAGATACGTTTGGAAACTTACGGATGGCGAAGAACAGCCAGAAACTGCAAGGCTCGGGAGTCAGTGCACTGTCGACGTCGACCGGCTTCTTCAAGGGCTGGACGGTAGGTACCTTGGGGGTATCACGCTGTGGACGTATAGGTACGAAATGAGAGAATAAACGACGCTGGCCAGCCACACCGTCGTTATCATCAAGACGTAAGGATGGGTAAATAGTCGCTTGGAGCGATACAAGATCCGATATGCCTGGGCAACGATAGTGGTGGCCGTAAAAACGGCGCAAGCAGACGAAAAGCCGAACAGAAAAGTGATCAGGGTCAATGATGATGGAGGTGTTACTTCTTGCTTGTACCAAGGAGGGATGAGAAGTCCATTCATAGTGCTGGCATTGAATGCGCCGAATCAATGACATGTACTCCACACGTTTATAATGGAGTACTCTGCCATGAAATCCATCAGGTGCTTACAGACGGGTGAGAAGGGGAGTGGGACCGTAGGTTCTTAAGAATAAACCGATATCAATGGATATCAATGGCACGGGAACTACATTGTTTTACGTTGCGTCACTGTGGGCATTCTCGCAGGTCGGGTGGGTTCGAGGAGGGTGAGATAAACTTTCGCTTCCCAAACAACTCCCAGTGCGGCTCAGACTTCTGGGCCCCACCAGAGGGAGGGGGACCAAATCATTTCGTCTCTTTTGTGTTGGAGTCTGCAAGTGGCTTGCAGATCATCGGGAGCAACACTCGGATAGGAGAAAGCCTCTGCTTCACGCATTTTGACTGTGCAACTGACGACAAGGGCCGCACGAGGGGAAGGTGATCGGCAGCTCTTCAACGACAGGAAAATTTGTAGAAATCTGCCCGAGGGGTCCAAACTTTAAAGGAAGGCAGACGCGGGCGAGATCATACCCATTCCAAGTTATTGGCCTCTGACGTAGTCCGGAAGCTAATCACCCTTTCGATGACTTTACTCCAACATGGCGAGTCAGGCACTGACTCGGCAGGGTCCTCTAGCTGGTTGATGGCAATGCGTTGAAAGACATGAATGGACATGACCGGCGGCAGCAACCTGACGGGTCGCAGCCGTTCCTATTAAGGTTTATACCCGGGTTCGTTGTGACAGTGGGTCAGGAGACATGAACCGCCCCCGAAACTCTGCTCTTGGTGAGGAAATTAAGCATACCGCGTCGCTGCGGCATGGGAAAGTAGAATTTGGGTTCACGAGAACTGTTTCCAGATATTGTCAAAGCAGATTCATCATCAGCTTTGAGGTCATCACGATGTCATCATGGTAACTTGGAGAGCGGAACAGAGCCCGTGCAAAGCATTACTAGAGTCTAGACCTTGGGATCTCTTCTCACGCTGATCATGGCTAGGACTTGGTTGATCACGAATACATGTTGAAGACGTGAACTCGTTCCGCCGCCACCACCAAGGTAGACTTGCTTCCTTAAGAAGCCCTCGCACAGGCGCAAAATCTCTGGGAATATTTTCAAAGAGTATACGGCTTACTTTTGATACTCATCAGCGCCTCGAATGGTTCCCGTTCCGCCGGGACCGTAATTGCGGTGAGGAGCTTGCCAGCGGCCACTCCCAGAAGCGGTCCATGGAACTCCTAACTTCATCAATGCTTGCCGGTGATGTCACGGCTTGAGGAATTCGCAACGGTAGGATCTCGTGAGCCAATTTGCGTTACGTCCGCCTAGGGTTACATCTTACAACACGAACAGGAGGAGGATAGAGCTTGGCAGCACGGGAGCACATAGAAGACAGGTTGGAGGCGAAAACTCTATTCTTCAAAGCCAAGATCGCCAATCTGTGGGGGCGAGAAAGCGAACGAAGATGCGGAAAATACATGCCTCAGGCTGCCCACGGGTCAGGTCCAACCACTGCGCAGCATAGTGGAAGGGCCAACTTGAAAAGATGTACTTCGGGTAAACAAATAGCGTGGTGTTGGTCAAGAACTCTTCGGATAAGCTTCTCAGTTCAGCGAGTTCACTTTCCATCTTGACAAACTAGCCTTTCTACAGAATCTAGCCTTTACTTAGTGCAAACTTCCAATGTTTTATCAAGTGCTTCCTCCAACTACCGGAATTCGGGTTTTGGCTTCAATGATGCAAAAGAACACACGCAAGTGGGAGCTCACAGCCGAATTTCCAAATTCCCATGAGTCTTCGTATTAAATCTGTACGATCTGAAGCATTCTACCCACATTATTCGTCCAGTATCCATTGAAAGCACCAGTCATGATATCCCAAGTACAATTCCTTCCCAAACTCCTCTAAGCAATGTTCGCATACAGTACCAGTCTATAGGTATAAATGCGTAACGGGACATGAGTCTCCATTCCGCTTTTCTCTCTCTGCAATCATCTCGTCGACCTCGGCGGTGACCTCGTCAACCTTGGCCACCATGTCCGGCTTTTCAGCGCTGGAGCCCTTCAATATCCTGCCAAATACTGCCTTCGCCAGTGCGTCGACATCTCTGGCGTTGCCCCAGTCCGGCAGCGCGCACAGCCTCTCGAAGGAGCTCTGCAGTTTGTCTTTGACCGGGGCAGGCTTCACCGCCGTGACGTCAAGTTTCTGCTCCTCGAGGCGTTGGACGAATAGTTGCACGCAGTCCTTGGGCTTGAGGCTCTCGAACTGGATCACTTCTGGGAACCGACTGCCCAGCCCAACGTTTACCTTCAGGAGCTTGTTGATGTCGTCGTTGTAGCCAGCGAGGATGACCACGAGTTTGTTCTTGTACGCCTCTTTGGTCAGGAGGTTAAGCATCTCGATGAGGGCTTCCTTTCCGAAACAGTCGTCGTCATTGAGTCGGTACGCCTCGTCGATGAAGAGAACCTTGCCAAGTGCTCTCTGGAAGACCTTCTGGGTCTTGGGTCCCGTGTGACCGCGGAACTCGCCGATAAGGTCTGTTGTTGAGCAATCGTACACTTGATTGGTGGCCAACAGCCCCATGTCGTAGAAGACCTGCCCGATTCTCCGAGCTGTCGTAGTCTTGCCCGTGCCTACAAATTCTGTTAGTTCGCGGATTCTGCTGCGATCTGGGTGGGAACCTTACCTGGAGGCCCTCTGAAGAGGTAGTTGAAGGGAATTTGTGCGCGCGGATCCATGTCCAACGCCTTTGCGTTTTGCGCCATACGTGAGTAGGCCACAAGCTTCTCGACAAGATCGTTGGCACCCACAAAGTCCTTGAACAGGTCTCGGATGCGGACCTCAGCTTGGGTAGGTCTGTCGAAGTCGGCGTCGAAGTCCTGAGACTCCAGCAAGAACGGGTCATACTCTTCGGTGCACGAGGCGAGCCGGCCCTGCTGCAGCTCTTTAGCCCTGTTGAGGAGAATGTCGATCTCGCCGGCGTTTCCAAAGTTGCGGTGGTTCCTTGCTCGGGCGAGCACCTCCATCGCAACGTTCTTGGCGTCGTCCGGTGCGGTGTAGCTCTGTTCCTTTAGCTTCAGGTCGAGGATCTCGCGCAGTTCCTCATCCGTGAAGTCGTCAAACTCGAAAGCGGATGACATTGGGAACCTGCGGGTTAGGCCAGGGTTCGAGGCCTGGAACATTCGCTCCATTCTGTCCCTATATCCGAGCAGCAAGATGCACTCGTTGGGGCCGCCCTGGATGTTGGCGACCAGAGTGTCAATGATGGCGGTCTTGTAGATGTTTCCAGACCCGTGCTCGTTCGCCTCGTCACTGCTGTCGCTGAGCGCATAAGCCTCATCGATAATGAGGACTTTGCCTCTCGTTGAAGCGAGAATCCTTTTTGTGATGTTCTCCGACTCACCCAAATACTCCCCTATAAAGTCGGCCGGGCTCTTCACCACGACTTCTCCGTCGGTGAGCAGCCCAATGTCGACCATGATCTGTCCGTAGAATTTTGCCACGGTGGTCTTGCCAGTTCCAGGATTTCCGAGAAAGATTCTATTCATTGGGCAGTCCACAATGGGCTTCTCAGCGAGCTCACGGTCGTAGTTGATCTGGAGCCGATGTACCAGGGCCTTGAGGGACTCCTTCACGGACTTGAGCCCGACCATGGCTTGAAGATTCTTCCAGGCCTTGCTCTTCTCCAGAGCAGCTGTAGGTGGTGGTCCAACGATGTCCTCCATAGTGAGGAAAAGGTCATCGACCTTCTTCTCCGCTTTGATGGACTCTTCCAGTCGAGCGGCTTGTCTGAACAATATTCGCAGCAGTGTGTTCTCAACCTCACGGGCATTTCCGAAGCTGGAAGGTCCCCGACACCTGCCAATACGACGGGCTACGATTCGCATGTACACACCACTGGAACCTTTGTCGACCTTCATCTTGCCATTGAACTTGTCGTGAAGCTGCTTCTCAAGGATCTGGAGCAGCTCCACATCCTGATAGTCGTCAAAGCTGATTGTGAACGGAACCCGGCTCTGCAGGCTCTTGTTGTGGGTCATGAATGTCTCCATGTCCTTTCCGGACCCCGTGAAGATGAAGATGACTTGCCCTTGTAGCCTGTCCATCTCAGTCACGAGATAGTCGAGCACTTTGCGGCCTGTGCAGCTGATATCAGGACGGAGAATGTGGGCATCGTCTATGAACACGACACCTCTCTCATCGATTGCGCTGATAGCGTTCTTGAGTTCGTTGATGCCCTCGTACACGAGTTTTGAGCCGGAAGAGGTTGTCAACATATCGTCGGCAAGCTCAAGTGATGACAGGAATTTGGCGTAATGTTTGGCTAGAGTTGTCTTCCCGGTGCCAGAGTTTCCCACCAAGACAGTGTTGAATCGCTCTTTGGACAGATTGACGTCCTGGCGCCGGGCAGTGTCGACCAGGGTCTTGATTTCGAGCATCTTGGTCTTCACAGACTCGAGCCCGATAAAGTCCATGATTCCGTCAAGGTGAGTGTTAGATTCCTCCCTTGACTTCTTCCGGTCCTCCCATTCCTGCTTCGCCTTGGAGCTGAGGGTGGGCCAGGCGTTGTTATCCTCTGGCTCGCTCTCCTTGTCCACGTCAGCTGCTGCGGAATCAGACTCTTTTTTGTCTGGGTCGGCATCGTTGTCTTCTGCGTATTTATCTTCCGCTTCCGCAGTTGGTGTTGCCTTCTCTGGCGATGCCTCTTCCTCTGCGTCCTCCTCGTCGTCACTCGTCACGTACTCATCGTCTTCGAGCTCCTTCTGGCATAGGCGCTCCAGTTGTTTCTGAAGTGCTTGTAGCTTTTGCTTTTGCTTTTTCTGGTCTCGTCGTGACCGGAGGACTTCTCGTTGGTGGGAAATCTCCTCCATCAAGTCCTCGACCTGCTCCTCATGCTCCTTCTTCCTTTCTTCTCTCTTTTTCTTCAGCGCAGCGGACCGCTGTGACTTGGCATCTTTGCTTAGCTTCTTCGCTACGCTATTTGCCGGAGTCTCGTCCTTTGCTCTGGGGTGCGATGCTGATTCCGATACTCGACTAAAGTCTAGCTCCGGCTCCCCGGTTGACTTAACGGCCTCGTGCGCCGTTTCGATTGCAGCTTCCACCGGCTTGGCGTTCTCGCTATTTGGGGCTGCGGGTGGTGGAGAATCTTTTGCAGGGGTTTCTGTGCGATCTTCCCCTGGGTCCTTCTCGGACGGAATCAAGAGGCTTGGCTTTAAGGTGTTGACTTGATTCCCTCCTTCAGCGTTGTTTCGGGTCTCTGATACGTCATCTTTGGCTTTCGCTACCAGGTCATCTGCACTGTTCGAATCCGCTACCGAACTGGCATCACTGGAGCTGTCCTTTGATTCCGAAGTGGCAACAGAATCATCACTTCCGGTTTGACTTGAGTCTGATGTCGAAGAACAATCCGAGTGGTCTTGCGTCGTATTCTTGTCGCATTCTGAGCCGAGCTTCAATATAGTGCCCTTGAGAAGTGCATTTTGCAGAGCCAAAGCATAGAGCCGAGGAGTCGGGTCGTTCTGTGCAACCGTTGTTTGCAAAGTGCAGCCTGCTGCCTCACAAGGCTTCAGGGCGTCCCTAAATTTGGATGTCAACAACACAGCTTGCTACGCCTATCGCGCCAGAGAGAACATGGTTGAAGGCGGAATAGATGCCTCGATTGGTCACTTACCTCTGCACTAGTCCCGCATCCTGGCTGTACTCGACAGAGAAGTTGCCGGATAATCTCAAGACAGCCTTGGTATTCTTGTGATTTTCGCAGGCTACCTCAATGCATGTGTTCAACGCATACTGGCCTTGCCCAAGATCTACACCGGTTTGGGGGAACGACTCCTTGGTCGTTTCAGACGTTGGACTCTGATGCACAGATTCCCTAGTAACCGCCATGTCGAAATGCCAGTAGTTGGGTAACACAAAGAATTCAATTCGGGCAGAATGAAGATCCCAGAGATCGAGGGCGAAAGTGCATTTTTCTCCTTGTTGCCAATCCGGGGAACAGGAACGGCAGCCTATTAGTACCGTGCGGTCCGGCACCGACGAAGAGCCTCATCCGGGGTAATTCGTACACTTCCAGGCAGTACTGAGGCATCCATTCACGCTGGGGCTGAGACCCTTGAGGCCAACAATACCCACTCATGCAGGCAGCTAGGCCAATGTGTCACGAGTCTACGGGCTTACGCGCATGCAAGTGATTGAGGGCGCCGCGTCTCATTGGCCGCATCACGCTGCAACACCTGCAACGAAAGACTGCGCCGCTCCAGGTGGCCGATGCAATGCAGCCGTTGCTGCCTAAGCCGACCTGCGTTGGCGGCCTTTCTCTGCGCAGCGAAGCAGGCAGAATCTGAGGCTGACTTGAAAAGCGGCCTGGTATGCACAAGGGTCCCAAACTGTTGGTCCATCTAAGCGAATCTGGGCGCGCGCCACGACCAGTCAACATGCGGTGCGCATGCGCAGATTGTACTCGTCACTCGTCGACCCACGCAACCCCCGGCAATGAGTCGCCTTGCCGAAAAGCGGCTGGACATCGATTCTTCATCCACAACTGAGACGTGGCCAAAGGCGGTCGATTCATTTTGCTTTTTTGGCGCCACGGGGTCGCACTTTTACCAAGTCATGGGCGGCCCACATGAAGGACGAGGCACTGCATTGATTAAATGGTATGACAAGTCTGACCATAGTTATTGTGGCACCTTCTGGCCAGAATGCAAAAACTACGGATAACCATGCCCGTGAGGTATTGTACCTATGTAGTCATCAGTAGGTAGGTAGTACGAATCCGCGTTCAAGTAAATGACACTGCGTATAATCAACCTTGGAACTGGCCCGAAGAACGGAAGATAGATTGTATAATGGCGGGTCCAACGTATATCGCGGATACGGGGCCACGAGACTATAGAATATCGAGTGGACAAGAACCACTGTACAACTGTGGAAGTTGCCCGTAACGAAAGTGCCAAAATGCGGCACGGCCGATGAAGATGGCAAAATTGTCGACAGTGCACGATCGGTCTTTGCGTGATAACGAGTGGTTCCGTTAAATGACCCCTGCGTTAAGATCGCGGGAAAGGAGACAAGCTCTAATAGTATGGAGTATTATCTCTTGGAATTACATACGATTTGTTACAGTCTATCTTGCGTGCGCTGATACCTATGACTTTCCAGCTTTCGACCGATGATAATCAGACGAGATTCAAATGGAATTGATCTGGAGTCACTCGATGCACACTACTACAATTTCATCTGTGGATAACGGACACCAACTGTCGCTCCACATGCAGTGAACCTCCGAGGTGCCTGACCTTTGGTAGAGAAGGCCAGGCAGAGCCCATGGACCAAGATCACAGACGTAATTGGAGATGTATCCTTCAAGCTGGGATTGAACAGGAGCGAACGTCAGACTACATCGCAGCAGGATTATTCCAAACGCTCCATGCGAGCACATACCTGTTGTTGTCCCGGTGTGAACACCAGTGTTCAATTCTGGGATTGGCTTGGAACGATAAGTTAATGGAATGAAGATAGACACCCATGTCATGACGCATGAAGCTTCTCGCGATAATCCTCATTTAGATATATTAAACACCTATCAACCAGTCGCGCAAATCAGGCCGGAGTATTCACTTTGTTTCAAGGAACCTGACACTGTTTTTAGCACCCCAATGAACGTCACCGTTTCGGAAGCTCCCACGGTTTGGATGGGCAGCCAAGATGATTGGGCTCTGCTCGGATCCCCCGAAACCCCCGTCCAACGGTCCCGGCGACCGAGTCGGTCAGCATCTAAATCAGAATCCCCGAGTGCGTCTGTTCGTACGCATGTTCATGCCCACGTGCGAGCCGGCAGGGCCATTCCCTGCGCGGGTTGAGGCTGGCGACCCCGGGACTGACTCGGCCATTCTGGGTCGTCTGTCCTTGGCAGGAGGCGCGAGATCGTTGGATGCGCGGCCTATCGCCCGATGGGAGATTGTCATCCCCCTCCTTTCTTGAAAATGAAGGCCTCCAGACGGGAATCCGAGCCCCTCCTCCGCATAGGATGGATCGGGCCCGCTTCGGATGAAATTTACCAATCTCGATACTTCCGATGCAATGCGACCAATCTCAAAATTGGTAGTTGCTGGTCTTTGGAACCTGCGTTCTTTGAGCATTACTCGGTCCCTCACCGTAGATAGCATAGTCGGTATTTCTCTCACCGGGCTCCGAGGGCTGTGTGTTCTTCCGGAGGACCAACACTCACAAATTGTGGGGCGCGAATGTCGGCAATGGGGAACAACGTCAGTGAACGTCTCTTTGTGGGTTCAATACGGGACCGACTTCAAGAGAGGCTAGAGCGTCCGGCCGCTAACCAGTATCTGTGGCGGTGGATGTTAGCGCTCGGTGTGTGTTTCAAGGAGGTTCCAACGGAAGCCCTTGTCACAACGCGGTTCAAAGAGAATTCCAACTCAAAGCCAGAACTCCGAGAGAAGTCCTGGCGAAACAAAGTGAAGCGACCACAAGGCGAATTCGTGCGCGGGGAGTCTGCGGTCTTGCAATAGGAGTTGGTAATATGTATTCATCCAGCCAACCGAATCGAAATCTACATCAAGTAGTTATAGCCTCATTACATGGAACAGCGATGCGATCGTTTCCCAGTCCCGACCCCATGTCGCTGTGTCTATTTCCCAATAATATGCAAAAGCTCATCATCGTGTATGTCATCATCCGTCCGCCCAACCCCCGCCTCGTCGCCCAAACAATGCGCACCACCGCATCATCAGTGTTTCGCGGCAGCAGGCTCAGCAGCAGCCGGCTCAGCAGCGGCACCGGCACCACCCAGGGAGCTCATGCCGGCCGCGGACAAGGACAGGACGTTCTCCGAGCCGGGGGCGTTCTGAGCGAAGCGGGCGTTGTGGCCAATGACGCTGCGCGCGGCCTTGTACGTGTCGAGGGTCACCGAGAGCGGCTCAGATGCGACAAACCAGCTGACGCCTTCGGAGCACGGGGGAGTAGTCAGGGACCCGGAGTAGCTGAGAGACGTCATGTTAGCACAAGGTACTCACTTGTTAATAGATGTGACGGGATTCTTTTTGTTTTAGTCTTACCTCTGGAAGGTGGTCTCGCCGAGCATGGCAACGAGGCCGGACATGGCGAAAGCCGGTGTCTTTGTGGCGGTGCCAGGGTTTGAGATGTCACCGACGGACGACAGGACGGTCTCGAGCATCTCGGATGCGACTTCGGCTGGAGTAGCGGTAGGTTCAGCATCCACATCGATCACTTCTGGGGCTTGAGAGTTTGACGCGCGCGCTCGGGAACATTTCTTGCCACTCCTCTTCTCGCTCCGGGATTGGGGTGTGCTTGGTGTTCTTACCGGCTTGACGCTTGGCCTTCTTAGCACCAGGTACGGCGGCGGCGGCGGGGACTGCGGCGGCGGCGGCAGTGTTGATGTCGAGGTAGACGCCCATGACGGCGATCTGGGCGTCCGCGCTGGCGAAGACCATGTGCATCTCCATGGCCATGCTGGTGCCGTTGTCGAGATGCTCGCTGGGCAGGTGGAAGTGGAACTGCTGGAACTCAAAGGTCTGGTTGCTGCTGGCAAGTCTCATGCTGCCGCCCTCGCCGACGACCTCGACGGTCGTGCCCAGGTTCTCAAAGGTAGCACCCTCAGCAAAGTCCGGGATCTCGACGGCGAGCTCAGAGCCAGCAACCTCTGTGAAGGTACCGGCCGTCATGTCGATGGGTGACTGGTTTGTCCCTGTTGCGCAAGCGCCGTTGGTGGTAGTGTTCAACAAGTGCCAGCTTGCGGGTCCCTTTTGTGAAGTCCTGTCAGTAAATATTCCAAAAAAGTTTTCAGAATGAGATGTGTAGCATACGATAGTACCACTGTAGCCAAAAGTATTCACAGGGACCTCTCCCTCCTCAGCACGAGGCATCAGGGGAGTGCCATATGCGCAGGAGGCAGCGACCTCTGTTGCGGCAAAGGCCGCAACCAGCGCGGTCCGGAGCATAGACATTGTGTATATGTCGAAATTGTACAGAGTGAGATCTCGTGGCCGGAAGAGTGTGGCGCAACAACAACAAGGATATTGGCAATGTAAGCACAAATAGCTTAAAAGAGAGAGAGACTTCTTGTAAGTGCAAGAGAGCGATTGGCTATCTGTGCCCGGCTGGTCGGATGCGTGAGATGAAGGAACGAAATCGACCCATTTTGGCTTTGAGGATCGGGATTCTTATTATTCTTTATACGCGCCGAGAGAAATCCGGAAGGGGGGGGGGTTGGTCCTCTTACCGGGGAGTGTTTGTGGTGTGGTGGTTCCGAAGCGAAGGAGGCCCTGAGGGGGGACGACACAGGCTGTTGCTTGGCAGCCCCCCGGAGCCCACAGAAGAGACCGTTACTCGATACCCCATCCGGCTTGGAAATCGGACCACATTTCGCACCCAGCAGTTAATACATTGTTTATGGATCACCCAGCTTACATGACAAGTTGTCGCCAAGTGCTGGCGCTGACGTCGTGCTGATTATCTCGTTGGCACGAGGCCGTAAAGCCCCTCCTAGGTCCGCCGCGCTACGGACGAGGTCGGGTTCTCCATGCTGCCAGGACTGCATAACAAGGGGCTGGACTGGGGAAGATAGTCGAGCGCCTGCGAATGATACGCGAGGCAAATGCACGAATATGGAAACAATCACCATGCCGCCAAGATCCAGCGCCACCAACAAATTCCCTAGTCCAACTTCCCCAGTCAGATGCAGGCGGTGGCAGGCAGACAGGCCTGACAGGGCAGACAGGGCAGAGGCAAGACAGAACAAGACAGGAGCCAGGAGCCAGGGTACCGGGGTGGGAGGTGAATTGACGTGGGAATTGACGTGGAGACTCGAGGCATTGGACGAGATCTGGGCTTCTGCTCCGCCCACCCCAGCGCCCCCGGCAACTCCAGCAGGGCAGCCAGGGCAGCAAGGACAGTCGCTGACCCGCCAGATTGGAATGGTGGTTCCTGGGTGATGCACGCACCACTGGATGATTGAGCGGCGGAGATCAAGGCCGGGGGTGATCCACTGCTTTAGGTTCAGGATGGATATAGAAGCCACGGCTAAAAGCAATCAGTTTCAGACTTCAGATGACCTTGGAGAAGGGCTGAGTAACGTGCTGTGGAATAAACGAATGCTTTACATAGAAGCTGTGGCGGCAGCCAAGTCGAACCAATTAATCAATTCGCTGGTATTTCCAACGTGAGCGCCAACTTTGTTGTCATCGCGTGTTTCGCCCGCTTGGTGTGTTGTCGGCCGCCCACAAAGCGCTAGGAACTCGCAGCAGCGCAAAAGTCTGGTAGACTATGGGACGGCAGCACTAGCACTAGGGACGGGAGGAGGGTGCACACACCAGACCAGGGAGGGGTTGGCGACGGGTTTCTGGCTGGACCGCCCGCCGGATCTCCCAGCATGACCGCTGGGCGGCCTGTAGGCTCCCCTGCCAAGCTCTCCCAGACTGCCTGGCGGTTCCCTTAAAACTCGGGGCAAGGTGAGTGAGCCGTGTAATCCTCTCCCTCACATTTCTCAACCAGGAGCCCCAGAGCAGGGGTCGCCGTCTAAGGATTGTCGAATCCTTGGCCGCCTGATAAATGACCCTCCGCCGCGTCGAGCTCCCTCACATTCCCTCGCATCACAGGCATCGTGTTCTTGGCCAGGCAGGCTGACGACAGCGATCAATCCGACAGAGAAGCAGGACGCAAAGGCAAAAGCAGCTGCCGGACCGGGGCCCTTCGACCTGCTCACCAGCACCAGCTTCACCCATCCGAGTGCGAGTCGCCCTTTTCCGTGTGCCCAGGCTGCCGAGCGCACCGCAACGGGGCCCTTCCAATCGTATTGACTCGCTTGCGCCGACCCCTTCAACTTCCTCGCAGGGTCTTCTGTCTGCAATGTCTTGGCCGTCAGGCCCTCCAGCGCGGCCGGCCCAGTCCAGATGCCACCACAGTCAAACCCGGCGTAGGCAGTCAGCACTCTGAAGCTGTTTCAGCCAGCCGCCACGTGCTGACAAGACCTGTCGCTACCAACCACCTGGTCCCGCGTAGTATTCACCTCCATAGGCTCTTCACCCAATTGAGCACAGACTGCGGGCGCAATACCACCTTGTAAAACGGCTGAGCCGCGCACAAATGGGAAAAAAGAAATGATATTCACTTCTCCCACTTGGTCGCCTGCAGGCCTCAGTCAACGCCGGCTAGAGCATGCTTGACTTCCACCACCTTCTAGCCATCCACTCGGCCAGTCTGCCCTACCAACGTGGCACATGAGCACATGCAACGAGCAAGTTTTTATTCCGGACAACGTCTGTTCTTGCCCAAAATCACCTCGGCATTCAATATTGACTTTGATCTAAGTGTCACTGGGTGCACTAGTTGGTCTTGGTGGGGCTGACTTTTGAGATGTTCGAATGTTGGAGGCTTGGGGTACCCCCAAGTGCCCCATGGGGTTCGCTTGGGGTTCATGCAAGCCTCTCATACAAAGCCAAGTCGGTACTAGTCCGAGATCATCAGGAACTCCTTTCTTTTTCCGTGCCCACTGTTGACTTAAGTATCAGTTGGCTGTATACGATGCCAAGCATATACACGCAAGACATGTCGGCGGACGGTGGTCATGGGTGCACTCCGCTGCCCTCGCCAATCTTCTCATTCCGATTGACGCGTGTGATTTTTGAGTTTTGCGGCCTTGGAACTCCACCTATATTCTCTTGGCCAGGTTTTCTTCCCTGTGGGAATGGTGTCGAACAGAACACGTGCTCTTGTGCTATCTTGCTGCCGACGGTTATCATTAGTTGCTGTTGTTGTTCAAAGCGACCGGCCCTGAGGGTCTCCGTTGAAAGATGCTACCAAATTTTCTCATGTTCTCGCCTTCCCATCTTGATCACTCTCGTCTTCACAAGATACCTGTCAGAAAATAAGGTGCACAGGTAGAGTGATAGGGCCAAATAGCCCCCATGGGCCAAAGCAATAGTTAAATCTAAGGTCTAAGTATCTCTAAGGGCGCGTACATTGCGCAGAAGCCTCTAAATAGTGGCTATTTCTCTTGGCATTTGGGGCCCGAAGGGCCCGAAGGGCCCACGTGACGTTGATCCCTGACAATACCTTTCATATTTCCCACCCAAGCAGCCCGGAGTGTCAGTTTCCGCTTCGCCGCGCCTTGTCAAGCACAAGCAATTGCACTGGAAACTTTGAGGCCTCGCGTATCTCGGTCCACAATTCTTGCTTCGGATCTTGATCAAGGAGGCCAAGCGGACGCGTGTCACAAACTCTACGCTTCAAGGAGTTGTCGCCAAACGCGGAAGGACAAGGGCTTCCGCCTAGACGCCCAGGCCCTCACACCCTGATTGCTTGCCGCCCTACATGAAACTAGTCAACTCCATAGAAGCTTCGTTAGAACCTTCCGCAGTATCTCCGTGGAGAGGAAAATGGCGTGATGTTGACATTGGCGCCTACAAGCCTTTGGTGTGGTGTGACACCCACCGTTTAGCCCGCCCTTGCAACACGGCACGCATGTCAGTGGTATACTGCCGACTTCACGATGCCTCACGTCGTAAGGGGTAGCGCGCGCCCGGGCCGGAGGCGAGGCTTCGGCCAGGTGAACAAGAGGAAGCTAGCCGGTCTCGACGTGGAACAAGTCGTTCCGAGAACGACGAACGCTGGATACCCGGTTGCAACTCCCCCAAGGCTACGCGTCCGCGATAAGGCTCCCTCCCAGGTTGTCTTCCGTTCTGGAATATTCCCAAGCCGGGGTGAGGCTCGCATGCTTTTCGCCCAGATGCCGGAACAAAGTATGACCGTTCCATGCGGATCCATCATTCCGGCCCTACCTGGTACACAAGCGCAGTCTATGACCCTGTCATTCACCCCGGGTGATCAGATTTGCTTTCCGATCTTATTAAAGTAAGGAGTCAGCAACAATGCTTGACCAAACAAAAAAGAGAATCGGCCATGTGATCACCTCCGGCATCATGTTGGGTGCTCCACATTGTCAGTCGTATGGAGGTGAGCAGGGCCCGGAGCAGACGCGGCACGCTCTTCGAAAGGGCTGGATAAAGGTTTGATCCTCGGCGCAATTTCTTACGGAGAATCACCTAGCACGTAAGGATTGCGCCTAGTCGAATTGTTCATCAAACTAGCCGGCTGCACCATCTCATTGTGTCTATTTTGTCCTGTCCAACGACTACGGAAATGAACGCACTGGTGTGTGTGGTTGAATGAAATCCAGTCTGAGGAGTTTGGTTCACGGTTTGAAGTAACATATGCACAGCAGATTGAATTTAGGAAGTTGGAAGCATGCAAGACTTACAATCCCTCAGGCTCTCCCCAGAATCGAATCTGGCAAGGCCTTCAAGTTAGCATAAGATCCAAACCACACAGGATATAGAGTGCTGAAATGTTGGGGGGAAAGAGAAGAGTAACGATTACGTACTTGCAAATTGCACTGAGAAGTGAATAGAATACGATGATCAGCATTGACCTTGGTCAGATTCACCCAGAAAAAACAGTGTTTCAGCTGCTGAGCTTCTTGAACACAGTAAAGCTTTCTGCCAATATGCACTGAGAAAGCATCAACATGGCATTGCTCATACCTAAAGAAGCGATACACAGAATTGTTTTCGTGTAACCCAGAACCGTGCGGACCAAGTTCAACCAAGCCAGAGCATCTTGAGTCTGAGCCTTACTGTTCTGTCTGTGGCTCAGAGCTAGCAATTGTCCGTGAATACTTGGCACCAAAAACGTGTACAGTGAATGGATAGTGAGTTGTGCCACCTCAAGGAAGCGGCATACAACGAGCAAAGCACTTTCCACTTATGTGGTTCACTTTTCAAATGACTTTCAACTTGTTGAAGACGGACTGTGAGCAAAAGAGACCTGAGCTGTTTCCAACACTGTGAAGGTGAGTACACCGGTGGTGATGGGACTCACAGCGCCCAGCCGGGCCGTCAAGCTCCACTGCAGGAGCGTCTGGTTAAGTGACGGTACGAGAGCTCTGGTAGAACTAATCGATGCGCCATTGGAGGCTATACGAGTCTATTCAAGCAAAACATGGAGAGCTCAATCATGGTCTCAACCACCCCCAGCATTTCTTAGGCCGCCCAGAACAGGAATGTCATGATTTTGGTGGTGCTAGTCATTTTAAGTGAGCTGAATAGGTGCATTACCAACAATTATGACATTTCATTCGCTGTGGTTCCCAAAGACATGTGAGAAGCTTTGGACCCTGTGACCAGTTCATATGATACTAGAGCACTGCGTACTTCGGCTCGCGTCCTTCTCCGTCGATTTTCTTGATGATCAATTTGTCCACCTCTAGCCCGGTCACCATCCTTAGCTAAATTTGTGTCAGTGTACAGACCACACAATTGAATAATAGTGGGGTGTCAAAGAAGGGAAAAGTTTCTTGATGTTGCTCACGTTGACTCCCATGATGACGGGTAACTTCTCCCCCTTTGCCTCCGCTTCAAGCTCCGCCCCCTTCGGCGGGCTTAGGACCTCAAAAAGCACACTGCTTCCGCATTCTTTGCAGAAGTCGTGCTTGACATTTTTGTTTCCAAACCTATATGACCCTATGGCCTCCTCTGAACCGTCTCCGAATTTCAGGTTCTCCTTGATCGGGTACACCAGCAGGTACCCGTTGCGCTGGCAGATAGAGCAGTTGCATACAACGACAGGATACTCCTCGAGAGGCGGTGAGATGGAGAAGGTGAACTTGACTGCACCGCAGTGACAATTGGCCTTGTGCTCTGAATATTCCCCGGTTGGAGCTGGAAAAGGAGGTGACGGCATGGTTGAAGTGAGGTTGAATGTAAGTCGAAGGTGTTCCTTCGTCCCGGGGTTCTGGTTCCGACTTTTGATTGTAGGCAGAAGGAACTAATGAAGCGCTACTCGAAACAGATGACACATCGGCCTCTTTATATTTGGGCCGTTAGACGGACGTCCGACCCCCCGCTTGGCGCCGGTGCCGATCCATGAGCGCTGGAGTCGGAAGTGTCCGAAAACTCGCCGACGACAGCTGGTGGCCGCATCTGCAATGATGTTATTTACTCTATCTGACCTTTTTAAACCTTTATTTTGTACCTCTAGACTACAATTCGCCAGAGTACCAGGATAGAGAGGTCGAAAGGCTGCTCAGTGTCATGTCCCACCGAGGGCTGTAGATGAAAAGGCTTCCCAATTATCCTCTTCTGGCCAATACTGGAACAAATTGGCGATAATATGGCTCTTGTCAGATTCAAGAGCCGCGTGATGATCTCTGATATTGGCTTACCAGGTTGCAAGTCTACGTTGCAAAATCTCTGTCACCAACTGCCAGTACTTCGCATACTCAGGGACCAAATGGAAGTCGTTGTGGCGGTGCAATACGAAAAGAGCTATCGCATCGATAACCGTTTTTACAAGTGACGAAATCAGGTATGTCAATAGAAAATGTCCTTGTTTGGGCTCTCTAAGGTCTTGCCTTAGTATTCTCTTTTTGGCCCCGGGTGTCTCTCATCCAGGCTAGGCAGACGTCAAGTTCTTTCCCAGATACCTATGAAATATCTGTGATGATAAGAGAATCAGCTCTGGGTTATTGAGTCTGTTCAGCTTGTACAGGAGGGAGAAATGAGAGACCTGAGTGGAATGGACCAAGCCCTGCAAAGAGCTTCGTGGCTGTTACAGAATGATTATAGTTCAAGGGCTCATCACTTTTGGGTCTCCTTCGGCAGGTACCTATGAGCCTTCTCGACTGGGGAAACCATAGATCCCGGGGTGGATATTGCAAGTCGATAGCATCATAGGCTGTATTTTCAGGACGACGTGCCTATAATTCCGCGCGTCCACGAGTAGCTCTTCGTGTAATTACCAATACTTTGCAGTCATCAGTCGGTCGATGAAATAGCATTACAAATGAATGTGGCAAGATTTCGCATCGTGAGAAAACGAAGGGCGCATCTGGTAGTTCATCTAGTAATTGAGTTGCTGTTCATCTAGGTGTGCCCCAAAACAAAGGCTTCAAACCGAGTTACCCATGTTGGGGCCAATCTCTCTAGGCGTGGAAACCACGTTGTGTTGTCACAGGTTCAGAAGCAATATGAAACAGCAATGCATTGCGAAACTGCCATCTTATGGAAATGCTATTGTGTGTAGACGTTTGAATTCTCTGGAAAGAGCAGCCCTGGAGTCAAGCTTGGGCTCTTGGTTAGGAATTTCGGGATGGGGCAGCTGATGTCCAAATCACAAGCCGAACTCTCTGCCACTCAGGAGAGTAGGTCAGACGGGCCTGACTGCCTGCAAATCAGTCAATTGACAGTGTAACCATTTGCGATAAGTGCAGGGCACATCGACAGTTATCGACAAGCAACTGAGAACATGCCAAGTGGCCCCTGCAGCCAGCGAGGTCAGGTCTCCGGTGCTTACTCGGTAAGAAGTTACAGGGCAAAGGACAGGCGAGCGATCTCAACCAGCCCTTGTCTTCAATGCGTGTGTTCTCAATGGAGTGGTGACTCGAGCTGGGCCGTGCGATTCCGAACGTTGGGGCAAGGCAGCGGTGACCGGTGGCTGCCTGGAAGAGCCTGCGTGGACCACGAAAGAGGCAGGCTCGAGACGAGTCCTTATTGACGTAAGCAGTCCGTGGCCAGCATGTTGAGAAAAGCATCGTGAATGAGGTTTAGAGGGTGGGAGCGAAGTCTGGCTCCTGAAAACCTGGACGTCATAAGGATCAGCCCGGAGGTGCACACCACGCAGTCACGAGCGCACTGGTAGGTGCCCAGATGATACCGCGTACGAGCAAAGACTGCCGTTGCTCATAGGATGCAGAGAAACTGTTGGGTGTGAAGGCTTCCAGGTAATCATGAGGCACGACCTCAGGAAGAAGCGATCAAGGGCTCAGCCTACTGTCCATTCCACCCATGAGTAGACCTGAATGCTACGCGCCATGTGCGCGGATCACATTTTCAATTCGTATTGGGCCAAGAGAGCAATTCGGGATGTCGGGCACTCGTATGCAGGCGAGTATGTTGGCGGGTGAACCGTGACGAAGATGTTTAAGCATGCGAGGCCGGAATCGTTCCATGGGATGGGCGCGGTAATGGTGAGGCTTTCGAGTTGAGGTCAAGAGAGTGGGAGCAGGGGAAGAATGGAGGAGTCTCCTGGCGTGTTGAGACCGAAAGCGCTGGATTGGCGTTTTTTGTCGCGGAGACAGGAGCTGCAACACCTGCGGTTGCTTGGCAACATTCGAGGTTCGGGTCGACGAATCTTGGGCAGAACTGTGTCTGATTGTGATTGTTGTCCGGGCGGTTAACAGGCGTGTCAGGGCCAACAGTCGACTTGCAGTGGACCAGGTGAACAATTGAATAGAGGCAACACAGGCAGCAGGAGCGAGTTGAGACCAGGGCGTCGCTTGGGGGGCGCGGGCAGATGGTGAGACCTTGCTCAACCATGCACACTGAGTGACACCATCCACCATTCCACGCAAAGCAAAGCAGGACACGGGCAAGCCAAACGGCAGCCGCCGTTTGGCTTGCACAAGTTGATTGACGCATGCGAAAGGTCTTCTTCCTCACGTCCCAGGCAAGCCTGAGACAGCAATGAAAAAGGAGGTTCGCGTCACTCGGAGGCAGTGTGATACCGAGGACACAGTGGAGGTCGACCGTGGGCAAGCCCAGAGGGCCGTCCTCCCAAAGACAAAAATTAGAATAATCACGATTGTACTCCGTAGAGTACTTTCAGAGATTAAACTGAAAAGAACAGATACTACACTTGATCTAAGCCCTGTTTCACGATAGCGGTTAGCACACGAGATCAGAGACATGGGGCCAATGTTGGGGGGCGACGTACAAAAGGCAAAGAGAGCTAAAGAAGAAAAAGAGAAAGGAAGGGAAATGGAGGGGAGGGACGAGGGTTTAAATATTCCACCACCATGAATTCTGCCGCTTGTGCAGACGTTTTCTGACCGCCTTCCTGGTTCAACGGTCGGGTCGGAGAGATCTTAGTCCGGCTGTTGGGCGCCTGTGCAAGGCTCGCTCTGGTGCACCGCCGTGCTTACGTAACGAGGATGCGTCTCGCAGGGTTCCCAAGTACGGGAAGCTACTTCTCCCAAAGGGGGCAAGCCCAACGTTCATTTACATGGAAACGTGAGGCTAACTCCTGCCCTGCAGCAGCCATAGCTTAGCTTCCTTCCCTCAACACACACACAAACGAACGCTTCATGCATAATCAATCGAATTGGCTGTATAAACCCCAATATACCGTCGCCGTACGAGTGATTTAAAGCCTGCTGTGCCCTTATATGGTAGCTACAACTTTGGTTACCTATTCTCGCCGTTTTCACGATGAGAATCGATCGCCAACAGCCCTCTGGGCTGCCTACAAGTCTACCCATCGATCAGCAGCACTCACGATCCCTTCGTCGACTGGCCTTGGTCAAGCTGGAGGCCTTGCGGACGTCGCAGAATTGCGCGCGTCCCTAAACGACCCTCGCCCAAGTAGGCACGTCTACCCATCACGGCCGAGCAGCCCCGACTTTTCCAGCTGTCGGATCCCCTCGATTGATTGATCTTCATCGATGCTCCTACGCATATGCATACTAGGTCTTCCACACGCAGAAGAAACGACCACACATGGGCATCCGCCCTGCGAACGGCATTCAAGCTGGAGAGAGTAACGACGCCATCGAATCCCGATTACTCGATGTCTCCAACTGTGCAGGAAGCCCACGTCGTGCTCTTCACGATGACATCGCGGCTTCCATATCGGTGCTTCGTGCTCCCTCCAGAAGCCGCGCCTTCCCAAAGCCTCCCAACCCCATGCCTTCCTTACCTTTTCCCCCACAACATCAGGATGTCCCTCTTTCTGACTCTTCTCTGCTTCCGCTTCCCGCTTCCCACTTCCCCCATCACCCACCTCCTCGTCGTTCCAAAGCCCGGCATGGCTGACTTCAACTCATCTGACATCGAGTTCGACGAACCTGAGCCTCGCTTCCCCAACCTGGCCAGGAACGCCATCGCCAAAATCGTCGAGGATGCCGCCTCAGCACGCATCTCATCCAAGAAGACGGTCAAGAACCTACAGCTGACCACCTCCCCCGGCGTCGACTACGCCCGAGCTGGCTGGGAGAACAAGTTCGAGGCTTTCTGCATCAACACCCTGCGTCACAAGTAAGTAACTACCACGTTTACGTCTTTCTTTGAGGAACTTGGTAGTTCCACGAAGCAGATTGGACGTCGTCCATTGGGGAACCACCAAATTGAGGAACTGGGCAGTTCCACGGCAACTGCGAGGCAGACTCACTTGTGATGCATAGTGGTTGCAATCTGCTGACACGTCGCTAGGCCTGGACAGGCACCCGATCCCGAGGCGATCCTCCGCTTCTTCTCTGCGCTCCCAGACTACGTCCACAACCGCCGCCGCAATGAGGACACCACGGCAGTCACCATCGGCCACTTTGAGCAGGGCCTCCGGCATATCCTGAACCTGCTCTGCTTCAAGCATACCGACTTCAGCAAGACTTTGGGAAAGAGCTTTGCTCTGCGAGCCCGTGAGTAGTTCCCCCGGGGGCCCCTTCCCGAAGCCCCCTTCCCGAAGCCCCCTTCCCAGGACCCTCTTCCCAGGACTACCACACCGTGGCTACAAGGACATCCTAGAAGCCACGGTGTGGAAGTCGTGGGAGCTACGGTGTGGAATCCCACACCGTGGCTGCCCGCGTTCGCACTTGAGATAATTGCAAGCTAACGGCTGCCCAGAGTCCCTCTTCAATCAGCTAGTCAACGACGGGAAGATATCCAAGTCTCCAACTCGCGAGAAGCAGAGGATTGGCGTTCACACGATGCTGGAGATGAACGTCGGCTTACTGCGGCAGGGTCTGAAGGATTCGTACTCGTGGGACGTCACCATCCAGAGGCTCGCCACGCTGGCATGTCAGACAGCCTTCGCCAGCCGGGCCGGTGATTTCATGAAGTCCCCCCACTGGGACGGCCAGCACACTATGAAGTGGAAGCACCTCGAGTTCAAGCTTATCAAGGACGATCTCCTGGGCGAGGTACTCGAGGGGGTCTTCACCCTGACCAATTGCAAGGGCGACAAGGACGACGAGTATCACAACGAGACTGTCAGAGTCTCCAGCACCAAGGCCGAGCACAGCCTCCTGTGTCCCCTGCGTCTTCTCGTCAGCCTGGCGATCCGGACTCGGCAGGTAGTTCCCACGACTGCTTCTGACCTCTTCCAGCAGCTACGGACTTCCCAGAGCGGACGCATCGTCTGGTCTAGCCCGGAAGCCCCCATCTTCGTCCAGATCGGCAGAAGGAGTTCGAGCCTCGTGCCTGACACCACGGCGCCGGCTGCACAGGTCTTGGACACCTTGCGGAAGGCTGCAGATATCGCGGGGTTCACCTGCTTGCCGGTGACCCACGACATCCGCAGGGGAAGTGCCAAGGAGATCTCCAAACTCACGGGCGCCGAAGTGCCGAACTTGCAGCTTGCGGGTCAGGCCATCTTCCACAAGGCCAGGTCCACAAACCTCGGAACCACCAAGGAATACACTGGAGGCCTCGACTACGACCACCACAACGCCCGTTTGGAGCAAGCACTAGCCACGTACAAGTTTGGAGCGCCCAAACGTGCGCCCGCGTCCTACAAACCTGTCGGTCGGCTGCCACAGGAGCAAATCACCCAGCTCTGTGAGCAATACCTGCTGGATCCGGCGAAGCAGCAAGACCGGGCCAAGGCAGCAGAGTGGTTCAAGAAGGACCATAGAAAGAAGTGGGGTGAGGAACAGGAGGCCAAGCTGGACCAGCCCATTGATTTGGAAGAAGAAGCTGATGCCGATGCTGTTGAAACCCTCCCGGAACTCCCCGATGTCCTCACCAATTCGGGCGACGTCCAAGCCTCCATCGACTACTTCGCCAGCCTCGTCGACCGGAAGCGTCGTCGCAGGGCCAATACTGTGGCTGGTCCCCTCAAGAAGCCCCGCAGTGCCGGGAATGGGGAAGACTCGCTGGGTAGTCGCAAGAAATGTCCCGAGTCCAGTTGCGCGTTTCAAAAGGGGGACTTCATTTCGAAGAAAAGGCTCAGGGATCATCTGCAGAAAATGCACGGCAAATCCGAGGAGGACGCTGCGAGAATTGTCCTGGCCCTGACGGACCCGTCGTTCGTCGTGGATGGGGCAGAGGAAGACAGTGACGATGACGACGAGGTCACCCTTCCTGTGAGAAGCAAGCCTGCCCCCCGGAATCAAAAGGCCAGTGCCTCGAAGACCATAAGCACGGCAAAGAGTAAGACCACCACCTCCCTCGCTGTGGATGTCGACTTGGACGTCGTCCAAAACCCCGGCCCCGTGGAAGCCCCCAGCCAGAGAGCCAGTCGCAGGGCAAAAAGCAATGCCATCACCGCCCTGGAAGTGAATACGGATATCCACGGGGTTGAGGCCGCTGCCAACGTGAACCCCTTCATCGAAGAATTGGACGACGATGACTGGTCTCCTTACGATTGAGAGCATTGGGGATTGGACAGGCTTGTCATGGAATGGGGGGTAATGGAGGGTTCTTATTGCTATTTGTTCTACGCCTAGGGCACAGTTGAACTTGGGCAGCAGCCTGTAATTGCTTCTAGGAAGTGGGTTCTGTATCTTTTGGGCGACACAAATGTCTGCATCTAGGTGACCTTCCGGAAGTAGGGTAGTGTCAATGACGAAAAGTATTCAGCTTCCAGCACCTCCTGCGCACCGTTCATCACATCACACAACCACAACTTCAGAAAATGGTAGTGGCTGCCAAGTGACACGATCGACGCGCTTACAGAGTGAGCATGAGCGTATCAGGAGGTGCTTCCGGCGATCGTGAAAAGCGACCCGGAAGATCAACCCGGAGCGCAGCGAAGGGGCTTGATCTGGGTCGCCTCTACACGATACGATCGCCGGGAGTACTGACGCTCTGTTATTCATCACTTCGCTCAAAAAATGGCGTGGGTTGGCGAGTGATGCTCGCCCAAGAGAATGGTTGCAACAGAGTATTGGAATTCTGCCGGTTTTATTTCAGCTTACGTCATGACGTCATATAACCACAACCACACAACCACAACCTGCCTTTTGGCGTCAGCCTTTTGGCGTCTACAAGGCCATATCTACGCCATTGGAAGCTGGAAACGAAGACCCAACGCCGCGTTCCCTCTTGGTGACCTCCCAGCGCGACGCACGAAACCTGCCAAACCGAAAAGCCCGGCCATGTCAACCACAACCTACTCCAGACAACCGACTGTGTAATTTAGCAGGCCTGCGCCACTGAGTGGGTCACAGTACACTCAGTATGTCACTATCGTGTGTGACTCAGGGCAGGACTGTTCCAGCTCGAGAATAGCAGGTGTGGGTGGTGTAGTCGATCATCGGCGGCCACAGACGGTGAAGGCACAATGAGACCAAGCATTGCACGTCGAAGAGCATGATATGCTCGCATATGACACTCGCTGGAGCCATGCACATGGGGGTGATAGGTTCAACGTTCACATTAATAGAAAAAAGTATGTTGACTCGGTCTTGGGGGCCGCGTGGGGGCCGAGTCTGCCGGCGCCGAATCCAGCCTTCGAGATTGGCGGCTAAATTAAGAAGCCTGCCTATGGAAATGGGAAACCGACATGGTTTTCCAGATAATGAAGTTGCACTGCCGATGGATGCTGTTGCCTGCTGCGCTGTGAAACGTGCATTATTACTCTGCAGCACAGCGTTGGAATGTCTTCTGCATGATGCGACATTTACGCCCACCCTAACTATAAAAAGGGGCTGTGGATTTCGGCTCTCTTTACTTGACTTGCATACAAACGTTGTTGATCCGCTTATGGTAGCACAGCTTTGGCCAGGCAAAGAGAGATGCATTGGCACACTAACTTGAGCAGAACCACTCAGGCCGATCCTTCGGTGCTACCCCTTACACCTGAACACACTTCCAAGAGAACAGCTGAATGGCCGGTCGACGGTTGCATGTCAGGTGAGTGGCATGCAGACCATAGGAAAACTCATTCAAAATGGACCAGCAGTTCTCGCCTCTCGCTCTCACCTGAGTGCTTTGCTCATTCTGCGGCATAGCTGTGGTTTTCTGTAGAGAGTGCACTGTTCCAGATTCATACGCCTCATTCACGCCAATCTGAGTTCTAGAAGAAGTATCCACGATGGTCAACGGAACAGCATGGGCAGGGGCTGTCGAGACCGTGAAATACGGCGTGTACCTCGGCATGTGGACAAACTGGTCCCGTGGGCGAGTCCTGGGAGCGACTCTTACCCTGTCCCGGGAGGACGGAAACTATGTTCTCGCGTTCACAGCCTTCTTCATAGGACTAGTATCGACGCGTTTCTGGCGTATCCTTTGTTTTATTCTGCACAACTCATTCTCGACATCAGCACCTCGCGACGCCCTCTATCATCAACAACAAGCCATACTCCGCAATTCCGACTCGGCCGACGCAGGCCTCTTGGTATTCTCTCATCTCGCCTGGGCGTGGCGCAAGACCGCGAAACGGGCATGTCTCCGTGCGTTACCTGTCATCGCAACGGCGGCCTTGTCTACAGTCGCCTTTACGATTGCCGGAGGTTTCTCTTCATCCATATCCACGGGCGTCGGCAACGATGTTCTTCTGGATGGCTCTAACTGCGCCTTGGTTGATACTGGATATCCTGACATCGGGGCTGCGAGTGTCATACAACAATACGTATCACGACGGTCAAATAGTGCCGCAAATTATGCCCAGCAGTGCTACTCCACCAACACGTCCGGCATTCTGAATTGTGGAACGTTTGTCAAGGCCAGGATCCCCAGCTCTGTCGACAACCAGACGGCCTGTCCATTTGCCGAAGGCCTGTGTCAAAGTGATGCGAATATGCGCCTTGATACTGGATACATTGACAGTCACGAACACCTCGGATTGAATGCCCCCCCCCCCGACTGTTGGAATATTCTAGATATCTAGGCTATTATTAATACGGGATATCCTTTTCCCCATACGTTTGCCACTGTATGGAGGATAATAACTATAAATAGGGGCCTTCCCTCCCGTTGAATAAACGTTAGCTAGCCTAATTAACTAAGCATTTAACGCTATTATTTCAGAGGTTATGAGCCCGGAGCTAACCCAAAACGGCAATGCTAACCCAATACGGAAAACGCATATCACGTGACACCCTTAATCGCCATTACTTCTTAAACCTTTTAAATAAGATAAGCTTTACACTTAAAGATACACCTTTTAACTAATTACCTAATTAGGCTAATTAATAAGCTCTCGACTAATTAGATCGCCCCATTTAACGTTACAAATCAACCTTGTTTCCTAACCTAAAGCCTATATATAAAAACCATACTATATCTACCTAAACACTTAACCATTTCTTTACCAATACTTAACCTATTTATATAATTTATATATCATTTAAGAGCCCTTATTAAGAATAATAAGAGCATTTCTTTAAATTTTAAAAACCATATTAAATTAACATTAAAAACGCAAATTTTAACAAAACCATAATAATCCTTAAACTCCCTTAAAAATACTTAACCATATCTTAGCTATCTTTAATTTATAATATTTTAAAAATATATTATTTAAAAGCCCTTCTTTTTCTCTTTATAATTATACCATTTTAATATTTATATCTTTATTCCTTAACTTATTAAACTTATTTAGAATTTATTATATCTTTTTCTTTATTATCTTAATTATCTTAATAAATACTTTACTTATTTACCTTAAAATAGCATTCCTTAATAAGTATGGTATTCTACTTCTTAATAGAATGGAAAACTATATATATTGGAGTGTTAAAATTTAAGCCTGGCTTAAGAAAGAAAATGTTATTAGGAATGATCTTAAGAATCTTTTTTAAGGCTTATCTTTAGCTTAAAATAAGAGAATTCTTATTAATATTAAACTTATATATAGGTAGGGGCTTATTATGTTTATAAAAGATATAAATAATACTTAAGAAGCGTAGGATATACTTAAATTTTATTATAAACTCTTTAAGTTTATAAGCTAATATTACTTTATAAAGAGTTTTTTAATATTAGTTTTTATAATTTTAAGATTATGGAAGAATATATTAATAAGTTAAAGCTCTTTTTAAAGGATTTAAAGGCTAATAATATAATTCTTTTTAAATAAGTTATAATTAGCTAAATTCTTTATAGCTTAAATAATGAATATACTGGCTTTATTTAAAATATAACTTAGAGTCTTAGAAAAGATTTAAATGCTTATATAATTGAATTTTTCTTTTTTAGCTTATTAAATAAAAGCAGAGGTAAATTCTTTAAATTATTTGCAAAAGCTTTATATATAAAGAGCAAGAAAGATAAGAAAAAGATTATTATATGCCTTAATTATAAAATAAAGGGCTATACTTAAGAGAATTATTATTTTCTTTATTTAAATAAGGCATTTGCTAACTAGAAAATAAATAAATAAAGAAAAGAAAAGGAAAAAACTACTTTTTTAAGGAAGAATATAAGTTGAGAGAAACGGGAGAAAATGCAAAAGCAACTCCTAGCTTTATTAACTAGCATAAAGTTTCCTTTGGCTTTAAAAGGCGCTTAGGAAGAACCTATGGCTTATATAGTTATAAATAATTTAATAGAAAATATTAAATATAATAAGAATTTATTAAATTTCTTATAACTTTCTTTTAATAACTTAATGGAAATTAAGGTAAATAACCCCTTATATACCTTATATATATATATAATAACGATAGCAGTTAATAATAAATTTATAGGAAATTAACAATATATAAATTTCGTAAAAATAGCTATAAATATTGCTGTAAATATAATAAATTTCTAAGATATTTATTTCTTTAATACTATATATATAATTAATAAAACTATAAAATGGGGAAATGCAGGTATTATATTCGTAAATAAAATAGGGGACTTAATAATTAAGTTTCCAGAAATAAATATTATAAAGAAATTCTTAAATATATATTATATGCCTTTTTTAAGTTTAAATATACTTAGTTATAAGTGTATAAGTAATAAAGTTAAACTTAAATTAAAAGGAAATATTATTAAATTATACTTTTAAGAAATAAATAAATTAATAATTTAAGGATATTAAAAAGACGGCTTATATTTTGTAAGAATTAATATAATAAAACAAATAAATAAGCCAAAATATACACCTTGAAAAATATATATAACTTAATAAAATATAAATATAAATAATAAGAATAAAGACGAAATATATAAATGGCATTGTAAATTAGGCTATATAAATATTTAAGCCTTAGAAATATTTCTTTAAAAATATAAAATAAATATATTAATAAATAAATTTATTTGAAAATATATAAATAATTGTGAGATATGCTTAAAAGTTAAATATATAATTAAAATAAATAAGATTAGCTTAAATAATTGAGTATATAATATACTTGAAAGAGTATATAGCGATATAGGCGGTCCTTTAAAACCTATATACGATAAATATAAATATTATATATTATTCCTTGATAAAAGAACTTGATATTTAGAGGTTTCTTTGCTTAGAAATAAAGACGAGGCATTAAAAGCCTTTAGTAATTATAAAAATAAAGTAGAAAGTAAATATAACAAAAGAATAAAAGAGTTTTTTACGGATAATGGAGGCGAATATATAAATAAAAGATTTAAAATTTTATTAAATAAATACTTTATAACTTACCATATTACGCCCCTATATATAAAAGAACTTAATGGCTTAATAGAAAGACTGAATTTAATTATAATGAATAAAGTTAAAAGTCTTTTATATACGGCAAATTTACTTATATACTTATGGGGAGAAGTAATAAAATATGCTGTATATTTATATAATATTACACCTTATAAAAGCCTAGGGTATAAAAGCTTATATAAAGTAATAAATAAAAAGAAGCCTTATATAAATAACTTAAAAATATGGGGATTTATTGTATATTTTTAGAATAATAATTATAAAATAAAATTAAAGCCTAGAAATAACAAGGGCATATTATTAAATATAGTTTTAAAATTTAATATATATTGAGTATGGGATATAAATAACCATAAACCTTTATTAATTTGGGATATTTAAATATTAAAAGGATAATATATTAATAATAAAATAATATATGATAATAATAATAATAATAAAAATACATATATATTCCTAGAACTTAAATAAGATAATAAGAAAGAAAATAGGGAAGAAAATTTTCCTTTTATTTTAAATGAAATAATAGTTTAAGGGAATTTAAAAGATTATATATATACTATATAAGATACATTATTAAATAACTAAATATTTATATTAAATTCCTAAGAGAATATATTAAAATATTGCTTAACGGCAGTTAATATTAATAAATCTTCTTCTTTAAAAGAGGTATTAAATAGCCTAGAAAAGTCCTTATGGGTAAAATTTATATTAAATGAAATAAATAATTTATAAGAACAAAATACCTATATAATAATGGATTTACCACCTAGCCGTATGGCTTTAAGGGGGAAATAAGTATATAAAAAGAAATATATAAATAACTTAATTATTATAAAGCTTAGTTGGGTAGTAAATAATGAAAATAATATTAAATTTAAATTTAAATGGGTTATTCAGGGATATAATTAGAAATTAAGCGTAGATTATTTAAAGACTTTTTCCATAATCTGCCGCCTTAAGACTTACATTATGCTATTAATAATAGCAATAAATAAAGGATACTATATATATAGTTACGACGTTAAAAACGCGTTTTTACACTTTAATATTGATTTTGAAATATATATAAAATTACCCTCTTATATATATAATAAACCAAAATATAAAAATAAAGTTATAAAATTAAATAAAGCTTTATACGGGCTAAAACAATTACCTATGCTTTAATATAAATACTTAAAAAATATATTAACCAAGCTAGGATTTATTATTTGCTCATATAATGAAGGGGTATTTATATACCTTAATAAACAAATTATATTTATATGTTATATAGATAATATCATCGTTATAAGACCTAATAAAAATGATATAAATTTAATAATTAATAAATTATATAAAGATATAAACTTGGATTTTCAAGGAGATTTAATGGATTTCCTGGAAAACGATATATATATAAATAGAGAAAATAAACAAATAACTATAAATTAAAATAAATATTGAAAACAAGCCACTTAAATAAATGGGGGATAGGTTTTGCTAAACCCTCTTAAGGATAACTTAAGGAGGAGCTTTAACGCGATAAAGAGGGAAGATAGGAATAAAAAGGAGTTAGAAAAGGGAAAAGGCAAGTTTTTTAAAAATTCTTAAAAATAAGAAAAGCTTAATTAAAGCATTAAATATATAAGAAAAGAAAAGAATTAATTTCTTTAAAAAAGTATTTAAAAAAGTAAAAGAGCTAGTTTTTTATAGCTAGCTAGAATTTAATGCAATACCATTTTTCCTTGCATTTCCTTATACTTGCTAACATACCCCTTTTTAAGCACTTTATAATAAGTATTATAAAGATTATTAAAATAAAACTTTATTACCTTTAATTAAGCCTTTAAGCTTTAAAATTTACCTTATTATAATTTAAATTACTATTATTATCTTTAATCCCTTACTTACTTATTTCATTATAGCTTTTACTTTTCCGCAAAAGCTTTAAACATTTTTAAAACCTGCTTAATAGCATACTTACTAATTATATCCTTCCAGCCATTAAAGTTTGCTTTAATAGCTAGCATAAATATAGCTATTAAAGATTTAAATACCTTTATAAAACGGGAAGCAAATTTATTCTTCCTTTTAATCATTATATTAAGCATAGTATATTAGCTTTACTAGCTTTTACTCTTATTTCTTATAAAGCTTTTGCTTTTAAATCCTATACCTTACATTTTATTACTTAATTAACTTATTAATAAGCTTATTAAATTATTCTTAAGCAAACTTTATTATTGTTTTAAACTTTATTGCTACTTTAA